ATTCTGGAAGAGTAAGATAAACTTAGTACAGCTGCCTACTCAGCCTGCTTTTGATAATATGATTGGCATATACACAAAGCCATGCCTTTCCGAGCGAAATGGAGACAGACCAAATAAGACGCCTCCAAAGTATCGGGAGAAAGATTCAAAAGGGGGTTCAAAGCAAAATGAGAACCCCGTTCAAGGTTCAAAAGGCCATGAGACGCCGATAAAGGGTACGCCTGGTGGTTCTAAAGCTCAAACAAAGCTTCCTAGTAGAGCAACTGAGGAAAAGCATGGAGGTCGTCCTGGTGCTAACAGACAGATGAATATTCTGAGATTGTCAAGGATAGCAAAGGCAAATCTTCAAAAGGAAAATGAGAAGGAAAACTATAGGAGACCCTTACCTAATAGCAACGAGAATTGTGCAGAAGTGAAGATTGAGAACACTGACATGGAACTTGATTTTGATGAAAACAATGATGATGAGGGACCTGATGAATCAGAAGGAACCGAGAACACCTCTTGTGCACAAGAAGAAAGAGTTGTGAGCCAAAATGAGAGTCACAGAAGACAAGGAGTTATAAGCGGTAATGTGCCGGATGAAAACTCGTCTGCAAATGAAACACCAACCTCGGGTGAAGCAAGAGATTGCCATGAAGAACAGTCAGAGCCAATGGACGTGTCAGCTGCGCCACCTAGTGCTAGTCCTCAACTTAAAACTCACCGAGGAAGAGAAATTTCTGGGGTTGCTGTTAATCATGACTCATCTAAAACACCTACTAGCCTCACTGACGTCCTTTGGCATATATCTGATCTTTCTGTTAGGCCTGTCATGCCCAGCAGAAAATCTGACAAAGAAGCTGTGCCTTCTCTCTCATTCGAAACACCACAGCCTTCTGATTTTGGTAAGATGGGAAAGCAAGAATTAGAACCGCTTAACAATAGGATCATAACAGTTCTAAGTGGGAGCAGTTCTGGCCTGTCAGAGAAACAGAATTTGATCAGATACCTCGAGACATTGAGTAGCAATGCTGATGCAGCCAACATCCTGACCAACGGACCAATAATGCTTGTGCTTGTTAAAGTTCTGAGATTATCCAAGACCCCAGCATTTCGTGTACAAATTGCTTCACTAATTGGTTTGTTAATTCGGCATTCTACTTCAATCGAAGATGACTTGGCAAATTCTGGTATTTTAGACTCTCTTACTAATGGCCTCAGAGACAAGCATGAAAAAGTGAGAAGATTCTCTATGGCAGCTCTAGGTGAATTGCTATTCTACATCTCAACTCAAAATGAGCATAAGGATTTCAAACCACCAGAATCCCCATCAAAAGAAACCCGGTCTGCATCGGGTTGGCAGGTCAGCATCTCTGAATTATTACTCTTAAATGTGGATCATTTGGCTTTTAATTTTTATGGTGTATTTCTAATGGACCAAAGTCCATTGCTTAATCTGAATGTTCTATCTTTCCATTGTTTCCTATCTAAACAGATCCTTGTTTTCTTCAACTAGGTTTCGAATGCCTTGATCTCTCTTGTATCATCTGTCTTACGGAAGGGAGAAGATGACCTGACTCAGCTCTATGCGTTAAGGACGATAGAAAACATCTGCAGTCAAGGAGCTTACTGGGCCACCCGTTTCTCCAGCCAAGATTTGATTAGCAACCTCTGCTATATCTACAGGGCAACTGGGAAACAGGAGAGCATGAGGCAGACGGCTGGATCATGTTTAGTCCGTCTTGCTCGCTTTAACCCTCCTTGCATTCAGACGGTCGTGGAAAAGCTTTCATTGAAAGAAATAGCTTCGTCATTTGTCAAAGGCAGCCCACGAGAGCAGCAAGTCTGCTTAAATCTTCTGAACATGGCTATGATTGGAAGTCATACATTCACAAGCTTTGGAAGGCATCTCGTGACATTGACAGAGGAGAAAAATCTTTTCCCTAGCTTACTCGCCATCATAGAGCAAGGAACGGAAGTTCTGAGGGGAAAAGCTCTTCTCTTTGTTGCACTTCTCTGCAAAAACAGTAGGCGTTGGCTGACAAATTTCTTCTGCAATGCAAGATTTCTTCCTGTGGTGGACAGATTAGCTAAAGAAAAAGACAGTTACGTGCAACAATGTCTTGAGGCATTTGTGAATGTAATCGCCACCATAATACCGGGCTTGCTGGATACAATAACCAATGATATCCAGCAACTGATGACAGGAAGACGCCATGGACCTGTCTCTCCCCTTAACAGTCGAGCTCCTTTAAAGACTAATGCACACCTGTTCCCTGTGGTTCTTCATCTTCTCGGAAGCTCTTCGTTTAAGAACAAGATGGTAACTCCACAAGTCCTAAGGCAGTTGGCAAATCTTACAAAACTTGTGGAAGCATCATTTCAGGTCAGTAGTTACAACATTGCCATCCCCTTTTATATTAATGAAATGCTATCTGTTTTTTTATTTTGCACTAATGGGATTGGTCAATTGCTCATCAACGTTTGAATGCCTTACCTTCACTATGATAATTACTCGTTTATTTATGGTTAATATTGCTTCTTACAGGATAGGATTAAGATTTTCATACAACGAATATCAGAACTTTCAACTAAATTACTCCTTTCCTCTGTTCACTATAGATGTATGTTTAAGATGCTTAGATGTTTTAATAATCTTCTCCGTTTGCTCTCTTGTCTTAACCATGGTTTATGAAGGCAGGAACACAGCACAATTTCTTGAAAACACTTCGTTCGAATTTTCATGACTTGTAAACTATTTTGCAGGGAAGAGATGACTTCCGTATAACCCTTCTTCAAGTTCTAGAATGCATAGCAGGAGATGCGCCTCTGGTTACACAAAATGGTGAGATTATTATCCGTGAGATTCTCCCATCTCTGGCTGTAATTTACAATGGAAACAAAGACGGGGATGCTCGGTTTCTCTGTTTGAAGATCTGGTTCGATTCAATGACCATTCTATTAACTGAGTGCACCGAAATCGAGCAACAAACATCTGAGGATTTGAAATCAATATCCAACTCTCATTTCCTCCCACTCTACCCTGCACTGATCCAAGATGAAGATCCAATCCCAGCTTACGCTCAAAAGCTCCTTGTCATGCTCGTTGAGTTTGATTACATCAAAATCTCCAACTTATTGCATCATAATACAGTTTCGCAATGCTTCGAGTTTCTTCTCGGAGACTTATCAAGCGCAAATGTGAACAATGTCAAGCTCTGTCTTGCCTTAGCTTCAGCTCCAGAGATGGAAACTAAACTACTCTCTCAGCTAAAAGTAGTGAGGAGAATCGGAAATCTGTTGGAATTCGTGAATGCCAAAGACATGGAAGATTTCCTCGAACCCACTTTAAGTCTCTGCAGAGCTTTTCTGCTACGGTCACTTGGGAACAAGAAAGGTCTCAGCTCCAACTACACAAAAGAGCCAACGCTTTTATCAGAGATATCTTTTACATTCGAGGTTGATCCACAGGAATGCATAAGAGACATTGCAGATTTCGGTAGCAACATTGGCCTATTCTTGCACTTTGCAGGTTTAGATGGCGACACAACCATCGCAGTCGCAGATATTGCCTCTGAATGTGTTGTGCTGCTACTCAAAGCGGCTTCGAGAGAAGCCACGACGGGATTTTTAACCAATCTTCCTAAGATCACACCGATTCTGGACTCGTGGCGCAGGAGGAAGAGCACAGAGCTACACTTGTTGGTTCTGAAGAGAGTCTTACATTGTTTGGGTTACGCTTGCAAGCAGTATCTATCGCAGGCGATGATTTTGTCGATATCAGGACACGATGTCTCGAAGATCAACACCATTGTCTCTGAGATGAAGAATTCAGACGTGGCTGGTCTTAATAACGTTGCCACCCTCGTTGCTATGGAATTGCAGAGATTGCCTCGTTGAGTTTGAAGTTTTCTGAACAAAGGTAACAACAGTTTATTGATAATTAAGTTGTTTTTATCAGTCTTTCTACAATTTCTTTATCTCTTGTTGCTAAACCAGGATTAACAACAATGACGCTGAGCTGTAGATTTGGAGTACGTACGAGGTAAAACAAACGCAAAAACATGTGACAAATTGAAACCCAGAATCGAGATTTGTCTCTTTTTAATGTATATTTCTTCTCTCCATTACAATTTTTGTACCACTAGTACAATCTACTTCCTTAATATTATCTTCATTTAGACACACATTTGTTGAATGTTTGAGATTAGTTTAAAAAGTTGATGGTTAACTAAGATTAACGTAGACTGTCAATTAAAAGAAGAAGAAAGTAAACATACACTGATCTAAGAAAAAAGTTGAGTTTGCTTGCTTTGAGTAAAAATAAGGTAGGATCTTTTTCTTAGATTTTGCTGAATTATTTATGTGCTGATAGATAAAAGAGTTCAATTATAATATCATGATGTTTGTATTATTTATTTATAGTAAAAAGGAAAAAAAAATGAAGGAATTATCATCCCTTGTGGAAAGTCTTTCGTTTTTTCACTAAATTCTCAGTCTTCAATTATATCTTCCAAACACATCAACCGTTTAAACATCGCCACGTGGTTAACGAAAAGAAACTACTTTTTTCCCTCCCACTGAACCAACTCCAATATTTTAGACTTAGCCAATTTAAATTGTATTATTATGGAACTTTACAATCTTTTGTATAATATATTATGGATGATGTTCAAAAAAAAAAAAAAATTGGGGATGTAGAAGCAAAAAAAAAAGGAAAAAATTATTTTATTGGCTATCACACAGTAGCAACCAAAATAAAACTAAATTCATTCTATATCAATATCATGAATGATTATTTGTTACAATGAAAAATAATATTTAAAAAAGGTACTTTATCGATGAAAAAAAAGGGTATTTGCTTGGAAATTGAAAAAAAATATATATACATACATATTCAGTTTTGCAAACAAGGTCTTTTCCTCCAAAAACTTACTTATTTTTTATTTTATTTTAAAGGATAAAAAAGAGGAAAGCTTCTTTTATATAGAGACATCATCATTACAACTCAAAATGCACTCCGATCAGTAGATAGAGAAAGACAGATCCAACAAAAAAAAAAAAAACTCAACTTTGATTTTCATCATTTAAACAAAAGAAATGGCTTTCTCTTTTCTCAAAACATTTCTCATCATCATCTTCATCTTCATCTCTCTCTCGTTTCCTTGTCTCTCTTCTTCTCCGACCATTTCTTCCTTCCAACAGCTTTCGCCGGAGATCGCCCCTCTCCTCCCTTCCCCCGGAGACGCTATACCTTCAGACGACGGCAGCGGCACAATCCCATCTTCACCAAGCCCTCCTGATCCCGACACTAACGACGGCTCCTACCCTGACCCGTTGGCCTTTGCTCCCTTCGCTTCACCACCGGTTTCTTCTCCTTCTCCGCCGTCTCATCCTCCCGCCGGAGTATTACTCCTCACCGTTATCTTCTCCTCCACCTCGCTCCGGCTTCGTGGCGTAATAACACTACTGTAGTTCACTTCGCTTATACATCAACGGACGTTTTGGTTTTCACGTGTTTGTCCAAATGTATATCATTTCCTCAATAAATATATATTAACATTTTATTCAGTCGTAAGCTATATTACATTTTTTTATTTTGTTGCTTCTCTTGACAATGTGAGATGCTAAATTGCTAATCATTTCGATTTAAGCAATCAAATGCTTTATATGTAATCACAACGATTAAGTTCACCATTTATTATATTATACCAATTGACGGGAAACCATTTACATCGTACAAAATCAATAAGCATTAGTTACTGTTTTTTTTTTTTTTTTTTTGCATTAGTTACTGTTATTTATGTACATATGCATTATATGTTGTTTAAAAGAGCAATTAAATAATATTTTGGTTAATTAGGAGAATCAATGTTTAGGTGAAGTTCATTTGTCTGTTTCTGCTGTTGCTTTTTTTTCTGATAAAGGGCCTTTTGAAAAAGTTTAAATTATACAATATCATATGAAATGCTTTACGAATTTAAAGACCTAACTATATGACTAATGAGTGTATAAACAATATACCAAAGTTATTTTGTTCATATGGTAAAAACCAAAAGATGAAGAACCTATACACATGTTTACTTCTTGTATTAATTAAAAAGATTTGTGTACTACTTCAAAACAAAACAAAAACAAAAAAATATGAGTAAGATATATGAATCACTCAAATAATTAAAACATGGATATGCAGATTGATTAAAGATAATATTCTTATTATAAAAATATCATATATAATATGTAACCATATAAATATAATCAACTAATTGCATTATTCCAAAATTCCAAAGGGTTAGAGCATGCATGTGAGTTGCTCCTGAGTCTTGAAGATGCCAAAGCATAAAAGTGTTCTTCTCCTGTCTCACAGTACTTTTAATTACTTTCTAATTTTCTTAATACTTTATGTCAAATCAAACATAATAATTTAGTATATAGAAATAATGTATATGAGTGTACAATTTAAGGTTATGTGCGTGACAGATTGTATAATCACTAGAATGTCGTGTTGGTGTCCACTTATATTTTGTCCTTATTGGGAGAATTATGAAACTCCAACATATATAATGAAAGAACCCACACTCATCATTCATCAAACTTTATAATCTTCGTAACAACTCAACACATGATACCATGTTTAAATATGGACAGAGCCTTGATGAAGATCGATGTCGAATTTGTAAAGAACAGATTAAGGAGAAAGAAAACAATTATCATATTTCAATTTTGGTAACCAATGTAAATGCTTTAAACATATATTGATTTTTCATATGCCACGAAGTTTGGTTTTTTGATTCGAGATCCTCAATTATGAAATAAAATTAACTTAAGTAACTATAACAAAAGAACAGAAAAGATGGGGAAAAAATGGAATGCGGGATTTACAAATTCAGCTCAATCAGTGTGATTGATCATACATCTCAACCAAAAAATACAACAACTAATTATCTCAAAACTAAAGATCTCATAAAACTCCACAACTGAAGTCTACTCAGTTCTGATTCAACACACAAAATCAGCAACCAAAACATATCTATCTATATATTTTGGACAACAAATATCATATGTTTGATACAGACCACATAAGAAGCCCAAGCCCAGGCCTGTATTCAAAACCCATTAACTAAAACGGGTTTAAGAACTCAGAAGAAACGCTCCCAGATCCCATATTATATCATCCTCTGAATGTGTAGTAATTACTATGGTTTGGTTTGCATAAGATATAATAAACGAAAGGAATGATGACGGTGAAACTACAAAGAGACGTGAACGAGATCATGGCCGGTTAAAAAAAATATGTATTTTAGCTATTAACTATAAAAAAATCTAGATTACAAACTGAAACAGTGATTTTGGAATGCCCATTGTGGACCACATTGTACTCTACTGTTAAATATACAATGTGTGGAAGTACTTAGAAGATGAGAGGATTAGTTAACTGAATTTTAAGCATCCATTCTTATCCAGCTGATTGATTATTTTTTCTTATTATTTTTTATTGATAATCATAGGCCTTTTCCAATTGTCAACAAATTAGTTAGGTTTGGCTTTAAAAGAAGAAAGGGACAAAACCACGAAGGATTAACATTAAAGAAGCCGCTTTTGTTTATCCAATCATTCGCATGAACAAAGCAAAGATGCTAACCCACGCTACTAACCCACCCAATGTTAGTTTTTATATAAAGAAATGTTCTAAGATTCTAAATATGGTTAATGAATCATAGATATGTGTTATTACAATGGTTCTGTTTTTGCCTAATATTATTTATGGAATGTTATTTAGAAGTCAAGTACACAAGTATAGGGGTAAGAACTTAAGCACCTCCTCGATTTGTATAGCTTTTGTTATTTACTTCTTAGATCTCTTTTAATTCGTTTTCCATGATCTAATAGTCGAATCGAGATTGCTACACAAAAGATAAGGAATGACATTGAAGGTTAATAAATAGGAAGGGACCAAATGAAGTCGAGAGCATGGCCTACTATGTACTGGTTAGGGGTGATGGTTAGATATTTTTAAGTGGACCATAAACCTTCTTATATACTTTTTGTATAATTTATTATATAGCCCACATGAGTTGTCTTTTTTTTTAGTATGTACGTATTTCAATCAAATACAAAAATACGAATTTTTTTGTAAACATAAAAATAATTCTGATAATATTTTATGTGATATGATTTTTTTTAAGGTCAATTGAACTTAAAAAAATTTTGTCGACACAAATATTTCTAATTCTAACTAATATATTTTAATTTTGAATATTCTGTTCCTATTATAAGCGTTATCTTATCCAACCCACCCATTTTCTCAGCCACCATTGGTTTTATTAATTTCTTAACTACCATAATTGTATTTTTCCTATTGGTACTGGTAATAATATTTAACTGAAATAATATAAAATTTCATGCTTTCCTACATTTTGTTATCAGATAAAATTTGTTTGAAACAAATTACATTAATTAAATATAAATGTCGTCAGTTGAAACAAAAGAACAAACGTTGTTTCTGTCATTTTATGGAATTATGAAGATGAATTCAACATCAAAATCAAAATCAATTAAGAGAATGTTTTAAGGATAACTATTTGTCAACAAAAAGAAACAATTTCAAGTAAAGTTAAAAGTTTTTTTTTTTTTCTTTTTTTGGTTTTTATAATGTACCTTTTTTGCCGACTGGGTATAATAATATTTTACCTATTTGAACCAAAAAAATGCAAAAAAACAAAATTTTCTTAGAATGTAATAAAACGTTGATCTCAATAATTGTTGAAATCAATCAATCTACTTCGTTATTCTCAACAACACCACCACCACCACTTCTCCTTCTTCCACCTAAAACCCGATCATCATCATCATCATCATCATCATCTAAAAACCCATCCTTTAAGTATCCCCACAAGTCGTATGACCTTACGTAGCTTAATCCTTGAGATGCGTTCGAGGTCACATCGTGTGGTCCACGACCTTGCCGCCGCCGCAGCTGCCGATTCCACTCCTGGGTCATCGCAAGATTATCGCTGGTCAGATATCCCTGAAGAGCTTTTAAGGGAGATTCTAATTCGGGTTGAGGCGGCGGACGGTGGCGGATGGCCGTCACGACGCAGCGTGGTGGCTTGCGCCGGCGTTTGCCGTGGCTGGCGGCTACTTATGAACGAAACCGTCGTTGTCCCTGAGATCTCTTCTAAGTTGACTTTCCCCATCTCTCTCAAGCAGGTTCGAATTCTCTTTATCTCTTTCCATGTCCACTTCGATCGAAATTAAGACATAAAGTTACGATTTTTGTTGATCACTTTCAAAATCTTCAAGACTGAGTTTTGAAAACGCTGCGTTTGCGTTTGTATTTGCTCTTAAACTCTGAGAGGCTCTTATTAAACTATGATATTGATCATGAAACAAGAGATATAAGATCATTTGATTGATTGTTGTATAAGTTTGATTATTGTGTAGTCCTTCTAAAATGTTTGTTTGTTGGTGTGTATCTTTTTGCAGCCTGGTCCAAGGGATTCTCTGGTTCAATGTTTTATCAAACGTAATCGAATTACGCAATCATATCATCTTTATCTTGGATTAACCAACTGTGAGCATCAATCTTTGTTTAGCATGTTATTTGATAAACAAACAATATCTATTGGAGTCTGTTTTCTTTTCTCGTGTTTCTTTGGTTCTGCCATTTTTATACTGAGACCTTTTTTTTTGTGTGTGTTCTTATAGCTTTAACGGATGATGGGAAGTTTCTGCTTGCTGCGTGTAAGTTGAAGCACACAACTTGTACTGATTACATTATCTCTTTACGTTCTGATGATATGTCGAGGAGAAGCCAAGCGTATGTTGGCAAAGTGAGGTGTGTATATATGATCAAACTAGCTCTATTTCATTATTATGACACATTGGTTACTAGTTTTAACCTATTGGAACCCCAAATTTGTGTGAGAATTAAAATGGTTTCAAATTTCTAGTATTGATTAAGGGAGTTATTGGATTATTAGTACTTAACATGATTTAGTAAACTAAATGCAGTTTCACAAAAGGTGTTTTGCCTGTTTGTAATTTGCTTTTTCTATCGAAACTCTTGTTGATATGTTGCTCTTTCTAAACTTGTCGAAGATCGAACTTCCTAGGAACAAAATTCACCGTCTTTGATGGAAATCTGCTACCTTCAACGGGAGCCGCTAAGTTGAGAAAGAGCCGATCTTCTAATCCCGCAAAAGTTTCACCAAAAGTGCCTCTGGGAAGTTACCCTGTTGCTCATATCACATACGAGCTGAATGTCTTAGGATCCCGGTAATGATTTTTTCAGATTTAACTTTCCAATTCAAAAGTTTATGTCTCAACTTAATTACTTTTCTTCAACATCACTTTGGTCTCTGGTAGGACTAGTCGTAGTTTTAAAAATCAAAATTAGAGATTCTTGAGAAGAGTTGCTGAAAATGGTTTGGAAATTTCCCTTTTTGAATTTTCAAAATTATGATATATAGAAACCGAATAGCATCAACTTCAGTTTGATGTGGTTGCGATTCAAATCCTTTTCGAATTTTTTCTAAGAAATAAGGCTTTAATCAGTTAATTGCATGATTTATCTTTGGTTCCGAACTTCCGATTCGTTTTGGTTAAACCGGATTGCCAACCTTTGATTTCAATCAAATCTGATTTGTAATCTCTTGATGTCACTGATAGGGGACCAAGAAAGATGCAATGTGTAATGGATACAATACCTACAAACGCAATGGAGTCCCAAGGAGTAGCTTCAGAACCATCTGAGTTTCCCTTCCTCGGTACTCGGTCAACTTTCTCCAGGTCTCAGTCGAAACCATTACGCTGCAGCTCAAGCCACCTGAAAGAAACACCATTAGTGCTGAGCAACAAGACACCACGGTGGCACGAGCAGCTACGTTGCTGGTGCTTGAATTTCCATGGCCGTGTCACAGTAGCATCAGTGAAGAACTTTCAGCTCGTGGCAGCAGCAGCAGCTAGCGGTGGCGGTGGCGGTGGGACGGGATTGTCACCAGAGAGGCAGAACGAGCGGATTATATTGCAGTTTGGGAAAGTCGGGAAAGATATGTTCACGATGGATTATGGATACCCGATCTCAGCTTTCCAGGCTTTTGCCATTTGCTTGAGCAGCTTTGAGACTAGAATCGCTTGTGAATGATTTATAAGACTTTGTTAAGATATCCCTGTATTTATCTTTTAAGAGCAATTTGTAGCCTTCTGTAAATTGTGTTCTTTTAAAAAAACAATGAATCGTTGTCTTGTATTTGATGATGTTACAGTTCCTTTTGTTTTGTAGCATTTTTGTAATTTGCGATCTTGCAATAACATCAACTCTATTGCTATATTGTGCCATCACTCAAACAAGAGATCTCTCTGTCTTAAACTTCAGGATTTAAGTTTTGTGAAGACATGGTTGCAAATAATTTTACAGTAATATGACAATCTATATAAATGCTAAAACAACAGGAGACTTTTCTTATTTACATAAAAATATGATTTTGCATTTCATTATGCGGTTTGCAAACTAGGTGCACCAGTGCCTGAACCTATGCTCACTGTCTCGGCCTCAACCTCTGTTGCATGATCGTCTGAGGACAACTCGAACTGGCTCAGGTTCCGGACAAAGACTGTGAATGCATGGAAATGCTCTGGAGAGAAGAAGAGTGCTCCCATTCTCTGGTAAGTGAACAGATCAATTCCTACATTCTCATCCTTCAGATTCTCAACGATCCTCTCAAACCCACCAGGCACCGGGGTGGACGAGTTTTGCCCTGAAACAACGACTCCTTGTTTCTTGCAGGATGTTTTGATGTGAGCAACTAATGACTCGGGGCTCGAGAGAGATTCAGGTGATTGATGCTCGTCGGATAGATCCATTCCCGGTATCATCATTCTACAAGAGTTCTTTGCAAAGATCTCTGCGATAGCCTCGTACCTGTCCTGACCATTAGAGCTGTAGAATCCAGCTGTTAACTCAGAAGGCCGAGATCTTAGCTTGTGCCATTGGTGTAAGAGAGGTAGCTTCCCACATAGAGGCACTTCAATCCCGCTAAATGCAGATGAAGCAACTGAGAGGACTCGGTCTGCGTGGGAGGTGAGAAGAGACGAATACCAAGACAAGAAGAAATCGCCATACTGAGATTCCCAGGACCCGCCGTCTGAGAAGAATGAAGAGGAATTAGGCTGTTGATCATAAGCAGGAGCATCGTGTGGACCACCGAGACCCCAAAGAGGGTTTCCAGTGGATTCAGCGTAGCCTTTGAGAGCGGAAAGCATGTGTTTGTCGTAACACTGGAATTCTCCCGCGCCAGAGAGCTTGGCGTTGTGTTGATGAGAAGGATATTTTAGCTCGCCGTCTGGTCCCAAACCTAATGTGATTCCCTGCAAAACAATGAGCAAACAATCAGGAACTAAAAACCAGATTATATAAACTCAGAATGTAAGTGCAAAACAAAGATGATATGACATCATACCGTGATTGTGTTGCCCATGTAATCTGAGAAAGCAGACTTGAAGCTATCGCAGAAACCTCTGTACACCTCCATAGGAGTCTTCCCATGAAGAACAGGAACATCATCAACTGCAAACGACAAACAATCTTTGTACTGTTGTCCATATCTATCTGTAAAATAGATCCCAGATTCAGCTTCACCGATCTTTGCCACCCAATCAGGAAGACCTATCTCCGGATGTTTCGATCCGTGGAAAGAGAGTGAAGCATGAAGCTTAAGTCCCACTTTCTTAACAATCTCAGCTACTGCCAAGTACCCTGACCATTCATATCTCCCAGCTGCTTCCTTCTCAACAACTCCCCAAAAGATTGGTAACTCAATGCCTTCAACACCAAGTAGCTTCAAAGCTTTGAGCCCAGCTGTGATGGCTTTCAAGTGATTCACGTTGTTGCAGTCTGAAACTGTGTCTAGTGGAAGCCCAACAAATAATTTCACACTCTCGAGCTGCAACAAAGAATAAAAATTAAAACTTGTTCCAGAATTCGATCATCAAGAGGAAAAAGATTAAATCTTTCTTAAGTTTCTATGTTTAATAGATCTGAATTAGTATCACCTAAATACTCACGTCTCCGATTTCTGCAGATTTCAAATGATTGAATTACCCAAAGAACGCAACTTTGCAAATTGAAGGAGGAGAGAAGAGGGTTAATTACCGATTTAGATTTTGGGGCGGAATTGAGAAACGGATGAGCGTCATCGGAGACGATGGCTTCACATTTGACAGATCTCGAAGAGCAACGAATCGCGATCTCCTTCCATTTAGAGCTTTGGTTGCAGAAACTAACCCTGTTTCTCGATTCACCGGAGATGACATCGGAGCCAAATCTAAAGCCGAGCTCTCTGTAAGCTAATTCTGCTCTGCAGATCCTCGCTTGAGGATTTCCAATCACTGAAACTTCCATTTCACAAAAAGACCGATACAAAAATCGAAGAGGAGATTATGATTTTATCCAAATCAACAAAAAAAGACCCAAATTTGTAGCAGCAGATAAAAATGGATTACGTTAAATCGCAAAAAAAAAAAAGCGTTTTGAAATTTGAGTAAAAAGAACCAAAGAAGCTTTTAGCTTTAGGATTGTGGATATCGTGAGGATTATGGATTTGCTTTATATAAGAAAAAAAGGGAAACGTAATCTGCTTATGTGGGCTCTATGAGATGAAAGGTAGTGGATAAACGTTGCCTATTTGGACTTTACACGTGTCATCACCACAATGCTTCCATACTTGTAGCCGTTAAATTTTCACTTTTCATTTTTTTTTTTTTGCATTTAATGACAATACTAATCTAGTAATCTTCAAGTGTGTGACCACGAAAAATGAAACTATTAAGGAAATTAAATCTTCGTTTTTTCTTCAACGGAGACGGAGAGGATACATAATAGTATCGTTTTCAAAAACTTCAAAAGTATTTCTAGTGGTATAGTGTTCAATCGAGAAAAACGACAATACAAAATCGATCATGGAGAATTTAAACAAATCGACCATATCTTTAAATTCCTTGCATTTGAAAAACTTATTTCTCATCGTTTAAGGCGAGTAGCGTACGGTGCAGGCCCGGCCCGTCCATAAGGCAGCTAAAGCCTTATGCTTTAGGCCACAGATTATAAATCCAAAAAATGAGGCCACATTTCTCAAAAGTCCCAATAGTCTAGTGGTAAAACCTTTGCATGAAATGTTAACTCTCTCAGATTCGAGTCCCCATGGATGATGTTTTTAAATTTTTTAAATTTTTTTTTTTTCAAAGCCAAATATGCTTTAGGCCACAAAAATGGTAGGACCGGCCCTGGTACGGTGGTAACTAGATTGAAATTTTATTTTATTTTATTCAACTGATTATTCTCCTATAATCTATTCATGTGCATTATTACCATCATAATTCTTGGCAATCTGTTTAAAAGACGATTGGAATCTTATCCAAGTTAACCGAATAAACCTATGATTGCAACATTCAACGAACAATATCCAGAAACGTTCTGATTGGTGAATGACGATATACTAAATATATTAAATAATTATTTAAATTATTTTTGTGAATGATTTGCTTGCCAATTATTGTGATGGGCTTGGCCAGTTGGCTAGAGCTAAGGAACAACAAATTATCTCCATATATGCATCAAATGGAAAAACACAATCATATTCATAGGTTGTTTGAAAATTGATGTTACGTTAAAAACGGAAACAGTAAGTGGATAACATTTGTATTGTACCGAGAAACCAACGTGGTAATGAGGAAAAGCCACGTCATGTCAACTTGTCATTGACGAAGGTGTGGATCTTTTAAACTAACGTACTGGTTCAGACAGGTTAACACGTGTCGTAACATGGGAGGTTAAGAAAATCCATGCTGAGTCAGGTCCATGCAACTATGTTCCCTTTAGATTCTCTCTAGTACTGTGAAGCTGCAACTATTGATTTGTTTATCGACCACATCCTCTATCTATCTCTGCGTCTCTATGTGGTTACTGGTTTTTTATCATTTTTAGTTTAAAAATATATAAACTGAGTGTACATGTTGTGGATTTTCTGCATTGATTTCTTAGAGAAATTTCAATGTATATGGGCTTGATATGAGATGATGCCAAAGGAGACGAAAGAAACCATACCGTCGGTAATTACTTATCTATTTTCTTTCTAAAATCTTTAGGAAAATTCCATTTTAACTATTACAAATCTTTATTCTTTGACAAAAAATAAAATCTTTAAGAAAATACTTATCTACATTTTACAAGTTGCGGTATAAATAGCTATTATTACCCAAGATATTGAACTTTGATTGATTTTTAACCAACATAGCAAATTATCAAACCATTCAAAACACCAAACCTTCTTTTAGTCCTCTATAGTCTAAGACAGCGAAAATAATTCAGTTTTTTTTTTCAAAGGCTTTAAAACGAGATACTTATAACAATTTAATATTATAAAATTAGTAAAATAAATAAAATTGTCGCATTAAAGGAAAAATGCAATAAGAGGCGTCGTGGCACTATATGTATCACTAATACTAAAACAACAGGAAATCGGCGTTTGGGAACCAACAAAAGGCCTTTAGGTCGTGTTAGGTGGGTTTGAGTTTGAAACATTTGGAACCAAGTAACAATTTCTTCCACTTGCCACTTGACAGTTGACACTTGACACTTGACGATGCGTATACGGTTCACACATTTTCCTAATTCTTAATCTATTTAAATTTCTGTTATAATGGTACAGCCGGTGACGACCAACGAATGCTCGGAGTGGGTTTTGTAACAATACTTTAAAGTATTTGGTGAAATGGGCTTTTAAATATGTAAACACAAGCCCAGATATATTAAAATGGAATGTGTTTTGTGTGCACCACACGTCTGCCACATTCACGTCCAAATTAGTTAAAATACACTTGTGACAATGTGCCTAAGGGTCATCATAGAATTAGTCAATTGGACATAGTGGTCCTAAGCAATTTCTTTATATAGTTGTAGCAAGTCTTTTGTTTATGTGTAAATTTATGAGAAACCTGATTAGAAAAAAAATGTTCTTAGAAAGGGTTCAAAGGGAAGAGACTTGAACCCATGATTCGAGGGCAATAATTGGTCATATACAGTTTATCAATGCTATGCGATATGGTATGATAGTCTTTTAAAACTTAAAAGTCCTACAAAATAAAGAGAGTCCAAAAAAATCTTTTCTCAATAACCGCAAATACCAATTTGAAGTCTATCACAAATATACAAGACTTTTAACTCATCTTTTTAAAAACTTAACATCAAGTAATTTAAAAATATCTATACATTCATAGTAATTAAAAACACGAAGTTGGCTGATTCAAGTCTAACAAAAACCATTTTAAAACACAAAGTACCAATCAAAAACTCCTTAAAGACAGATCCTTCTCAGCTAACTTCATTTCCTCTTTAATTCTCATCTCATCTCTCTTATAAACTCATCATCGGATCTTAAAGACACAAGAAGAATGGGTGGGATGAGTATGTCTTGTTGTGGTGGTGGTGGTGGTGGCGATGATGGTTCAAGTCTATTAACACATCTCGTCTTAATTATTGTCATTTGTCTCTCTGTCATGGCCGTTTGCACCTCCAACGAACGCCGTACAGCCGTTCGGGTCGTCCGGTGCCGTTGACCGACCGGTATAAATCATCTATATATCAGATCACATCTCTACAAAAGATTTCTTCGGATTCTCTTTATATATGTATGTGTTGGTTCTATATGAATTACGGTATATGGTTTTTGTCTTTTATTTTTTTTGCCAAATATATGGATCAGAATGATTAAATCACATAATATACACCAAAATTTCACCATACAAGAAAGTATTGGGGTATAAAACGAAATAACGTAAAGTAGTTGGGCTGTTGTGGAAATTATATTATCTGTGTTTGAGGATGAAGAAGAAGATCAAGCTTGTTGAGACAATGGCCTCACACTTAGTCTCTTGAATAATTTTCCCTCACTTTCTCGCACTTTCCCTCTAATTTTCCCGATCATCAAAACAACATTGTATAGAGATTTCAAAGAATGTCACTTTGTTCTTCCTTCAACGTATTCGCTTCGTACTCACCAAAACCCAAAACCATCTTCAAAGATTCCAAATTCATTTCACAATTTCAGGTAAAGTCGTCTCCTTTAGCCTCAACATTCAAAACCCATGAATCCTCAGCGAGTCTTAAGTTTAAAAGAGCGAGACTCGAACCAATTTCATCTCTAGACTCGGGAATTTCAGAGATCGCTACATCGTCTTCCTTCAGGAACAAAAGCCCTAAAGATATAAACGTTTTAGTGGTTGGTTCAACTGGTTACATAGGTAGATTTGTTGTGAAAGAGATGATCAAAAGAGGGTTCAATGTGATTGCTGTTGCGAGAGAGAAGAGTGGGATTAGAGGAAAAAACGACAAGGAAGAGACTTTGAAGCAGTTACAAGGCGCCAATGTTTGTTTCTCTGATGTTACTGAGTTAGATGTTCTTGAGAAATCTATTGAGAATCTAGGGTTTGGTATTGATGTTGTTGTGTCCTGTCTCGCTAGTCGTAATGGAGGGATTAAAGATTCTTGGAAGATTGATTATGAAGCTACCAAGAACAGTCTTGTAGCTGGGAAGAAGTTTGGTGCAAAGCATTTCGTTTTGCTCTCTGCGATTTGTGTGCAGAAGCCTTTGTTGGAGTTTCAGAGAGCGAAACTGAAGTTCGAAGCCGAGTTGATGGATTTGGCGGAGAAACAAGACTCGAGCTTTACTTACAGCATTGTGAGACCAACGGCTTTTTTCAAGAGCTTAGGTGGTCAAGTTGAGATTGTGAAAGATGGGAAACCTTATGTGATGTTTGGAGATGGTAAGCTATGCGCTTGCAAACCGATCAGCGAACAGGATTTAGCAGCGTTTATAGCAGATTGTGTGTTGGAAGAGAATAAGATCAATCAAGTTTTACCAATTGGTGGACCAGGGAAGGCTTTAACGCCATTGGAGCAAGGAGAGATTCTGTTTAGGATTCTTGGGAGAGAGCCTAAGTTCTTGAAAGTACCTATCGAGATTATGGATTTTGTAATTGGGGTTCTTGATTCTATCGCAAAGATTTTTCCTTCGGTTGGAGAGGCTGCTGAGTTTGGCAAGATCGGGAGGTATTACGCCGCAGAGAGTATGTTGATTCTTGATCCAGAGACTGGAGAGTATAGCGAGGAGAAGACACCGAGTTACGGAAAAGACACGCTTGAGGATTTCTTTGCGAAAGTGATCAGAGAAGGAATGGCGGGTCAAGAACTCGGTGAACAGTTCTTCTAGTGTGAAATTTTTATGCAAATTGAGTTTGGCTGTGTAGTTTGTAACTGATGTGATTATAAATATAAAATCTGTGAATTTGAGAGATTTGTTGATTCAAACAACAATAGAAAGCACACATTGCAGAGATATGGTATATCTAATGGATCTTTTGCAGAGAGAAGAAGGAGATGATGTAGAAGAGTGTCAAAAATTGGAAAATGAGACACACAGTGGACAATTCTTGAAACTTGTTCGTGATGTAAAATTACTAAGTGTATAATTCGAAACAAACTCGCAAAACCAGAGTTTTCAAAAAATCCCTGAAAACATATTATCCAGGTAACTTTTCCTGGATCAAGAATATATAGAGTATATTATACATAATCCTCGCTTGCCAACACCCAAACACAAATGGTAAAATATAACAGTATAAGAACAACAACAAATCAAATGAAGAAGACAAATGTGTGTTTTGCTTTTGTGACCAATGATCAAACTGATCATCAATCTTTTTCTTTTTCTTTTTTTTGTTATGATCATCAATCTTTGCCTCAGTTTTTTGCAACAAAAAGTTCTTGCTAGCTTTCTGGAGGCAATACATGGGAAGATCTTGGTTTTGTCATTGAGGAAGAACAGGAGGCGCAATCGCTCGTGTGTTGTAAGATCTGCAATGTCCGCATTTCTGTCCGATTATGTGGAAGTACACTTCTGTTGTGTCGTTACAATCGTTGCATAGTATCCAAACCTGTGATTTCCACACAATCTCGTTAGAAAGTATACAACTTTGAAGTTTGATGTATATCTTTACTCTTCTTTAGTTTGATTCTCTAGCGCTGCAGAGAAGAAAACGTATTTACCTTCTTGTCGCGGTAATCTGAAGGCATCGCAGTGGCTTCGATCTAAGGAAACCAATAAAACAATTTGGTATTCTTCAGCAACTAATTTGCAAGATCTATCATACTTAAAAGATTCAACAATGGATTTTAAACTAACCTCTTCATCTAGTCTCTGCCATGTTTTAGACATATCAATCACTGACCTCGAGCAAATCGGACAACAAAATCTACTCAAATTTCACACATTTTAAAACCATCACAATCCACCAAAAGAAGAAACCAACTTTCAGGTTGAAAAAGAGACATAACAACAGGGAAATGGTAAATTACTTGTCACGTTTGATCATCTCGTTGTAGCATTCTAAGTGCATTGTGTGTCCACATTTCATCACATTTGTGTCCTTTAGAGAGTCAAAAAGGTACTGCATTCCACGCACACAGAATTAGCTAAAACCGCGATACATTTTACTGAAAATTTTCACTTGTTCTTGATAAAGTTTTGCCTTAACACACATACCTCATAACAAATGGGACAGTGATGACGCATTGAATTCTCAACACAGCGATGGTTGTTGCGCAGACCAACAGCATAACAAGATCCTAAAAGCAAGTAATGGATAATTTCACGAGTCAACAACAAATGATTGTGTTAGTCTGAAACTGAGCACAAGAAAGCTTTGTTGTTTTTTTCGTTTACCACACTTCTTGCAATGGAAGAAGTTCTCACGCCCACCAACTCTGCAACACAGAAATGAAATGTCAACAAAACAAACAGCACACAACTACAAACGAATCACCACTATAACACTGTATGAAGAAGGTTTCCCACCTGCAAATTCCACACTCATCGCAATGGAACTGTTGTTTTTCAGTCTGAAACAAGACAAATAGGAGCAATAATCATAATCCGATACTGAGAAGGAAAAAATTCAAACAGGTGTAAAACCAAAGTTCTTTACATCATCATCATAGAATTTGCAGATGTTGCAAAAATATTCTCCCATGTTGACACCACAATTCGAACAAACTTGAGCTACCTGAAAAAACACATTGAAACATCGAGAGTAGTGATAAGCGAGTGATCAATGTTCCTCACAGCTCATAAGACAAGTTAAAGCAATCAAAACTACAGTGATGAGAATTACCGGCTGCTCTGTATCGCAAACAGAACAAATCACCTGCAAAACAAAAAAAAAAACACCAAAAGATGCAAAAAATTAGTAAAGATGCAAACTTACTAAGATAACATAATTCTATTAAGAGGGATCATACTTGTTTAACGTCTTGACGAACAAGATCGTGACGGTCGTAGATATTGCGCAATGTGCTCTGAAACACAATACAGAGTAACAAAAAAAATGAATCTTTAACTTTGGGACATAACGGAAAAAGTAATTTCAGATGATGAATAGAGAATATACATACAGTGCTCTCGTTGTGACAATGGCGACAATCGAAGACTTCGTTGCAACATGGAGCTCTGATTTGGCATCTCCTCTTGTAATGCTTACACCTAATACACATAGAAGAGAAACGGATCTACATGGATCAGAATCAGTTTAATGGATTACAAATTTGTGTGGATCGAGACAGATCTATGATTTGGAGTTAAGAAACGAATCGGTTGTTCTAAAATGAATCAGAAGCTGGAAACAGATGAAAACCCATGAATCAGAAATGGAAAAAGGAACAAACTTTGTGAATCAAATCTTAAAATACTTGGAATCTACGGATCAGTAAGAACAAGAGACACATCGTCGTGGACCAAACGTGAAACAAGAAACGACCCACAAAAGTACAAACCAAGAGATCTGTCAAAGCAGAGAATAAAGATTTCAAGAAACAGAGTAAAAAACAGAGGATTTGTTTTTTTACCCGAAACCCATTTTGCCAAAATGAAGTCGATCATTGGGTGAAGCTTCCATGAGAACAGGAGGAGAAAAGCCAAAGAGACAGAGAAGGAGAGAGAGAGAGAGATGAAAAAAAAGGGTAAAACTCTCTCTAAAATATAGAAATATATATATGTATGAGAAGTGGATTTGGATTGGATTGAATGAAAAGCTGAGAGTTTTATCGGAATCGCAAGGCCAGAAATGAAAACAGACCCCACGTCTTTGTTTTTATAGAAGAAGATAAACAACAAATTCTTCCATCTTCTTCAAATTGCAGAACTGAGAAAAGAAAGAAAAAGATTTCTTTGCTTTATTTGTTTTCTCTCTCCTTGTGAATGTTGTTATTAGCTTCGGAGTTCGTGAGAGAGATTTGTAGCTTTAAAAAAATGGGAATAATTAGAGAGAGAGAGAGAGAGAGATAAGAGGAGTTGTGATGAAGATGGGATGATGACATGGATACAAACCGTAACAGAGAGCGCCGATTTATTGACCAATCATAATTCTAGATCGTTATCTCTATTTATTTCCCAACACTTTCTTAAATACATTTATTTTTGTTGTAAGTTGTAAAATTAGTAAAACCATAATAAATGACCTTTTTCTTTACCAATTGGAAACTTTAGTCATTTAGTATATTTTTATTATAAACAAATCATAATAAATTCAGTAACTTTAGTCTATAGTAGTATATTTTTACTAAAGTTAGTACTTTTCTTACTTCTCCTACTTTATTTTACTTTTCCTAAAAATATATTTCTTCGAGTTTCTCGAAATTGTATACTATAGACTAAAATTACTGAATTTATAGCTAAATTTGGATTTTAGTTACTGCTTTTATTACCATATAAGTTTATATGATTTGTTTATTTGTTCATTTTGTTTTGTTTTAGATTTTATTATTTCTTTTGTTAGGTATTGGTATATATGGATGATGTCTTTTTTTTTTTCTTGATCAAAATGGATGATGTCAAATTTTAATTAAAATGGTAAATGGTAGAATTTGGTAGTTAGCTGAAAATTTTAAAACATGCTAAATCGTGTATTATGCAAATGTATTAATAACTTTATAATGATAAGCACAATCACAACCTAAAGTGTTCGTTGCTTGAGTCAGTTACATTGACCCCACCAAGCCCATGGACCACGCGATGGTTCCACGAACCTATCCATTTTTAACATTTTATGATTATTAAAAATGAAAATGAAATATATAAAAAACACTCACATGAATTTCTGAAAAAAATGGAAAAAAGATTATGCTTTAATATACATCCATAGGCTGCAAATAGTATATGGTTGAAAAACATACATTAAAAAAAAAAAACAAAGAAAGGGAACAGAAATAGAAGAAGAATAAATTTCCTTATCCACCTCTTTTTTTTAGTGGCAATAATGCCTAAAGGTTCTTCTAAAATTTCGGAACTTTTTTTCTACAAGGACTATAAGCAGTTTTCTGCCAATTCTTCATCAACATTTTCAGTCATATATCTTTGCAACCAACTTCTAGATAATCTCATCTGACTTTTAGCAAACTAGACATTGACAACACACAAAAGACACAACACCAGAAACCCCAGCTTTATGGTTTAAAAACATAGATCCATTTTTAGCAAAAAAAAAAACATAGATCCATGAAAAAAGAGTCAGTTACTTGTCACTCTTAATCGATCATCTGGCAGTCGTAGTTTACTCGTCACTAGTAAATCATCTGGCAGTAGCTAGCATTCTACATGCATCTTGTGTCTATGTTTGGTAGTTAATTGAGATCTTAAAACATGCTAAATTTTATATTATGCAAATATATTGAGATGTTAACGTTACTAAAAGTGTTCGCTTAAGCCATTTACATTGACCCACCAAACTCATGGACCACGTAAAAACCAAAAAATATCACTGTATGATTGTTAAAAAAATGGAAATAAAAAGTAAAAATAAAACTCACATGTTTTTCATCAAAAAAAAAAAAATTTATAACATGGGGATGTGGAGAATGTTAGTCAAAAGGCTACAAAAATATTCGTTTCGTGTACATCTTATTCAGGCATGCCACTTGATATTCGGATCCCCCCGTCTCTTTTAATACTTTCAAGATCGTCTTGGAAAATGCTTTTTTATTATAAGCTTTTATTGTTAAATTACCAATAATATAATAATGAATAATGAATTTTGTAAAAAGAGAAGAACAAAAAGCTCATATTTTAGGAGCTTGTAATTAGCGGTGGTACAATGGTTGAAAGATTCATTCAGATAGCAGGGTTTATTGAAAACCATGGTTTGATATAAAAAGATAAGGACAGAATATTATATAATACAGAAATTCATCATCCACAGCAATTGGATATTCTTTCACATATTTACAAAGCTGAGTCCAATATCTATGTGATGATCATGTGTTTAAATTTAATAACAATTGCTACATGGTATCAACCTACGACTTATTTACAATGTCTTGATTGTCATTTGTTCACATTCTTTGACGACCACAACGAATCAAAGAACCCTTCTTCTTCCTGCACATCTGAATCTCCCAACCTCTCTTTCCAGCAAGTATTCTTGTTTGAGACTCGCATCAACCAACTCCTATAGACTAGAGATTCCGGTTTTGGATATACTTTTTGTTTTGATTATGTCTGTGGAAGGAACTGTCCGTGACAGGAATATGTTACCCTTTAAATCTTTCCTGCTGTAATTCTCCATCTCATGGCTCATCACTATGTTGCATTGTCTCCAAGTCTCACCCATTAACTCCACTCCAAAGTACGTTAAATGGTCGGATATGCTACTTCCCATTACCGATCTGAAACAGCAAGAGCCAATCATTATAAAATTGTTCTGTATCCAAGTGAAAACATGTGACATTAGGGGTGTTGTAACAATTTCTGACCAATAGACGATGACTCAGGTGAAACGTGGTAGTAAATAATGATCTTATGTTTCTATTAGCAAGTTTGTTCTCGCTAGTGTAGGTCAATTGCTGAGAGTATTAATATCATCAAGTTGCTTCAGAGGGATCAAGTAGAAAACCAAAAGAGAGTTAGTTACCTGCTGCAAGTAGGATCTTCACCGGTGTTGTCACAAACTTTCTCTACACCACGAATAACAATATTCAAAACACTGAGTTCTGTCACCCACACCTGCAATCCAAAAGATACATTACCAAATGTTGCATGAAAAATCTAAAAACAGTTACTGTGATGAACATCAAGTGATTAGAGGACGCTGTAAAAATAATGAAAATAAAAACAGAAAAAGAGGTTACCTCTGTTGGGAAGTGGTGGTATGTTTTTTGAGGGAAAAGATGATAGTAAGGAGGCAGATGAGGAACTATATCATGGTCATGTATGATCCTGAAGGTATTAGGCACAAGCAAATTGTAATAAGATGCAAAAGCAGCATTCCCAACACGGGGTTGCCCAAATGTCATAACCTGTACGTTTTCTTCTTCTTCATTTACCTGCGATTTACATCCCAATTGACATCACTAACAACTTTAAAGAACAAAACATAAGAAAAGAAAAAAAAACTAGTTCAATCCAAGGATGTTTACGACTAGGTCTAGCGCACAAAAGGAAGCCATGGCTCCTCCCATTGAATGACCAGTCACCATGATGTTGAGGTTTGCCCCATATGATTTCTTCGCTCGTTTTACTGCATCCAAAACCGCAGGCCGTACAGTTGTATTGTGATAAGCACTATAAAATCCATGGTGCACCTGCCAATGTAGATAACTATTACAAATTCCACCGTACTACATGACCAACTCAATGACAAATACTTGTCGTTAAAGCATACCATTGCATCTGGCATATCAGGGTAATTCAAATCGAGCTGTTTCCAGAACAAGTCTGAGACCCAATTTTGTATGCTGCACAAGTTTTTGGATGATCAAAAATCAACCGAGTTTAGACAAAGGTGTAGCTTTTAGATTACATGATTAGAGTAATACCTGTGTTCTTGAGTTCCCCGAAATGCAATGATGATAGCATTTAAATCCTTAGCGACCCCAACATATGCCTGTTGTTACAAGTTACATGTACTGATATCAATAATTGTTAAATGAAAAAACATCATGACAAGATGTAGCTTATGATATCAGGGCAGACCTGTAAGCAGTGCTCAACGTCAACTATTATCTCTATTACCTCAAAACCCTGCAACATCCTTAAAGACGTTAGAATACCCAATTAAAGCTATTAGCTTTATATATAGATTGTGGCTTCAAACGGTGATCTGCTTCAACATATGTTATACCTTTGTCAAACCATTGCATCTTTCGCACGTCCAAGTGAAGAGTTCTGACAAATCAGACATATAAACCTGCATACATATAGAAATCCATTTTGTGCACTATATCAGCATAAGCTCTCTTCTCTAGTAATGCTAATTAAATGATAATATGAGGACAAGTGCTACAATTTCCTTCATATCTTGCAGAGATAAATGAAATGCATACTGTAGAAATCTGCCAATAACTTACCGCAGAAGTATACTCCACAAGTGTTATTGCAAGGGTATGGTTGTAAACAGGTCGACCATCATCGCTCTTCAACTTGAGAACTGCAAATAAAAGAAAAAAAGTCCCCATAACTTCACTAAGTTCTCTGTCTTGATCCATTTGTAGCCTCACAGCTACATAAATAAATCAAAACAGGTCACATTGTTCAGTAGCAAGAGTAAATTTGTCATCTTTCCCAATCACTATCATTCTACAGAAATTTCAAATCTTGATTAGGCTAACATAGAGACTCAAGAGGGAGAAGTTCCATTATCACCTCTACCACATGAAGATGAAACAAGACAAGCAAAAACTGCCAGCAAGAAGAAACATCTCTTTTGTCCCATATCCTGCAAGATGACAATAACACACAACCACATCATCTTCTGTTTCATTAACCAAATTGCAAAATTGAGCTAAGACAAAGCCGAATCCGGAAGCAAATTAGCCAAAAGCACAGTTTTAGCTTATAATATAGACTCACACAAGACACAAGAAGACCTTTGACAAAATAGAGGATCAAAGCAATCGAACCAAATCCTTATAGAACACACAAATATAAATCTCGGACAGTGATCGGAGAAAATTACCCGTTGGAAAAAAAACAATTGAGATTGCGAATAGAAACGTCGATGAAATACGAATAAAATCTACTCCAGTTTCATCTTTTTTCTACGCAAAGGCTGATGAAGGATGCGTGTTGGCTCTTTAGGAAGGGGTATTATTGGAACTGAGAGTGAGAGATGAGATTTAATAATTACGAGACGAACCACAAGCCAGGAACGACCGAGTCGCAGAAAGATGCTGTTTCCGATCAACTTTATTACAACGGAGATTCGATATTCTGCAGAAGACTCTTCACCGACTAGAGGTTTCCAATTTTTATCTTTACAAAAATTTATACTCGACAAATTATGAAAAAAAAAACACACGATAAAATTATAATCTTTTCTTGTCATGAATCATTGCAAAAATTCATGTTCTGTCAACGTTAGGTGAAGAAAAATATATGTATTTTATTTAATTTGATTTTTAATTGATTATTACATGTGTTTAGTTATTCAATAAGACATGTCAATTATGTTGCAAAAATAATTTGGGAACAAAGCTGTAGACTATGAAGTAAAAATGATGTTTGTATTTTGATTAATAATTGTCACAACAAATTGATGAATACGAATTTAAAGATTCGAACCTATTCTGCTACTGTACAATGTCATTATTCATTCACATATTTACATATATCGTTGAATCCAGTATCTACATGATCATGGATTTAAATTAACAAAGATTTAACATGATATATGCGACCAACCTAGGATTTATTTACAAAATCATTTGTTCACCTTCTTTTACGACCACAAAGAATCAAAGAACCCTTCTTCTTCCTCCACAACACTGAATCCCTCAAACATCCCATTCCAGCAAGCTTTCTTGTTCAAGACTCGAATCAACCAACACCTATGGACTAGAGATTCCGGTTTTCGATAGAGTACTTGTTTTGATCACGTTCCGCGAGAGGAATATGTTACCCTTTGAATCTTTCCTGCTGTAACGCTCCATCTCCTGGTTCATCACTATGCTGCATTGTCTCCAACTCTCACACATCAACTCCACCCCAAAGTACCTTAAATGGTCAGAAATGCTAGTTCCCCTCACCGATCTGAAACAACAATAGCCAAGTGTTATATTGGCTTCGTGTAAAACAATGTCTGGAATGAAACATAGAGTGTGTTGTAACGATTTCTGACCAAATAGTCATTGCTCGGGTGAAATCTGGTAGTAAATAATGATCCTAAATTTCTTCTTAATGCAGGTTTGTTCTAGCTATATTGTAGGTGTGTTGCGGAGAGGGGTATATCAGCAAGTTGTTTCAAAGGAATTGATAGTTACCTGCTGCAAGTAGGATCTTCACCGGTGTTGTCACAAACTTTCTCCAAACCAAAAAGAACAAAATTCGAAAAACTGAATTCTTTGACCCACACCTGCAACCCAAAACAAACCATTACCACTTTCTTTGTTTTTTTTTCTAGACAGTTTGTAAATAAACCAAGCTAAGAATTCAGTGAGACCTTAGAAACATCATTGAGTGTTCCAGATTTTTGCATAAAATAGCTTAAATTAAAACTGTTATTCTGATAAACATCCAGTGCACTGAGAAAGCGATGTTACCTCTGTTGGGAAGTGGTGGTATGTTTTTTGAGGGAAATGGTAATAGTAAGGAGGCAGATGGGGAACCATATCACGGTCATGCGTGATTCTGAAGGTATTAGGCACAAGCAAACTGTAATAAGATGCAAAAGCGGCATTCCCAACACGAGGTTGCCCAAATGTCATAACCTGTACGTTTTCTTCTCCTTCATTTACCTGCGATTTATATCCAGTTGAAGTCATTAACAACTTCAAACAAAACAATAAGATATACAAAATTAATTCTATGCAAGGATGATTACAACTAGGTCTAGGCCACAAAAGGAAGCCATGGCTCCACCCATTGAATGACCAGTCACTATGATGTTGATGTTCGCCCCATAGACTTTTTTTGCTCGTTTTATTGCATCCAAAACTGCAGGCCGTACAGTTGTATTGTGATAAGCACTGTAAAAGCCATGGTGCACCTGCCAATGTAGACAACTATTAGAAATTCCACCTTACTACATGACCAACTCGATGAATAAAAAGCTCGCCGTTAAAGTGTACCATTGCATCTGGCATATCAGGGTAATTCAGATCGAGCTGTTTCCAGAACAAGTCTGAGACCCAATTTTGTATGCTGCACAAGTTTTGGATTGATTAAGCATTAAAACCAAGTTTATGTGAAGGTGTAGCTTTTAGGTTACAATGACGAGAATAATACCTGTGTTCTTGAGTTCCCCGAAATGCAATAATGATAGCATTCAAATCCTCAGCCACCCCAACATACGCCTGTTGTTACAAGTTACATGTACTGATATTAATAATTGTTCAATGAAGAAACATCATGACCAGCTGTAGCTTATGATATCAGGGCAGACCTGTAAGCAGTGTTCAACGTCAAATATGATCTCTATTACTTCGAAATCCTGCACCATCCTAACGAACGTTAGAACTCAATAATTGGAGCTATTATACATATTGTGGCTTCAAAGTTCAAACAAGGATCTGCTTCAACGTATGTTATACCTTTGTAAAACCATTGCATCTTTCGCAAGTCCAAGTGAAGAGTTTAGTCAAATCAGACTCATAGACCTGTATACATATTACAAACTTGATTCACCCATCTGATGTACTTTATCAACATCATCTCTCTTGTTTAGTAGTGCAAATAATGATAAATAAATGAAAATATGAAGAGGACAAGTATTACACATCTAGTAACTCCTTCTCATCTTGCAGAAAATTAGAGATAAACGGCATTCGTTCTACTACAGGGAATTACGTTTTCAAGTAAAATCATTGTTACAGGTCTTTTTACTACTTTACTAATCTGCCATTAACTTACCGCAGAAGCATACTCCACAAGTGTAATGGCAAGCGTATGGTTGTAAACAGGTCGATCATCATCACTCTTCAACTTGAGAACTGCAATTAGAAGAAAGAAGTCACCATAAACCCACTTGCTTCAGGCTTAACTCACTTATAGCCTCACAACTCATATACCAAGTACACGAAATTGTTGGTATCATAAATCTTTGAAATCAATATTTTGACCTTCATGGTTCCTTATGCATCTGATTCTAAATGGATTATGGATTGATTTGTTCCAAACATGATAGAACATGAATAATCACTATTCCAGTGGAAAAATAAAGTTCACATTGTATTGTAGCCAGATTTAATTTTCTATCTTCCCAAGCACTATATCATTACACAGAAGTTTCAAATCTTAATTAAGCTCAGAGAGACTCAGGAGAATCAAAAGCTGAAGACTCAATAAAGGAAACAGACAGAGAATCATTATAGAAGTTGCATTACCACTTCTACCACATGAAAAGGAAAGAAGACAAGCAAAAATTGCCAGCAAGAAGAAACATCTCTTTTGTCCCATATTCTGCAAGAAGACAATAAACACAACCACATCATCTTCTGTTTCATCAACCAATGTAAGGGTCAAATTGAGCTAAAACAAAGCAGAATCCGGAAGCAAATTAGCCAAATTTATTTTACCTTAGAAAACAAAACCCAAACTAACGAGGATTAGGACAAAACCCGAAAGAGATTTCAGCAACTAAAAGTCCCAGAAGATAACTGGGGATCCAATTGAACTTCTTTTACAACGATTTGAAAATTTCCGACGATGATCGGAGATTATTCCCGGCAAGAAAATTATACGGCGACTTATATATTATTATATAGAAGCCGTGGATCTGCGAACGAGAAGGTGATAGAAGAAACGGCGATTAAAATACGAATATTCTGTTTTTATTTTCTTAACTTCCACTTTCATCCTTTATACGCAAAGGTGCATGAGACAAGCGTGTGGGCTCTTTCTAAGGGTATTATTGGAATTTTAGTTGGTAGCGTGTCGCAACTTCGAGTGCTGAGGTGTCAGATACGTGATTCGGCCGGATAAAATGGATAAGGCGGTTATAAAGAGAACGAGAAGTTGACCCTTTTGACTTTTTATTTTCTTAAGTTTTAACTACGAGGCGAGTCCATGGGCCTTTAAAGCCCATTAATGCAAACCAAAGTCCAAGGCGGGAATTTCCGAAACTATTATTTCTCAAGTGGCGGGAGATTCTTTATAAGTCAATACCACGTGGCACATCGCAGCCGTAGATTTAATCTCTCGAAATCAACGGGTGTAAAATCGAAGCCTACGGTCGTTTCAAACGTCGGTTTTGTTGCTTTTAATTTCACTTTTGTTTATTTTTACTAACCAAAGCAAAAAAAAAACTCAGGAACCCTCGATTCGATCTCAGACGAAATCAGGATTCGTAGAAGCGCGTCGATGGCTAGAGCTTCGAAGCGGGAAGTTTCTTCAGACGAGGCTTACTCGTCGGAGGAAGAGGAGCAAGTTAACAATCAGGCCAATGTGGAAGAAGATGATGAAGAGCTCGAGGCCGTCGCTCGCTCTGCGGGTTCTGACGAGGAAGATGTTGCGCCCGACGAAGCACCTGTCTCTGACGACGAGGTTGTCCCTGTAGAAGATGACGCTGAAGAGGTGTGTCTTCGTTTCTGTTTTCCACTCTTCGATTTACATTCGCATGTCGGCTGTGATTTCGGGGATTGCTGTGTTTGGAATTCTGAATGTAATTTAAGTACTGTTAGGGTTTCCTCTGAGCGTATAATGAATGGTGTTTTTGGGTCGTGTATTCGATATTTGGTGTCTTTTGAGTCTGGTCACAGGGTTTCGATTCGCTTTGTCTCAAGGTTTTTGCTTAGAAGTACTTACAATGATGGGTGGTCGCTCATTATGATGGTATATTTTGGTCACTTTTTCATAATTTGATGATTATTATGTAGGACGAAGAAGACGAGGAAAAAGCTGAGATCAGCAAACGTGAGAAGGCTAGACTCAAAGAAATGCAGAAGATGAAGAAGCAGAAAATTCAGCAAATTTTAGACTCCCAAAATGCTTCCATAGATGCAGATATGGTAAGCTAGTAAATAACTGAGCTGCTTGTCTTTTAGTATACAGAGATATTGAAATAACTCAATCGTTCCATTTATTTAGAACAATAAAGGAAAGGGGAGATTGAAGTATCTTCTGCAGCAAACTGAGTTATTTGCACATTTTGCTAAAAGTGACCCGTCTCCGTCCCAGAAGAAGGGGAAAGGAAGGTGTGTTGAGTGCAACTTATCTCAAAATTAATTGTTCTTATTCATTTGAAGTTTCCAGAAATACGGTGAGCGCACAGTCCCAATGTTTAATTTATTGGGTTTCACATTATCTTCAGGGGTCGCCATTCTTCCAAACTAACTGAGGAAGAGGAAGATGAAGAGTGTTTAAAAGAAGAAGAGGGTGGTATAGCTGGATCTGGAGGCACACGGTTGCTCACACAGCCCGCTTGTAAGTACCTATGTTTTGCTCCTAAAATCTTGAAATGGCGTATGTTTTCTCAAGTCCTATTGCGAGTCGAAGTTATTATAGGATTTGACACCTTATGCCCACTTCTCTGATTGGTAGAATTGTTTGATATATTCTTCAGTTGCGACCTCACAATTTCTAGGTAGTACTGCATAAATTCTGTAGAATTTAAAGATCTGATCTTCGTACTCTTCATATTGTAGGTATTCAGGGAAAGTTAAGAGATTACCAATTAGCTGGTTTAAACTGGCTCATACGGTTGTACGAGAATGGCATAAATGGGATTCTTGCGGATGAAATGGTAAACCACTACTTATCTTAGCATATAATAAGATTTGTCAGCTCTCTATGTTATCTGATGCTAATCTTTATCGTTTTTGTTACATGGTCTAGGGTCTGGGGAAGACTCTTCAAACCATTTCTTTGTTGGCTTACCTGCATGAGTACAGGGGAATTAATGGCCCTCATATGGTAGTTGCTCCAAAATCAACCCTTGGTAACTGGATGAATGAAATTCGCCGATTTTGTCCTGTCCTGCGTGCTGTGAAATTTCTTGGTAATCCCGAGGAAAGGGTAAGTCATAATGGCTTTGACATTTGAATGGTTGCATTTATATGCACCTAGCAGGATTCTTAGATATATTTTAAATAATGCAGAGACATATTCGTGAAGAACTGCTAGTTGCAGGGAAATTCGACATTTGTGTTACAAGCTTTGAGATGGCTATCAAAGAGAAGACAACATTGCGCCGTTTTAGCTGGCGATATATAATCATTGATGAAGCACATCGAATTAAAAATGAGAATTCACTCCTTTCGAAAACCATGAGACTTTTCAGCACCAACTATCGGCTTCTTATCACGGGAACCCCTCTTCAGGTATGTTGAAACTACTTCTCTTGCTTGAGTTTGTTGAACACAGTTTTTTTTACTTCGTGTTCTTTAGACATGCTTCTTAATATCTTCTGTACTTGATTTTCTTGAGATAATACTGTAATCATTTGATATGTCTCATATATGTTTCTACTACAGAATAATCTCCATGAATTGTGGGCCCTTCTCAATTTTCTTCTCCCTGAGGTTTTTAGTTCAGCAGAAACTTTTGACGAGTGGTTTCAAATTTCTGGTGAAAACGACCAGCAAGAAGTTGTCCAACAACTTCACAAGGTATGTACTCATATTTATCAAGGTTATTCTCGAAGTTCTTATGCTAATCATTTACCGCATCTTTTTTAGGTTCTGCGACCATTTCTTCTTCGGAGGTTAAAATCAGATGTAGAGAAAGGCTTACCTCCAAAAAAGGAGACAATACTCAAAGTTGGCATGTCTCAAATGCAAAAACAGTATTACAAGGCTTTACTGCAGAAGGATCTTGAAGTGGTTAATGGTGGTGGAGAACGCAAACGTCTGTTGAACATAGCAATGCAATTGCGGAAATGCTGCAATCACCCTTATCTCTTCCAGGGTGCAGAGCCTGGTCCCCCATATACCACAGGAGATCACCTTGTAACAAATGCAGGTAAGATTTACATTACAAGTAGATCCTTCAGATATAAGTGGAATTGGCTTAGTTATTTTCTTTTACATTTTCTTGTTTCTAGGTAAAATGGTTCTCTTAGATAAATTGCTACCTAAGTTGAAGGATCGAGATTCAAGGGTTCTGATATTTTCTCAGGTAGTCATTAACGCATTCATTGTTTCCTTTTTTCTGAGCTATATTTTTCTTGTTTCTTTGTGCTTATTCTAACGATTTTGCTCATCTATATCAGATGACAAGGCTTTTGGATATTCTTGAGGATTATCTAATGTATCGCGGTTACCAGTACTGCCGTATTGATGGAAATACTGGTGGTGATGAACGAGATGCTTCCATAGAAGCCTACAACAAGCCAGGAAGTGAGAAATTTGTTTTCTTGTTATCCACTAGAGCTGGAGGACTTGGTATCAATCTTGCTACTGCAGATGTTGTGATCCTCTATGATAGTGACTGGTAAGGCTCTTTTTGTGTCCATTGTAATATATGAGTGTTTTCTTTTATGCCTAATGAGATGGGTGGATTATGGCAGGAACCCTCAAGTTGACTTGCAAGCTCAGGATCGTGCACATAGGATTGGTCAAAAAAAAGAAGTTCAAGTATTCCGGTTTTGCACCGAGGTTACTCTTGTACCCATGTGTATGAAGTAAGAATGACATTGAGAACTTGAACTAATTCTGCATTGGTCTTATGCAGAATGCTATTGAGGCGAAAGTCATTGAGAGAGCTTACAAGAAGTTGGCACTTGATGCTCTGGTTATTCAGCAAGGGCGATTGGCAGAACAGAAAAGTAGGTGCTTGTGTACTGAGGTTGTTAAATGCATGGATTTTCTCTTATATATATATGTATATATAATGATTTATTTTCTTTGCTTTCCAGCTGTTAATAAGGATGAGTTGCTTCAAATGGTGAGATATGGTGCTGAAATGGTGTTTAGTTCTAAAGATAGCACAATTACGGATGAGGATATTGACAGAATCATTGCCAAAGGAGAAGAGGCAACGGCTGAACTTGATGCCAAGATGAAGAAATTCACTGAAGATGCAATACAGTTTAAAATGGATGACAGTAAGCGTGCCATTTATCTCTTTTTCCAATGGTCCTTTGCATGGGTAATGAGATGTCCATGTAAGATATTTTTTGGTTTGTTGCAGGTGCTGACTTTTATGATTTTGACGATGACAATAAGGTACTCTTGGATAATTAAGTGAATGGTTGAAGGAAATGTTTAACGCATACTGTGGTTATGCAGTTTTTCGAATATCGTTTTACTGATTTCTTTTTTAATTTTGTTTGGTAGGATGAGAGCAAGGTGGATTTTAAAAAGATTGTGAGTGAAAATTGGAATGATCCACCAAAAAGAGAGAGAAAGCGCAAGTAAATATTACTTCTACTTTTTTTGTTACGTGGTCTATCCTGTCTTCCTAAACAAGATCTAACTTCAGCAATTTACTTTTCTCTACCCACCCTTTAGCTACTCTGAAACTGAATACTTCAAGCAAACATTGCGACAAGGTGCTCCAGCTAAACCTAAAGAGCCTAGAATTCCACGCATGCCCCAATTGTGAGTACCATAATTGTCTCCACTCTGCATTTAGCCTTTTCCCTGTCTTATGTATAGTACTTTTATTGTAAAAATTTAATTTCTTGTCCATCCTGCAGGCATGATTTTCAGTTCTTTAACATTCAGAGGTTGACTGAGCTGTACGAAAAAGAAGTGCGCTTCCTTATGGTGGGAATAACAAGTTGATAGTTATGTAATTTATGCAACTTTTGTGTCTGATTAGTTCTAAATAGCAACTTGTTTCACTTTCGTTTCAGCAAGCACATCAGAAAACTCAAATGAAAGACACAATTGACGTTGATGAACCTGAAGGTCTTTCTCAATCTTTGCCCTCCTTTCTTACATTATTTTACTGAATCTATTACTGATTAAGAAATATTTTCGCAGAAGTTGGAGATCCCTTAACTGCTGAAGAAGTGGAAGAAAAGGAGCTATTGCTGGAAGAGGCAAGCGAAACTATTTGACCTTACTGTGGGTTGACATTTGTTTTTGATGGGTTTTTTTATAATTGAATAGGGTTGATATTTTATAGGGTTTCTCAACATGGAGCAGAAGAGATTTCAATGCCTTCATTAGGGCTTGTGAGAAGTATGGCCGGAATGACATAAAGAGTATTGCCTCTGAGATGGAAGGGAAAACTGAGGAAGAGGTTGAACGATATGCTCAAGTTTTCCAAGAGCGATATAAAGAGCTGAATGGTTAGTAACTTTAGATTGTTAAGTAAAGTTAATGAGTGTTTGCAGTACAACAAAGTTGATATGCCGCACAAAACAATCTTATGCTAAGTAAGCTTTGCATCTTGTTTTACTTTGTAAAAATTGTAGATTACGACAGAATCATCAAGAATATTGAGAGGGGGGAAGCAAGAATCTCTAGGAAAGATGAAATCATGAAAGCTATTGGGAAGAAACTAGATCGCTACAGAAACCCGTGGCTGGAACTGAAGATTCAGTATGGTCAGAACAAAGGGAAGCTGTACAATGAAGAGTGCGACCGTTTCATGGTCTGACATCTATTTATCAAACTCTGTGTGTTGAGATTTCATTGTTATTGTTTCATTCTAATATGATATTGACCCGATGAACTTGTGATTATCAGATATGCATGGTCCATAAACTTGGGTATGGAAACTGGGATGAGCTAAAGGCAGCGTTTCGGACATCCCCCTTGTTCAGGTTTGACTGGTTTGTAAAATCCCGCACAACTCAGGAACTTGCAAGGAGATGTGACACACTAATCAGGTTGATTGAGAAAGAGAATCAAGAATATGATGAGAGAGAGAGGCAAGCTCGAAAAGAGAAGAAGCTTGCTAAGGTGAGGACTTGAAGGAACAATTTAAGTTTACATTTTCATTTACTGGTGAGAAGCTGTGGAATTGTCTCATGATCTGTTCTACAACTTGTTTCAGAGTGCAACGCCATCAAAGCGACCTTCGGGTAGGTCAGCAAATGAGAGCCCTTCATCTCTTCTGAAGAAACGAAAGCAGCTGTCAATGGATGATTATGTGAGCTCGGTACGCAAAATCATTTCCCAAACATAAAGAGTTTTTCATTTGCTGGCAAAGCAGACAGACCATTTCTTAGAAAGCACAATCATAATGGTCCCGACTGATCCTAACTCAAAAAAAAAAACTTCATGTCTCTGCAGGGAAAGCGTAGGAAATAAGAAGGCCTGTGTTGAATCCATCACTAAGTAATCATAAAGATATATGGTTACTTCTAGGTATGATTCCAAACCGGGGAATTAGTTAGAAAAAGCTTCTTAGTGACAAGGATCTTATATTTTGTACTCGCAAGCATTACTGCATTGTCTCCGACTTCTCTTATATCTTCAACGTGTATTTTACTTCAATTTTTTGTAGAAATATTCACCACATTCCTAGTAGTGGTTTTAAGTAAATCTCAATTCAACTTTTGTGGTCGGATTTGAACAAAACATAACTCTCTTGTCTCTTCTCATGTTGTCACAACTTCCCAAGGGAGTGACAATTGTAGATGATAAGAGAAGTCTCTTAAGGATATATATATATATATATATATATATATTATTTTTTTGTTTCTTTTCCTTCTGTCTGTAGACTCGAATCCATACACAATGAGACATTAAAAAATAGTACAGAAAAATTATAAAAATCGACTCAAATTCTCCCTCCCATATTACATATACAGCCCATTGAACAAGAAAAGAAAAACCCCAAAAACATCACCGGAAAAAAAAACTTTTTTCTTCCCCTCCTAATCGCTCAACTACTCATTCTTCCTCATATGTTCTTGAGCTTCAACCACAATATTGAAGAGTCCTCTTTCTCGACTCAGACATCAAATCCGACAACTGACCGACCCGACTCGACAAAATGATCATATGAACCCAAAGCCTCTCTCCCTTTGCCTCTTGGCAAAATGACAAAAGTTCTCTCTTTTTCAAACACAGAGCTTTCCTCTTTCCCATTTCAGTCATTTGTACTATCAAAGCTGCCCGGTCCATTGGTAGCTCTCTTCCTCTCCCTCCAATTCTCTCCCCACACCTTTGCTTCCGCCACCGCCCTCTCTCTATCTAAATCTCGGTTCCTCGGAGTGCCTCTCGATGATCTCCCAACACTCGCCGGGCTCCCTCTCTGTGATTCTTGCCCTTCCAAATCGCTTAATCCCCATTTTCTCCCTGACCCGCCTCCTGTCTCGCTTCCACCTTCTGATCCTGCATTGACTTCCCTCACCATATCCCTTCTTCTGTAATCAGGAGAGTTCTTGTGAGTCGCTGGTGACCCTAACCGACTCCGAGTCTCTGCAGGACTATCCAAGCTACTCCCATCTCCCAAGCTCCTCCGATCATCCCTCGTTCTGATAAATGGCGGCCCGCTACCGCTTCTACTGTTTTGACCGCTTGGTGCGTTTGGGTCAAACGTTTGCGAAGCTAAGTAAGTAAGAGCTGTCACCACGTCACCAATCAGCGGTCTTGTCGCTGCTTGTTCCTGTAAACACATTGCTGCAACTGCAAGTGCTTGATATAGACCACGCATTGGGTACCGCCCTTGCAGTGATGGATCTGCCATCTTCGGGAACTTTCTACGATCTTTGAACAACGGCCTAGCCTGTATAACCAAGCAAAGACCAACAAGCGAAAGAGAACCCCCAAAACAGTTCAAGTCAGTAAAGACGTTTCAGATCCCAAACATTGACTATATCACATGAGAGCTCAAAAAAGTTGTGATTTTTCCCTTTTGGTGATATAAGAGAAAGTTGAGTAACATACCCATGCGACAAGGTTGTGCTCTCCGGGTGCTCGAGCATTATCAATAGCTTTGCGACCCGTGATGAGCTCAAGAAACACAACGCCAAAGCTATAAACATCGGATTTCAATGTGAGTTGCCCGGTCATGGCATATTCCGGTGCACAATAACCATATGTTCCCATCACACGAGTTGACACATGTGTTTTATCGCCCACGGGACCTAACTTAGCTAACCCGAAATCAGATAACTTTGGGTGATAACCATCACCAAGAAGAATGTTGGATGATTTCAGGTCTCTGTAGATCACAGGCGGGTTCGCTTTATCATGCAAATACTCCAGTCCCTTTGCTGCTCCTGCCGCTATTGTCATTCTAGTACTCCAGTCTAGAGGCTCTTTATCAGGTGGAAGATCTGAAAAACCAAAGATTTAATCGTTACATGCACTGCGTTGAACTATTACAAGCTAACATTTCCATTTGTTCACCATAAATAGCCTTTGAAGAACAGATTAAGAAAAGTAAAAGACTTTCCCAATATATCAAATACAGCAACAAAGCATCCTTCTACAATACAGTACACAGTGCCACGGATTCTGTGCATGGTAGTTTCACATAAAAATGCTAAGGTTTCTTATCTTATGGAAAATAATGCAATCCTTTTAATTCCAAATGCAACTCCATGTTAAGAGTGTGGAAATATCACTAGGCTTACCGTGTAGATGATCCTCCAATGATCCTAGTGGCATATACTCATACACAAGAAGACGCTGGTCACCATCAGCACAATAACCAATCAAATTCACAAGATTGGGATGATGCAGAAGGCTCAGCATAAGAACCTCTACAAGAAACTCTCTGTTTCCTTGTAGACCGTTTCGATCAAGCTGTTTAACAGCTACTATCTGCAAAACATAAAACCAATTAGACGAGTTTGATTATGAAAAACAAAAGAATGATTCTGATATTTGATTTACGAACTGCACCTGTCCTGTGGTCTCTAGACGACCCTTGTAAACACGTCCGAAACCTCCTTCTCCAAGAAGACATTCTGGTCGAAAGTTTTTAGTAGCGGCAGCTAACTCTCGGAAAGTAAAGGTTTGTGCAGCAATATGCGCGGTAGGCCCTTCTTTTGGAGCAGTTAGCTCCTTCTTCTGTTCAGGACCTCGTCGAGACTTTGATTTATCTACAAAAGAAAAGAAACTGTTAGTACTTTCTAAAAAGCAATGTGTGGGAAGCAGCAGATAAAGTGACAGACTAATAAGAAAGGGAACAAGATAACATTAACCATCAAAATCATAATCAACTAAAACCCTAAAACTTTTCAGGTTCAAAGATAATGAGCTTTCACATTCAACTTCAATCAACAGAAAACAAAATTCATATCTACTATTGCTAAACTAGTGATGTCTAGAAGTAGAGAACATCCTTATCAATAACTCTTCATTACTGAAACCCTAAAGCTAACATTTTTATGATTCATTGTTTGTTGGATAGAGAACTAATCCTAATTTGCGATCCATGTACATAGAGAATTAAACACAATCTGGACACAAATAACAATTTGGAGCTAAATTGTATCAGAACTATACTCAAACCTCCCAAAACACATCAGATCTCATGTATTAAAGTCCACAAACTCCATAGCACACAGCTCTCACAGATGAATTAGATCAGAAACATCAACATTTCTACCCAAATCATTACCAAAGATACAAACTTTACGAGAACCCAGAAACTAAAATCGATCTAAGACACGAAAACTCAACAGATCCCAAAAAAGTTTGAATGAAAAATTTCACCTAAGCTGATATGGTGAGACTGAGTAACAGAGCCGTCTTTAGCTGAAAGTTCCTTCTTCACAGAATCTTTAGAAGCAGCGTCTTTAGCCGAAGATCCAAAGCAAGGCAAACACCCACTCATCTCCGAAGCTAAGTCCCTCGGAGAAATTCAAATACAACAAAAAAAAAAAACCCTACCGACAAAATCAATCAACCGGAGAATCCCAACATAAGCTCTCAACAACACATCTCAATTTATTTATTTTTGGTTACTGTAACCCGAAACAAGAAACTGGAGAACTAAAGACGAAAAAGGCTCAGCCTTTTTTTTCAATGCATCTCTCTGTCTCACTTGAGATCTTTGGAGAGAGATCGAGACCAGCGGCAGATCAACAAATCGAGGAAACTTTTTTTTTTTTGGTTGATGTGGGTGCTACGCGAGAAGAGAAGGGAAGGTAAAGAAAAGATATGAAATTTTTTTATTTAATAGATTTTGACATTTAATAAATCATCAAAGAGAAAATCTTTTTTTTTTTTTTTTTTGAGAAAAGTTAAAGACAAAATTAAGGGAATCATTATCCGTTTAAATGTGAGATTAATGTTAGATCTCTTGCCTATTATTGTGTTTTACACATATAACAAGTTTAGCTGAACCAAATGTGGTGTCAATTACGATAAGTGATGAAATGTGTTACAAAAATAGTAAAATATATAAACACAAGTATATCACAACTTGACATGTAATCAACATAAAATAGTGGATATTGTTCAAACGTATTAGACATTTTTAAAAATTCTTTTAGAATGAATGTATGACAATTTTATAATATATCGTGAATGTTAATATACAGTCTATGTAAAACTATTAAAAATAGAAAAACATAAATGGTTTTGAGTAAAAAAAAAATATGTAGTATAGTGACTATGATAGTAATGTTGCTATGTACAAGGCTCTAATCTTCTGGTTTTAAAATCTAGTATTTTTTTTTAATAGACACATTTCTGTAAAAAATAGTTTTTTTTTTTTTGTTTGGAAAAAATTACACTCAATTCAAATAAAAAATGTTGCTATGACACCATCACGTTTCAATTCAACATAATGTATCTTGTTGATAAAACATGATCTTTTTTTTTTTTTTTTTTTTTGAACTAAAATTGATAAAACATGATCTATAAAAAGCATTTGGTTGTGATGCTCGTTTATATAAATCTTGATACAGAGATATATATTAGCATTGATTAAAGTTGTTACAGTACATTTATACACTCTTTGTTTTCTCTTTTGTTGGTTGGTTTGTTCAATCGAATTCAATATAGTTTCTGATATTAAAATGTTTCCGATATACAAGCTGTATATATCGATCTGAGGTGCAAAGACATTATATTATATGTTAATCGAATTCATTTTTGTTGATAACTAATGTTAATCGTTTTTTTATAACTAATGTTAATCGATTTCATTCCGTAGCATACAAAGTTCTTACTGAAACTAATGTATAGAATTCTTGATAATTCCATTTCTTAAACATTATAGAATGACACAACTCGAAAGAAAACACATAATCTTCTTAAAATTTAACTCAAAAACAAACATAAAACAAAGTAAATTACATTTAGAGGCTAAATTAACGGCGTCGGGAGGAAAGAAGAATCATCGCGGTCGGAAAGTAGGGCCCACGTATAGGATATGCCCTCACGCTTTGTGAGCAACATTCTCAAGCCCACGCTTTCTTTTTCTTTTTTCCTCCTTCAAAAATATACGTTATTATTTCCAGATTTTTTTGTTAAAATAATTATTTCCAGATACAATGACAAATATCATTTCTTATTAGTATTAACTATTAAGTAATGTTGTTTCCTTTAAAAAAACTTGCAAATACTCTATGGCCTATGCATTAAGTATAAGTGTATAACTAACATTATTGTATACACTAATATGCACATTTTTGTTGTATTAATATATTAATTAGTTATACATTTTACTATAACTAAATTGTGATAGCTAATAGAATCAGAATTAACATACCTTCAGTGCTACGTGATTTAGAGATCAATTTTTTAAAAAAATAATTATGTCTGGACAATTAACTTGAAATGATTATTGGAACTGTAATTTTAATTTCTATTCATTTGTATTTGACCAAGTATTTTTAAATTCATTCGAATTTATTAATTTAAACAAACGTAAATAGTTGGTCATAGTAGGAAAAGTTTATGTTTTGTTTTTTAAAGAACTAGATCTGAAGTTTTTTTTCCAATATAGATTCGGGTTCAGTAGGATTTCAGTGTAAAATACCTACAATTAAAAAATGTTAACAAATATCCGGAGTAATAATAACCTCCAATGTCTTATTGACACAAAAAAAATCTCATAACAGGAATATTTTCGTGTTTGAAATAAGTCATTTGGTCAAATTATAACGTCTATCAACTTTAAAAATAATTATGGCCTCTATTTTTATTTATTTCAAATTATATAATCGAGTTTTCCAGAAAAGGAAAAGGTCTAATTTTAAATGCCGGCTCAAAAGAAACATCAAACAAGTTGACTCACGAGTCACACAAAAAAAGGCTATACATTTATTCCTCCAGCTTATTATTAACCGTTCCTTAGTCTTTATATATCAAAATATTAATCCAAAGATAAATTCACGTCTAAAAGTATAGTTCATATTTGGTTAAACAAACATGGTAGTGGTGCAAACACCGAGTCATTGACAAAAAAAAAAATTAAGAACAAATTTGTCATTTTGAAGAGACGTTTTTTTTCTTTTCATTTTGGTATTGCATCGCTGATTTATGATACTTTTTAAAACTAGGAATTTTCCATATTCATACATTTTATAGATCATCATTTGAGTTATATTGTATTTTTAAATAATCTTCATCGATCAAAATGTACTACACTCCGAATAATTTAACAACACTTATGTCAAAAAAAAAAAAAACTTAAACAACACCACTTTAATTTAATCGCATGGATTAACGGCTTCGTAGACATTAGACAATGCAAATTTCATACTTATCTTCTTTTTTTCTTTACTCATGTTGTCCATGAAACTTTTTTTCTTTTGAGTCAAATATCAGTAAGTTTTGTGACGAATCTATAATTTTTTAATATATATGCAATATGCACATTCAACAAGTTTGAATGTGCCAGAGTGCGTCGTTAAGAAAATTTGCATGTGTCTCTTCACAATTACGTAATCTATAGTATAATTTACAATCGAATACTTAATTATATTTCGGCCAAAAATTAAAAATATAGCTGAGCTATGGGAATTATCGTGTGGTTCTCGATACACCGTTGTCTCCATGTTCCACTGTTAAAGATTGAACGACACGTGGCAGTTAAACAGCTAAGGAGAGTTTCTTAACAAGACAATGCACATGAGCGTTGTGGATATTTGCCTCCGTTGTCGGAAAAAAAAAACATTATGGCCTTTGTTACGTGATCAAGAGGACGGTTTTTCTTTTCTTTTTTTAATAAATAAAATGATGACCACCGTCGATCCTCTCACCATATGACACGTGGCATAATTAAGTGTAGTCAAATGATTTTGACCAAACCCCTTAACGTGTGCTTAAATTTTACAAAGAAGTAATTAACAACTTTGTAATTTCAATTGTAATACAGCTTCGGTGGTTGAACTTGTAATCTTTTAATCTGTTCAATTTATATGAATTGTTTTGGTTCCCACAAAAGCAGAATCTTACTCTTTTGATCTCCTTTTTAGACAATTTCATAGTTGAAAAGAAGTTTCACACGCGATAATTAAATTAATTTATTTTTAATATAGTAATTAATTTTCCCTGCACTAACTTAACAACTGACTGTTGACAAAATATTCTTATATAGAAGTTCTCGTTGGGCAAATTTAACCATACATTCTCCTTCTCACAGTAGAGAATAATATATGTGATCAATTGACTACTGACCAAATTTATAATCAGACTGACGTATATATCAGTCAATTTGATTATACATTGAGTGCCCTTAAATAAGTATATGATTCATAATTAAATCGGAAATCCATTATACATTCTTTTCTTTGCTTGAAAGAGCTTGGTCGGGCAAAAAAAAAAAATGAAAGAGTTTCCCAAATATCACGTAATATATTTAAAGGAAACGGGACCGAATTAATTGAAGCGTATAGTTTCATTACACGTAACCAGGACTAATAGAGTAGAGGGGTTCGCTTAATTTATTAATTCCCCTATTCATGACAATACATTATCAAACCACAAAACAGATATTTAACCATACAATACATATAAATAAGAATTATGACTAGCTTAGAGTTTATATAAAAGATGGATAAAATTTTACGGGACGCAAATTTAATGTGAAGTAATATACATCTTAACAAATATTAACAATTGGTATGGTAGTTCTGCTACGGGGATTAGTTTAGCTAAACTCCGGTCATTCAGAATAAAATTCTATTCCCAAATCCCAATTAGAATTTACGTTCTGATGAATTTTTTTTTTTTGATAACCCAGTGTCCAGACCACACTGTGATCCGACTAGCCCACTGGGCCTAAGCCCGCGTTCCTTGGATTTTTAAGCCTCCACTTAAGGGCCCCTCGGATCTGGTGGTCTGGGACGCTGCGCCCCGTAGGTAAATTGCGCAGTGGCCGGGACTCGAAGCCGGGTGGCGGGTGCCTCAGCCGAGGTTCCTATACCACCAGGAGACAAGCACCCGGTTGTTCTGATGAATTTGAAAAAGCAAACAATGATATGGTCTTTATATATATGATGATGAAAGTTGGAAAACAAAGTGACGTGTGTGGCTTTGTGCTAATGATCCAATCTAGAATCTACCTAGTTTTATTTCGACTTTCGAGGAACCGTGTGGTAGACGTTGTCAAACCGCTGCCTAAACTTAGCGTTCCAAAACAGTGAAACACGGATCTACACGTAACCTTTGAGTCATTTTGTTGTTCTTGTATGAATTATTTGACCTTTTTTCTGTTGTGTTTTCAACTTCTCGTCTTGTCGGAAGAGGAATAAGTCTGTGAGCGAGGAGGAATAAAAATTATACAATACAACCAAAAAAACATGCTCCTATAATTAAATTATGATCTTGAGTGAACTTTCACATTCTTATTTAATTGGATTAGGCAAGCATTTCTTGGGTCATATGGGCTTTATCTTGTACCACACAGCTTATCCGGAAAGCTAGGCCCTTTAAAAATAATGAATTAGTTAAAAATGAAAATAGTTGCAAGAACAAAAAATAAACTAAGAAGAGAACGCAAATACTGACTCGAACACGCGAAACCACGTTCTTAGGATTAAGCCGTAATGGTACATTGGCACTAGGACACGGCGTTTGAATATTATAACACTCGTTTTGCTGCCTCCAACTGCACTATATGGAAGCTTAGAATTAAGACGATCAATATGATGAAGCAAAAACTATATATATATAAAAGTAATTGTTGTATGTATGACTTGCATGAAATAGAATTTGGGTTCAAAATTTTGATTCATGTGCATTGCTGTTTTGTATAGCATGATCTAATTTTGAACAAACATATGCTTCTTATCTGGTTCAGTGACAATTTTTCGATGTTGTTTTTTCATATCCAAATGAATTGCTTGGTTTTAAGACATACACATAAAAAATTTAATACCTTAAAATTCTAAATACTGATATTGCCCTTTGGGATTACTATACAGCCAGCACTATGTTTATCTATATTTTAGGCGCAAAAGAATCTATAGTTTTATATCGCAAAAGGTGAATTTGTTTGACGCCAAAAAAGGAGAATTCATTTTATTTGGTGCAAGAAATAAAAATGAGGAATATGATTCCGAATCGTATGTGGGAACACGCGTTTCTCGGTAGCGGGTTGGAGCATTTCTTGAGCTGACGCCAAACTCATCTTTATCAATCTCATACCTCCACGTAATAATAGAGATGTGTGTAGAAACACACGAATATATGTAAAGATAAATTTGTTTTTCGATTTTTTTTTTTGCATTTATATATCTCTTATAATTAGAAATTTAATTTAATATTTAATTCATGGATCGGTCGGTATATGTATTCAATTTGAGTTGCAACCACACGACGTACGGACGACATTACATGCATGGTAATATACTAATATGTGACGCCGCGATCCGTCCTCGCTCTTTATTCTTAATTCTTATCATCGTCGACATTGGTTATAAGCTTAATTTACTAGGTTTATATACAATTTTAAAAACCATAAAAGTGTGGCATACATGTAAATCACATGATTTATTATATAAAAAAATATAATAGCGCATTTTATTCTACATATAGGCTGTTCACGACGTATTCAAATTGCGTGACAGAAAAATATCACCTTTAATTTCTAATATATCCTGTATTTAGTATTGAAAGTTGACATTCTTTTCCTATTTTTATATTGTATAAATAAAACATATCCCATATATTTTTTTTTTGGTGAGACGAAGGCATATATATACTGTATATTGATCTCCATATATCTTAGCCTTTGACAAAAAAAAAATCTTATCCTATAACGTACATTTTATCTCTTTCCATATATAATCTACTTTTTCACTAACCAACTCAATTATTTGTGCGCAACACTGATTTTGGTCCCTCTAAACTTAATTCATCAATGGTCAGTATAAACCAAAATTTTAGGACTTCATCAGAGATTAGTATTTTTTATTCATGTAATAGTACTACAACACGATAAATAAATGATAAATCACTTCATTTTTTATTTTTTTTTGGTAAAAAATCACTTCATTTTTGTTATCTATATGGGTGATATATATTTTGCAAACTAAGAAAAAAAATATTTTAGGCATTTCCACCATGCATGCATGAACCCAAATTTGGCCATTGGTCTTCTAGCAGGCCAACTTTTGAGGTCCAAGAGTCGTACATGCAACCATCATCGAATCTATTAGTTATCGTATTATGATATATGTAAGCAAGTCTAGAAAGGAGCATCTGTAGTTTGGAAAAAGAAAGGTTCGTTTATGTATTGGATAAATGTTCTTTTTTTCACGTGCTTGTAGCCATCCAAGGATTCGGTGGAATTATTAAAAGGACAATTACTTTTAAGAAGCTATAAATAAATCTTAGAAAATCAAGAATGACAATAGTTCTATATTATAAATGATCTGATTAGTCCATTTTCGTTATATATATTTTGTTGTTAAAAACCTTTAGGATGACAGTATATATATAGTTAAAAAATAATTTAGCATCATGTTTGCATCTCGAAACAAAAGCTCATGCAGTAACATATGCACCCTTTGAAAACAGATTTAGTTATTTGGAAAATTATCACATACCAATTATGTCTTCTTCTGTTATAAAGCTGTTAAGTCGAACCATTAATATTTTATATGTACATGCATGTGATTAATCTCAAATGTTTGGCATGTTGCAATGGACCGTACGTCTAGGTCACGCATCTTATCCGACATCATGGGACCAGATCATCACGACATGGTCTAGTGAGAATATATATATTATGCATATCTAAAATGATCTTGGTCTGATTGCTGATGCAATGTTTTCTCACATCTTAAAGATCATGGGTCTAATTGATCTTGGCCGGTGAGCTTTTGAAGGGGAGGCCGGAGGGGAATGACCATTTACTGAGTTCGAGTTCTACCAACAGATTAATTAACATGAGCAATTTCTGGTCCAGATACTATAACTCCTCAAAAGAAATTAAAAAATCATGGGCACAATGCATGTTTTTGATGTTTGTGTGCATTAAACACACACACACACACATTATTAAGAAAACGTTTAGATTGGACTTTTAAGATAACCAATAAACCATGATTAGCGAAATGGAGTTTTAACTAAACCGCATGTTGCCTGGGGGAAAAATTTATTTAAAGGGGGACCTCAAGGGCATATATAAGTATGTGTTCTTACTTTCATACGTATTCTCCATTCGTTGTCCTTAAAATTCGTTAGTCACCATGAAAGCAAATGAAATGCTTAGCTCATACGTAGAATCTTTCTCTCTTCCTCTCACTTATAATTATTACAAAAAGCTTTTTCTTTGTGAGTTGCAAAATGTGGAAGTGGCGAGTCGGGAATAGAATCCTCACGTTGGAGAAGGGAACGTGGCCTAAAGAAAAAAGAGCCCTTATTATGGATAACTATTTCTCCAACTCATAAGATGCCTTCTGATAGGCTTTACATATTCCATTTCTAGAGAGAAAGAGAGAGACTCATATTGAACAAAATGCATATGCAAGAAATCCAACTTAGCTCTAAGCCTTCTAGTTAATAATTATGGTAGGAAAGATTCGGAAACTTAAAACGTTTTAATGGTTCGTGAAACTTAAGGTGATTAGAGGATCCTAATTAGATTAACTAAATTCGAATTTAAAGTCCAGAACCAAATATCATTAACGACATTAGATTGAGTAGCTAGAATGCTGGATTTATCGGATTTTAAATTTAAAAACTCAACTGTTGAAAATTACTTATGAATGCGCATGCTTGATCCAGTGACCTACCAATGGAATGTCTTATGTCTATCTAGTCACTTGGGTTCGACCCATGACAAAAAATCCGTGAGTTTATCTGACTTGTCAATCTACGCCATTTCAAAAAATCCGTGAGTAAATCTTTGTTGAGCCACAAGTTATAGCCGAGAACAATATAAACCTTTTTAAAAAACAAGACTAAAAACAATCATGATTTAGGTTTTTATTTAATATTACTTGAGATCGACTATAGATCGCTTTATGGAACCGTACGAAGGACATTCTCACCTTTTAGCCATGACAATATACATAGGTCTAAATGCCTAAATGGACAATAAAAATAAAATAAAAGATAAGTTCGAAAATCATAGATTCTCAATCACTTACATTTTGTGATCCAAAATAAAATTGAACTTGTGTCGCTTTCGGACACGATATCGTTAGAAACAAAATCCAAACATCTTTTCCCATCTAATCTAATAATATCATCGTCTTCTCTGCCTCTATATAAACAAACACTTACTCACCTATTTCATATCAACACAACATTACACAAAACCCTTATTCTCCACTTAGAATCAAGAGTTTCTTTTCCTTAAATCTCTACAAAAAAAAATCGATCTATAAAGAGCACATACATATTGATTCATAAACCTATTTAAGGAACGACTTAAGAAGCTGTTGGATCATATATACCATATAAAATAGCAATGGATATGATAACGAAGATGGTGATGGAGAGACCGGTGGTGATATACAGCAAGAGTTCTTGTTGTATGTCTCACACGATCAAGACTTTGCTCTGCGATTTCGGAGCCAATCCAGCTGTTTACGAGCTGGATGAGCTACCTAGAGGGAGGGATATCGAGCGGGCGTTGTTGCGGCTCGGGTGTAGCCCCGCAGTTCCGGCGGTTTTCATCGGTGGAGAGTTGGTCGGTGGAGCCAATGAGGTCATGAGTTTACATCTTAACGGATCCTTGATTCCTATGCTTAAGCGGGCTGGTGCATTGTGGGTTTGACTTATTATATCTTTAACTAGTTTACTTAACACTAAGTTAAGTACGCAGAATAAAATTTTAACACATATATGAGCTATGGCATGGTGATATGATAAGTCCATGTCGGATCAATAATCAGTGTGTTGTCTTTTTTTTTTTTTTTTTTTTTTTTTGATGTTACCTTACTTTTAAATATGTATTGACTTGTATGAACTTTTACGAAAATAATAATATATCTACCTGCATAAACTAATATAGTAATGTTTGACAAAAAAAAAACTAAGATAGTAATGAAGAAAAAAACAAGATTGCAAACTAAGAATACATAATTGGGGGCATCAAAGAAAAATTGTACCGAGATATCAATATTTGACTTTTACACAACAACAAAAATTTGAAAGTAGCCAACAACATATTAATAATAATACATTTGTCTTTCCTCAAAAATATATAAAAAAAATTTTGCCTATAAAATTAAGTTGACGTTTTAGGTTTGATTTATTTTTCTTCATATAGATGATACTTTAATGAATTTAATTAACATTTTTAACACACATTTTAAATATATATTAAATAAATATACTATATTCTAAAAATAATGTAAAAAGTAATAAGTAAAAAGTAAAAACTAGCAAGTCTTACCATATTTGAAAGAAATGTATCGAAAAGTCATTTTTCAAAAAAGAAGCTGGGACCCACAAAGGCGTCGCATTAAATATCTTCGGCGAACTCCTAAACTCCAATCACACACACTTCCGCAGAAACAGACAAAACATGTCGCCATAACTCAACGAACCAAAAACCACACATGACACAACGGTTGTTCGGTTCCCATCTCTCTCTCTAGTCTCTACTCTCGAACGGCTAAAGTAAGCTCAGATCATTACAAGATTCGCTTTTTACTGTTTAAAGACACGAACTTGGTCCCATTCATAGTTATTTGCTTAAAGACAACTTTTTTATTTATATGCTTCCGTAAGGTAAATCCATCTTCCTCCTTCAATCATTTTCCTGCGCTGGCCCCAGACAGCTTGCTAGGATTCAATACGACTTCGTTTAGGTTCGTCACCAGCTGTGGATAATGGCTATTCTCTGATTTTGATTCTATTCACTATTTTTTACTGGGAATATTATCGGCAAACCAAACAGGTTAGATTTGGGGTGTTATGTGGATCTCTGTTTTGTTGGATTTGGGTTAAACTTCTGAATCTTAGATTCGCAACAAGTTAAGAAAAAAGTTGAGAAATGTCTTGCTTTTGGGCATCTCAGGATGATGACAATGTGAGCTTTTTGCTGCTCTGTGCAACTTTTTTTGTTAGGGTTAATATTTCTTCTGGGGATTTCTGAGAAATTGGAAGAAAATGTTCAGCTTTTCTAAGAGGCGCATGAGACTTGGCAGGTTAGTCTTTTCTTTTACCCTTATGTAAAATCAGATCACCTTTTTGTGGGTCTGTCTAGATTTTTTGAAAGTTGGCAACTTTTTGGGGTTTCTTTTAACTTTTCAATTTTTTTACATTTTAAGCGGATTTAGGAATCACCTTTTGGAGTATCCTCCTGTTTAAGCTTACTGTAAAAGCAACTCCTTATAATATTGTTTTAGGCTCAAGTATTGGTCCTTTCTTTAGTCCTATGAAGTACCATTGATTATTTGATTTGTTCTCAATTTGGGGGTTTCTATTTTTAGGTTGATAAGCTATTTTTTAATTAATATTTCGGTTCATGGTTACTATAGATTCTGTTGTTTATGCTTCTTTTCTGAATGTGGATGTAATTGATCAGAGTTAAGAAGGTACAGCTCTCGGAATCTGTTCAAGGATATAAGAGTCCTTTACGAGTGACCAAACTGGCTGATAACTCTAGTGTAAGTTATATAAGAAGACTGCAATACTTAACTGTTTTTTTGGTAACATTGACTATTATCTGATCTGTAAGAAACATTATGCAGAATGAAGCTGCAGTGGCTGCAACTAGTTATTCTGATGAATTTGATTTCCAGCCTTCATCGGGGAATTCTGAAAATTGGATGGTGTTATCGGTTGGTGGGGAAAAACCCGCTCCACGCTTTAATGTAACGAGTTTCTCAGCTGTTTATTCCAGTCATTAGCTTCTGAAAAGTGAACTGTTTTGAAAGACTAATTGTTTTTTACTTTTACTTTTATGCAGCATGCGGCCGCGGCTATTGGGAACAAAATGATAGTAGTTGGTGGAGAATCTGGTAGTGGCTTGTTGGATGATGTACAGGTAAAAAGTGTAGGGACCAATCAACGCCTAATAGTATCCGGTCTAAGAGATTAATATTCTCAGTTTTGCATTTACAGGTGCTTAACTTTGATTCATGTACATGGTCCACCGCGTCTTCAAAAGTTTACTTATCGCCGAGTAGTCTTCCTCTCATGATCCCTGCTTGGAAGGGCCATTGCTTGGTAATTGATTGCTGGTTTGAGCAAAGATGTTTCTGTTTTTGTGGTTTTACACCTTTCGGTTTTGATTGTTTTTTTATCTGTTGTTAGGTCTCTTGGGGTAAAAAAGTGCTATTGGTGGGTGGAAAAACAGATCCTTCCAGTGATAGAATTTCAGGTTAAACATTGTTGTTTGGATTCAAAAGTTTTCACATTGTTATTTAGATTCTAAAGTTTATGTTTTTGATGTTTCGCTCTGCTAAATTAGTGTTGTATTTGTATATATTTTTGGCAGTTTGGGCATTTGATACTGATTCGGAATGCTGGTCGCTTATGGATGCAAAAGGAGACTTACCGGTAATTTGTACTCCTCAATACACATTTTAGAAGTTTGTGGCTTTACGGTTTGGATTGTGAAGTGACTTGAGAAAAAAGCTGATTTGGATATGAAAATGCAGGTCAGTCGCAACGGTCACACAGTGGTGAGGGCCAGTTCGGTATTGATACTTTTCGGCGGTGAAGACTCTAAGAAGAGGAAACTAAACGATCTTCATATGTTTGATCTCAAATCATCCACATGGCTTCCTCTTAATTGCACGTGAGTTTTTTCGTGTTTTTCTGATGATAGTTTACATTGAACTTCTACTTGTGATTTCTTGATACGTTTTTTCCTAAAAAACCAGAGGAACACGGCCGTGTGCAAGATCGCATCATGTAGCCACGCTATTCGACGACAAAATTCTGTTTGTGTTTGGAGGTTCGGGCAAGAACAAAACACTAAATGACTTATACTCACTCGACTTTGAAACGGTAAATACTTTTCGCCCACACCCATCTTTCAATCTTATTTACTATAATGTTTTTTTTTTATTTTGACATCTTGACACTGAACATTTCTTATCTTTTGTTGTCATCAAGATGGTATGGTCAAGAATAAAGATAAGAGGATTTCACCCGTCCCCAAGAGCGGGTAGTTGTGGAGTTCTTTGCGGTACTAAATGGTATATAACCGGAGGAGGAAGCAGAAAGAAGAGTAAGCTCTACCTCGAAACTGCACTAAATTTTACTTGGATCTTACAAGTTTGCTTTACTTTTCCAGGACATGCGGAAACATTGGTCTTCGATATCCTTAAGGTCGAGTGGTCTGTAGCAAACATCTCCTCTCAGTCTTCGATCACATCCAACAAGGTGGATAAATAGAAAAATCCCATATTATATTTAACTAACTTTTATATTCTTTCAACCGCCATCTGTTAAAGCTCAGCAATTGTCTTGTGGTATATTTGGTATAGGGATTTAGTCTAGTTCTTCTACAACACAAGGATAAAGATTTCCTCGTAGCTTTTGGAGGAACAAAAAAAGATCCTTCAAATCAGGTCCGGGCCTCATCATTCCGCTGTATTGTTCACATTTTTGTTTCAAGTTCTCGATATTTCTCCATGTTTTGATGCAAAGTCTGAATCTTTTCTATGAGAAGGTCGCGGCTTTTATCGTTGACAAGAACAAGAGTGAATCGCCAACACATCCTCAAACAACTTCCAAGAAAAACCCCGGCCGTTTACTGTTTGGAAAACGATCTTCTTCCTCAGCAGTTTTAACCTCTGATGAATCGGTCAAAGCCTCTTCACAGAGGCTGATTGATTCAGTCGCCAGACAGAAACTTGCTTCGGCCATTGAAGAGCATGGTGGCTCTGGTAGAAGGTCTTTATCAGAGATTGCTTTCGGTGATCATCGTAACCCATCTTCTGGAAATGTCTCTTTGCGTAAACAGTTTAGCACTGAAGAGGAGTACAGAGCGGTAATTGAACCCGCAAAGTGCTCAGAAGAACTTTCCGTGCCTCCGGTATATATAGTTAGTTCATGATTCACCTGCATTTACTGGCGTTCTTGAATTGCCTTTAAAACGTCTACAATTCCTTGTCTTGGTTTCAGACCGCAGATGACAATAATGGAGGAGGAGCAAAGATTACAGGAGAGAAAACACTTTCTATGGTTTCAGACCGTGAAGTCTTAAATCTCCAGAAGCAATGCTCTGAAACATTTCCTTTAGAAAACGTGGATGGCACCTTGATATTCCAGGAAATGGATAATATCAATTTTGCAGGATCAGCGTCATCATCGAGCGTGTACCAATTCCATGAGGCGAAAATGACTGCTCTTATAAGAAGAAATGGGATTCTAGAAGGGCAGTTAGAAGCAGCATTGGCGGGAAGAGAGGCAGCTGAGAGGAATGTGTCGGTTGCGTTGAGGAGCAAACAAGAGACTGATAAAAAGCTATCTGACGCCATGAGAGATGTTGAATTGCTTAAGGAGAAGCTTACCGGGTTAGAGCTTGCTCAGGAGGAAGCTAATAGTTTGTCAAACATGGTTCACTCCGACAATGTCAGGCTCGAGCATGATGTAGCGTTCCTAAAAGCTGTCCTAGACGATACACAAAAGGTAAAATAATCCTTGTAGATATACAAGCGTTTTCAACATGAGGATCAAAGTTTAATAGCGTTTTGTGTGTTATCGGTTTTGTAGGAGTTGCATTCAACAAGAGGAGTCCTTGCAGGAGAAAGAGCAAGAGCGTTCCAGTTGCAGGTATCATCATTATCATCATCAATACACTCTAATTCATATGCAGTATTTTTCTAAAAACTTGAGGGGAACGCAGGTTGAAGTGTTTCATCTGAAGCAAAGATTACAATCTCTGGAGAACAGAGCTGCTACACCCAGAAAGCCTTTCCATGTCTAAACACAGACCAGAGACAACACAAGGACTTTTGAGGCTTCCACATTTTGTAATACGACTGAATCCATGTCTATGTTTTGTGGATTAATGTAAAAAAGAAGAAGAATTCAGATATCTCAAAAATCAAATCAGATTCCAAGTAGAATAAGACAAGTGACAATATAAACAGCCATTTCATTAAACGTCAACCAACTAATAAGCTTCTTACATTGATACACACACATAAGAGTCGAGATGCGACTGTTCACTAGGGACTTTTGATCTCAACGATTAGCTTTTTTTTAGGTAGACAGAGAAAATAACATTATCACTGAGACTCTTCCTCAGGTGGTTCTTCTTCTTCTTGAAGAAGGTTCTCACGGTTGTCATGAGCCCAGAAGCCACGTACATCTATAAGCATGCTCGCAACGGTTCCACCTTGTTTACATCCCAAGAGATCACCCAGAGTGATCTTTAATGGGTCAGACGGTTTCACCATGTCCCAGATCTCGTCCCGAACATCCTCTATGCACAGTTCATAGTTCCCACCTTCTATCCATTTCTGGTGAACATCTCTGCAAGTTGAAAAGATGAATTTAGAAGAGAGACAATGGCAGTATCACACATCAAGGGTGTGTTTGATATGCAATAGTGTCTTTGCAGATATGAGACTCGCGGAACAAAGCTCAGCTTCCGCAAGCAGGAAATGCAGAGTTTTTATCTAGGAAGATTGTATCAGATAACATCACAACTCTTTGATGCTCCCCTTCTTTACTTCCATGTCTTTAAACAAAATCTACTAAAAAAGGTAAGAAACCAAACAGATTCAGTCGCTCGATAGAGATTCATTACCTGAAAAGAGAGTGAATATCAGCAGTAGTGAGAAAGCCTCTCCCTTGGAGATCAAGACAACGGAACAAATATGTTAAACCCTCTGGAGTGTCTTTGTTCTCCAAAGCAAGAACAAAATCGAGGAAACTGTCAAAGTCCATTTCCCGGGAATTGCCTGAGCCGCTTTTACCACGCCGGACATGCTCATCAAACACTACAAAAACAAAGGGGAAACTAGTTTATACCCAAACACTTCTAAAATTATATGAAGCTTGTCTCGATTACTTTAGGTGAGTATCAATACCACAAGCCAACAATCACCAAAAGGGCTTAAATTTACCTCTTTCAATGAAAATCTCAGTTAGGGTCCCATCAGCATATTCTTTGAGTTCTTGTTTGCACAGAGATCCACTCATATCTTTATCAAGTGCGAGGAACATATCTACAGAAGAAAGAGAAACTCTAGATCAATTTTCATTTGAGTCTTAATAAGACATAGCGAGAGTTCTTTCCAGTTTCTCTGCAGCTATTAAGACAGAATAGCACACCCACCACATATGCGTTGAGCTGAAGTCAAAGAGAACCAATTTTCTGCCTGTTCAGTGTCTGTCACTTCCTCCTCGCTTTCCTAACGTAGAGTAACCAAGGAACAATCAGAAATACATACAATCAAGTAGCTTCTGAAAGTGGCAAGTTATACGGTGACAGAGCTGTATTTCATTCATCCTTCATCTAAACTTACCTGATGCAATTCCATTAGTTCCTGCAGACAGTTACTGAGCAGTATCTTTTTAATGCAGGCTTTTCCTGTACGCAAAAAAAATCACATTTAAGTCATGGCGATTATATACTGGGTCAAACATATATCTAATTGCCTAATAATAATATACTTTTTCACTTACCTCGCCTATGGGGATCACAGAAGAAGAAAAACTTTTGTGAAGCTATGCGGCAATACATTTGATTAAAGGCCGGAGGCATATCCCTCAGTTGTGCCAGATTAGGGATTAGACCACCAATATAGGCCTCCATTTCCTATAATAAAAACAGAAAGTAGACTAACAGTAAGGAACTTGACATCGCAGTCAGTGCCGTTTGAAATTTGCAGGGAGCACGACTACTTAAAGCATCTTGGGCCAATTCTAAAGTTAAAGCTTTAGAGCCACTTGGGTGCTTACATGAGATTGAAGGAAACCATCAGAGTCTTCGTCAAGCTCACTCATATCAATCCTAGCTTGTGTAAGCGACACCTGAACAGTAATGAACATATATATGGTTAATCAAAACAAGTATTAACTATAGCTGCTTAAGTAAGGACAAATCAAACTAAAAAACTTGAAAAACAATCATCCAAAACTAGCAAAGCTGGTGCCATTCAAACACAGTAACAAAGCTACGTATATTTAGCTTATGTCGACAGAATGATACTCAGGCACAATGAAGAAAACTGTAATCCAAAGACATCAAATGATAAAAACATAAGGATACTCACCGTGCGCATCACATAAAGATAAAATGGTAAAATGGCAATCCTCCCAGCCTCATCCTTCTCAAATTTCATGAAATTGGAAGGGCTGAAAAACCGACGACATTTGGGACCGATTTGTTCAGTACATACAGAGGCAATGTGACAGAAGTCTTCATAGTTCATCTACATGGATACGACAGCACAAATATCAGCATCATCATTAACATAGACAAACATAATTTCAGCTCTAGAGAAAAATCCTACAAAAGATGCACATACCTTTTCTGCACCAGTGGCATCATCAATCACACAATTCTCTCTCAAACAAACCCACATAGCAGCCAAATCATCAGCGTTTAACAAAAGATCCGATTGTTTCTGTGGAAGTTAATCAACATATCGAAGTAAGCAAAAACACCTAACTTCTTCTGAAGACATAAGAACAGGCGATATACCTTCAAGAAACGGTATTTTGCAAGCCTCTGGACCCTTTGACTAATAGATCCTTCTTCTGGTTTCTGAACCGAGAGTAAAGGAACAAAATTTTATTGTCTAACACAAATACTTAAAAGGAAAACCAACTTTTATGAAGTGTATAACACAATGCAAGATTTTAATCGGGTAGTGCCGTGAAATGAAAAGTTAATCATTTTATACAGAGTAAAATACTCATGTAAGGGACATGCCTTCTTGTAAAAGCTCGGTATGGTGCCTGCTTCTTGGCTTTTCTGTTGCTTCTCTTTAAATATCTCGAGCAAGATTCTCTTCGTCTCAAGCTCTGCAACAAATGAACACAAACCCTTATCAAACTCAGCAAAACCAACGACTCAATCACGCTTAACAGTGTTACATTTTCTCCGAGGGCCCTAAATTCAGGAACTTTACTCACATCAAAAACACAACGAACTCAAAAATGTGATTAAAAATTCAATATTTCCTGAATTTATGACATCATTCTTTAGCTAAAAGATAAAAAAAACTACAGACTGTCTCAACAACCAAAACGCAACAACCAACAAAAAGAATCTTACCCATTAGAGCTTCGGATCCTAATCCGGCACCGGAACCAATATACCGCCGTAGATTTCTGACCCAAAGCATCGATGACGCCGGTGGAATCTTCCTCTGCGTCGATGTATCATGACTCTCACCATCGCTAGATCCGCTGTACATTTTCGGAGATCGTCACAACCCTCGACGAAAAATGTCAGTCACCAAATGAAGCAGAGAGAGATTAAACCCTTGAAGAGAAATGGTGAGACTGAACCAGGAACTGCAGAAACCCTAGAGCGCCCCTTTCTCTCTCCCTCTCTCGAGCTCAAATCTGCGAGATCCAAGCTTCAAACTTCAAAGGTAATAAAAGTTTCTCCTTTTTTGCTATATAAGTCCTCATTTTTATACTACTTTTGATTGAAATCCCCTTTACTTTAACCGATTATTAAAATTGCACGAAACTTTAAAAAATCAATATTTAGTACAAAATGTTGTTGTATCACATAAAGTCCCGTTAGTACTGTAGTTTTTTTAGGCAGAGAATCCAAACAAATGGCTTCCATATCCATTAACTGTTTCTTCACTCCTCAAGCTCTAGCCCGACCCAGCAGGACACGGAAGATCTTCGCTAAACCTGACAAAGTCTCGGGAAGAACCCGAAACCCTAGAAAGACGAAGCTCCAACGCGAAGTGGAGCTTAAATCTCGAGGCGGTGATAAACTCCAGCCGGTTTCCGACGCCGGCGGCGAAGCCACTACTTATACACGTCTTCCTCCTAGGGAGGATTTCTCTGATGTCTCTCTTTTGTCTTCATCTTATTTAAAAGTTTCTGAAGAAGTGAAGTTATCTGAGTCAAATGTCGCAAGGGTTGAGGAAAAGATTGAACCTTTGGGGGGAAATGAGGAAGAAGAGAAAGAAAAAGAGGTGAAGAGTTATGATGATGATGATATTTGGGGAAATTATAGAAGATTGGATGTGTTTGAAGGTAATTCAGGATCAATTGATGAAGATGATGAAGATTGGGAAGATGAAGTGTTTGAGTATGGTGATGATACGGATGAGAGTGAAGGATCTGGATTGAAGGATGGAGAAGTTTTATGTTTCTCGGGTGGAGAGGGAGAGGAAGAGGAAGATGATGATGAAATTGGGGTGAAGGAGAAAGGGGTTCCGGCGGTGATGAGGTGTTTCGATAGAGCGAAGATATTTGTTAAAGCTGGAGATGGAGGGAACGGTGTGGTGGCGTTTAGGAGAGAAAAGTTTGTTCCTTTTGGAGGACCTTCAGGTGGAGATGGAGGGAGAGGAGGGAATGTGTATGTAGAGGTTGATGGGTCTATGAATTCGTTGTTGCCGTTTCGTAAGAGTGTGCATTTCAGGGCGGGAAGAGGGGAACATGGGAGAGGGAAGATGCAGAGTGGAGCTAAAGGAGATAATGTTGTGGTGAAAGTGGCTCCTGGGACGGTGGTGAGACAGGCTAGAGAGGTTGGGAGTGAGGTGGAGGGTGAGGAAGGGGAGGAGAAGGAGGTGCTTTTGGAGTTGCTGCATCCGGGACAGAGGGCATTGTTGTTGCCTGGAGGGAGAGGTGGACGAGGGAATGCTTCGTTTAAGTCGGGGATGAATAAAGTTCCTAGGATTGCTGAAAATGGTGAAGAAGGTCCTGAAATGTAAGTGTTGTTTTTTTCTTCATTTTGAGTTTGGTTTCAGTTTTAGGGTGTTTGATTGAACAAGCTTTGGTTTGGGAGCAAAGTGTAAGGTTTGGGATTTTAAGTTACTAAAACGTAGTAGAGTTTTCTGAAATGGATTCTGTTAATACCCCTATATATTAGCTCTGCAGGGATGAGCTAATCATAGATTGTTCAAGGATACAAAACTTTCATTTTGGTTTAGGTTCATGGAACTCTGTACGCGGTTGATTTGTGTTTCTATTGTTTGGTAAAGCTTAATTTTTACATCTGAGCGTGCTTCCTTCATTTGATCTTCTGGGTTAGGTTTAGTATCTCGGTTAATCTCCAGAGGAAATCATCTTGTAGCTCACTATACAAGACTTTTCATATAGATACAGATCACAGGACTTTTTAAAATTCTTTTACTGTTGATTCTGCTAGTAGAATGGCTCATGTTGGTACAGGGATGTTAGAGTTTTATGAATGAATATGAGTTTCTGGGTTATCCGTGGATTGGATTGAATAGGCTTCGAGTCCAACACTATCATGCTGGTGGAGAATTATGAGACTGTGTTTGCTTTCCAGGAATTGTAATATGTGGTTCTTATATTTTGGGTCTTTTTCCTGGGAGGCTCTGATTAAGGATTATAAGTTAATATATTGCAATAGGTGGCTGGACTTGGAACTGAAGCTGGTCGCAGACGTTGGGATTGTGGGTGCTCCAAATGCAGGAAAGAGCACGTTGTTGAGCGTGATAAGTGCCGCACAGCCAACCATAGCAAATTACCCATTCACCACATTACTTCCCAATCTAGGTGTGGTTTCGTTTGATTACGATTCAACAATGGTGGTCGCAGATCTTCCTGGTTTGCTCGAAGGAGCGCACAGAGGCTTCGGTTTAGGCCATGAGTTTCTACGGCACACTGAGAGATGTTCAGCACTGGTAAAACAACCATCTTTAGATTCAATCTTTATACTTTATTTTTGTTTTTTCTAAGAAGATCCTCTCTTTTGGTGTAAAGGTACATGTCGTGGATGGTTCAGCTCCGCAACCTGAACTTGAGTTTGAAGCTGTTCGTCTCGAACTGGAACTATTCAGTCCTGAGATCGCCGAGAAGCCTTACGTAGTGGCATACAACAAAATGGACCTCCCAGATGCTTACGAGAAGTGGCCAATGTTTCAGGAAACTCTTCGTGCCCGTGGGATTGAACCTTTTTGTATGAGCGCAGTACAAAGAGACGGCACACATGAAGTAATCTCGTCCGTTTATGAACTCCTGAAGAAGTACAGAGCAGCCAACGCAGAACCCAAAGGTGTGTTACACTTTTAATTTGGCATTATAGAATGAAACCGCGCTTATGCAGTGTATTGATGTGGTTTGTTTTCAAATTGGCTATAGCATTGTTCGATCAAGCAAATGAGAATCTGGACCATGTAGCTAAGAAGATTGATAAAGAACGACGAGCAGCCATTAATGAGTTTGAGATCTTCCGCGATAGCGGTACCAGGGCTTGGCATGTAGTTGGAGCCGGGCTTCAACGGTTTGTCCAGATGACTAACTGGAGGTATGAGTTAAACTACAGCCAAAATTCATGCAATCTAACTAATCAAGTGTCACTAACCAATGTCGATGTGATTTGTATTTGGATAGGTACATGGATTCAGACAAAAGGTTTCAGCATGTACTTGATGCTTGTGGTGTGAACAAATCACTGAAGAATATGGGCGTTAAAGAAGGCGATACCGTGATCGTAGGAGAGGTTTGTATGAGTTTCTCTGAATCTTTTGTCTGTTGACAGTGGTTAAGATTTGCGTTGATGAACGTTCACAATCTTTGTGTGTGTGTGAATAGATGGAGTTGATATGGCATGACTCAGCCAATGGCTCGAGCCGTCCTACGGATTCAAACAAGACTTCGACAGACTCAGTCAGATGGCCTCAATGGAAATGAACCATTTAAGGTCTCTCTTGGAGTTGGAGTGTTTCTTTAACTGACGCAAGAAGTGAATCGCATTACTTTCTCAGCCTTTGGATTGAACCAGTTGCAGATCATTGAATCGATTTTTTTAGATGTACTATTAATAAGACTAGGGGTCGACCGGCAGTACATCGCCAGATGATTTGGTTTCTAAAATTTGTGATTTTTAAAATTTTAAGATTATGTATTATATATAAAAGTTTGTAAATTGTATCATTTTCTTAAGTTATAGTGATATGGGTATTTTCAAATGAAAATAAACGCTATATAATCATTTTTCAACTGAGATTTGTTATGATTTGTAAATGATATGACCTTAAGTAAAAGAAGAAAAACATTGTTTTATACCTTAAATAGAATTTCTGAGGATAAAGATAGTAACATTTTATTAAAAAAAATAGATCAATACTTGTCCAACTGAAAATGAGATGGTCTGTGCAAATTATTGATTACTCGGTCCAATGTCTTGATTTAATTTATTTTGTATGTAACAATAATTATTTGCAACAGTTTGTGAATTAGCTGATAATTAGTAACAACTTTACCGGTATTCAAATTAGCTGAAAACCAACCGGCCGGTTTATAAAAAAAAAAAAACAGGAAGAGAAGAAACGGGAAGGAGGGTTATGGTCTAGAAAGAAAATCACAGAGGCAGTTTTAATATCAGCCGTCCAATCCAAAAATCAGACGGTCCGTACGAGAAAAGATCTTCTTTTTGACCACACACATCATCATCATATCAAACAGACACAACACAACTATCACTTCTCTCTTTGTTTTAAGTTGGAAGATCGTAGCCGTACGATGCAATAGACAACATCCATCGCTCAGATCACGACACGTAACCAAAGTAGGTTACTTTTTTGTGTGTTCCTCGTTGTCGCGTGCGGCAACAGTATCTTACGTGTCATCGACAGTGTCCCACATAGTATGCACGTACTAGGTTCGGTGGGGCATTTTCTTCCTAGCTTACGTGTTTACTTCTCATTGGTTTATTTGTTCCTTCCCGAAGTATCTGTCCAATGTCTTTGGTTTCTAAAAGTTGCCTTGTTTGGTTCCGTGTGTTTCGACTTTCCAACATACTACCTATGTTTTTTAATTTATTTAACCATAATAACATTCTTTCATGTTTATACAATTTTACTTCTAATTCAAATTAAGTAATTTATATGCCGTATATTGTCATTAGTATACAAATTACTAGCGATATAAGCAATCTAGTTACCATTTCAACTTATTAGAGAGAGAGAGAGAAGCACATGGAGAGCATGAACATAATTGAGGATATGATTATGATGTATTACTAGGTGCCACGAGTGTGTTTTGATTACCTGACCTTAATTAAAGAAATTAATAGTAACCAAAAGGATCGGAGCTTATAATTACTTTCCAATAATTTACCCAAATTCTAGAACAAATTAATTATTATTTTAATATACACGAGTGTAATCGCACAGAGAAAAAAAAAAGGTAGCATTCTCTGCTTTCTGAGCAAAATATTGAATAATAACGAAAGACATCAAACTATTAAACATAAAAATCGAAATTGTTAAATAGGATTATAGGAATATCATCATTCTTAATTTACACTTTCTTTATATGAAAAAATCATTTAAAAACATTACAGTACGGTTGCTAAAATATAAACGGATTTAGTAAGAATAACTATTGATACTAATTAATTTGAATCTTCATGACCTTATATTGTCTGAAATATATGTAATTCAATAGCAAACTATAGTGAAGCCCCCACTTGGCTTTATGGTCACACTGTCTGGACTCTCGTCAAAGTCCAAGTTTGTTCTAAGACAACCTTTACCCCTAAATCCGGGGATGTCCTTTTGAACAAAAGAAAATTTTAAATCACACACAAATTTATTAAATTTCATAAGAAAAAGTTTTGGCTTTTTCATTAGCTGTTCAAAATTTTCTGTATATTTCCTTTGCCTTTTTTTGGAGAAATGTGAAGAAATTCTCCATTCATAAACCCAAGAAAGCCTCGATCACATGGAACTTGACTAAAAGATTTCCACCCAAAAGTGTTCAATACTTCAATAGTGCAATCCCAATATCGTGCACAAAGCCAATTGGGATTATCACATGTTATCTTAAATTATTTACCCATTTTTTGAAAACACGAATAAAGTTACAGTAGTTTGATTAATTTGGCTTCTCCGAGTTTTGGTAGGGAAAATTCTGATTAACTATAAATCTTCCAACCATTACATAAGTTCTATGTTAATCATACCAAACGTAGGTAAACAACTATCTCGTGCAACATAACAAAACTATTGAACTAGCCCATTAAACTATAACCACTTAACCAATGGGATAGTGTTATTTTGTAAACTCATAACTTTATGATTCATAATTCTTTTCAAAGGTTTGATGAAATATAACAGTGAGGCATAAATAACAAAAAATTATGTATTAGTTGCTATGAATTATACTCATTATACATATGTTGTTCATACAAAACACATTTTTAAAAAAATACTCCAAAACATTTCGACAAAATGATATCAGTTTTACATTTCAATTTAATTGATGAAATATTTCGACAAAATGATATCAATTTTATAGGAGAATATCTTCGTCTTTAGATAAATATAATGAATCTAGGTCTAGATAAATTAACATATGTAAGAAAAACTACAGTAGGATGTGGATGACCATAAAAAAGTGAATATATAGTTAATTATGGTTGATTAAATTACATTATCACTGATTATAATTTCAGTGATAATAATACGTAGAAAAAAATTATTGTACACGGGAAAAATAGTCAAATGTAAGGTTAGTCCCACATCAAGTTCAAAATCTGAGTGGAGTAGTCAAGGATCGTCTGATTCTTATATAGCTTAAGCTTGTCTTTAACCCCAATTCTTAAAAGGGATGACAATATTAATAAATTCATCCAATTAAACATTTATTACTTTATTCTAATCATTACATTTTAGAACTCTATGTAATATCCGGACACGAATTTAAGTTCTGTAAAATTTGCCTACAGTTTTGATACAAACATTCCTACCTATACAATTGATTAGTTATACAGTACTATTACCGTACTACTCTATATCTCGGCCTAATAATCCGAAATAAATTTACGCAAACTATTTATTTTGATAAAACTCCAGTGGTGTTGTGTTATATCTGGCGCACAACATTTTTGGTGTGTTTGGTAAATTGTATCGCTAAGATCGGGAACGGATGCACAAGAAGATGACTATACCGTGGTCCGACCACAATTGTATTTTTTTTTTTTTTTCCTCAAACCGACCACAATTGTATTACTGTTGTATATTATATTATTAGTTTGACTCATTTCTACTATGAAAAAGAATTATAATTTTCATTCCCAATGCCATTAAGCAATGTGCAAAAAGCTTTACGAAGAATCGTCACATTTCCAACCCTTAATACAAGGAGTCCATGATCACACTTTTGTACCGTAGCACATTCGGTTAAAAAGGCAAGGTATTCATTCAAATCTAATTAATTTGATTGTTGGTTTACGTGGCTTATAATATGACATTAAAAGGAGACGAAAGCCAAAAAAAAAAAAAGAGAAACAAAAGGAAGAGTTTAGTATTATGGCTTCAAGTATACCTTTTCAGTAGAAAATATGATAAAATGTCAAAATATAGAAACCTTGGTAATAAGTAAAATTGAGTAACACTCTTCTTTCATCTGCGCTAGAGCGCGGTGTGAATATTACAAAACACATAAAAATACGTACGTCTAGTGGGAATCGATACATTGTATATTTAGTTTTAGTCTATTTTTAAAAACTTTGCAGTTAAACATGTTCGATTTTATAACAATTTAACAAATAGTATATCCGCAAAAAAAAAAAATTAATACCATAGAAATGAAACAAAACACCGTAAAAACTTACGTAGATATTTGCAGGAAATTAAAAATCTTTTAAACTTTTCCAAATATTGCATCATGCATGAATGCAACATCATATATATGAGGATTGACCTATACTGCTATATACACCGTAAACGGACGTAAAGGCTAATGAAATGAATGAACATAGGCGGTCGTGATGTTTGGTAAGTATACCCTCATAATCAATATAGTATATAGAAATATAAACATTTACCTGTTCTAAATTTCTAATAGACTAGTATTAAAAAAAGAAAACAAAAAAAGTTCATCTAACACAGGCAAGGATAATTTTGATAAGCAGAAGAAGTGGGAATTATTTCGGTCCGTTGTATATGAATCAAAATAATCTTCACAAAATTACTAACTTATCCATATGAGCATTAGCCTTTTATCCATTGAAAACCATCAACGATCTACTAAAGATTATCTAACACTTAACCAAAAAGATTTTAATGTAGATCAAAGCTTATCACACCAAATCCATCTCTGTTTGCCTTTATTGAGTTCTAATAGAAGAAAGTTTTTATATGTACGTATATTCCTCTCAAGACAAATTAGTTAATGAAAATATGTACTCTCTCATTAACTACAACGTTCTATTAACTATATATTTTTCGAACATGATATACATAACAAAATCAATCTAAAATACCCAATGACTTAAACGTACGTACGTGTGCTTACTCTTGTGGAAAGTTTGATTTAAAGTCTCTAAACTAAATGATCCAAAGTTCAAAGTTAGAGCTCATAGTCATTTTTGAATTGTTAACTGTTTTTTTGGAACTCTTAGTTAACAGTCGTGTTATGGTTGACTATGAACAATTTTCTTGATTTCATCAAATATATCTGTTGTCGGGTAAGGCATTAACTTCCGAATGCAATCATATATGAAAAATAGTCGAAGCTCCTATGTATATATATAATATTCCTACAATACTACAAACACAAAGAGACTAAGACTGTTGTTGACTTGTGCTTGTTTGCAACTTTGCATACAAGGACATCAATACAAAATTGTCCACTGAGATATATAATTAAAACCAAATTTATTCGTACTTCCTAAGCATTTTAATTTTTGTTTGGTTCATCGTGTCTTTCTTTAAACCACTCCCATTGAAAAATTATTACAAGATGACAAAAAAAAATTGTTCTCATTTCTATTTCCGCTTAAAATGCGGGTAACCATGTGATATGATCAGGGGTTGTAGAACTAACACTTTTTTTGTTTAACCAAATTAAACCAAATCAAATACGATAGGAAAAAAAACTCGAATTTTCATGTCTTGTTTATTCGATGTAACATATTTTTGAAAAACGTATTAAGAGAAAATTAAAGCTTGCTGATTTTAAAATATATATTTTCAAATTGTTGATATATTTTGTTAGATAATAAAATTATCGAACCTACCTCAGTGCACTCAAATTGATTAATTAAGTAGGGGATTTAACCTAATGAAATATCGATTCTTTTTACGTAGACCCTTGACCTTTAGGCTATGGTCTGTAGGGTTATTATGCATGTTGCACGTGACCACTAAGTAGATTATCTGAGTTAATCAATTAGCTTGATCCCATTGAAATAAAAGATTCAAATAGCATGATGTAATATATACATCACAATTTTCCCAATATTTTATTATTATTTAGTATGTATTTATTTCTTGTTCTTTTTTTCAACTCAAGATTGGTTACTGTGACATTCCAGATTTTGCAGTAGTTCCAATGATTCTTGGCTTCTGTTTTAGGCTTTCATAAGTAGCCATTCGTGTATATTACATACATATATATACTACACAGTTGAAATTAAGACTGTTTTTAAAAAAACCTAAATAATAATCAGTCAATTAAGCTGTTTTATATTTGTAAGAATTTACTTCAGCTGGTTAAGCCATATAAAAATCCAACTGACGTGTCAACGTTTATTTTTATTTTTTGTCGCTCATATGCAAAATATAATATCTGTGGTAAAAGAAACAAAAAAACAAACAAACAAAAGATGGTCTACTAAAAGCAGTTGAATCAAAAGTGAAGTATCTCTATCTTCTCTCTCTATCAAGCTCATTGTCTCTCTATTTATAACAAGACTTCACTTCCATTCTCAAACAGCACCATCGTCTTTAGACAGAAGCAAGGCAAAAAAAAAAAAAACCTTACTCATCATAACACATCTTTAACCAAAACCCTAAAAGAAACCTCCTTTCAAAAAAAACCATTTCTTCATCATCATGTCAACCTCCAAAACCCTAGATCATAATAAACCATTTGAGACATCCCAAACTCAAATGGGGTTTGCTCTGATCCACCAAAACACATCCACCAACACAACCACCACCACCACAACGGGAGAGAGAAGAGGCCGGAGATCAAAGCAAGCGGAGCCAGGGAGGTTCCTAGGAGTCCGGAGACGTCCATGGGGTCGTTACGCAGCCGAGATAAGAGATCCAACCACCAAAGAACGTCACTGGCTCGGCACTTTCGACACAGCTCACGAAGCTGCTCTTGCCTACGATAGAGCCGCTCTTTCAATGAGAGGCACTCAAGCTCGAACTAACTTCGTTTACACTCCAACTGATGTTCACACCATCCTCACAAACCCTAATCTCCACTCTCTCATTGTCTCTCCTTACAACAACAACCAATCTTTTTTACCAAACTCTTCTCCACAGTTTGTTATCGATCATCATCCTCATTATCAAAACTATCAACACCCACAACAACCTAAACACACTCTCCCCCAAACTGTCTTACCTGCGGCTTCTTTCAAAACGCCAGTTCGTCATCAAAGCGCGGATATTCAATCGTTTGGTAATAGTCCTCAAAACTCATCTTCTAACGGCTCGTTATCTTCTTCACTAGACGAAGAAAACAACTTCTTCTTCTCGTTAACAAGCGAAGAACATAATAACTCCAATAACAACTCGGGTTACTTGGACTGCATTGTTCCAAACCACTGCCTTAAACCACCTCCGGAAGCCGCCACCACCCAAAATCTAGCCGGAGTTAGTTTCACAACTCCGGCAGCAAGCAAAACCTCTGAATCATACGGAGGGTTTAGTAATAGCTACTTCGAAGATGGTGAGATGATGAATCATCATCATCATGAGTTTGGTTCGTGTGATCTCTCTGCCATGATCACTAACTATGGTGCTGCTGCTACTTCAATGTCAATGGAAGATTACGCGATAATGGAGCCGCAAGATTTATCTTCTTCTTCTCTCGCTGCTTTTGGAGATGTTGTTGCAGACACTACAGGCTTCTACTCAGTCTTTTAGGATATTCTATATTACATTTCTGTTTTATATATATGCAATAATATTATTAGTATTTACGTTATTCGATGGTCGTTTGATTTTTGTTCTTAGCTATATGTTACCGACTTTATTATATAAATCCTGCTTATTTGTTTCATGCACCATAAGGTTACCTTTCCATGAAGTTTTGATTTGTTTGTTTTTTCTTTTAATTTGTATTATGGTTTTGATTAGCAAAAAGGATTATGCGAGTTGTATTAAAGACCACTTTTTGTCCACGCTACTTCCAACACACTCATTAAGTCATTATGTATATAATAAGTGTTGTGTGGTATAATAATGAATTCAAATGACTTGCTCCAAACGGATAAATGACTAGGAGTGAACAACTAATATATGTTAATACAGTATTAGGATTATCAGATTGGATGCAAAGTACCCCAGTTTTCTAATTTTGATCAGTGTGTGATCAGATATTATGATTATTTATAGGACAGTTATAAATTTTGACGTTTGTTTGAAATTTTGAATTAAATCATAAGTGAGAGTTTTGGTTATGATTTTTTTATTAAAAAAATTAAGATTATAGATAGGAGATTTTGTCATTAAATATTGCATGTTTATTAAAAAAAAATATTAGTTAATGAGAGATGGACTTTTAGTGAAGTAGCATGATGGTGTTTTTGGTCTTTGGACATGTGTTTTGGTCATGACTTGTTTGGTCTTTCATTGCACAATCACTGTTTCATGTCTCCCTCCTTTTGCCTATATTTTGCCTTAACTTTTGTCTACAACAACTCAACATCACAACTCTTTATTTCATTTTTAAATCTGTTTAAGGTTTTTGACTTTCTGTCATAGAACTCAGTTAGTCTCTTTTCCAATGTTGATCAACTATACACTTTTGTTTTTGTTTTTGTTTTTGTTAAATTAAATCAACAAAGATCCAATCATAGCTGAAATACTTGTCAAACATATATACGTTTGAATTCATCATATATTTACAATTTGTCTAGCTTCAAACAAAATAACTTCCCAATATTAATTTGACAAAAAAATGTTACTTCCAAATAGTTAACATTTTAATACACGAACAAATAAGAACAATTAACTAACATAGAGTATGTGTATATATTTTGTGATTAGTATTTATTATTTAAGAACAATTATAGTCGAGATTGTAATTTTAAAAAGAAATAGACAATCAATTAATATCTCCATAACTTTGTGAAGTCTACTGTATTAATTATGGTAGATCTAAGTAGTAACTCAGAGAAAAAGTATTTAATGATTAGTAATTTTTTTGGGTTGTTGAGAACTTTTGTTGTGATGTTTTCAGTGAACAAACTCATGATTATGGTTTTTCTGTTGTTTGAGTAAAACTAGACGCAACGAACAAACCACACATGCACATGTTATATCACCAACACAAAGAACCAAGTACGAGAATTACTGACTACTACTTCCACATTAACAGTAGTTTTTATTTAATTATTTTTACTTCTTTTCATTTATATTTACGTTTATAGCTCATGATCAAAGTCGTACGGACTGAATGTAAAACAAGAAGAACAAAAATAGAACGTGACCCTGAGATCTGTTCTGTTCTGCTTTCTGTTTCGTCAGGCTCTTCCAAACAAATCTTTAGAATCGGATTGTTTCAAACGAAAGTTGCGTTTGCGTTTACTGTTTAACATATTGTATCTATAGTTAGAATTTAAGTTTAGGATACTCTTTTTAATGTTTGATAAAAACACTAAAATATTGTACTTTTCTAAAAAAAGAAGCACAATACCTTAACATGTAAACATACGCAAGCAAAGTATAAAAATTGGACTCTTAATTAGTTAATTCCAATATTCCATAAACTTTTGAAAAATAAACAGGGGATTCTAAGTAATCAGATGATTTTTGTGAATATATAAGGCCATTTATTAATCATCGTTTCCAAAAAGAAAAGAAAAAAACAACAAAAGACAGAGAGATGGCCGTATGAAGGAATAATATGAACATGGTAAGAGAGACCTAAGAGGAGAGACATAACACAGAGGAGTAGAGAGAGCTCCTTTTGTCTATCTCTCTGCTTTGTTTCCTGTTGTTGTCTCTCCACCCAAAAAATATCCTTTTTATGTTCCTGAGTTCATGAAAGTTTGATGAAAAGAAGAAGAGAGATAGAGAGAATATGAGAGATCATAATCTAAGAAGATTAGAGAGAGATTCTCATCTCTCCTTTGAGATTTGTCTCTTTAACTTGAAGTCTTAGCCTCAATGCTACCTGAGTCACCTTTATTGGTCTCAGCAGGCTCGGGGTGGCTCACACCACTGGTCATAGAAGAAGAAGAAGAGACTCCAGCAGCCACAGTTTCTGAGCCACTTGTTGTTGTGGTTATAGGTTCAATAGAGCTGGAAGAGAGAAGCTCAGTGCGTTGGTCAGATGAGGATGATGATGATGATGGAGCTAATGTGCCGAGCGAGGAGGACCCGAGAGTGTAAGGTGAGGCGGGCATGTCCGTGAGCGAAGAAGGGGATGGGCTGTAGCTTAGTGAAGAAGAGCCCAAGGAGTGGTCGAATTTGCAGGCAGGCCCAAATTTGCAAATACCGTGTTGCGCAAAGTGAGTGCATGGCACTGCGCCCTGCAAAAGTTTTATTTATTAATAGCTTTCTCTTTGATATTAGATGCATAATTGTATAGAAAGACGAATGAAACTTCAAAAAAATTTTGTCTGAAATCATGAGAAATCTACCACGGAGTTGTTTCTGTGGCGCAACAAATGAAGGTGAGAAAAAAAAAAAGCAGAGCTACATGATCACATCAAGAAACAGAGTTTTCCATTTGAACTCCTCATTAGTCATTACTAAAACTCTACTCTTGATCATGAGAATTTCATGATTAATGGCGTATAAGCTACTATATGAGACTTACGGGACGAAGTGGGAGGCCAATGTGGCTGAGGGTACTTGCCTCGGGCGATGCTGCTTCCATAGGGTGATGGAATCTGCAAGAGGATCCGAATTTACAATCTCCGGTTCTCATAAAGTATTGACATTCGGGTTGTTCAGGTCGCTGAGGAAAAGTTTGTTCCTTATTTGTAACACCGGTAGAAGATGGACCGGATTGATAGGCAGGCGCTGAAGGAGATAATGGCGTGATTCCATAAACAGAGCTGGTTCCAATTGACGGTTGAGTCCCAGGAGAAGGTATGGCACTTACAGAAGCCTATATAATTGGGATGAGGTTTATTAAGACAAGAGAAAGAAAAGTTAAAACGAATAAGGTTTCTTTCGAGCATTACCTGGTAAGGGTTCCAGCCCGAGTATGGAACCATACCGGGAGGAATAACCATTTGACCGTAACCATAAGGGCTTTGAACATAGGAGCCTGGTAAAAGCTGAGGTCTAGCTAGAACTACTCCGTATTGCTGCGATGAAGGAACGGATTGAGACTGAAGCGATGGATACATAGTTGGACCAGCAGATAACTGTTGTTGCTGCTGCGATGCAGCTTGCACACCAGGAGGGACGGGATGGTGATATCGACAGGTGGAACCGAATTTACACTGACCGGTTCTCATGAAATAGGAGCATTCTTTCTCCCCCTGTAAAATCCAATTTATAAGGTAACTTTGAGAGATCATTCATTACAATACACAACACGGAAGCAAAAAAAAGACCGATGAAACCGAGAACACGGAGAGGTTGAACAAACCGGGCGTAATGGGAATCCCATGTAATTTAGTGAGACAGGAGTAACAGAATCTCCTCCTCCTCCTCCTCCTTGTCTAGGATGGTGATACTTACAAGAAGCACCAAATTTACATGTTCCTGTCCGCATAAAATGCTGTGCCAAGAAAGCATCAAAATGAGAAAAGACTACACTAAATCACAGAGTCTTAAACACAGAACAAAGAAGATGAATTGTCTTGTGCATTGCTTAACTTAGGAACCAATAAATCGATGAATCAAATACCTGACACACAGGCTGTCCCATTCTCTCAGGGAACTCTCCAGCTTCTGTTCTGAGACTTCCCAAGACCTAAAAAAACGAAACTAACAACATCCAATGAGAGCTTCCAAACAAATTAAAATAATCCAAGATTCTGTTTCAGTGATAACAGATCGTAGATTCAATAATGCATCTGATAAATCTAAATCATCGCATTATCATCATCAAAGACACCATTTAATCAAAACGTATAGGAAGCAGACAAAAAAGGCAGTCACTTTATCAAAAAGAAAAAAAAACCCAGAAAAACAGAGAGATGAGAGAGAGAGAGAGAGTTTATTACCGGAGCACGGTTTCGTGGGTGATTGAACCGACATCTAGACCCGTACCCGCAAACACCGGTTCGTAAAAAATAGATACAATCGGGTTCATCAGGTCGCTCCGGGAACGATTCACCTCCACCTCCAGCGCCTCGCAACCCTAACCGCCACATCGAAGCTACAAACACCGCATTTTTTTAAAAAACCAACACTTTCAGTTCTGACGAAAACGCTAATCGCAGATTTAAGCCCGTAAGATCAGACATTGAAAGAAGGAGAGAAATAAAATGTATGAAACCCATTATCAACGTTACCTTCGATACCGGTTTCGGTTCCTGGAGCGGACCATTCATGTGATGGATCCGACCGTGACTCATCTTCTCCGGCGCCACCGTACCGCTCCATTTTTGTTTTACCCTAACCTTTAGCCGGAGCGGCGAAACAGAACCCACCAATGTCGAGCTCTCCGATCAAATGGGAGTGTCGGAAGAAACTTTTTTTCTTCCTGAGATTGGAGAAAGGAAGAAAAAGAAAAAAACCACAGATCGTGGTTGGTTCTGTCTCCACACCACTCTCAGTCGCTTGATCTCTTTCCTTAAAGCTGAAACTTTTTTTTTTTTTCGGCTTCGATTTTTTTTGCGAAATTTCGAAAGGAGTATTTTTTTTTATTTTTTTGGGGGATGGATTTTGGAAGAGGGATGGGGAAGTTTTGATCTTTCTTTATGCGTGCTCGCTTTTTTTGTGGGTGTTTTGCCGGTGGTGGTTAATATACGCGCCAAACATAGAATAAATGACTTCTTTCTTAATTTAATGCCTTTTATTTCTCCTTTTCCATCTATATTGATTTTCTCTGTTTCAATATTTTCTTAATCATGTTCAAAAATCACTTCATTTGATGATTAATTCGAAAATTTATATATTTTTCGGGTATATTTATCGTTCTAAATTTCATTTAGCTTAAACACGTTCTAATAAATTGTTTCTAGAAAAATTATTAAAGTAATTACGTATTTCGATGATACAAGTTATCTGTAAAGCTGTAACGGTTATATTCCGTGTTTTCGTTTAACGGTTGGTTTTTGAATTACATATGTCTTCAAACTGACGATCATATTCATCGATTCCGTCACTTTACATGATTAACAAGAAAATAAAAGAGATGGAAACTATTTTTTTGGTATATTAATCGTTTTAAACCTAATCTAGCTTAAACATGTTTAACTAATAAATGGTTCTAGAAGAGTTATTAAAAGTAACATCGTATTTCGGTGATACAAGTAATCTGTAAAGTTGTAACGGCTATATTCTGTTTTTTCGTTTAACGGTTGATTCTTGAATGACATATGTCTTCGAAATGACGATCATATTCATCGATTCCGTCACTTTTACATGATTAAGCTATCTATGTATTGTTTTAAGTTTTTAGTTAATTCAAAAAGTTTTCTTTATTTTATTTCACCGTTCATTTATGTTTTTCTATACGATTATAAGATATCACGATGTTACCAATTGAAACTAATGATCTACAATATTTTTATGTTTGTTCCTAGGAATAGTTGATGCACAATATTAGATAGCTTAACTATCTAGTCATGATATACGCTTTCATTTTATGATCTAAATTATTATAGAAGAGAAATTTTTTTTTATTAACAATCACTGTTCATATATATATAACAAGTACTGTACTTTTAGGGCTTCATTTGAACCTCAACTACTATTTTCGTTCCTTGGAGTTAATTGTAATTTCTTACCACAGTTATGACTTATTTATGGAATTCTGAAAAATCTACCAATCACCATAGGTGTGTTCACAACAAAAAAACAAAAAATATGCAATCAGAAAACAAAAAGAGAGACAGGATATAAACTTGTGTCGTCTAAAAGAGAGAAGAAATTTTTTTTTTATCTCTTATTCTCTCACTTTTTAATCATTTTATATAAGTTCAAAATTTAAGATAGAAAAAATGAAAGTAAAAGTATTATACACAGATGAAAACTAATATTAAATTTATATCTTTAATTATACTCCTGGAGTATATTTTTAATCTTTTATCACTATATTTTACGTTTTACTAGAAGACCAAAAATATACAACTCTAAAGCGTTTATGAGAGCATTAGAATTGTCATTTTCACAAATTCACTAATACTCAGTTTTGATTTTCCTTCTATGTAAAATGTTGCGTAAATTACAGTTAACCCTTTGTAAACTCGTCCCTGGAGAAACTCGAATATGCGGGTGAAGGACAAGATTGTCATTTGCCAATAAGAAATTCTGAATGCGTATGTTTTTTTAAGTCACATTTTATTATGTTTTTGTAACTCGAATATATTATGTATCAATTTCTGACTGATGTAATAATAAAAAAAAATTAGAGCTAATAGTAGTGAATTTTTTGTCGACAAAACACTAGCTAATGTTAAGATCTGTATTTTTGAGTAAAAATAATGGTATATATTCTGATGTTTTACACACAAAATATACAAATGATTGTTTATATCTTAAGAAAAAAATAGTCAAAGTTTGTAAAATAAATAAATAATAAGTTAAATAAGTCAAAGAAAACAAATTGTGTCGGCTCAAGTTGCAAATATAGCAATATGCCAATTTCTTTGTCAAAGTTAATTCATGTGTTATTAATTGATGTAACATTTTTAGTTTACTCAACTAACCATTCCATCTGCTAATTATTAGTATTTTTTTTTGTTGCTATTATTTTTAATCTTAACTGAAAACGAAAAAAAAAACTGTTTAGTCCATCGCTACTCGCTACTACACTGGTCGGAACATGATGGTCAGATCTTTGTGCTAATGTTGACCTCGGCTCATCTGAGTATATTTCTAGGTTTGATATATTATTATTATTATCTACGCCTAAGCTTTTTGACTAGTTGTGTTTGTTGAGCCTGTCTATACGTAAATTATAAGAGAATAAAATTTAGTTCTTGGCATCTGTTTCATTTTTATTAAACATGTGAACGTTCCAAACAAGACGGAAAATACTATATCTATACGAACAAATAAAAAACATTTCTACATGCATGCAAAAACTGTTAGAAAATATTATCGATAAAATGAAATAAAAGAAGGGACGATAAAAAAACGTTACCTTTTGACATATACCATGTTTTGAAAAATCGAAGAGTGTGATGATGGTCTTAATCACATTGTTTGGTTTTGGCAGTCTAAGATAAACATTAGACTTCATTTTTGAACTAAATGAAAATAAGAAAACTAATTTTGTATTATTAAACATCATCTTCGAAATGTTTATAGTTTGTCTTGATTTGGACTTAAGCTTAAATATACTTGTTTAGATAGCAAACAATCAAAATACAAAAGAACACAATATAGACTTTAAGGCAAATAAGAAAACTTGATTTGTTTTGCAACAAATAAAGAAGTTCCACGTGTTGAGAAAGAGTAGATGTAAATACGGAAAGTATTTTTCTTGCACGCTCACGCAAAGAGTGTGAATCGCACTCAACACCAAACGTTTAAGAGTCACTTCACACTAGAAACCATATTGTATACTATGGGATTGTAAATTTAATGCTTTGGATGATTGATTACAAAGGTCATCATTAGTAGTACAAATTAGTTTTTTCAAAACGGATATAAGTTTGTGGGAGTTTTTTCCCACCCCACGTTATCCTTTATTATATAAAAGAGAAGTCAGTCGGCGATTTTCGTTGCGACACGTGTCATCTTCATTTTTCATTTTTCAATTACAATTAATTGTTTTCCTTTTCTTTTCTTTTTAATAAAGGATTTCTTTTCTAGAGTTTTCTTTCTTTAATTAAAAAAAAAATCTAAAGAAAAAAAAAAGCCCACGATTTGTGTCCTCGGCTTCCCACGATCCTCTGATCAACTTCCCACCTCCATCACTTTCATCAACTGATCTTCTGGAAATCACCACATATTTAGTATAAAAATTTATATCACAGTCAATTAACACAAACGCTCCTCCTCTCAACAGGTAATTCCAATTACCCAAATCGTAAAAGTTGATCGTATTTCTCTCTGTTTTGATTTTTATCTATTCAATTGCAGGTACTACTATCTCTGCTTGCAACATGAAACTGGATTTTACACCGATTGCTCAACTAGAGTCCGTGACTGAGAACGAAATTTGGAAAATTAAAGCACGAGTTGCCCGTTTTTGGCGATTCCACAATAACGATAAGCCTGGAGATTCTGGTGGACTCGATTTACTCCTTGTGGATGATAAGGTGGAAAACAAAATTCTGGTTGTTTATGTTTATTTGGTTAAGATACTTCTGTACTTTTGTAATCCAACTTTTTCCCTTTTAATGACAGGGAGACCGTATACAAGCATGTATCAGAGGAAAATTAATTCAAAAGTTCGAAAAAGATCTCCAAGAAGGAGAATGTTGTATACTGATGAATTTTAAGTTGTCTCCTAATCTTGGGAGTTACAGGGCAACTGGACATTCTTTCAAAATCTTTTTCACTTGGTCAACAATTGTGAAGCCTTGTGAGGAAATCCCAAACCACTCACTTCGTTTCAGTTTCATCCCTTTTGATAAGCTTCAGAGACATGACGAAAACGTGTTCCTTGGTACGTGTTATCACCATCAATGTATATTTATTCAAAGTTTAGGATCTTTTTATATTCTTATGAATTTTTCCATCTTTTTGATTTTAATACAGATGTAATTGGTGAAATCGTTGGAATGAAAGATCTTAAGGAAATTACTGTTCGCAATGCTCCATGTAAACTGCTGAATCTTCAACTCAAGAGCCTTGAGTTAGTAGCTTCCAACTTGGTAATCATTCTCATTAATCTATTATGTATCTCCCTTTTAAATCGTGTTCTTATGTTTGCAGTGATTCAATAATTGATTGTGTATTTTGGGAAAAATTTGCTGAAGACATACATTCCTATGTTCAATCCTTTTCTGGTGGACCTATTGTTATGCTTTGTAGTCTCATGAGGATTAATGTTTATAATGGTAGGTTTGATCAATTGATTTTTGTCTTATTTTTTTTTTTTCCCAAAACCTACCAATCTTAGCATTGTTTCTCTTTATTGATCTTTTATCTAGGAAAATTCACAATCCAAAGTGCAAAATCGTCAACAAAGCTCTTCATTAATTCTGACATTGCTGAGATAAACGAATTCAAAGAAAGGTAACCACAATCGTCTCTGCGTTTATGTGTAACATCTTTTAGTTTATGTGTAATATCTTTTTAAATATATAATAGGATGCCTAAAGATGTCGTCTCTGCCACATCCAGTGGTTGCTCTATTTTGACTTTGTCAAACTCTAAAGAAGTTTCCTCGCATCACTTTTCATTAGATTCTCGCAAAACTATTGCTGAGCTACTTACATCACATGAGGTTAGCTATATTCTTTAATGTTCTCACATATTTGTATATATAATACTAATTACACAAATTTTTTTATTTTGTTTTCATCTTTATCTCAGGAAATGACGTGTTCTATATATGCAACAATATGTGCACTTAAAACTGAGATTCCTTGGTTCTACATCGGTTGTCCAACATGTTTAAGAAAAGTAAACCAATATTTGAATCCAGATACTGAAGAAATAGAGGCTGATAAATTTTCATGTGACCTCTGCCAAAAAGTTGTTGATTCCACTGTCACAAGGTTTTTCATTCATCATTATGCTTATATTTTGCTATATAATTTACCAATATAATTGATAATTTATATAAAAAAATTTCACAGGTACCAGGTTCATGTTAAAGTAGTCGATGATACAGGAACCATTTCTTTTCTTATGTTTGACAAGGAGGTCATTCAACTGATTCACAAATCTGCGTATGAGTTGCTAGAGCAACAAGTTCAGGTAAACTTCATTCTCTATATTCATCTTTTGTCTCCTATTTTTAATGGTAAATGATTTCTACCATTATTGCAGTTCAACCGTGGGACTCAATTTCCTCCTGAACTCCTAGCTTTAGATGGTCGCCAGTTTGTCTTCACGGTTTTCAAACCTTCGACAACAAAAAATTATAGACCGGCCACTTATAAAGTTGTTAAAATCACGGATGACCCCGCGAAACTTTTGATGTTTTGTGGTGCCAATAACAACACGGTATGGATGATAGAATTTCTCTGTTTTATCTTGCACTTATACATTTCGTTTGTCTTAATTATTTTACAAAATTTCCATGTAGGCTAATCCTCCTGCTATTGATTCTCAATTCTCAAACTCCACAGAAGTCACTAGCAACATGGTATGGCCTTCTTCTACTTTAGTCTTGATGGTTGTGTTTCCCGTCACTTTAGCAATCTATGTTCTGTTTTTGTCAGATGGATGATGCCTCTTTCGAAGCGTCTAACAACGAGTCGATGTGTGGTTCGACGGAAAGTCCACTTACTCCAAGCAAAAAGCGAACATTTACTTTAGCAATAACGTCATCTGCAACTGAGGATGGTGGTGCACAACTTTCATCAAAGATACAGAAATCAAATGTTGTGGTTATAACTGAAGAAGACGCTGGACAACTCTCATCAACAAAGCCTAAACTAAGGTCAACCATGGGTGTAATTGAGGATGATGGTGCAAATCTTGCATCAACTAAGCCTAAAGAGAAGTCAAACAAGGCTGTAATTGAGGATGATGGCGCAAACCTTTCATCAACGAAGCATATACAAAAAATGCCAGCGACTCTAATTCCAAAGAAAGAGAAAATGTGATGATTACTCTGTTTTGTTTTTCTTTTTAACCAAGTATCGAAAGCTTTCGATCAATTTTCATGTGTTTCCTTTATCTAAATGTTTTGTATATTTCTACTTTCAGCAAAAACATATAATTAAGTTTTATATTTGTTTAACTTTTTTCTTAATTATGATTTTGTCCTATATATCATGTAGCAGAACCAAAACAAACACTTAAGAGTTAAGACAACTTATAATTTCGTATAACCATATTCTAAGGTCAATTAACGTTTTATATTTAATTCCAATCTGCAAATATTTGATGATCTTTTCAGTTATTTGCAACTCAAGTAGATGTTATACTTCTAAAATAACTTTAAAAATTATGTATTTTTGTGTGTGTATAAATATGTACTTAAGCAAAATTAAATACAATGACAAAATACACTTTCTTTTTACGTTATTGAGGAAAAGAATCTCTCAAATATTAGTCTACCTAAATAACGTAAACACATGTCAACTCCACTAATGACACTTTAAAATAATGATTTTTTTGGAGGGACTTGAAATTAATTCAAAAAATAACTGTTCGAGACAAATCGTTCTTCCTTGCTTTGTTTCTTTACCTTCCCCACCTTTCTTCTATTTTCTTCCATGTGAAGCATTTTCTTATCCCTTCAGTTATATTTCAAACCTGCAAAAGTTCACTCATTTCTTCTCATTACTAACTCCTCACGAACCTCCTTGACTCATAAATATTTACAAAACATTCAGAAATGCGTAGTCCCAAAAGAAAAGGCAAGATCAAAGAGAAAACAATCCACAAAAATCTAGGTAAAGTTATGAAACTCATTGCAATTCTATAATCATTAGAACTGCTCTTAAAATTTTAATGAACCCATTTGTTGGTATGCTCTTATGATCTTAGCAGAAGATATCCACTCAAGAAGTGAACGGATGCGCATTTTGAGAGACAGGAAGAAGAATGCTAAACCAAGAGTATCATGTATAACTCTTACTATCAACTAAGCTTTATATCTAATAAGTTAACTATTTACCAAAATATACTATTCATCAATTTCAGCTCATTCGGCAAGCTCTAGCCAGCATTCTATTCCAACTTATTCAGAAACTACCATTCCAAACCCAGGTACTTAACTAAAACAAATTCTGGTCGCAAATATGGATTAGTGTTCCTACGTTTCACATATTCAATTAATTTACCTTTCTCACAGATTACGAAGATCTTGGCGATCCAACATTTCAATGTGAACATTGTGGTGCTTTGATGTGGTACAATGAGCGTATTAATAAAAGAAGAGTTTCTGTACCTCCAAAATTCTCCATTTGTTGTATGCATGGAAAGATAGAACTTCCTGCACCTCCTATGTTGCCTCAAGCACTTCTTGATCTTCTCTTTGGAGATGACGACCTAAGCAAAAATTTTAGAGAGAATATTAGAGCTTACAATTCAATGTTTGCATTCACTTCCATGGGAGGAAAAATTGACGCATCTATCAACACAGGACGTGGGCCCAATGTGTTTCGATTAATAGGTCAAAATTTCCATAAGATTGGAAGTTTACTCCCTCCAGATGGGGCACCTCCAAAATTTCAACAACTCTACATATTTGATACAGTCAATGAAAATGTCAACAGAATTTCAGCATTCAGGTATATTATTGTACCCTTATTACATGGTAATATTTCACTTCATAGATATGATATTATATGCTCTAATTCTGTCTATAATTGCAGTGAGAAAAGAACAACACCAAGTTCTGAGTTAAAAACATTGCGGGATGACATTGTGGAAGCAATCAAAATTATGCTAAACGAGTGCAATCCATATGCAAAGATTCTTCGAACCGCAAGAGATCGTTTTGGAGATTCGTTAGAATCCTCAAAAGTCAAAGTTAAGTTGATTTCACGTCGTTCAACTGATAGTAACACATATAATATGCCTACAAGCTCAGAAGTTGCTGCACTTTTGGTTGATGATTTTGATGAAAATTTTGAGGTAAGAGATATAGTGGTGGAAACAAAGAGCAAAAATTTGGCAAGAATCAGTGAACTTCATCCGGCTTATCTTCCTTTACAATATCCACTCTTATTCCCATATGGAGAAGATGGATATCATATTGATTTGCAGCTAAAGAAGACAACGACTACATCAGAAAATCCAAGAAGTAGAGTCAGTATGAAGGAGTTTTTTGCATATAGAATCATGGAACGTCCCAACCAATTGAATGTTTTACAACATTCTGGAAAGCTATATCAACAATTTCTGGTTGATGCATTCACAATGATGGAAGCAGAGCGAATTGGATATCTCAAGCTTAATCAAAAGACTTTGCGTGCAGACAAATATAGCAATGTTTCAGCCTTTGCTTCTACTGGAAACAAAGATTCTGCAATGTGCGGAAAAAGAGTTGTCTTACCTTCAACTTTTGTGGGAAGTCCAAGATACATGCATGAAAAGTATATGGATGCAATGGCTGTTTGCTCACACATAGGCTATCCAGATTTGTTCATAACTTTCACTTGCAATCCAAAATGGCCTGAAATTACGAGATATCTAAATTTGCGACGTTCACATGCAGAAGACAGGGCTGATATTCTTTCACGAGTATTCAAGATGAAGTTAGATAGTCTTATCTTTGACATAAAAAACAACAACCTTTTCGGTCCTGCTGCAGCAGGTAAATTCATTTCATGTTCACTAACATGAGTATTTTGTCTCTTCCATTATTCTAATGAAATCTTTTGTATTGAACAGTGATATATACAATCGAATTCCAAAAAAGAGGACTCCCGCATGCCCACATTCTGTTGTTTTTAGAACGAGGATCAAAATTTCCTACTACGAAGGACGTAGACAAGGTTATATGCGCTGAAATTCCAGATCGATCTTCTAATCCAGTGTTATATGGTTTAGTTAGAGATTTAATGGTTCATGGTCCGTGTGGGTTAGCAAATCCAAGCTCGCCATGTATGGTTAAAGGAAAGTGTACAAAGAAATTTCCTAAAGACTTCTGCACTGACACACATGTCAATAAAGATGGATTCCCAGTTTACAGAAGAAGAGAGGATGGTAGATCGGTTGAAAAAAATGGGATTGAGCTTGATAACCGATATATCATTCCTTATAATCCACAACTACTCCTCAAGTACCAAGCGCATATAAATGTCGAATGGTGCAACCAGACAAGAGCAATCAAGTATTTGTTCAAATACATGAACAAAGGAAATGATCGAGTAACTGCGAAACTACTACGAGAGTCGGCAACAAAAGCAACAAATGAGTCGGAAAGTTCTGAACAAACGTCTGAAACTCCAGTAGTAGACGAAATCAAGCGTTTCCATGATTGTCGGTAAGTTTATATAACATCATGTCATTAACTATATAATATTATTTTATATTATACGAATAACATGTAGTTTACGTTTGTTTTTCTAACTATTTGATAGGTATATATCACCATGTGAAGCAGCATGGAGAATATTTGGGTTTGAGATACATTACAGCAGCACCTCTATTCAAAGGTTGTCTTTCCATTTACCAGGAGAACAAAACGTCACATACGATGACGAAGATGATGTAGATGATGTATTGACAAAAGAGGGAAATCAAACATCACAACTTTTGGAGTGGATGAAGATGAATGATCGGAACCCAGATGCAAGGAAGTTAACGTACATTGATTTTCCAACAGCCTTTGTATGGAAAAACTCACCTAAACAATGGACTACACGTGAACGAAAATTTTCAACCGTTGGTAGAATCCATTACATATCACCGTCTGCGGGTCAGAAATTCTACATGAGGATCCTTTTGAACGTAGTTAAGGGAGCAACTTGCTTTGAAGATATACGTACCGTTGATGGAATTGTGTATAAAACCTACAAGGATGCTTGCTATGCTCGAGGTCTACTTGACGATGATAAAGAGTACATTGGAGCAATCACTGAAGTCAGCAAATGGGGGTCGGGCTTTCACCTACGACGAATATTCACTTATCTTTTAGCTTCAGAAAGTTTGTCACGACCTCACCATGTTTGGTTAGAAACATGGAATTTGCTTGCGGACGGCATTTTAGATATGCAACGAAGAATCCTACAACGACCAGGTTTGAGAATATTAATGAGATACAAAAACTATCTTACACCTAATTTCCTACACTTACCAGCAATCTAGATAAATTATTGTGTCACTGCTAATTAGTTGCCTTATGTTTTTCAAATTTCAGGACTAGAAATGTCAAGTGATCAACTAAAAAATCAAGTTTTATTAGAGATTGAGAAGCAGTTGCGCTCGAGTGGAAATACTCTAGAGAACTTTCCTGAAATGCCATTTCCTGAGAACAGTAATGTCCCATCAATGAGCAATAGATTGATAAATGACGAGCTGTGTTATGACAAAGACGCATGTGCTAAAGAACATCAAAGATTGTTGCCTAGATTGACGCTCGAACAGAAAAGTATATATGACACTATTATGGAAGCTGTTGTAACAAGTTCTGGCGGTGTTTTCTTCGTCAGTGGGTTTGGAGGAACAGGAAAAACATTCCTTTGGACGACTTTGTCGACATACATCCGTTCAACTGGAGCTATCGTCTTGAACGTAGCTTCGAGTGGAATGGCAGCTCTACTGTTAGATGGAGGACGAACAGCTCATTCTCGGTTTATAATACCATTGCAGCTGAATGAAAGTTCCACTTGCACATTTACCCCAAATAGCGAGCTAGCTGAATTGGTTCTGAAAGCTAAGTTAATCATTTGGGATGAGGCACCAATGTTGCACAGGCATTGTTTTGAAGCTGTTAATAGAAGTTTGAAAGATGTTCTAAGAGCATCAAAGGCTCCGAACAGTGATAGGCCATTTGGTGGGAAGACTATAGTTTTCGGGGGTGATTTTCGTCAAGTGCTTCCTGTAATTCCTAGGGGGAGTAGGGAACAAATTGTACAAGCTTCTCTCACCTCTTCTGTGCTGTGGAGTTCTTGCAAAGTGCTTAGTTTAACAAAGAATATGCGGCTAACTGTTGATACAGATCCTGTAGAAGCTGAATCCATCAAAGAATTCTCCCAATGGATTCTAAAACTAGGTGATGGGAAGCTATCTGTACCGAATGACGGCGAAGCAGAGATTGATATACCAGATGACATGCTTCTCATGGACTCCCTTGACCCAATCACGTCAATCACCAATGCCACCTATCCATCATTGATAGAACATCTAGAAGATGAGAATTATTTTAAAGATCGTGCAATATTATGCCCTACAAATGAAGTTGTCGACGAGGTCAACAATCATATCATGAATCTTCTTCCGGGAGAATTTAAGGAATATTACAGTTCTGATCAAATCTTGCAATCAGATTCCAGCCGAGCCAGAGATAAAGGAATCTCAGTTGAATTCCTTAACTCCCTTAAGTGCGCAGGAGTACCAAACCATGTTCTAAAGTTAAAGAAAGGGGTTCCAGTTATGCTTATAAGAAACCTTGACCAGAAATATGGTTTGGTCAATGGAACTAGGTTGCAGGTAACACAGTTAGGAACTCATGTCATTGAAGCAAAAATTATTACTGGAAACGATGTTGCAGGTAACACAGCTGGGAACAGAGAAAGCAATGTTGGCAAGAAAGTCTATCTTCCGAGAATGGTTCTTACACCTACAGATGCCAAATTGCCTTTTCGATTTCAACGAAGACAGTTTCCAATTTCACCGTGCTTTGGAATGACAATTAACAAAAGTCAAGGTCAGAGCTTATCTCATGTTGGAATCTATTTACCAAAGCCGGTTTTTGCTCATGGTCAACTATATGTTGCTGTCTCAAGAGTTAAAAGTAGAAAAGGATTAAAGATCCTTATAATTGACGAGGAAGGCAAGCGAGCAAAGAAAACAACAAATGTTGTATATAAAGAAATTTTTCAAAATTTCAGCCAAGTTTGACAAATCTTCAGGTAATAACTTTATTATCATCATTCACCTTTGCAAAATCTTATCTTCTAACAGTTATCATGCTATTTTCAGGTACATATGTGAACGACTTTAAAAGCATCTTGAGCTTCATGAATTTAATATTCAGCCTGGTTTTATGCTTATGAAGTGATACTTTCTACAAATGTTATTCTAAACGAATTTGCTTTCTTTGGAGTTAATTAGGATGTACAATATATGCTTTGTGTTCATGGTTCTTTTACTTAGAGAGTTAAAGATCTATTGAATTTGATGTGTGAGTTCATTCAACAATATACACAACAAATCAAAATCAAAGTCAGATAATTGCAGTACCGATATAGATAAATTAAATTAAATAGGATCAGATTTGGGGATTGAAACGAAGTGACCATTATGGTATCAAATTTTATACACTAAAGCAAAATAATTTGTGGCATAGTGAACATTACCGAAATCAGATGCGGAGATTGAAAAGAAGGTCTCTAGATATCACCGGCCATATATCGAGCTGCACCCAGATTTGCTTACATCTTTCATCTCTTCGTGAGGATATGTGTAGATCGGACGAAATCGAACCTTTTTTTCCTCAGAAATCGAACTGCAACTAGATCACTTTTTGTTTTCTGAGACTCTCATCAAAATCGAGCTGCACTTAGATCAATTTTTTTTTTCTCTGAGAACGCCGACGAGATTTTGGTTTTAAGATAAGAGAGAGACCAAACTTTAGTCAAGGAAGGAGCTGTGCTGGAAAGTAAAAACTTACTTTTCTTTATTTTTAATAAAATGAAAATAATTCTTTTGCTCCTGCGTTCACATTATGACTCTTATGAAACTCTCTATTTAATTAAAAAAATGTTGACTTTTATTAACAACCACACGTTAGGTTTTTGTGCTATAGTGTTTGTAATGTTTTCTCCCTTCATCTTTTTCTATGTTCAATTATATTATCTTAATTTTTAGATTTTTAATTAACTGAAATACATTACATATGATGAAGCCCGTGCATAGCACGGGCCAAAATACTAGTATACTTATATTTGTAGAGTTGGATTTTACATTTTTGGTATGTGGAGAAGTATAGGTCACAACCAATGAATTTTGTTGGGTATAAAAGCAAAACAAATAAAAATATGTTTATGGTTAATGATTGAAGCGCGTGAATTTAAGCCGCATGGAGGATTTGTGTTGGGGCAAAGTGAGTATTGACTTTTAGATCACTTAAAAAGGCGACACTGTAATTTGATCAATCCAACGGCTATAAAAGGCATTGGTCTGAATATCAGACGGCTGAGATTCTCTGTGTGCTCAACTGCTGGACAAACGAATAAGACGTCTTCACATACTTGGCGACTTGGCTCAGTAGGTAAAGACAATTCAACTCTAGATTAAGAAAAAAATATCAATATTATTATGTGAATAACCAAAATTCCAAATCACTATACTACGAATATTAGTTCAATTCATGGTGCATTTATAAACATGGTTTCATGAGAGGCTTGACAAATTATAAATATTATTATTATGTTTTTTTTTTTTTATGGAATGAATAAAAATGGAATTAGAAGGTTTGACTTGGAGAGGAGGTATTGGCCACATGTGAGCAGCTTTTAGAGATTTTGTGTTATTCACCCAAAGATCTTTTTAGACCATAACATTCGTATCCTCCTCATCTACCAAATGTCGGCGAGGTCATTTTTTGTTTTAGGACAGTGTGTTTTTTTTTTGACACTTCTTTTTTGTTTGTTTGTTAAAGCTCGGACCATGACATCTTTAATTTGCGCCATAATATATTATATGCTAAAGTACTTGAACTATATTAGCAATCAAAATACTCATGTTTTAAGTAAATTTTAATTGTGATTTTGTATACTAAGCAATGAATAAAAAAACACTTTATAGAGCTTACCAAAAAAAAAAAAAAACACTTTATAGAGGTTTATACTGTTGTGATTTAAACATTGCAGGACACACAAAATAAACGTGTTTTTGTACTGGCTGACCTGTGAATTACTCTTTTAATGCTGAACAACTTTAAAATCTCTAAGAAACATACTTTTAAAAACGACTGACAAAAAAGAGATTCAAAACTCATCATGTAGACAAGAAATAAACGAATCTAAGAAAATCATAGGAATTTAGTAATTTACTGTTTCTGTTTGTTCTCTCCCTGATTTATAATTATTGTGTTTACTCTTGTCCCTTTGAAGTAGGACACACACTTATACCCATGAGCTCTGTTAGATAAAATGTTCCTGCAATGAACTTATGCAGATCATTACTAATTGGAACTTGTCTCATAACTAGCAACACAAGCATTTGATCTTTAACCAAAATACAAATTTCAGATCCATGAAGCTATTCGTTCTAAAATCACAATCAACTCCAGTCTCAGATTTAACCGAATAAAGCCGGAGAAATCTAACCGACATAAAGAAGAAAGATTATCATGCTAATCTTTAGCTAACCATCGGACTAACAGATTCTTTGGATCAAACAGATACCAGTGATTGAGTTTGTTCTTCTAAAGTCCCTGTTAAACCATCTTCATCAAATATGTGACCAGTAATGTATAGCCAGAAAAAGGAAACTAAAGCTTCAACTTCTTATTGGGTCTCTTTAACTTGGCATCTTCATCGACCGTGATCTGTTGCTTTCACAAAAGTTTTCCACACACAGATATGAGCAACGGAATCCAGAAAGTAACGTATAAAGACTTTATAAAAATCTGTGACGGGAAAACGAAAAGCAAGTAGAAAGATGAGATAAGGTAAAAGGGAGTGAGGGAGATAACCTTATGCTTTTTGTTTTTCTTCTTCTTTTTCTCATCTTTTTTCTTCTTTGCGTTTTTCTTCTTTTTCTTTTTGTTAAGCTTAGTGTTCTCTATCTTATCGTCATCAGAAGATACCTAAAACATGATGACGAAGGCGTAAGAACTGGTCAGCAGAACATATTCTACAAGTTTTATTCCCTGTCCAGATAGAATGAAAGAGAGTACAGAGAATTAGATACCTCGACGTCTTCGAATGAAGCAACGTGTTGGATTCTCCTTCCTGAACTCGAAGCCCCACCTGAAACCAGAAGAGTATCATACAGATTACGCCTTCACATTCATACACCAAAGCTTAAGGAAAATATCATGAAACCATATATATTCCCCAATAACATAACCGATACAGTATTGTTTTTGTCCATATGGATTGGCTCAGATAAAAGCAAATCTCTCCATGTCAGTGTGGTATGTTGCTTTCACCGACCATATAGGAATAACATGATTATTCAAAACTTTGAAGTGAGCTAAACTTAGTCGACAATTACAATGAACTTATAGTGTGAAAAAGTTTCGGGCAAATAGTCACTATGTAATCATTTAACGAATGCTACATATGCTTTCCAAACCCTCTTGAAGCTACTTTTAAATTGAGTAAACACCCATGGAATGCATCAATGCACAATCTTCATTTGCAATGATGTAGTGAAATTCCAATGCCATATACATCTCCTGCACTATCATGATCTTTGAAAAAAATTCTACGCAAACTTCTGGCCAAACTTATAATTGATGCTACACATTGTTTCTACTGACCTATCCCACTTTTCATAGTTCTCCTCCACCATTAAAGCTGAAGGTTAACCGTTTGTTATAGGTTCTTCTGTATTCCTTAACTTGAACTGAGGAGCTACAATTTCAGAAGAACTTGTCCCTAGCTCTCAACCCTAGTGCCCAACCAAAATACTTGAAAAATCCAGGATACGAACCAGATGTGATTCTCTCTTTATTCACTCTCTGAATCAATTACAGAAGACTAACTGAAACAAATAACCAAAGATAGAACCCTGGGGTGAATTCTAGAACACCCTAAACTCTCATCACCCCAAAACAAGATCCTAAATCACCTCAACTCATTCCTCTAGCTCCCCTTTAAACCTTCAGCTGTCAACTAACAGAATCTGTTAAACAGATAACGCAAAACTAAACTTCCTTGCACCACCCGTACGCTAGTTACAATAGTCCTGCATTGGACTTAACAAGAACACCTTATCAATACCTCAACAAATTTATCGTAGCACCTTAGCTCTCAGCTAATGCTGAGCTATCAACCCATGACAATAATCTACAAAATCTTTTAGGCTAATTACATGGTCCTCTACACTAACAAGAAAAGCCTCATACCCACAAAAGATGTCACAGGACAATGCAAGTGCCATCTTTCAAATGCCTAAGCCTCTCAAACAAACAAATCCCTTTTCATTCCTATACCAAATTACAAACCTTTAGGCCAAACATTATCAAGGAAATGTGTATTATAAAGTACTCACTCGAAATAACAGTGTCTTTGGCGTTTTTGACGGCCAATTCGACAAGAGCTGGATCAATGGAAGCATTAGGATCTTGCAGCTTCCTCTCTAGAAACTTTGCTAAAGCCGCCGCTTTATTCGTCTTCAAGGGTCCACCTGGATGAGCCAATCTATATACATAACAACATCCAGTAAAATCAGAATTTCAAATTCGAGAAGAAGGAAACGAAAACCCTAAGGAGTGATGAAAAAAAACCTGGGAGGCTTAGAGCGAGAAGACGAAGGAAGAGAAGTAAGAGGAGCGAATTTGCTTCCTCTGAGAGCTCTCTTCTCATCTTCTGTCAGCTCCTCGTCAATGGCTCCTCCTCCCATTCCGATTTCCGTCGGCAAAAATATTCTCCGTCACCGAAACTTTGACGGCCGTCTTGATATCTTTTTTTTTGAAATTTAAATTAAGAGATATTTATGAAATAGAAAAAAAGTTTTAATTTTAAAATACAAACAAAATAAAGCAACAGGCTAAAACGGCGTCGTTTCAGGAGAAAAGACGGCGTTTGTTGGCCGTGCTTTTTGTTTTTCAGGTCGCCGAGGTTGATCGGATCCGGATCATTAAACGTCTCTCTTGCTCCAAGAAAGAAGGATGAGAGGTGAAGCAAGTGACCTTTGCTTCGATTGCCTCGATCAACGTATCAACTCTGACTTCTCCGACCAGATCGTCTTCTCTTACGGCGTCTCCGATTCGCCGCTACCTTTTGGATCATCCGCCGTCGTTGAGGTCTCCCTCTCACTAGTCATAATTTTGAATTGTAGATTTCAATGGTGGAAGTATTTGTAATTAGAGTTGCTTTGAATGGTGTTTGTGTAGGTTTCTGACTGTAGCGAGGAATCTTCTGCTTCTTCTTCTTGTGAATCCACTTCGTCTCAGTTCATTGTGGAGTATCTCCGGAAAGAAGAACATGGTTGCTTAGCTAACTACGTGTACGGTCTCGTTTATGTTCTCCTTAGGCTAAAAGACTTGAATCTATCAATATTTGTGGTTGAGCAGATTATTCTTTTTTCTTGCAGCGATAGATGTGTTGTTGGGGATCGAGAGGGTGGAAATTCAAACGATGCTGTTGAAACTGATGAGTGTTTGGATTGTTCACCCAGTGTCTCTCAGGCTACTGCTGATGATGATGACACAGAGAACATTACTTGTGGAACTATAGCTGCACTTTTACCAATTGTTCAGATTAGCAAATGTTCTGCATCTGAACTTCAAAAGGTTGCTTCTAGTTTCCTTTATGAGTGTACAGAAGATCAAATTTTAGCCTCTTTAAATCGCCTGATTACTGGAAAGTCGTCTGGACAAGAAGCCCATAGTTTCCTTCGTCTTCTTGGGTTACCGCTGTCAGAAGAGAAAAGAAAGCTTCAATGTATTAGGCATCCAAACCTATCGCCGGTCTTAGGACTTCTGACATCATCAGATTGTTTGGTCTCAGTGCTCCCCAAAGCCCCGTATACATTGGAAAATATTCTTTACTACAGCCCCAGTGCTATAAAGTCAGAATGGCATAGAAATTTTATGATATATCAGCTATTGTCTGCGTTAGCTCACTTGCATGGGTTGAAGGTTTCGCATGGGAGCATTTGTCCGTCAAGCATATTGTTGTCTGATTCATTATGGAGTTGGTTAAAGATCTATAGCAAGCCTGATTTAGGTTCTGGAGATGCCGATTCATCTGCTTCAAGAAGAAGCTGGTGTGTTGAGGATTGTTATTCATATGGCCTTTATGCTGATCTTAAAATTTCTTCACATTTGGACTGGCAGACTCACTTTGATAAATGGTGGAGGGGAGAGCTAAGCAATTTTGAGTATTTACTCGTCTTAAACAAACTAGCAGGTCGAAGGTGGGGGGACCACACATTTCATCCGGTAATGCCATGGGTCATAGATTTCAGCAAGAAACCTGAAAATGATAGTGACTCAGGATGGCGTGATTTAAGAAAAAGCAAATGGAGATTGGCAAAAGGAGATGAACAATTAGATTTCACCTATTCGACTTTTGAATTTCCGCATCATGTTTCAGATGAATGTCTGTCTGAGCTGGCTGTTTGCAGCTACAAAGCAAGGAGACTGCCACTGAGTGTCCTGCGAAAGGCAGTTCGGTCGGTGTATGAACCTAATGAGTATCCCTCTGACATGCAAAGGCTTTATGATTGGACCCCTGACGAGTGCATCCCTGAGTTTTACTGCGATCCCCGCATCTTTTGCTCCCTTCATCCTAGTATGTCTGATTTGGCTGTACCTCCATGGGCAAACAGCCCCGAGGAGTTCATTAGGTTGCATCGAGATGCCCTGGAAAGCCCCCATGTTTCATCTCTAATACATCACTGGATTGATATTACTTTTGGTTACAAAATGTCAGGACAGGCTGCTATTACTGCAAAGAATGTTATGTTGTCTTCATCTGAGCCCACAGTACCGAGGTCAGTTGGACGCCGTCAACTCTTTTTCCGGCATCATCCGGTGCGCCTTGGTTTCTCCCGCGAGAAGGAACAAAGTAGAAATGAGCTAGAAATGCATACATTTCATGGCTTTGGTGTGGACAACAAGAGGTCCGTCATTCTCCAAGCTGATGAGTATCTGGAAGAAACTGAAGAGGCATCTGCATTTTCTGATCATGCAGCACATCTAAGTCCGAAATATCACCTTCATGAAAACCTGGTTGAGTCTCCTTTGCATGTATCTTACAGTGAAAACGCTAACAAAGTAAATACTAGTCTCCCTGGAACTTCAAAAAACAAAGGTTTATCATCAAGGATAAGTTTGAATTATCTTTTGGAGCATATGGAGGTGAGAGACGAAGCATCGACTGAACTTCAGGAGTTGTTACAATGGCGGAAAGATTTCTGCACAGGAAACTTTTCCAAGGACATTGCAGGGGATATTTTTTCTATTGGCTGTGTCCTGGCAGAACTTTATTTGATGAAGCCGCTATTCAACTCAGTGTCTTTGGCTAATTATTTAGAAGGTGGTGAATTACCTGAATTGATCAAGGAACTTCCTCCTCCTACTCAGGTACTTGTCGAAGCATGTATTGAACAAGATTGGAGAAGGTATTTTTTCTCACTCTTTTTGGGTTAAACCCTGGTCTTCTTTGATACTTCACTGTGTTTATGACTGTGTGGTATGTGCTGATAAAAAACGTGTAGTAACACGTTTAGTGTTTTTTTAGATGTGTGAATGTCTAATTACTCTCTCTTCCTTTCAAAACATGCAGGAGGCCCTCAGCAAAGAGTCTTTTGGACTCTCCGTATTTCTCAGCTACAGTGAGGTCAGCTCACTTGTTTGCTGCTCCACTTCACCTTTTGGCCAAAGGTCAAACACGCTTGTGTTATGCTGCAAGTTTTGCCAAACAGGGCGTCCTGAAAGCAATGGGAACATTTGTGGCAGAGATGTGTGCTGTGTACTGTTTGCCACTGGTCACAACACCTTTATCTGACGACGAGTGTGAATTGGCTTATGTAGTTCTCAAGGAATTTACAAAATCTTTGACACCAATGGCTGTGCAGAGACTTGTCTTGCCTTCTATCCAGAAGATCTTACTGGTATGCTTGGTTCCTGATGGAATTTGTAAATCTAAACTTCTGTGTGGTTATAGTATCAACATCTTGTTAAGCTCAATTAATGTCTTCTGACAGAGTATCATATGTTAGACCACAGGTTACTCGCATTTGAAAGTTTCTCTTCTTCAAGATTCGTTTGTGAGGGAATTATGGAATCAAATTGGAAAGAGAGTATATCTTGAAATGATTCATCCTTTAGTCATATCAAACTTGTATAATTCTCCGGACAAGATCTCGGCTTCTGCAGCCTCTGTGCTTTTGATTGGTTCGAGCGAAGAGCTTGGTGCCCCTGTTACAGTACACCAGGTCAACAATGATTTCCTGTTCTTGTCCTGCACTCATTTATATGTCCTGCACTCATTTATATATATATACTTTTCATCGAGCATGTTAAGTGATTCTAAAATTTCTTATTTGGATGCTGACTTGTCCTTTAATACAGACTATACTGCCTCTGATAAGTTACTTCGGAAAAGGAATATGTACTGATGGGATTGATGTGCTGGTTAGAATTGGTACACCCTATCTGTTGGTTCATGCAACTAAGCTCTACCTGGAAATTTCATATCTAGCTAAATAATTGTTGTATTGTTAACTTTTCAGGGAGACTGTTGGGCGTGAACTTCATTGTCAAACAGATGCTGCCATTACTTGAAAATGTTGTTTGCATCTGTATTGATCTTTCTTCTATGAAAAAACCAGAGCCTGTTCGTAGTTGGTGTTCTTTAGCGCTGACTGATTGCCTAATCACACTCGATGGTCTAGTTGCTCTTATATCAGACGAGTTGCTCATACATGAGCTGACCAAAGTATGTTTTAAAATTTTCTCTGTCTATCTTTACTAGCTTTACGTTAAACCCTAATGTTTTTGTTCTGTTGTTGTGGTTTGTCTTATCATCACATAGGGTAGGTTGTGCCTACATGTAAGAGTTCTTATGCAGAAAAATCTGGAGTTGCGGGTCCTTCAGGTATTCTTGATTTTCATTTTCTTTTTATTTACCAGTAACTTTGAGGGAAGGATAATGATGTATAATCAAGATGTACGACCTGGTTTAAGTTGTCATTGAGTGTCTCACTCTAAGTGGTGAAAAAAGATTGACTTGAAAAAAAGAAGATTTATCTTAATCTTAAGGGCTCTGTTGTGAAATATGTTCTATTGGTATTTTCATTATTAGGCATGCATCAATCCCTTATTTATAAATGGATCCATCATGGCACACCTCCGTAATGCTCATTGCAAGCATGGAAAGCCTTTTTAACATTTGATTTTCTTTTAAAATGTTGCTTTCTCCAATTTTCCAGTTTGCTGCAACTTCCCTGATGTCAATTTGCCAGCGGATTGGACAAGAGATGACTGCATTGCATGTTCTTCCGCAGTTGAAGGAGCTTTTTGATGAGTTTGCTTTCTCTGAGAAAAGTGCAGATGCATCTGACTCTTTAAGCTGGAAGATCAGGACTGCCGAACAAAATTTCCATCCAGAATCTCCAATCAAAAACCGTATGGATCTTGTGTGCGTATTTCACCTGAATCATCTGTTTATAACTTTTTTGTATGATTCCGTTTATGTCCTAACGTTATAGGAATTACAGGCTGCTTCTCTATCCTTCTTTTGCCTCACTTCTTGGTATGGAGAAATTACGCCAGAATTGTCCAACCTGGCTACTCCTTGAGCAATATCTGCTAAAGCATCATAACTGGAAGGTATCCTGTCATATATAGAACTCTGGGTTTCTGTTGCTTTAATACTATTATCTAATATACAGAATTCCATAAGAGCTATAGACATGTGTCACTGAATCTATTGTGATTCAGTGGGAATACACAGGTCGATCTTCTAGATACAGTATGGAAGCTAAGCCTGTGTTAAAAAAGGGCCCTGCATCTAAGCACACTCCTAAGATGTTGCTCAATGGATCTGGACGGTCGGTTCCCCAGTTGCAGGGGTTAAGAAATTCCAATCACTTAAAACCTCATATACATGTCCCAGTTGAAGGACAAGAAGCAGTCCTAAACCCTTTGGTGCATGAACCCTGGTCATGGTTTCCTAGTCCAGTAGCTTGTTGGGATGGGATTGACATTGGGCGTTTTGGAAACCCCAAAGATGAGCATCGATGGAAAATTAGAGCATCTGTTTTATCTTCTGCGCGTGCCTATCATGGAGCTCTAAGATCTTTAGTGGTTTCTGAAGATGAGTGTACAGTTTTCGCTTCAGGAATTGATCCAGGGTTTAAGGGAAGTGTTCAGAAGTGGGAACTAGCAAGCTTAAGTTGTGTATCTAGTTATCATGCACATGAAGAGGTTGGTTCCTTGTATTATTTTAGCTTTCGTACGATAAGCGCATAATTACTCTTTCCCATAAAATAGGAAGTATGCACCTAATTGTTTCTTGTATATTTTAGGTTGTTAATGACATCAGTATTCTGTCATCCACCGGAAAGATAGCATCTTGTGACGGAACTATACATGTGTGGAATAGCCAGACCGGGAAACTAATATCTTTGTTCTCTGAGTCACCTTCGTATCAAGATCAAACTTCCTCATATCTGCCATCAAAGAATAATTCCAATCAGTGTGATAGAATTGCATCACACGGATTATCAAGTGGGATTTTCGATGAGAACTTGTATACATGTATGCATTATCTAGAATACATGGATCAGCTTGTTGCTGGAACCGGATTCGGTGCCCTCAGGTAAAATAGTATCCATCACACTAAAAAAATCAAAACAATTGAGCATTAGAGATAATATGCAACTATTTTGGTCAATTCCACTGCACAATTCAGGTTTATCGATCTAGCACGAGGCCAGAAGCTTCAAATTTGGGGAGGAGAACCTATTGAATCTGGATTCACTTCTCTCGTATCTGCTCTTTGTTCAGGAGGGACTCAAACAAAACATGGAGACGGAGCTTCAGTATCACCTTCTTGGATTGCAGCTGGTTTTAGTTCTGGCCAGTGTAGGCTATTTGACTTGAGGGATAATGGTTTTATTTCCTCCTGGAGAGCTCATGACGGATACGTGACAAAGGTTAAATAAGTTTTTTTTGTCCTCCCAAAACCAATATTGCCTTTCTTCTTATCTTCAAATTTCAATTGTCTTGCAGTTAATGGCTCCTGAGAGCCATTTACTTGTTTCCAGCTCTCTTGACAAAACTTTACGGATCTGGGACTTAAGGAAGTGAGCAAAACAATCATTACGGTTTTTTCAGTTTCTTGTAAATTTTGGTTTTTGTTTTCCACGGTCTCTACATGTAATAACAGCTGGTTTATTATCTTTGTGGTAAAACAGGAGCTGGACACCACAGCCTTTTGTTGTCAAAGGACACAACGATGGTGTTTCCGATTTCTCCATCTGGGGCAAGGATGTTATCTCCATCTCAAGAAACAACATCGGGATTTTCTCACTGTCAAAGTCTCAAGATGAGGTACTTTCTCACTCCTTATTGAGATTCACGTAGAGATTCAAAGTAAACACGCCTTGATCCCTTTGGCTATAAGCCTAAACCAAGATTAGAATTAGATCAGTTCTTTTCAGTCAGTTTATGCACAGAATCGTCGTGAAAACAAGTATGTGAGAATGTCCGGTTATTCTCTTGACAGGAGGAGCAACAGCAGCAGCGGATTATACCACAGAAACTGTATATGGCAGAGAAGGGAGGAAGAGTCAAGTCGGATTTATCGACCATTTGTGTTTTACCATTTTCGAGATTGTTCATCGTTGGAGCACATGATGGTTACTTGAGAATCTGTTGTTGAAATATAGTACAAACTATATAATTGGTTTTTTACAAATTTTACGGCCTCTTATGTAATTTTTGTCTTTAAAATTTTGTGTGTTTGGAATATGGATAGTGCCAAGCACGATCACTGATATAGTGATATGATTGTAATGGAGACAAAGAGGAATGATTTGTTAATGGGCTAATGAGTAATGAGCAATGATTGATAGTATTATTTTTAATTTCTTTTCGTTTGTTAACCCACTTTGGCCATTGGAAAACCACTTTAATTTTGCTATAGTCGGTCTATTTATCTGAATTGTGGATGCAGGTGGTGAAATAGTGTTTCTTAATTCTTACTTTAGTGTTTCTTAATTCTTACTTTCTGTAAGAATATGCTTTGGAATTAGCACAAATGTTGACAAATTGTGAAGCACATGAAAATGATGGTAGTATACTCTTTCAAATAAAATTTGCTACAGCCCCAAAATCCACATCGATTTAAAGCCATAAAAAGTATTGATAACAGAGAATTTAAATGTAAAGAAAAACAAAATTTAACAAAAGAGGGAACAACAATAACAGTTGCAGTATTAGACGACTTTAAACATAGACATACTGAAAAAGAATAACTCCTTGCTCACCAAGAAAAATCCTCCATTTGTATGCTTTTCAAAGCTCAAATTCTTCGTCCCTAAGGGCCAAAGCAGCAGCTTCTTCTTCATCATCATCAACAGCAAAGTACTCATTCTTCTCCTCAGGCCTAAACATATGAAACATGATCACATAGAACACCAAACTCACAATCTCCTCAGCTGCAAAACTCACCCACTGATACTTATAAGCCGCAATGGTTTTAAGCGCAAACACAACGATTCTCGTGAAGTAAAGATATCCGATGACAACAATGTAGAACTGTCTAAACAACGTGAGCTTCGACAAGTTCCTCGCAGCTTTACCATCGGTTTTCGAAGTCTCTCTCAAGGATCGAATCGACCAGACAATCGGGAAGATAATAGCACAGCAACAGATGATATCCACAAGCAAAAACACTTGGTTCCAAGTAACCCAATCTTTGATAAAAGGTCCAGTTTCACCAATGACAATGGAAGCAATGTTGGCTAATACCTGAAGTGGGATCACAATGATCAACACATTCTTCTCTTTCTCCTGCAAGAAAGGTTTCAAAAACGACCAGCCAGTTCCGATCAAGATGATCACGGTGAAGAGAAGAACAACACGGATGAATTGGAAGATGTAGAAGAGAATATCCCAGCCATGAGGCGTTCCAGTGATCTTCACGTAATGTTTATCTTCAGCTGCACAAATCAGATTCAATGATTTGATTAGAAGCAGACCTGCCATGAGAAGATGGATCCGATGAACGGTTTGTTTGTTAGTCCAGCAAGTGTAGCTCCAGAAACCGAGGAAAGCAACGTAGCAGAGGAAGAAGAAAGAGTAGAGAGTTGGTAATTGAGTAGATCCAGCTGGTAGATAGTCTTTGGATCCGTTTGGATCTTTGTTATACATCTCTGTACGAACCGCCATGGAAACTTTGGTTTCAGGGACGCAATTCGCGAAGAAGAGAGAGTATTCGTTTGGGGAAGTGACTGGGTAAGATTGGTTGAATCTGGAGTTTGGCGGAGGAGATAGATCTCTGAATGTGAAGAGATGAGTGACGTAGTGCGAATCTAGAACGCAGAATCTAGGGTTCTGTTGGATCTCGAGGAGGACCTGAAGAAGAGATTCTTCGGAGAGGAGGAAGAATCCGAGACGCGATGCTTCTGGATTTGGATCTGAGGAAGTGGAGACGACGGAGACGGAGGAGATTGAGACGGTGACGTGGCCGGTGTGTGTGAATCCGAATTTCTCGAAGAGGATCATCGGACGAGCGTCGTCGGAGATGACGAGAGATTTGATCTCCGCCGTAGAAGGTGGAACCACGACGGCGAGGAGGAGGAGGATGAAGACGACGGAGAGGGGCATTTTCGTCATTGTTACTCCGGGAGGAATTGAGAGAGAGAGACGTGTAGGAGGAGGATTGAATAACCGTCGGCGAAGTTTGTTAATCGAGTTTTATACTCTTCTTCACTAATCAGATCTGAATCTCTATGCATTTTTATATCCTTTAATTATGGAATTTAAGTTCGACCAAACAAAATTAAATACAATAAACACCTAATATAACAAATTTTGATTTTAATAACACATATACAGTTGACTCAAAAAGAAAAACACATACTCCATTTTAGATAATAATAAGATTTTTAGCTATACATATTCTAGTTATCTCGTTCTACTAGTAATATTTCAAAATCTATGCATTTTTACATCCTTTAATTATGGAATTTAAGTTCGACCAATCAAAATTAAATACAATAACAACATGATATAACAAATTTCAAAATCTAGTAATATCGTTTTTGAAAATATTCATTCTAGTAATTACATTATCATATGACACGTAATTTTCTTTGGGTTGGAAACCAAAACAAGATTCAATGAATATTTTCAGTCTCTAATTTGAGGAACGTCCAAAACACTACATTTTAGATGGTCAAAGGTTCCGTGACCAAAAAAAAACAAAAAGATGGTCAAAGGTGGTTCATCGGTTGAGTTATCTCATCCATTTGAAATATACTATTTTTTACTATTTAAGATATTAGCAATGGAAAATTGTGTGTGAAATCACCACAGAAATCATATTTTCATTTCTGTGATTTATCTCATCCATTTGAGTATCCTTCGTATAGCCTTTTGATCTACAGATGTTGCGTAGCAATAATAAGACTCTTGACACTTCGCTTCGAAGGCAGATGTAACATTAGCACCACTGGCTTGACCTTCCCCTTTGAATTATCCACACCGTTGTAGTTCGTTGGTTCTGGTTCATAAAGCTTCCATCATAGTTGCTTTTAATCCATCCCGGTTTTGGTCTTTCCCATCTTAAATGGCTAGGTCTATTGGTTGAGTTGATTTTAAAATCATATAATAACAGTAGTTGAATGTTGAGGGTAATCATAAACTATATTTTAAAATTAATAACATAATAACATTATAGTATCTATATTTATTAAATGATGTCTCAAAAAATGATGTTTTCAACTTTCAATGCAAAATTAATTATTTTTCTTTTCTTGTAATTATTTACACATTCTACTGTTTGTTTCACTATTGGTTGAATGTTGAGGTGAGTCATAAATTATATTTTAAAAATAATAGCATTACAGCTGTAACATATTAAATGATGTCTCAAGAAATGATGTTTTCAATTTTCAATGTAAAATTAATTATTTTTTCTTCGTTTTAATTTTTTTTATATTAAATAGATTGTTTTATTTATTGGTTGAATGTTGAGGTGGATCATAAAATATATTTTGATTTTAATAACTAAAATTTTAGTCTAATTAAAACGTTTTTGAGAGAACAATGTTTTTTTTTTAGTTAATTTTTTTTTGTTGAGAATAATGATTTTTTTTGTTTTAGTTAAATTGATTGATGAAGAGTCATCATTTTAATTTAGTGAGTTATTATTATGAACGGACTTACCGTTTGCCATATAAAGCAACTGTTGGCATTGTTCTTCTTATGCTTCTAACATTTTTCTCTGGCAATTGACCCGTCAAAATCTTTACTTTTGACAGAATTTGTTGATACATCTCCTTCGTCTTGAGAGATGGAGAAAGCATCACCATCGTCACTCACTAAGAAACTTCTCATTGAAGAGAGAGAAGAAGTTATGGTTTCTGAGAAAGGCCATTCCTTGAGAAAAACCCATTTTCTAAAACCATTTTCTACTGCCATTGACGGCTCTGTAGCCGAGCTTCCCCGTCGTGATGATCAACAACGTCTCTCTGATTCTTCTTTGCGTGATTCCTCCTCTGGGTTTTGGGTTGCAGATCATCATTTCTTCCTATATTGGCTTGGAAAAATGGAAGCTTTACATGAACCCATTTGGAAAAAAGCTGGGATTTTTGAGGCAATCAAGGCATCCACTTACAAAATCACAAAAGACCCGTCTTTGATTCTCTCCGTTGCCCAGAAATGGTGTTCTGAAACCAAATCTTTCGTCTTTTCATGGGGTGAAGTAACTATCACGTTAGAGGATGTAATGGTGCTTCTAGGGTTCTCTGTTTTGGGTTCTCCTGTTTTTGCTCCTTTAGAATGCTCAGAGATGAGAGACACCGCAGAGAAACTGGAGAAAGTAAGACGAGACAGTGTTGGCAAGGCTAAGCGAGTGAGCCAAAGATCATGGACTTCAAGCTTCATGGGTAGAGGTGGTCAGATGGAGCATGAAGCTTTTCTTGTATTGTGGCTTTCACTTTTTGTTTTTCCAGGTGATTGTTGTCGTTCTATATCTAGAAATGTAATCCCTATCGCTGTTCGTTTAGCTAGCGGTGAAAGGATTGCTCTTGCGCCTACTGTTCTCGCATTCCTGTACAAAGATTTGGGTCGAATCTGTGATTTCGCTAGCGGAAAATGTGCTGGGAAAGTTAGTTTGAAGTCTCTGTTTAAGTTAGTACAAGTTTGGACATGGGAGAGATTCAAGAACATAAGACCAAAAGCTAAAGAGATACCCGAAGGTGAACCAAGAATAGCTCAGTGGGATAGTCTCATACAAAGATCTAAGAATGTGAGATTGTATTTTGATGATTTCGACTGGCGTCCTTACACTAAACCGTTGAAGAACTGGAACCCACTTCGGTTTTACGTTGAAGAGGCTATGTGGGTGACTGTTGATGACAGTGTTGATGATGAATTTGCTTCTTTTGCTCGATGTGTGAAAGTTTCATACCTTGTTGGAAAAGGTTTTGTAGAGGATTACTTCCCGCATCGAGTGGCGAGGCAGTTCGGTTTGGCTCAAGATCTTCCTGGTTTGGTTACTCTTCATAGAAATTTCACAGAAAAGGAGGCTTGGGATGATTACAGTAAGTCTCTTGATGGTCTAAAGCTCTACATGCCTTCACGACTTGATCGAGGTTCTGTCACTGCGAGATACCAAGACTGGTGGTTGAAATCAGTTGCAGACTTTATGGGTTCTGAGGAGATGCAGAAAGAATCGACTGAGGCTTTTGATGCAAGGAATACATTTGATCTTTTTGATAAAGATGATGATGATGGTGATATAGATGTATCTCCCAAGGTTCTTCCTTTGAGTCAAGTAGTTCAGAAGTTGGAAGAAGGCCTTCCTACAAAACGCAGAAAATCGAGGAAGCATAGGTTACCAAAGAGATATAAGATATCTGAGTCTCTGCAGATGAAGCGAGCTCGTGAGGGTGATTATGAGAGTTCTATGGATAAAGAAGATGATTGCATGACTGTTGCTCAATTGATCAGATCTAGGAAGAAGTTTAGTGATGTAGAGAAAACTGGAGGTGATGCTTCTGAATCACTTGGAAAAAGAAGTAGAAGATATATGCTGGTGGATAGCGATGATGATTCAGGGCCTTGTCAAAAGCATGCTTCGATGGAAGTAGAGCAAAGGAGTGTAGAGGATGGTGGAACTGCCAAAAAAACAGAGATTACAAGGCAAACATGTGATGCTGTAAACGGAAGTAATGCAGAAAACAAGACTATGATCGATGATGCAACCAAGGAAGAAGAGTCTTGGCTACATGAAGATAAAGAAATGAAGAAGAGATGTATTGGAAAGTTTTCCAGTGAAGTTAAAAAAGAAGAAGATGTTGATGAAAGATTGAGGCAGAGAAAGCTTGCAATAGAGGAGATAGCATTGGAGCTGGAGGCACGTCTTAGCAAGGTGGATAAGAGTTTGACAGAGATTAGAAAATGGAAAACCAGAGGAAACCAGACCAAACCTAGATTTCTGCTGAGCTAGTTTAGTTATACCATTTGATCTGAAACTTCTCATGAGGATCTCAATGGAAACAAAATAAGAGTGTCATTCTCTGGAGAGAATTGTTCAACTTTTGTGTAGTCAATTATTAGAGTTAAGTTGGTCAGTCTTCAAAGACCTGTGTCTAAGATAACAATATCTTCCACATACATAGCCTACAAAACTTGCAAAAGCGTTTTCTTGTTCCGAAAACAACCTACATTTGTGTGTTCTATTTATATGTTTTCTGATAAGTTTGGACTAATCTACTTATTATAGTGAGATGGCAGTAAAAATACTAAAACCATTTGGGAGTTTGGTTACTGTTTCAAATTTAAAGGTATGAAAAATCGATGTACAGTCAGCATTTGAAATTAGTGAGGACTTGCTCGTTTTTTTTTTTTTTGCGCTTAAAGCTACTGTTTTCGTCTCTCTGCCCATCTTCAACGAAACCTGCATTTTTTTTTCCGTACATCGCAATTCATCGTCAAAATCCCTAGTTTTTCGCCTGAATCTTTTGCTTCTTCTCCAACGATGAAGAATTCGTTACCCTCACCACTAACAGAAGAGAGAGAAGAAGTAATGGTTTCTCAGAAAGGCCATTGCTTGCGAAAAACCCATTTTCTAAAACCCATTTCTACTTCCATCGATGGCTCTGTAACCGAACTTCCCCGTCGTGATGATCAACGACGTCTCTCTGATTCTTTTTCTTCGCAACTAAATCGCTTGTCTTCGCGTGATTCCTTCTCTGGGTTTTGGGTTCCAGATCGTCATTTCATATATTGGCTTGGAAAAATGGAAGCTTTGTATGAACCCATTTGGCAAAAAGCTGGGATTTTTGAAGCAATCATGGCATCTACTTACAAAATCACAAAAAACCCGACTTTGATTCTCTCTGTTGCTGAGAAATGGTGTTCTGAGACCAAATCTTTCGTCTTTCCATGGGGTGAAGCAACGATTACGTTAGAAGATGTAATGGTGCTTCTAGGGTTCTCTGTTTTGGGTTCTCCTGTTTTTGCTCCATTAGAATCCTCAGAGATGAGAGATTCCGCTTATAAACTCGAGAAAATAAGAGTAAAGAATATTGGTTACGACAATTGGCGTGTGAGCCAAAGATCATGGACTTCGAGTTTCATGGGTAGAGGTGGTCAGATGGAGCATGAAGCTTTTCTTGTATTGTGGCTTTCGCTTTTTGTTTTTCCAGTTAGTACTCGTCATAGTATTTCGAGACAAGTTATACCAATGGCTGTTCGTTTAGCTAGAGGTGAAAGGATTGCTCTTGCCCCTGCTGTTCTCGCATTCTTGTACAAAGATTTGGGTCAAATCTGCGATTTCGCTAGAGGAACATATGCTGGCAAAGTTAATTCCAAGTCTCTTGTTAAGTTAGTCCAAGTTTGGACATGGGAGAGATTCAGGAACATAAGACCAGAAGTTAGGGAGATACCTCAAGGTGAGCCTAGAATAGCTAGGTGGAGCAATCTGCAACAAAGGTCTAAGAATGTGAGATGGAGTTTTGATGATTTTGACTGGCGTCCTTACACTAAACCGTTGAGGAACTGGAACCCACTTCGGTTTTACCTTGAAGAAGCTATGTGGGTGACTGTTGATGAAAATCTTGAAGATGAGTTTGTTTCATTTGCTCGATGCGTGAGGAGTTCTCAGCTTGTTGGGATTGGTTTTGTAGAGGATTACTATCCTAATCGTGTTGCAATGCAATTCGGGCTGGCTCAAGATCTGCCTGGTTTGATTACTCTTCAAAAAAACTTCACAGAAAAGGAGTCTTGGGATGATTACAGTAAGTCTCTTGATGGTTTAATGCTATATATGCCTTCACGCCTCGATCGAGGTTCTGTCACTGCGAGATACCAAGACTGGTGGTTGAAATCAGTTTCAGACTCTCTACGTTCTGAAGAGATGCAGGAAGAATCAACTGAAGCTTTTAATGCAAGTAATACATTTGATGTTGTTGATGATGATGATATAGATGTATCTCCCAAGGTATTGCCTTTGAGTCAAGTGGTTCAGAAGTTGGAAGAAGGCTTTCCTGCAAAATGCAGAAGATCTAGGATGCCTAGGTTACCAAAGATATATAAGATAAGTGAGTCTGTGCACATGACGGGAGCTCGTGAGGATGATAATGAGAGTTCTATGGATGAAGAAGATGATTACATGACCGTTCTTCAATTGATCAGATCTAGGAAGAAGTTTAGTGATGTAGAGAAAACTGGAGGTGATGCTTCTGAATCACTTAGAAAAAGAACTAGAAGATATATGGTCGTGGATAGCGATGATGATTCAGGGCCTTGTCAAAAGCATGCTTGGATGGAAGTAGAGCAAAGGAGTGTAGAGGATGATGGAACTTCAAAAAAAACAAAGATTACAAGGCAAACATGTGATGATATAAATGGAAGTAATGCAGAGAGAAAGGCAATGATCGATGATGCAATCAAGGAAGCAGAGTCGTGGCTCCATGAAGATAGAGAGATGAAGAAGAAATGCATTGATAAGTTTTGCAGCAAAGCTAAAAAGGAAGAAGATGTTGATAAAAGATTGAGGCAGACAAAACTTGCAATAGAGAAGATAGCATTGGAGCTGGAGACACGTATTATCAAGATGGAGACGAGTTTGGCAGAGAGTAGAAAATGGAAATCCAGAGGAAACCAGACCAAAAATGGGTTTCTGCTGAGTTAGTTTAGTTATGCCAATTGATCTGAAACTTTTCAAGAAGATCTCAATGGAAACTAAACAATAGTGTCACTCTCTGGAGAGAATTATCCAAGTTTTGTATAGTCGATTATTAGAGTTAAGTTGGTGAGCCTTTAAAGACCTGTGTTATCTCGGATAACAATATCTTCCACAAGCAAATTGCAAACTACACGACGTTTCTCTCAAAGACTTAACATACATACCCTACAAAACCTGCAAATAGCGTTTACTTGGTCCAAAAACAACCTACATTGCAAAACGTGGAGAAGCAAACGATAAAACAACAAACAAATACTATACAAGCAACACTCACTCACTCTCTCTCCCTCTCTCCTTATTACAAAAGAAAAGAAACATCACATAACGCAGAAGATCTGGAGAAGAACCAAGGACTTGAAAAACTTCACATAAAGCTCGAGACTTTACGACAATTTTCACCTCGATTATTTCCAGTGGCTATCCACCTTCAGGCTTTAGGTCATGGTACTCACTCTTGTCAGTGTCTGTGCTGTTCCTAGGAGGATCTGAATCTTTTGTTGTCCCGTTCTGACTCCTTCGTCTTCTCCTATCCTGAAATCCTCAAATTTTGTAAAAGCTTTCAGCACCAAACTCAACAAAAAGATATATTTGGTTGATAGACATAAGAAGCAGTTTTCAAAGTTGTGATATTTTTCCTTATTCATACCTCTCTAGGAATTGGGTATTCTTCGGATTCAAGCATACGGGCAACTTGGCTCATCCTCGGTCGTTTCTCAGACATTGGATCAACACATCTCAAAGCAGTCAATAGTGTTCTTTTTAACGCACTTGTAGATGGTTTTGTTTCAAGGTTTGGATCAATCACTTCTTCTGATCTTCTTTGTTGGACCATCATCTTCAGCCACTCCACCAAATGTACCTACAAAATGAAAAATAAGAAATGTCAGGAGACTCTCTTGAGGCAGCAGAGTTTATGTGTGTTTAAAGGTTCTTACAAAAAAACTTTACCTCGGGTGGTGGACGAGCATAGTCTACCGGATATCTACCAGTTATAGCTTCCAAGAGTACAACCCCGAAGCTGTAGACATCACTTTTCTCATTCAGAAGACCGGAATTCGCATACTCTGGAGCTACATAACTGCCAAAACCAAAAGGTTAGTTCTTTTCCAAGACCAACAACATTTAAGTCTTCAAAAGTATTATGTGAAATGATTTAAAGAGAGAGATGCCACAACTTACCCAAAGGTACCCATAACTCTAGTAGTTATAAAACTCTTATCAGCGCCAAGTAGTTTAGCAAGTCCAAAGTCAGAAATCTTAGAATTGAATTTGTCATCAATCAGAATGTTGCTAGACTTAATGTCTCTATGCACCACTTTTGGCTCAATCGCCTCGTGAAGATACGCGAGCCTGCATCACCGCTCATCGCATCAGATGAGAATAACCGAAAAAACATCGTCAAGAAAAAAATACATGAAGCTGTCACAAGACTTACGCTTTGGCTGTTCCAATAAGAATTTTCACTCGTGCCTCCCATGTAAGATACTCATGGTTTTGATTGTCTCCACGGAGCCATTGCTCCAAGTTTCCATTGTTAACATACTCATACACCAGCATCCTAATCAAGTGTTACGGGTATTCGATGCTTAGTAAAATCCAGAAGAAAATCTACAGATCATTAACAACAGAACATCATACCTCTGCGTTCCTTCCATGCAATATCCGAGAAGGCGGACCAAGTTTTTGTGGCGTACATGACCTATAGCTTCAACTTCTACTCTGAAGTCTTTGTCAGCTTGCCCTCTAAGGAATACAAAACATCACCATTAAAAAAAGAAGGTTCAAGAAACGAAATCTTGAATCTTGATTCACCATTTGTGAAAGACTTACAAATTGTTGAGCAACTTTTTAACAGCAACAGGAGTACCATTAACAAGGTTACCACGGTAAACAACTCCATATCCACCATCACCGATGATATTATCCCTCGAAAACTGATTAGTAGCCATCTGAAGATCTCTAAGAGTGAACCAATGTCCCCATCCGAGGTGAGAAAACTCAGGAAGACCAGATAAAGGAGATGGAGCTGTCAAAGGATTAGCAGAAGATACGCTCGATCCATCTTTTTTCTCCAAGTGATTAAACGAGCCTGACCGGCTACTATCGCCATTTTCTGACTCTGCTTTTATCCCCTTTTCGGGTTCTTTATCCCCAAATTTCTCACTAATAGAGGGATATCCATTGCCACCATTGCTTGACGAAACCTCATCAACTCTAATCTCTTTAATCTCTTCAGGAACACTAGGAGGAATCTGGCGACTAACAGGGATTAGATTAGTAGAAGATCTAGAGGTTTTTCTCCTGAAAGTAAGCCAAAGTGATATAGCTAAAACTACAACGAATATCGCGGAGAGAACAATCACTATTATCTCCCATAGCTCCAAACCATTGTAGTTCCGAGATAATGTGTCGTTTAAACCAGAACCCATCTTATGACCTCCGCTTTATTCACCTGAAAAACAGAAGAATTTAAAACTCAAAACTCTTGTATAAACCATAACTTTTGCTGCTTAAACAAAAATAAGGCAATCAAAAGAATAATTTCTAGACCTGGATCAAAGTAATCAAAACAGCCCACAAACACAAAACTTATACCAAATATCAGATTTGAGCTAGTCAGACATAGAAATCTAACCAAACCCGCATAGAAAATGCACATAGCCTCTCTTTAAAGAAGTCAAAACAGGAAAGGAACAAGGAAAAAGACAAGAAATTGAACAAAGACTAAGAAAAATCAGATTCAACAAAACCAACATTGTACCTAAGTCCCAAGAATTGCCAGCTGCCAGATTATTCAGTTCTCAGACCAAACGCCAGCTAAACACTAAGCTGGAAAGAAAACTACAGGTGAAGAAAAAAAAAATAAACCAGAAGCTAATCTAGAAAAATCTCTACCGACAATAGAAACTATTCAGAAACACATAAAAATCCGTCGCATTGTCTGATAAACACAAATCAAAGAACACCAAAAAACAGAGTCTTGAGAAACTCAAGAATAGAACTCTTAAAATTAAAACTAGGGTTCATAAGGGAGAGAACGAACCTGATGGGCCAATAATTTGGGGGATTTCAGAGCGACATTGAAGGGAAAAGGTCAGATCTTAAGCAGCATTGACTTGAAAGTTTCCAGCTTTGGATCTTTTTGTAAAAGATCTCTCTAACCTAACAGACAAAGAACCTAAGCAGCGAAAAGAAAAGCAATCAAAGACCAGAGAAATGAATGTGAGTGGGAAAGATTGAAGCTTTACCCTTGTAGCTGTGTTCCAATAATAATAATAATAAACAGTAATAAAAAAAAGATTTAATCCAATTATTTATTCTGGCTTTTATTAGCTAGCAAAAGTGACGACCGACGAAGACGAAACAATGTGAATGACTTTTTTTTTTTTTTTTAAGGGTAAAGGTGAAGACTTTTTTTGGTTTTGTGAGGAAACAGATAAAAAGAGTGAAGAAGAAGACTCACCTAAAAAGTTTAATCTTGTTGTAACTGACAGAGTGTGTAACTAATGGGAATGTCAAACTATATCTAATTTGCTCTTTGACTAAACACAACACTCATTTACTTTTGGTCTTAAATGAAATTGTTGAACATATGTTTTGTTTTGGGTCTGTTTAATTATAAATAAATGTCAAAATAATGCCATTTGTATAATGTAGAAAAACGTCTGATGTTTTGTTTTCTCTCCAAATTTTGTTTATGCAAGTAGATTACCTCATTGAAGTTTTTGGATAAACAGAAAGACAAAATAAATAATGAACGACATTTATATATAGTATATCATTATCAGCAGATAATTTGTAACGAAACAAAGACATACTCCCTCCGTATTTTAATAATTGTCGTTTTAGAATTTTTATTTTTTTGAATTAGATGTCGTTTTCAAATTTCAATGCAAAATTTCTTACTTTTTAATGTTTTATGATGTCATAAAACATTAAAAAGTAAGAAATTTTGCATAAAAATTTGAAAACGACATCCAATTCAAAAAAATAAAATTTCTAAAACGACAATTATTAAAATACGGAGGGAGTAATTTTTAATGCATGTGAAAGTACGAGTGTTACTTAATTTAAGCAGCTGAGACTTAATTTTGATATATCAGCAAATAACATTCCCCAATCTAGTTGATATATAATCAAATTCATAAAGTCCAAAGTTGAAGAGAATGTCCAGTCTAGTTAGGCGGCTTGGTTCATTTTGAAGAATCTTTAAAATAATAATCTCCATGACAAACTGATGAAAATGACTTTATGTTTGTAGATAACGTAAAATTATCAAGTTGATGCCAATTTCACTAGTTTGATTAATTAGCCCCTGGAAAGATTAACGGTCTACCGTTACTAGATAGTTTCTCTTGAATCTAGTCATTACAATTTTATTTCTATATTATGAGTACTACCTCTAACAATATTATGAAAGTATTAAACTTAGGTGATTTTTTTTTTATGTTGACGTACTAAAACACATGTTTTATTTTTATACCAACAATTTGGAAAAAAAAACCTAAAGATGTTTTTTAGACTTTTAGTACGTTTTAAAAAAAAATCGCAAATCTGAAAATTGGTATAGAGTAACATTGATTACAAAAAACTGAGGGTGTGACTAATATACTAGCGAAATCACTTTGCAAATCATGGAAAGTAGTATACCACACCTTAATCTTTAGAAATCAGAGAATGTTTTCAATATTTTATGTTTAAATGAAAAAAAACTATATGGTATTTAATATGTCTGAAATTAATCGGAGTTTTCTTGCTTATAGAAAAACTGTAGTGGAACTTTCCGAAACACATTGATACAGAAAAAAAAAAATGAAAAGTGTGGCATTAAATACAATCCGACCCGCACTATGATAAAACTTGTAAGCATTATTCTTCTTTGCGGATAAGCAAACAAATAGAAGAATTACAAAAGTATAATCCCAAAACTTTTAAAAATGCAATTTTTGATTAAAAATTCTGAAAAATTATCGTAAACTGACATTATCAAAACCAATGTTTATTATTCCAAGATAATTTCTTTTTGGGCATTCGAGATGACCTTTTTTTTCTTTGGATCGATTCAAGATGACTAATTGTCTATATATTTTCTTGACAATTGGTTTTGTTGGGGGTGATATTTGAATTATTTGTAAATACAGGGATCTTTATAGAAAACGTTGAAAGAAAGGGACAAAAACTGAAAAAGGAATAAAAGGACAGAAAAAAATTAAAAAGGCCAAACTCCAAAGGCACACCACCATTGAACTTCCCCTCCTCCGTCTATCACACGCAAGTAGTTCACCCTCTCTCTCTCTCTCTTCGCCGTTAAGCTCCGATCTGATAGGAACTTTGAGTTTCCTTGAGTCTCCGGAGAAACAAATCGCCGATTTGTTCCGGATAATCTGAGTGTCAATCAAACGATGTTTTGCGATTGCTTCTACTGGAACAAAGGATTCTCCGAGTTGGAATGGGAATCGTTCGAGTCAAAGCCCTTCTCGCTTCCGTCTCCTCTCCCTCGATGGCCACAAGGTACAGTACTATCATCCTTTATTGGAGATTTCTAATTTTGTTATCAATTTTTTTAATTAGGCTTCTATTTTTATTTCTAATTTTGGATATTTTCGTGATTTTTAATCAAAATTGATGTTTTATTTTCCATATCATCATGATACTCAGTGTTATGTTTTCTTAATTTTTTTTCTGTGGTAAAATTCGTTGGAATATTCAACATTGGCACCTGTTGTTGTCTGTTTTACTGGTTCTTCGTTACACATTTGATTCAAGATTTTTGTTCCATGGTCAACGTTATTGGACTAATTACATTTAATTGAACTGAAGAAAAAAAGTTGTACGGTTCAACATTATTAGTTACTGACTTTTCAGCTAATTAATCTTCACATGTTTTGCGACAAGGTAGGTTTTTGAGCTTCAATAATGTATGGACTTATTATTTATTAATGTAGCACGATGAAGATGGATATGATATATTACTCTATCATAGTTTTTACATGTTTTGATGATTCTTTAATTCTTTATCAAGTCCCAACAACCCTTTGGATAATGTTGAGTAATGGTTGATGATGATAACGTGTTGATAATTCAACTGTGTCGTTGTGGTTATTCTATCTTAGTTTAGAATGCTGTCAAATTATCTTTGATTTGAATCAGAATTGGAATTTTTGTATATAATGTTGGTTTGCCTTTGTTTCAGGCAGCGGTTTTGCTACCGGAAGGATAAATCTTGGAGAAATCCAAGTGGTGAAAGTCACCGAGTTCGATAGAGTTTGGAAATGTGGTAGGTCGCGTGGTAAATCGAGTTGCGCCTCTTTTTACAAGCCCGTGGGGATACCAGAAGGTTTCCATTGCCTTGGTCATTATTGTCAGCCAAACAATCAGCCATTAAGAGGCTTTGTTCTTGCAGCTCGGGATAACAATCCCGGTCATCTAGCGGATGATCATCGCCCTCCCTTGAAAAAACCTGTGAATTATTCTTTAGTTTGGAGTTCAGATTCAGATTGCTACTTCTGGTTGCCTAATCCTCCGGTTGGTTATAGAGCTGTGGGAGTTATTGTCACTGATGGATCAGAGGAGCCTGAAGTTGATGAAGTGAGATGTGTAAGAGAGGATCTTACGGAGAGTTGTGAAACCGGTGAGAAGGTTCTTGGCATGGGATCTTTTAATGTCTGGAGCACTAAACCGTGCGAGACAGGTATTTGGTCTCGGGGAGTGGAGGTTGGGTCATTCTTTTGCTCTACTAATGATATGTCTTCTAATTATAAAGCCGCCATGAACATTGCGTGTTTGAAAAATCTCGATCCGAGCCTACATGGTATGCCAAATCTTGACCAGGTCCATGCACTTATCCAGCATTATGGACCAATGGTCTACTTCCATCCCGAAGAGACTTACATGCCTTCTTCCGTGCCATGGTTCTTTAAAAACGGAGCTTTGTTGTACCGGTCTGGGAAATCGCAAGGCGAACCGATTAATTCTACTGGCTCGAACTTGCCCGCGGGTGGAGAAAACGATGGGAGCTTCTGGATTGATCTCCCTGAAGACGACGAAGTTAGAAGTAATCTAAAGAAGGGAAATCTAGAAAGCTCAGAGCTTTATGTCCATGTGAAACCCGCACTTGGCGGGATTTTCACGGACATTGTGATGTGGATTTTCTGTCCATTTAATGGTCCAGCCACTCTCAAAATCGGGCTTCTCACCGTACCCATGAACCGCATTGGAGAGCATATTGGTGATTGGGAACATTTCACTTTCCGAATAAGCAATTTCAACGGCAAGCTTACACAAATGTTCTTCTCACAGCATAGCGGTGGAGGATGGGTTGATGTATCGGATCTTGAGTTTGTCAAAGGAAGCAACAAACCGGTTGTGTACTCATCCAAACACGGCCACGCGAGTTTCCCACACCCGGGAATGTATCTTCAAGGCCCGTCGAAGCTCGGGATTGGAGTGAGAAACGATGTTGCAAAAAGCAAGTATGCGGTGGATTCTAGTCAACGTTACAGAATCGTAGCAGCGGAGTATTTAGGCGAAGGAGCGGTTTCAGAGCCGTGCTGGCTGCAGTTCATGAGAGAATGGGGACCAACTATAGTGTACGATTCTGCAGCTGAGATCAATAAGATAATTGATCTTCTTCCACTGATTGTTAGGTATTCTTTTGAGAGTCTGTTTCCTATTGAGCTTTACGGCGAGGAAGGTCCTACAGGACCAAAGGAGAAGGATAATTGGGAAGGAGATGAAATGTGTTGAAAAGCAGAGCTCCTCTGTTTCAGTGAAGCTTTTTGCTAAGTGTTTGTGTAAAAAGTGTGTAGATATTATGTAAATTGTAAACAAATTTTTGATTCGGTTTGATTATTTTCGATCTTACGGTCGTTATTAATCATATACATATATTCAATCATTGTCCTTAATCCAGTCTTATGCATAATGAGGTACAGATAGATTCCAAGTGATAAAAGTTGTCAATTCATAGAGGATTAGTGAGTGAACATGTGCTTTTAGCCTTTTACTACGTTTATTGAAACGACGTCGTTGTAGTAATCAACATTAGAGATCTATGTTATGGTAGACTTCGTCGTAGGTTATAAAAACTTTTCTCGGTTTCTAAAACGACGGCGGTGACAAGGAACAAAGGTAAAAGTTCCAGACACAGAACAAAACAGCAAACGAAGAAATTTCAAAATCTATTTCAATTCAACGTATACTTTCCTTAAATTAGGAATTAATCTTCTATTTTTCTCCACAAAATTGAGATCCGAATAACTATGGTGAGACTCAAGACGAGTCTCTGGGTTCTTCTCCTCGCGCTCGTTTCATCAATTCAGTTAAAGGGTTCGTTTGGATCTGAATCAAGTAAAGTAGCTTATGTCACACTTTTGTATGGAGATGAGTTCTTACTAGGAGTTAGGGTATTGGGCAAATCGATTCGTGACACTGGATCCAAAAAAGATATGGTCGCTTTGGTTTCTGATGGTGTCTCAGACTACTCTAAGAAGCTACTCAAGGTTTGGTTTTTATTGTCTAGTTATTGAAGTTTTTAAGATCTAAAAGATTTCTCTTTTCGATTGAGTTTGAGCTTGAAATTTGATCAAATACTGCTTTGTTTAAAGTTGTTTGCTTTTGATTCTATAGGCTGATGGATGGAAAGTTGAGAAGATTAGTTTACTGGCAAATCCAAATCAAGTTCATCCGACAAGGTTCTGGGGTGTTTACACAAAGCTTAAGATCTTTAACATGACTGATTACAAGAAAGGTAAGAGATTTCTGCGGTTTTTTTCTTTTGGATTCCGGTTTGAGAACTTAAATCTCAAAAAGCTTTGTTTTTTTTGTGTGCAGTTGTGTATCTTGATGCTGATACTATTGTGGTAAAGAATATTGAGGATTTGTTTAAGTGTTCGAAGTTTTGCGCAAACTTGAAGCATTCTGAGAGGCTAAACTCTGGTGTCATGGTTGTTGAACCATCTGAAGCTCTTTTTAATGATATGATGCGGAAAGTGAAGACTTTGTCATCTTATACCGGAGGAGACCAGGGGTTCTTGAATTCTTACTATCCAGATTTCCCAAATGCTCGTGTTTTCGATCCGAGTGTAACCCCTGAAGTCTTGAAAACCAGACCAGTTCCTGCTATGGAGAGGCTTTCTACATTATACAATGCGGATGTTGGTCTTTACATGCTTGCTAATAAGGTATTTGGTTGGGAAACGAAGTTGTAGTTAGTCTTGTGGGTCTCTTTGGTTCTGTTTTTCATTTTGCTGTTAAAGTCTATGGCTTACTATGAAATCGATGTGATCTTGGAATATGTAGTGGTTAATTTGGGATTGGTTTTGATTGGTTTAAGGTATAATTGTCTTTTTATTCAGCTGTTTGAATTTTGAGTTTTCTCATTATTTCTGCAGTGGATGGTTGATGATAGTAAACTTCACGTTATTCACTACACTCTAGGCCCTCTTAAGCCTTGGGACTGGTGGACAGCATGGCTCGTGAAACCTGTTGATGCTTGGCAAGTAGGTCTTCTTCTTCACTATGGTTTTAGGTTTCTTTTGAGTGAATTTCTCTAAGTCTAATTTCACCGTGAACAATTTCAGAGCATTAGGGTAAAGCTTGAGGAAACTCTTCCTGGAACTGGAGGTGGCAAAAACCAACATGATGAACTCGTCGTCAAGTTCCTTTTCTTGTTACCTCTTTGTGGACTTTTGTTCTGCATTTACCGATCCATTCAGGTTAAGACTTCTTTGGGACCTTCACCTCTGCTACATTCATTTTTTGGATCGTAATTTGATATTATGTTTTCTGATTTCTCGCAGGTGCGTGAGGGTTCATTGTGCTGGAGCTCGTTCAGCAATCATATTAGATATCTTTATTACCAAATTAGATCTAATGGAACACTTGGTTATAGCGGTATATCTACCATGAATCCCAGCTATCAAGTGAGTTTCAACATCAAATCGTTGTGGTTAACTTCTTAAAAAAATTGATCTAATCTGAACAATGTTAATATTGCTTCTTGTCGACAGCCCCACAGTGGCAGCGCACAGTCCAAGGTTCCTCAACACTTGGGCGCGGTTGCAGTTGTCGTCTGTTTTACTGCTCTTCTGTTATCTCTTGGAATATCCTTTGCGATTGTGCCGAGGCAAATCATGCCATGGACTGGCTTGGTCTTGGTGTATGAATGGACTTTTACAATCTTCTCTCTTTTGTTTGGTTGCTTCTTGCTTTTTGTGCATCTACATGGAAAGAAAATAGCAATACAATCAGAATCATCATCCTTGGATGATTCCGCAAAAGGTACGTACATGAGAAGAAAACTAAAATTGTGATAATCGGTAATCGTAGCGTTGAGAATTAAGAAGAGTGCTGATTTCCACCATTTTTGTGGTCTCAACAGTTCATCAGCGAGCAGGTGTGTCTTGTGACGTTACTACATTGTATTATGGATTAGGGATGGCTTTTCTGGCTATTGCTGCAGTTTCTTTACCTTACATTTTAGGGATCACTGCTTTATTCACGAGGTAAATTTTGTTAATCAAGTCGCTAAGAATGGTTCTTGCTATTTGATTCAACACATTCTTGTCCTTATATTTTGACTTGATACATTCCCTAAGATTTGTCATGATTGAATCATATTGAACAGGTTGGGTCTAATGGTGGGTGTAGCCATAATTCTAGCTGCCTTCATGACTTATGCTTCAGAGCACCTCGCGGTCAGATGGTTCTTGAAAGGTCTAGAAGACCGCCGCGACACGACGAGATCAAATTCCTTATGTTTCCTCTGCTGACAACAAAAAAACAGCCGAGTAAAAGTGTCACCTTTGTAACTTGCAGAAACAACAGAGCCAATCTATAATCCTGAGTTATTGTAGTTCTGTCTTGAAATGGTTAAAGCTTTGTTCTTTCTTTGTCATTATGTCTCATAACAACACAAGATTCTATCACAGAATTCAGCAAGAACCAGAAGAGACGTTTTAAACCTAACCGCGAGTTAAACCATTTGTTGTCCGAACCGTACCGATCGCGATTTAATTTTAAATTAACCGAACCGGATTTCCACCAACGTCGTCTTCTTCACTCGTCGTCGTCAATCTTCTCTCCTCAGTCCTCCACTCAACATCTCCGATGAGTTTATTGATTTCGTAGTTTTTGTCTGCTTTGATTTCTGACAGGAGCTTCAGCTTAAAGGATCGATTTAAAGTTCACAACATGTATGACATCGAATCTCTGTTTCTCCATGTTCAATTGAATACGAATCGATTGTTTTAGGTTTAAAAGAAGTAACTTTGCTCTTCTTCATATTTTCTTAACCTAATTTAACAGTCTTCTTCTCTCGATTACAGAGGAGAGATACAATGCGTTTCACAACTTCGATAATCAATGAACATCGCCGGTTTTCATCGTCGTCACGATCATGGGTATCTCCCATTTGCTTCTCGGAGAAGAAGAAGAAGCTAGACCCACCACCTGAATCCTCAATCTCACCATCGGCAACAAACCCCAAAACCAAGTTTATCTCTCACGAATCTGCTGTCAGTTTGATGAAACGAGAGAGAGATCCTCAACATGCGCTTGATGTATTCAACAATGCTTCTCAGCAGAAAGGTTTTAACCATAACAATGCTACATACTCTGTTCTTTTAGATAATCTCGTTAGACACAAGAAGTTTCTAGCTGTTGATGCTATTCTTCATCAGATGAAGTATGAGACTTGCAGGTTCCAGGAAAGTTTGTTTCTTAACCTGATGAGACATTTCTCCAGGTTTGATTTGCATGATAAAGTTATGGAGATGTTTAACTTGATTCAAGTGATTGCTCGTGTGAAGCCTTCTCTCAATGCCATTAGTACTTGTTTGAATCTCCTTATCGATTCAGGGGAGGTTGATTTGGCCCGGAAACTACTCTTGTATGCCAAACACAATCTTGGATTGCAGCCAAATACTTGCATTTTCAATATTCTAGTGAAGCACCACTGCAAGAATGGGGATATCGATTCTGCGTTTCTAGTTGTGGAGGAGATGAAAAGATCTGGGATTTCATATCCCAATTCGATCACTTACTCAACCCTTATGGACTGTCTGTTTGCACACTCGAGGTCCAAAGAAGCGGTGGAATTGTTCGAGGATATGATCTCGAAAGGAGGAATTTCACCAGACCCTGTGATTTTCAACGTTATGATCAATGGATTCTGTCGTTCAGGGGAAGTCGAGAGAGCCAAGATGATTTTAGACTTCATGAAGAAGAATGGATGCAACCCAAACGTATACAATTACTCGGCTCTAATGAATGGGTTCTGTAAAGAGGGAAAGATTCAGGAAGCTAAACAAGTCTTTGAAGAGGTGAAGAAAACCGGGTTGAAACTCGACACAGTTGGTTATACCACATTGATGAACTGCTTCTGTAGAAATGGTGAAATTGAGGAGGCTATGAAGTTACTTGGAGAGATGAAAGCATCCAGATGCAGAGCTGATGCATTAACATATAATGTAATACTCAGGGGCTTGTCCAGCGAAGGAAGATCAGAGGAAGCTCTTCAGATGCTGGATCAATGGGGATGTGAAGGAGTTCATCTTAACAAAGGTAGTTATAGGATCATACTGAACGCGTTGTGTTGTAATGGTGAGCTCGAGAAAGCGGTAAAGTTTCTGAGTGTGATGTCGAAGAGAGGGATTTGGCCTCACCATGCGACTTGGAATGAATTGGTGGTTCGGCTTTGCGAATCCGGGAATACAGAAATTGGGGTTCGAGTTCTGGTTGGATTTCTTGGAATAGGTCTCATACCAGCGCCCAAATCTTGGGGAGCTGTGGTTGAATCAATTTGCAAAGAGAGAAAGTTGGTGCATGTCTTTGAACTGCTTGATTCTTTAGTTTCTTGATAAAGCCCTTTATTGATACTAGTCTGGTTACATAATCACTCTTACAAGTTGCAACCACACATCACTTTACAGAATCAAGAACATAAGTTATTAAATTGGAGTTGAAGCTATCATAATGGACAAACTTTGATCCTTTTTCCCAATATTGGCATCCATCAGGAAAGGCTTGGAAAGCTATGCAAGAACAGTTTCTCCAGCAGTTTCCATGACAGTCGCTAAGACCAGCGCTTAAACTATCATCATAGTAAAACGGATAATAACCGTTATTATTATCCATCATGTATCCTCTTCTCGGTTCGAAATACTCTGACCCTTTCCTACAAGCCGTTGGCTTCTCCTTGATGCAGATTGCTGAACTGTTCTTTAAATCCGTCTTGCAGGGTTCACTGCTTTCGGAAATCCAGTTGCTGCTTTCGTTGCTGCTGAGCACATTGGTTACAGTGATTTGGCCTAGAGTATCCAAGAACCAGCTGGACAAGACCGAACTGTTAGCTTCCTTGATTGAGTAGCTGAAGTACTTCATGTACTTATTTGAATCGAACTTGAATTCATAATCAATGTAGTGTCTGGATAGCTCTAAGGTCAAATGAGAGCTTCCATTGTTCGTCAAGATTCCACTGGACCAGTAGATTTCACCGCGGCGCCAGACGAGTAACTGGTTTGCTCCTGATGGGTCTAGTCCTAGTCTGAATGCTCCTGGGACTGGGACTTGGTCACTTATCCATGAAGTAACTGATACTTCTTTCTTGGTTCTAAGGTTAAACCCAATCTTCATCCCGGGAAGTAATGTGTTTGTGGGATGGTCAAAGCTTTGCCATAGAACACGACCCGGAACTCCTCCTGGCCTGATCTCTCTGACCACAAAGTTCCCGGAATCGAGTAAAGTGGCAGACACATTCCCGGCCAATGAAAGCTGCCCGGCTGGTCTTTGGTTCACCAAGATTGGAAAAGCATTTTCCTGTGTTATCTTTAGAACCCCATTGGTGTCAATGGATAGAGCACCAGATGAATCAGAAATCGATTCGATTGGGTTACCCACCCAAACTGGATTTATTGGAATCCTTTGAGGCCAGATACCAAGATATCTAGGACCAGCTGACCCGAGTTCGGAAGTAGATGATTCTTTAGGTGTAAAGAATCCAAGAGCGAAGATACCACCCACAGAGATCAACTGCTCCCAGTCTCTGAGCTGCTGCCCCGGTTTTAACATATCAGTTTTGAGTGGTGAAATGGCGAAAACCGAACTGAGAAAAGTCGGTATGAGAAGGAAAATGAAGGGAACAAGAACGAGTGAAAGAGCCATTTGTTGTTTGCTTGGTTAAGTGTTTGTTTAACTTTTAGCTCTCTTTATAGAAAGTTTTATAGCACCTTTTGTCCCATTTGAATAAGTGATTAGGAATAGTCTTTGGTCTCTGCTTGTAACATAACAAGTCTCATAAGCTTTAAAATATATGATGGCGACTACCTAAGAAATTTCTTTCGAATGGTTCTATTGGAGTCTCTTTCCGAGGCAGAAGTTTCAAAGTCAGACCAAAGATTGGGTTAAGGTTGAGGTCATATCTCTGTCATATGTATTTGGTCCTACTTCAGTTTACATTGGTATATAATGTTAGATCAAGATTTGCAATGGTAAACCATGGAGAGCGTTGATCATAAATTCTAATTTATGTTTTTCAAAATATTTTTTTAATAGAAATTTAGCGAATATATAAACAATCACACGATAGAATGAATAAGTTCACAGATCGAAAACTCAAAAACAAAAATTCAACCTACTTAAAGTCACTTGTATTCGTAATGAAAAATTGTAAATTAGTTATTGAGATATAAGCTTTGATTGGTGTGGAAAATGGAAACGCGTCGTGGGGTTCTTTCGGTGTGATGTGGCTGATGGAATCATGAAATAATGATGATAGTTACTCACTTATAGTTTTTTTTTTTTTATAAACTCTATCGGCTGATCCGGTCAGTCCCGGTAGGAACGCACCGTACAGAGTAGACTATTTCCGTGGTTCAACGATTCAATGGATACCATGAACTCTGAGCGGACTCGGGTCGAACGGGCATAAAATTCATAAGATCCAGAATTGAACTATCACACTGCCTGATCCGAATTTGAAATGTCTTCTGACTAATGCCAAAGGGTAATCATGCCAATAGTTACTTGAGGAATAATTTTCAAAGTCTTCCAATATCAACGTGTATAATTTTCAAAGTCTTCCAATATCAACGTGTATTGCAATCTTCCACACAAACGTTTTTACTCTTAAAATTTTTTTTAGGTAAATGGAAATATTATGGATTTTCAATTCATACGTCTCTCTAAAATCATGACTATTTTTCTACATATATAATATTTATGATCGATACAAATAGATAAATGTCTCTATGACTCTATATGTAGTGTTAGTGTGTTACAGAACTACATTACATTATAAATGCTATTTAGAAGTTCAAGTACATTGGATCATGACTCTTTTTTTTCGGTTTCTGTAATCCACTATGTAATTGTATATTTTGAAGTTTGAACTCAAATCTCTTGGTGTAAGAACTAATAAGCATGTAGCCAACTAACACCACCAAGTGTTTTCACAATGTAAGTGGGATAAATGATGGTTTACAAAAAAAAAAAGTGGGATATATATCACAAATCTTTGAAATATTCACCTTGCATTAGGCCTGGGCAAAATATTCGTTCGATCCGCTTCGATTCGGTATTCGATTTGATTTGATTCGAAAAATCCGAATATCCGTAAGATTTTGAAGCAAAGCAAATAGAAAAATATAATATTCGTTAAAATCGAAACAAATACCAAATACTGTTTTTTAAAATATTGGATATCCGCTTCGATCCGTATTTTCCTATATATATTAGAATATATATAATTATATATATATATATATATAGTTTGTGTATTTGTATCTTTTGGGCTTGGGAATTAGTTTGATGGCATGTTCTTGATCGGTGATATCAACAATGGTTACGTTTGTTTTTTTGAACATATTTTGAAAGCATATCAAACAAGAACTTTGATATCTGATATTTTGTTATTTTTATATTTACGGTTTTTTAAAATATTTAGATGTATAGCGGATATCCGCAAATATCACAAAAAAATCTGGATATTCGAATTTCCGGATATTCGCAAATATCACAAAAAAATCCGGATATTCGAATTTCCGGATATCCGGAAATTTCCGAATCAAAGCAAATCACAAAATCGAGTATTCGGTTAAGACGAATCAAATATCAAATATCACAAAATTTCCGGATATCCGATTCGTGCCCAGGCCTACCTTGCATTACAACTTTTTTGCATTTTATCTTTTTTTCTCCTTAACTAGAGGTGAGAGCTGAGAGATTATTTTCAAGGCGATTTTAGATCTGAAGATTAATGCAACTTAGAAAGCAAAGAAAAATTTGTCTCATACTTTCATTATTGCATACACACTTCTTTTTTCAAGGTCGGTCTCTCTCTTATCTCTCTAAAATCTTTTAGAGAGAGAAACGACTTTTTTTCCAGATCAATTCGGATCTAATCCTACTTTTGATTCATGTTAGACTATGGATTTATTACTTGTTTCTTCTTTGGATGTTCACCGGTGGTTCTCCTGGCCTTCAACCAATCAACCCATGGCCATCCATAATCGTTTTTGTGGTTGGTGCTATGGTTAGGGCGGCTTCTTTTAAGCTTCCTCCACTCGAATCAACCTTCAGATCTGGGTGAGATCTGATGTTTCTTGGCTCCTTCAAACCGGATCCAGTCGATTGAATATCGACATCACCGGCCCAGGCAGCTTTTGACGGTTTTAATGTCTTCTATTGAGGTTCCGTCTTGCCGATCTTAGGTAGCCCAAGATATCTCACTTTCGAAGTCTCCAAATAATCAAGAGAGGACTATATGACCAGAAGTTTAGTTTTGAAGATGTTTGTTTCTCGAAGATGTCAGAACCAGCTTCCGATCTCAGAATTTAACTGGTAAATTGAAGAAGTAAGAGGCAACGTGATAATATTTGTAGTTTTGTTAGAATTGGTCTTGTATCCTGATTATTCGGAAGGTTGTTCTCTGTTAATCAGGCTTTTGTTCCGGAAGTTTTCCATAAACTTGCCGGCTTTGTGTCCGGAGAGGCTTTGGCCTTTGTCGGCTTTGCGTCCGGAGGGGCTTTGGCCCTTGTCGGCTTTGCGTCCGGAGGGGCTTCGGCCCTTGTCGGCTTTGTATCCGGAAGGTGTCGATTTGAACCTTGCCGGCTTTGTGTAATTTTCATTTCCAGTTCAATAAAAGTTTCAATGTTTAGTGAAAAAAAAAAAAAAAAAACTTCTTTTTTCTATGAGTGCAATAAATTACTAGATTTAAACCAACAACGACAAATCAAAAACAATAAGCCAATATTCAATTTTCACTACCCGTACTTGAAAAAAATTACATATTCGACCCCTTTTTTTTTCTCCATTCCTCCAACCCCCAACTATGTACACTTTAAATTTCAATTACACCTAGGATTAAACCCCGGCCCACCATAGTAAAAATAAGTTCCCCATTCATTATTATGCGAACTCTTAATGTCGTAACATTCGGTGTTCTCGGCTAATATCTTGACATCACGCACCGGTACAAGACTGTTGTCCGAATCCACAACCTCCAAATTCCGGAAGTAACTTGCTTTCCCAAACCCTTCGTCTGGAAAATGACCAGAACCCATTTGGGTTGTCGTGTGCCGGCCTGAAGCTCGTGTGTTCACAACCTCACCGCCCCATTCCACGGTAGTCGCGTGGTCGGCCAAGTGTGTGAATAGCTCGGCTGGCCAATAGCCGACAAGTGTGCTGTCCCCTAAACCCATCCACCAGTTCCCCATTTTCGGATCCTGCAATTGCCATTGAATATAATTCCTTTAAACATTACACAATATAAAAGTGTAAGTGTATACGCACGTTTCTATATTAAGTTATATAGATGATAAATAGAGATCTCGTAAGAGAAAGAAAGACTAACCTTCCAAATGAGTATTGTGATATCAAATTGGTTTCCTTTGAAAGTAGAAAGAGGAGAAATGGCTGCTCCAATGGCAATCTTGTTATTTGTTTGGATAAATCCAGAACATAGAAGATTGTAACATCCTGTTGCTTGATATGAATCACTCTAATAACACAAGATTATTATTAGTTTAAGACAAGCTCAAAACCAAAAAAAATAAAAATGATTAACCAAAGTATTGCCAAGCAATGATCAAAAACCAATTTAACATATATTTTCAAAATTTACGACCAAAAATTTGTGTAGATATGTCATCCTATTTTTAGCTTTTGTACAGAACCAAATTTAATGATTTGGAGAGTAGTACAGAAATTGGACTGGTATCAATCCAATTGATAATATGTTATTAATGCAATAATAAATGCTCTACACCAAACATTATCATGATGACTCTGTTCTACCATTAATTTCAAAATGATCACTACTACTACACATTAAAGGAACCTGTAAGAATTTACAAATCAAAATCACCTTCATTTTTGTTGTGCCATAAAATTACCTTCAATTTACCCTATCATAATTTTCATGCACAGTATCACTGAATTTCTAGGTAAATTTCTATTTCAGAAAAGGAATCTATACATAAATATATATATTGGAAGAAGGGTGCCTTCAAAGCAATATTTGGTAAATCTGAAAATACAATCTATATACCAAAATTAGATCCTGAACTACACCTAGAAACTACTCCACTGTCACATGAATGTCCTTAAAAGCAACACATTAAAGTCTATCTTCTTCTCTCAGTTTATACCACAAATAATATTAGGTTTAGATTCTTGAATTAAAACTAATGAAAGTGATTTGCATCATAATATAAAAAGCAACAAATATAAGACAACAACATACCGTCCAATAAGTGAACAATCTTGGTCTGTTGTCACCATACAGCTCCGGACTGACCTGACTAGTAGAACAATCACAGCTTTAGATATAATCCTTTTGTTAAACATACTTCTTAATAGTAGTTCTTAAAAACATAAAATTAAAAGAATATGAGAAGGGTAAAACAGTAAAAACAGTACCTGCCAGCCAGCTTCTATACTATTGAGATCAGGACCGACGAAAGATCCAGAGAGAATCCAAATCTGAGAGAGACTAAACTCATTCACTTCTTCTATCTTTGGATCCCAAACGTTTATCGTCGCCTTTGCTCCATATATCTCCGACGATGTTTCCGTATACGCGATCGCATGCTATCATTCCCCATAACATATGATAAAATTCAATACTAATACAATTATTGAAATAATTAGTTACTACAAGTCTTATTGTACTTAGAGATTAAATTCTAATCGTATTTATAATCCCAATATATGCGAATGAAATGCCGTGCATTTATATATTAATCTTTTATGATAGTTGTATCTTTCAAGAATTATGATAACGAGACCGGATCTTAAAATCCATTGAATGCTTATGTTTTTATGTATTTTATGAATCTGATTAATGTGAAACTGACATTGGAAACTGTTATATGGGTCCATAATTTAATGATTACATAGACAATTCACATTAAACATTGATAACATAGGTATCGTATCTATAGGTATCAACAAAATACGTATATATGCTGTAAAAAAAAGAGAGATTATAATCGAGTGTACCTCATGTCCATTGGTACCAAGTGCATCAGGCTTCTCTATCCGTTGATCAAGGCTAATACTCCGTCGCTTTTTGCCAAAGTCAAACAAAGACTTGGCTCTGAGCACATCGTTCATTGTGTTGCGTCGTATGGGAACGGTACCCTTGGGACACCTCGTGCCGTTCACGTGCCACATTTGCCATGCACCTTCCAATACATTCTCTGCTTCTTTAGCATCATCATCTTTTTCATTCATCTTCGGCATTTTCTTCGGTGCTTTCTGCATTATTTTTCGAAATCAAATTCTTCTCATCGAAAAATGGCTTTTTATCACAATCAAAACGATTTATTTTGTACCATTCAAAAGGTATTAAGAAAAACAATGAGCTTATATGTAATTTGTCACATCCAATTCACCAAAAATTTCATAAATTTACATTTGGAAGCTACCTAAAAAAGTGTTAAATTATTCAATAAAGTTTTTTTTTTTTTTTGATCAAACAAACTAAACTATTTGTTTGATGTTAGTAATAAATAAAAGAAAAAGTTGCGTGGTCAGCATTACCTGAATCTTGTGATGCTTTAAGAGTGGATGATCCAAAGCTGGCTGCTTTCTTTTGGGTACACAATCTATTACATCACCATCTGGACTCTGTAAATTATTTTTTTATAACAACAAAAGTTATGTATATATATATTTCACACAATGATAAAGTTTAGACAAATCAAATACAAATGCATTTGAAACATGTAAATATATATAACCTGAATGGTGAAGACAGGAGACTTGTTGATCTTGTTCAAGTGCTTTTGGATCCTCGCAAGTCTCAAGCTACTGACTTGTCTGTATAGTTTGGTGTCGTTAAAGGCAGAGATATGTATGACCTTCTGGCTCAAAGAGAGACTTACAATAAGAAGAAAAAGAAGAAGACTTTTCTTGGATGCAAGAACAATAACCTCCATCGATCGATCTTTTAAAGCTTTCTTCTTGTATATATGTATCACATTCAGCGTCCAAAGAACGAGAAAGTGAAGAAATTGGAAACTGAGAGGAGGTCAGATTCTTATTAAAGTTAAGGTGGGAGGAGGACCATTTCAAGAAAATGGAAAGAGATATTAGAGAATTACTATAGCTAGCCCAAAATATATAAATGTATATATTTGTGAGTTATAAATTGGGAAGAAGAGAAGTGGGTGAAGAGGTGTAAATATGGAAATGGAAGAGAAGAAGCAGAAGCAATGAGGTTTTCGAGAAGAAGATCAAATCAAGATTCATCATCATTGCCCTGCATTGGTTTCATTTTTATATAGATGGATTTAATTCTTGTCTTTTCTTTCTTATGAAAAAAGAAGAAGAAGAGAAAATATTCATTTTATACATGTGTGTGAGAGAGACTAAAGCAATATTGATTAAAATAAAGTTAAGGGAAATAAATGAAAAAGAAGCAAAGGAAAACTATAAATACAATAGAGAGACCTACCCAACTAACTAAACCTTTCTTCCCTTTTATGACACTCCTTCAATGTTTTCATCTGTCACTACTCTTTTCTTTTTTCTCTTTTTTTTCTAAGATTCAAATTTAAACTTAGAAAAATACATTATATCCAAAGATGTAAGAGTACATATTTTTGGTATTGTACTTGTATCGTAAAATTCGACTCCTGTGAATTGTATAACTTGTCTATACAAGACATTAATAACCAAAATTGTTTACCTTTTGAAAGTGAACGAATTCTTTTGGGTTTAAGTTAGTTTGGATCTATCCATACCAAAGAGTCAAAGTAGAAAGTGTTTTGATATGGTTGAGGTTTTCCTTATCATAGTAAAACTTTTTTTAAATCCAAAAGACTAGTTCAATAAGAAATCTGGTTAGGATCCAATAAAGTATCATCACATTGCTTCATTTACAAAGATCTAGTAATTAAGGTTCTAGTGGAAATGCACGAGGCAGATCAAAACAAGTCACATGATTATAATAATAATCTAATCATTTTGAACGATTTATATTTTCGCAAAACTTTATGGGGACTTTTAATATCTTTGCTTGAGAGTCTCTCAATCGATCCAGCTTTTTTTAGTTACATCATCTAAATTTGGTAGTTTGTCCCACGTGGCGTCCTTTAATTGCGTACTCATACACACCGATTTTAATATAATTATTTTGTGTATATGCCTATAAGTGCACACTCTGAATGCGATGTCTGAACCAATTTCAACAAATGAATTATGAACATACCAACTGAATTCAAAGTTATAATCAATTAAAATTTTGTCATTTTTCTAATATTTATATTCCCTTTTGTTTTGTGCAACTTAATAATATTTAATCTCTCGTTGACCAAGAAATGCAAATGTTGTTTAATTCTAGGACAAGATTAATTTTTCCCCTATTCAATTAAATGTATGTCTTAGTGTTATTTAGAAATGAAAACATAATTGTGCTTAAGAAATCTAAAACAAATTGCCTGAAATTTGCTCTATTTTATTTTCACCACTATGTCTTTTGCTTTGGTCTATATTGACTCTGTTTTAGCATATAGTTAGTCTCAAAATCAGGTCCTTCTCCTTTTACATGAAATTTTAAAGTTGATTTATAAGTTTTAACATAAAAAAAAAAAAAACAGTGCCCGTAATATCTAAATACATATAGAACTTACAGTTCCTTAACCAACTCAATCAAATGATTATGTACAAGTCAAAGTTAAAAATAACAAATGCGTATATAAAGTCACAGTGGACCGTTTTATTATAGTGGTCCATGACAGATCGTCTAGTAAAATTTACACGTTCATCAATTGGGTCAATATCAATCTATCCGGTTCGAGTTATATCCGAACTTAGTTCGAAAAGAATTATCAAATTCAAGTTGATCTGATCTTTTTGGGTTATATATTGATCATGTATTAGAAACATTATAAACAATACCAATTAATCGTCCCCAAAATTTGTAGTTTAAATTTTTTTAAGATGGAAAACAGATTCTGATCCACCTGTTTCAAACGAGGGGTACATTGTACTGTAACGTTGATTTACATAATTACATGCATATCTATCATTCGCATGAAAAAAACTTATGGAAATTTCATTAAAAGGTCTGATCAAAGATTGTTAATTATAAAAAATAATTGTATGTAGTTTTAAAAGCTTTTTAAATATTTTAAGAAGTTGCAAAAGTTTACAAATTTTTAAGATATTTTATAATCTTTCACACAATTTCGATAAATTTAACAAGTTTATGTTTTGCGTCACTAAAAATTTGTGATGAACAATATACACCGACAAAATAGTTAGGCAATTGTCCCAAACATTAATTTGAATTTCAATATAAATCTGCATTACTTACATATTAAAGTCACCTAAAAATAAATGGATGGATCTCATATATATGTATATAATGTTTTGGAGCGCTTTCAAAAAAAAAGAAAGAAAGTATATACATGTTTTTAATCAATGTTCACGTGGGTGAAATTATATGATATGACTGATGTATTTCCAAATTATTTTGGATACATTATCATAAGATTGCGTATAAGTTACAAAAAGAAAGTTTGTTGGATTATGTTAGATAAGATTAGAATAAAACGAGTAAGGCAAACATATATCTTCATCCGATGGTCAAGATGAACAAAAGAGGTTATTATAATGGTTTTTCTTCGGACTTTGCTCAAATCCCAACTTTAGATGCTTCTGCTTCGTCTGATTCGTAATACTAGTTAAATGTATAAATAAATCACTATGTAATTAGTATGAACCTTCCTAGCTACTACGTCACCAGATTCAGGTTCTTAACTACCATAATACCTTTTTCTTACGCAGAACTTCAATGATACCTAGTACATAAATATATGTATTATATTTTTCGTTACATACAGCCTTAACCAAGCCGAAATTTCTATATAAATTTTTAATTTTAAATAAAATTAATAGAAATAAGGGACTTTCAAACATTAGCGGTATGATTAAGTAATGGTGGCCCGAGAAAAAGATATCAACATGGCATGAAAATGAGGGACTTTCAAGCATAGCAAACGCTGGGCCAAGATCATATATTGATGTCTTGTTCACTTTGCCATTGTACGTTGACAACGACGATTACCAACATGTTTTGATGTGTTTTTTTTTTTTTTTTTTAACATGTTTTGATGTTAGTTTTGCAGTTCAAGTGATAGCAATCATATTTTTAAAAATAATTATCGATAACAATTAAGACGTTATATATCGAATGATTTTTTACATGATCATTCGTGTTGGAAGAATTGGCAGAAAAATGTATAACGCTGATGTTGAGATATTTTTCTCTGCTTGGATTATGCATCAATAAACATATATTTATTGCACAATAAAAAGAGATGTACATGCTATAGCACATGTTAAGTATTGAAGAGTTTCAACCAAACTGTGATATAATGTGAGATGGGTAAACTGTGGACCAACATATCATAAATAATTATTAATGATGAAATTAACTGAATTGTTGAACATAAATTTTGATCATATAAAATGTGAAAAAAGAACAGAAATAGGAAATATCTTTATAGACAAAAAGAAAGAAAGAAATATCATATTATCATTCTATAAAATTTCTTACTGGACAGAAATGAAATCCAGAAAACTGATCAAAGAAATGACGATCGACGTGGCAAGTCCCGGTAATATGTTTGATGAGATCGCAATATGAGTCGGAGTCAGCTTAATGGACTACATGGCTTTTTGAGTTACAATAAAATGTAAACGTCATGTTGGTCATGATGACGCACTATTCTATATGAGGGTGTTGGATCAACTTGGGCTCGTGTCATGAGATTCTCTTGAATTCGAACCTATATTGTTATTAATATCAAGCAGGCCCAAATAATACACTTGCCCAAAAATTCGAGATTCAATCAAAGATACCTCCAAAGATTCAAGTGGTGTGGTTGGGATGATTTTCTAGTCATCAACCAAAATGTAGAGTATTTTACAGAAATCTTTGGCAAAAAAGATCAACGAAATATTGGACCACTGTACGAATGGGATCATCGTACTAATTAACCTGTAGTTAACTAAAATATAATTTACACTATTTTTTCGTTTGGATTTTTGATTCGATTAAAATAGCCAATCCAATAAATTCTTTATAGCAACAAAAGTATATTTGTTGGTCTGCTTACTTTTTAAAATCCACCGTTGTCAATGTTGAATCTCTAATATATGGTTCTTGGATTGGCTGTTATACAATCAACTTTTTTTTTTGGGTCAAGCTCTAATAAATAGCTATATATATATATATATATATTAACAAGGAGAATTTGTGAACAAATTCAGTTAAAAGTTATTTTGATATAGTTTCAGAAGATATATTTTGAAACCAATCTATCTGGATGTAAAATCAAATAGAATAACCAAATGTAGTTAACTCAACTAGTAAAGATTTTAGGCGAATCTTAAAAATCGCCGGTTTGAATGATGTTTGAGACGAAACTAATAATATAGTTTTGAGTCCCTGGTATTCAAAAAAGAAAAACAAATTTTGTTGTTTTTAGTAAACTTTGATAAATAGTTTCTCTGAACATAAGGTTTCTGTATCTATAGGAGTTCAATTATAACTTCCAAGAGAGTAGGGGGAAAGAAGGAAACAAGTGTCGGACTCTCAACGATGTAAGAGTGACACTCATCCCCAGAGCCACCTCTTAGTATCTCACAGTTGCTCTTTCTCATGCAATCTAAAGCTCATGTGTTTATACCGACTACTGTTTTCTAGAATATGCACGCAAGTATCTTTCGACAATACTTCATACCAAGTTAATGAAAGTATCAATGATATAGTCAAAAACAATTACCTTTAATTTTTGTTTGATTCGTTTTTTACGAAAGTCTTTGCTCTATGCTTTTTACATCGTCAACACTTTTTTTTTCTAATTCTTTTTACTTGACAGCATATTCAACATCGGCTATTGAGTTTCAATCATTGTTGGTCGTAAAGCCAAAACATTTTATATAGTATTAGGTAACTAATTTGTTTATGTGATTGATTACATTTTCTCTAAAAAGCCATGATAGAATGTTCATTAGTGTAGTTAAAATGTGTGTGCATCCACGTAAGTAAAGTATAGAATGTGCAAAAAATATTCGCATTTATAAATAAGTCAAATCTATGCAAGAAAATAAGTCTTTTCAGAAATGCGAAACTATAAAATATAAAGAAGGTCGATGGTTTATCTTTCATTTCAACTAGGAAAATATACTACACGGTTTAAACAAAAATAGAGGATTTAATAAAGTAGTGGTGTAAAAATAGATACTTCGAGCCGAAGCACCTAATGAGTGGAAGAGCCATGTGTTCCGAGTCGTTCACCAGGACACCCTCGACCTTGACACGTGGCCTATGAAAATGACATATTCCATTTTCGCATCTACGTAGACATTATATACTTCGTCTTTACTTTTGTTATTTTATTTATCTAATATTGTTACTCCTATTCAAAAACCAAACGGTGAAACTTAAGTAAAACCTAAGTAAAACCTCGAAAACAAAATCCTAAAGAATATTACATAATCCGTAAGTATTACGTACGGATATGACTCGAGCTATTTGGAGAGTGGTTTTATTCAAGTTTGAGTTGTAAATTCGATATGGCTTAGAAAAACAGTTTTCGGAATATGTTAAATTTATTTGTCTATTTTATGGGTCTGATTCGTAAAATAAAACTGTACAAATTTTTTGACACTTATGTGGAGCTGTAAGTTTTTTCGGAATAGTACAAAACTGTAAAAAAAACTGTACGAGAAAGTTGTGAATAAAACTCTTAATAACGTTTTTGATAAACTTTTTGTAATTGGTAACTGTAAAAACTATACACCTTGTACCGTTTTAATAATGGATTACCATTTAAACTCTAAATCTTTTAAAATTGTAAATTTCAATTATGCATGTGTATTTAAAACATATATGAGACTTATATTTCTCTAATAAAAGTTTGACCAAAAAGTGCATTGGATAAAAAAACATAGTATCATCATTATATCAACAATTAATATATATATATATATATACAGTAAAACCTCTATAAATTAATAATGTTGGGACTAGAAAATTTTATTAATTTAGAGAGATATTAATTTATCGATAAATTAATAATTATTAATTTATAGAGAGATTTTATTAATTTTGTAATTTCTTAGAAAAAATTCTATCTAAAATTAAATTTTTTCTTTAAGCAAAATCTTTTAAAAAATAATTACAAGTCGAAAATCAATAATTAAGTTTAAAAAACAACACAAACTTATTTCGAATAATAGAGTCATATTTCATTAAACTTTTTACATATAATATTTTAAATATATATCATAGAAATTCATATATGACATATATAAATTTATATCATATATATATATTAAGTTAAATATACATATATATATATATTGATAAGTTTATACAATTATTAATTTATGATATAGATGGGACCATATGTTTACATAGGATTTTAAAAAAAATTATTATCTTATTAATTTATCAATTTATGTCATATTTTACACTGGTCCCAACTCGGGACCGGAAGAATTTATTAATTTAGAGAGGTTATTAATTTATAGAGTATAAATTTATAGAGGTTTAACTGTATATATGCTGGATGTACTGTACTATTAATAAACAAAAGAATTTTATCTTTTAAATTTAGTTATATTGTAGTTTATTAAAAGAATAATATGAGATTTTTTGTTCTGGAAAGAAACGTGCAAGCATATATCGGATACACTTTTCTAACAACATCATCTAAAAACATTTCAGAATGTAAATTTCACTCAGATAACTGAGAACAAAAAAAGGATGGTTGAAATTTCAATGTGGATAGTCGATACTCATATATTATGTATTGAAAAGGTGTAATTTTCACTTTTAAGGAGAGGGGCTCAGAGAGAAACACAAACACGTGAGTCATCATCAAGACAGTGGTCGGGGGTCACTTTCGTGTAACACAGACATTAAATCAAATAAACAAAACGAGAGATCCCTTACCTTAGTGTACTTATATTACACACACTCGTATATACATATGCCACGTAAGAATACGGATACTCATGACGTGTCCACGTATATATATACACACGCACACTTCAATTTTCATTCACTAAACCAGATTCTAAACTCTCATAGAAACACCATGGAAGAAGAGCAACCTCCGGCCAAGAAACGAAACATGGGAAGATCAAGAAAAGGTTGCATGAAAGGTAAAGGCGGTCCAGAGAACGCCACGTGTACTTTCCGTGGAGTCAGGCAACGGACTTGGGGTAAATGGGTGGCTGAGATCCGTGAGCCTAACCGTGGGACTCGTCTCTGGCTCGGCACGTTTAATACCTCAGTCGAAGCCGCCATGGCTTACGATGAAGCAGCTAAGAAACTTTATGGACACGAGGCTAAACTCAACTTGGTGCACCCACAATCACTACAACAACAACAACAACAAGTAGTAGTGAACAGAAACTTGTCTTTTTCGAGCCACGGGTCAGGTTCTTGGGCTTCTAAGCTCGATACGGTTCCAGTGTTGGACCTTGGTCTCGGCCCGGCAACTGGTTCAGGAGGTTCTTGGTCAGGGAGATCGAATTTTTTACAAGAAGACGATGATCATAATTATAATCGAAGACCGTCTTCAAGTGGTTCGAATCTTTGTTGGTTATTACCTAAACAAAGTGATTCACAAGATCAAGAGACCGTTAATGCTGCAAGTGGTTGTGGCGTTGAAGGCGGTGGTGGCTCTAGGTTAACGTTTTCGACCAAGTTGAAACCGAAGAACTTGGTGGTGAGTCCGAATAATGGATTATACAGTGGAGCTTGGTCTAGGTTTCTTGTAGGGCAAGAAAAGAAGCCTGAGCATGACGTCTCATTGTCGTGTGGCTCTTCGGACAATAAGGATAGTATGGTGGTTCCTAGTGGCGGCGGAGAGAGGATGCATAGGCCGGAGGTGGAAGAGCGAACAGGGTATTTGGAAATGGATGATCTTTTGGAGATTGATGATTTGGGTTTGTTGATTGGCAAAAATGGAGATTTCAAGAATTGGTGTTGTGAAGAGTTTCAACATCCATGGAATTGGTTCTGAGAGTTTTTATTTATTATTATTATTTATCATAAATATCTCTTATATTATTTGATTTAGGATTGTTAATTTGCTATACATCAATCGTGGGATTTTTTTTTTCTCCTTGCATGTAGTCCTTATGTGTGTAAATAGGTTTGAGCATGTTGTGAATTTTCTTAAACGTTATGTAAAAAGAAAAATTAATAGATTTAAAGCAAGTTTAGAGTATTTAGAATGTGACAGACTAAATGTTGCAAGGTTTTGAAACAAACTATAATTTATTTTTACTCTCAATGTTCCATGTATCAGGTTCTTTATCGTACTGTTTCCTGCGGACAACATATCTTCAAAAAGGGAACACATATTAGATCAATATCACAAATCCTTGTACTCATGTTTTGATCTTACAAACTTAAGCAACAACATCTTCATCACATGAGTTATCACCCACATCAACATCATCATCATCGTCATCACTAAGGTCATCGCATAAAGCGTCAATTGACGGATCTTCCATAGCATGTTCACAGCCAGTTTCTTCTACCGTAATCAAAGGTAACTTCAGAGGTTGCTCTGGAAACTCCTCCAACAATGAATTCATTACCATGAAGCGGAAGACCTGTAATAAATGGATTTTGTCTCTCTTTATGTTTGCGCTTAGGAGCTTCTCAAGCAATGTAGGTTTTTTAGTCGTCATGGGAGATTCTTGAGATGAATTTTTGCCATCGAGTCTTGGTTTCTTATCAAACTTGTCTTTTTTACCATGTCTTCTCATCTTATGTCTATTGTTCTGGAATTTTCCCTTTTGCCCATTCTTGTGTTGAAAATTTCCATAGTTGTCTCCATTATCTCCACGAACTTGTTCATCTGTATTGGATAAATAATGTGAAGGAACTTCTGCAACTTCAACACCTAACTCAGCCTGCTTTGCTAGAACTTCCCGGAGTTGCTGCATTGCAAAAGTAAAAAGATATATTATATTAATCCGGTGTGTCTAGCATCATAACCATATAAGATGCGGAAAAATACAGGGGTACACGAAAATAAAGAGTACCTGACGACGCATTTTTGCTTCCTCGTCAAGGATGCCGGCTGAAACATTTTTCTTTACTTTCTGCAAATAGATAAACTTAACATTCACAATTTCACCGAAGGAGTGAATTTCAACAAATCAAAGGTGGTGGGAGAGGGAGACTCAAACCTTTTCGACATTGAGCCTCGTTGGAAAATTCTTACGCCGAGCTTCACGCCATTGGTGAACATCTTTTGGTGTATACATCAAAGCATATGATCTTCTCTTGGAGAAAAATAACATCAAAAGAATAATATTAGAGACTGGACTCAATGAACTGACATGAGCTTGAAGAAAAATGATAACAAAAGATGTAATCCAGATAATAATCATTTAAGACTAAGAGTTATATGGATCACACTGCTTTATGAACGTGAAAATTTAGGGAATCAAAATGGCTTAAGAACCAAAAGAAATTCAATGAGCCAAACAGCAAGGTGCTATGCTATTGTGAGACCTAGCAGTCTAGCACTACCTTTTCTTCTCCTTAGCTATGTTACCAGTATCAGATCCATCGAGCCCATTTTTCATCTTATTATAGTTCCCTGTAAATGAGGTCATATATGGAGAGATCAGAAAAGACAAAAAAACACCTTCAAAATTCTCAAATGTTTCAGAAAATCTGAGGAATGGAATACAGAAATATTGGCAATACAAGGATTATACAACAACACAACTAACTTGAAATATATAAAAAGTTTGAAATTAGAAACACTAAAGAGCTGTGAAAATTGTCATTTCTAATGCTAATTTTCTTAACTAATGTAACAACTATAGTCAACAATCCTCGCCCTAATGAAAATTGACATTGTTAAGGGGAACTGAAAGAGTTCGAAGTTTATACAATTTTGACCAAAATTCTAACAATGTGACCAACAACCCATTATCTTTCCATTAAAAGACTAACCTTTGCCCCTGTGATCCTTATTGAATCCAGACTTTCTCTTTCCATTATCTGCTTGATGCAACTGAGGTCTCTGGAATCTACAATAACTCAGACTACATATAAACAAAGTTTATAGCAAACAGATAATTGAAAGCGAGCAAGCAGTAAGAACATACCCTTGACCAGGTCCTTTGAAATTTTGATGCTTTGGAAACTTATTTCGAAAATCATTGCTTTTAGGACCGGAACCATTGGTGTTATCGACAATTCCTACTGACTGCCCCTGTGAAAGCTCAAGTTAACTAAAGAACAAGAAGTACTGGAAACAACTTAGACAAGTCTCTCTCTTGATAGAAAAAAAGCAATGTAAATAAGAAGTTTTTACCTGTGGTCTTGGCTCTGAGAAACCCAGAGGCCGCAATTGGTGATTTGGAACCGGAGGATAAGGAAGAGAGTTAAAGGAATTAAGCTGTGGTCGAGAAGTGAAAGCAGGATGTTCAAGATTAGGCTGGAACAAATTGGGAAGAGAGTGACCCATAAGGTTACTATTAGCAACTGCAAACTGAAGATTCCCCAAGAGATTGGGAAGTAACTGGTTGATATGGTTGGGCATAGCAAACTGATGAAGTTGTTGTTGAGGCATATTGTTAAAGAACTGAGGATGTATTGGCATATTGGGCACTGGAATAGGATTGTTCATGTGACCCATCATTGGATTACTCATCATCTGTGGATTCATCATCCCTAATTGATTAGAGTTCATTGGGTTCTGATACCCATTGTGTTGTTGGTGGTGATTAGAATACCCATTGTTCTGTATATGGCAAAGCAAACACAGAGATATCAACACAATAAAATCTTTGATTTTGTGGTGAAAAGGAGAGATTTTGATTGAGTGGCAGAGAAATAGAAAGAGAGAGAGACCTGTTGTTGTTGTTGTTGTTGATGTTGCGGTCGATGAGGACGAGCTTGAGGCTGGAAGGAATTGAACGGAGGTCGCATTATGAAGGATTTTGCTCTGCTAGGGTTTAGGGTTTTAGGATTACTTATGAACTTCGATAACTCTTGAGCTTAAATCTCTGCTCAGTGACAAATCAAGAAGATGGGCAAATCGAGACGATGATCTGTAGAAGAAATTTGCTACCTTGAATTCGTGGATTTCGTCGGCGTTAAAGCTATGGCGAGTCACGCGACTCTGTCGGAGTGAAAGAAGAAACCTAATTAAAACTCTTGAGATAACAGAATCTGTGTTTCGTATCTCTTCCTCAGAATTGAACCGCGAACCAACCGGTACGAACCGGTAATAATGTGCTTGAAGACGTGGCGCGGTATCCACGTGGCTGACAGTTAAGGCTTTTGTCCGAAAATATTGAACGTGAAGTGGGCCAGAATGTTTGCTCACTTATGGGCCATTGGTAACCCAATCAAGCCCAAATATCGTTAGGACAGTGTTCTAGCTTCTATGTGAAGCTGTCATACACAAGCGTCATGTGAGTTCTTGTTTAGAAATAAGAATGAATAAAAAGGTTGTGTCTCTCTCCCAACGCTTTGGTTCGTTCCTTCTTGTGAAACTTGAGGTGGATATAGGTTGCATTTAATAAAAGTCGTACGAATGAAAAAAAATAATAAAAGTCGTAGACTTATAATGGAAGTAATCACAATGGAAAACAAAATATATGAAATCCAAAATAATCACTAGTTTAAAAAAATTATAACATACAATAAACAATCGTAGAAACCAAATAAGGACTTTAAATAAAATTGTTATAGCAGTTAGTGAAAAAAAAACAATAGTAGAAAAAGGATGTGAACTTATGTACAACAGCAATACATAAATGTACAATACTATCATTCTCTTGGACCACAAGTACTAATGAGAAACTCTGTCATGCTCTTTTTAATAGCAAGACTGTAAAAAAACTAAAAAATTAACATTTTTGGCTGTCATAACACGGGTATGAAGACATTATAATAAATCACATGAAAAAGTGAAAACCAAAAAATTAACTATATAAATACCAGTCTTCCTTCACATTTTTAACTTGACGAAGTAAAACAAACAAAAAAGTGATATTATGATGATCTCAACTAGAAAATTTGAACTATTGGTTATAGCCTACGTGTTTCTGTTCCTAGTATTGGTTATGTCTAGTCTGATCATGGTCGAGGCACGTGCTTTTTTCGTGTTTGGCGACTCGCTTGTCGACAGTGGCAACAACAACTATCTGGTGACAACTGCACGTGCCGACTCTCCGCCGTATGGAATCGATTTTCCTACTCGGAGACCAACCGGCCGGTTTTCCAACGGTCTAAACATTCCAGATCTTATCAGTTACGTTTGGTTACTAATCTCATTAACCGGTTTAGAGTAATCTTGATTCAATGTCTCGATGAGTATACACATATTTAGTCATAATATGTAATTTACTCTATATACCAAAAGACATAATAATCAATTGGTTAATATTGGTTAGGTGAGGCAATCGGCAACGAAGAGCCACCGTTACCTTACCTTAGTCCAGAGCTAAGGGGCCGAAGGCTTCTTAACGGTGCCAATTTCGCCTCGGCCGGTATCGGAATTCTCAACGATACCGGATTCCAATTCGTAAGTATAGAAAACCGGTTCTGACATCAAGTGAAAAAATTTCATTAATTTATAGATATAAAATTTTGGTATGCAGATCAACATTATAAGAATGTACCAACAACTCGATTACTTCCAACAATACCAACAACGTGTGAGTCGCTTGATAGGGAAACCACAAACTCAACGGCTCGTGAGTCAAGCACTTGTATTAATCACGGTCGGAGGAAACGATTTCGTGAACAACTATTTCTTGTTTCCATATTCCGCTAGATCACGCCAATTCTCTCTACCGGATTACGTCCGACTCCTAATTTCTGAATACAAAAAAATACTATTGGTAAGTGGTAACAACAGTTCTTGTGATATAATTTCGTTCATTATTGTATGACCAAAAATTTGAGGCTTTCTATAAGTTTGTTGGGATGGATACGAAAAATGAATTGGAGTGATTTCGTCTCTGGCATTTGAACTCATGATCTCAAGAACTTTCACCCTGTTACATTGATTTGAGTATTTTTGCAAACAATTTATTTTGTGTTATTTCTAGAGGTTAAATTCTCTTGGAGTTGGTCGAGTTCTAGTGACCGGAGCTGGACCACTAGGATGTGCACCGACCGAACTGGCGAGATCAGGCACGTCGAATGGGAGATGCTCGACCGAGCTACAACGAGCTGCGTCTCTATATGATCCACAGCTACTTCAAATGATAAATGAACTTAACAAAAAGATTGGGAGAAATGTGTTTATTGCTGCAAACACTAACCAAATGCAAGAGGATTTTCTAAGCACTCCACGAAGATATGGTAATTACCGCGATTTTTCCCTTTCTAATTATCTACTTTTCGTCGAGAAGAAAGGGTCAAAGGGGTATAACTATTATTTATTTTTGTTATAGGATTTGTAACGTCGAAGGTTGCTTGTTGTGGACAAGGGCCGTACAATGGGATGGGTTTGTGTACGGTACTATCGAACTTGTGTCCGAACCGTGAGTTATACGTGTTTTGGGACGCGTTTCATCCGACTGAGAAAGCAAACCGCATGATAGTCCGTCATATCTTGACCGGTACCACCAAGTATATGAACCCCATGAACCTTAGCTCTGCTCTTGCCCTATGAGCGAAACATACAATCATTTAAAGTTGAAGTGGAAAACTCGGTTTTGTTTATTTCATTTATGTTTATTTGATTCACAAGATGTATGTATCGACTACCGAGTTCAAGAGCATGAAATAAGTCTGAATTTAACTTGTTTCTTGATTTTAATTTTTAATTGGAAAAACTTGTTTTTGATTTGATTTACTTATAGAGTATTTATTTTTTGCACCCAATGACATAGATTTTTTTTTTCAGTAGCAATGGTGAAAATAAATTTGGTTAATAGCAAAAAAAAAACAAAATTAATATCTTAGAGTATTTACGTAACATATATTTTTAAATGGGTTTATTAAATAGTAGCTAGAGTTTAACTAGTGTCGCAATCTAATTGACATGTGTCGTGATCATATTATAGTAAGATACATACATTATATATGCATATATCAATATGACATATATGTGCGTGTGTACCTTCACTATATATTCAATAAAATGTAGAAGTAAATAGATTTGGTTATATTCGGTATTGAATGATATGCATATACATCTTATATCACTTTAACATATATGTGCATATATAACATACAATTTATTTATGTAAATCTACCATATAAAATAAAAGTAACTTTAAATATGACATAATTTATTTACATCTAAAATATCGTGTAACGGACATATCAATGAAGGGGCATTAATGTCATTTTGCAGAAAATTTTGATAAAACACGTAATCATTTTTACAAACGACAAATCTCGTAAATTTTTTTTGACAAAATTATCTAAAACTTAAATCTCAAAATCTAGTCTAAATCTTCAATCTTAATACCTAAAAATGTACATTTTCTGGTTATTTACTTTTATTCTGATTTTTTTTGGTCAAACACCTATTATATGAACTAAAAATATGAATTTTGATACAATCCTTTTAATGTATTTCCAAAATAGAGATATTAGTCTTACAAAACTCAATAAAACCTTACCAAAGTTAATAAAGTGACTTTAAATATGACATAAATAATTTATATTAAATATATTGTGTAACATATATATCAATAAAGGGGCATTAATGCCATTTTGCATCAAAATTTGTTAAAACAAGCAATCATTTTCAGAAACGACAAAACTCGTAAAAAAATGTGACAAAATTCATAAATACGTAATCATAAAATAGTCAAAAACCTAAATCTTAAAATCTACTCTAAATCTTGAATCTTTAAACCTAAAAATGTATATTTCCTTGTTATTTACTTTAAATCTGATTTTTTCATTGAAGTTATCCCTATTATAAGATATTTTTTTGGTCAAACTCCCTATTATATGAACTAAAAATATTAACTTTGATTCAATCCTCTTAATATATTACCAAAATAGAGATATTATTATTGGTTTTACAAAACTCATTAAAACCTTACCAAAGTTAATAAAAAGCTGTGAGGAAAAGACAAATTACCAAAAGTGGCCTTGACTCGAACCTTCTGAGTGATAAAGAGGTATAAGGTCTATTTCAGAGATGAAACTTTGAAAATAAAATCCCTACAGAGAGATTGAGAATTGAATTTGGGAAACCAGGTTTAGGATCAACGATGATGATTATGAAGATTGAAGAGTCGGCGATTGTTTTGTCTCTGCTCAAATCCGATCTCCGGCCGATGGAAGACGTTTTATCGGAATTCAACTCCAAGTTCGATGATAGCTCTCGTCACCTCAGTGTCTGCGATTCTCTTTCCATGATGTTGCAGGTATGTGCTCGCTCGCTATATTCCTCTTCTTACTTTTCTTTTGAACTTTCTCTCGATGCTAGTGTTCTCGATTGCGTGGGACAGTAGCGAGTTTTAGGGGTTTTTGGATGTTTCACTGTCGAAGGATTTGATTTGAATCTAGGGTTTTCTTTCGAGGTTTGGTTTCGTATCTGCTGAAACGATATCTTTTGTGTGTTTCTATGGTTCGTATATTGAATTCGTTGATGAATGAAGTCTAGTGTTTGAGTGTTCTTCTATTTATTGTATACACAGGGGATAATTCGGAAGTGATGATAAGAAATATTTTTGAGGCGTGTTTTACATTTGAAAACCATTTCTAATATCTGTTCTCAGATTGAGGGGACTAATTGAATGAAGTTTTGTTCAATTTCAGGATCAGAAGACGCTTCAGAATACTGAACGTCTAATTGCATTTGCTATCATATACCAGTGTTATTCTTCCCAGAAGCCATCTCTCAACCCGTTTTTATCTGAAATGATAAGTGTAAGCACCCTTCATTGTGCCTCTAATACATGGTATAAATGCAATTTTCCTTTTACCTGCTCAGTTGTGTTGAGTTGTTGATTGTCTCTTAACTTAATAAGTGTGTTTTTAATCCTGGAGAATCGTAGGTACTGATATAATTTGGTTTTCATAAGCATATTTAAGTGTTAAGCTTGGTAGTTAGTATAGGTCAGTTGTTTCTCGAATAGTTGAGAATGATGAGTTTCCATGTATTCCCTCAGGCTAAATTTTATCTATAGATTGATTTAGGCAAACATGTTTTGTGTCTTAGCATGATGTAGTCTTCTCGTATGAAAGAATAACGATATCTATGCCTTTTGCAGGCTGCTTGTAATGAGCAACTAGAAAAGTCTGAGAGAGCATTTCTTCTCCACCTGTTACAATGGAATAGTTACAACAACGTGAAAGAGGTAGGATATAGCTGCACTTATAGATGTTTCCTTGTGCTGTTTGCCTGCTTCTTTTTTGCTAATCCATGAAAATTCAACTTATGTATAAAGCTGTTATGCAATTCCCTTTTCACATATACTTTCTAAGACCACTATCTTATATAAACTTGTTTGCTGGGCTCACTTATTTTTGTCATAAATAAGTCCATCACTCCGATCAGGCATATTCTAACCTAACCCTTCTTTCGTTTCTCATATCATTTTCAAGTCCCGATTTGTATTATTTACTAAGTATTCATGATCAATTAAAGTAACGATAGTTTACTCCCTTGCAGATTCTCAAACAGTCAGCTGTTGATTATATCAGATCGTTTGATCCTTCAACTCATGTAAGAGCGGTTGACGCATAAATATCTTTTTTTCTAATTATATATTATCTTCATCATAACTGTTCCTTTATTATGCCTAACATTACCTGGAGAACACTTAGAGAAACCTTTTCTGGTTATTGATCTAATATGGTGATGTTTTGTCAGGATTTTCCGGAACTAGGAGAACTGCAACGTGAGTATGGTGACAAAGCCGATCCCGGACCATCTAGTCACATTTTTGCAGACTGTTCCCTCAAAAAGCTATTGCATGATCCTGATGTTCCTCGTGGGTGCGATCCTAACTCTCCAGAGTACGTAACCTATGAGTTAGGGGATTCCGTTTCTTTCTAAATGTTATGTACAGTTGAATCTGATCTATCTCTCCCAAGCTTCCAGTTTTCCTCTCAGCCTAATGTTCTGTGTTATAATTAATGTGCCAATTTTAAGTTGACTTTATGGATGACCAAATAATCATGTAGGTTTGATGTGCAACCTGGAGGGAACCCCAGAATTGGATCTGGTGATAGGGATGAGGCCCTGTCTGGATTCTTGGGAAATTTGACAATGGGGGAATTAGCTCCTAGGTGGATCCGTCCATGTCCACCAAGGTACCCAGTTCATCAGAGCGAGGTAAGGCTAAGATTCTCCCATTATTCAACTGGTTCAGAAAATTATCGAACTGACCTAAATGGTTCAATTTCTTACAGTTGCTTTGGATTGATCCTGATAACAAGCATGAGCTTGTTTGGGACGATAAAATGTGTGCTGATACAAGCAGAGGTGCAACAGTTAGAGACTTGCTTGTTAAGGGTTTAAAGGTGACACTTTCACCTACGGAGCAAGAGGTATATTATTGCTTGTTAATTCTTGATATCCGCATAAAGTCATTATAAGTGGTGACCATTTTATTGCCTATCTTACTCTAACACTTATAAGCAAGTTAACATAGCAATGGGTCAGTAACTACATATGCACAAGTTTTAAAGGTAGTAAAGGCAGCCATTGTATGCAGATATACTCATAGTTTTGAGAGAGAAGTCGTGATTTCACTCTAGTCTTTCCTTTCTCATTGGATTTAAAGATTTAGGATATTAAGAAGGAACTGACTGCAGTAAGTGTTTATGGAAAATAACCATGCAATAGATAAATAGTGATTGTGATGTTTTATTTCATCAGCCTTGCCCGTATAACTGATCAATTTAGAAAACCTAGATCTTTTGAGTGAAGAAAATAACAAGTTTTATTCATTTACTGGCCAGGACATCACTACAGAATTGGCAAATGACCCAAAGCTTGTCTATCACTGTGGAATAACTCCACGGAAGCTGCCGGTATGTGATTTCATTTTCTGGCAGGTGCTTTTTTTTTTCCTTTCTTATCGTCTCTTCTATCATGTGATCTAGTTTCTTATTCTCAGCAATTAGTAGAGCACAATCCTCAAATAGCAGTTGAGATTCTCACCAAGTTGATTAACTCCCCAGAGATTGCCGAGTAAGTCATCACCTTATCCGTTCCACCATTTACTGTCGATCAAAATTATAACTTTTAAAGTGGCAATCTGAGAATGCTTCTGCAGCTATTTTACAGCTCTAGTAAGTATGGACATGAGCCTGCACTCAATGGAAGTTGTGAATAGGCTCACAACTGCAGTTGAACTTCCCAAGGAATTCATACGGATGTACATCACTAATTGCATATCGTCTTGTGAGAACGCTAAGGTATTAAAACAAAGCTTTCTTTTGTTTTTTCCTTTAGGTATTTTTAAAAAAGCTTTCTATGCATAGCTATAAAGCCATCCTATAATTTTGTGTTAAAAACTTCTGTCGTGCTCTGCATTATTTGCTGTTTTGTATATGATTCTAGGATTTGTTGATTTACAATGTGTACATTTTCTTCTGTATAGTTTTTTTTGTTAATGGTATAGTGATATATTGTTTTCGATCTGTAGCAGCAAGACAAATACATGCAGAATAGGCTTGTACGGCTTGTTTGCGTATTCTTGCAAAGCCTAATTCGTAACAACATCATCAACGGTATGTATTCTCTGTTTCTGACTGATTGCTATCAAATTTGGCATTTTGCTTTGCTAATAACATTCACAGAGGAAGCTCATGCTGTACAATTGGGTGATTTATGTTTGTTTGTTTTGGTAAATGTAACAGTGAAGGATCTATTCATAGAAGTTCAAGCTTTCTGCATTGAGTTTTCTCGGATTCGAGAAGCAGCTGGTCTCTTCAGGCTTTTGAAAACATTGGAATGAATAATTTACTCTTTCTTCTTCTTCTTCTAATCATCTTCGTCTCCATTTTAATTTATTATCTATTTTTGTAGCTAAAGAAAGTACTTTTTTGAATCCAAGACAGTTTTCGCTTTTTTAGAGCTTCATATCTCTCAATTCATATGTTTTTGACAACCAAAAAATTCTGGTTAGACTTAGACGGCATGTCCTTTCCATTGGGCTAGGGTACATGCTCACACCGATAGTACCAACAACTGCTGGTTCTTATCCGGATTGGTTAAGGCTCCGGTTAAACCTTAAAAGTTGTTGTTTGATTCTATAAAGTGACTTATTTTATGTTCAATGTAAAATTGTATATCTATTTTGTTTTGTTACAGGTATATTACTCTATGTATTTTCCCAATATAAGATATCGTTGAGGATAAAGGAATCAGTAAATAATGATTTAGCTGTCTGTCATCAAGTTTGCTTCATAGTAAAGACACAGATGTAATGCTTCGTCTCAAAGCTTTAATGTTGGGTGTATATGTAAAAATAATTTTGGAAAACTAGATTATTACCTTTTTTATTTTTTGTTTACTGGAGAATTTTTGTTAAAACTAGATTATTACTCTATTTAGTAAAATATGAGTAAATAAAAAATTTGAAAATCGGATTGAACAAATATATATATTTTAAAAAAAATCTTAAAGGTGAAAACACAAACGACTTCGAGGACCCAAAAAGAAACTTTTGTTTAGAAAAAAAAAATTGAAAATGAAAGCTTCCAACTTTGCGAAATTTTTGGTTCAGACAGAGTAGTAGCGAAATTTTCGATCTCTGTCCATAAAGAATCAGAACAAAAGCTGAATCAATCGGCTTGAAGTAGTAGAGCAGCTCTCTCGTCTCCTCTCCATTGTTGTTGGGTAAGAAACATAAAGTTGAAAGCTTTCTCCTTCAGTCGCCCAATGTTGCTAATTGCTTCTTCTTCTTCTGATCTTTCTAGCTGAGTCAATAGAAGACAATGGCGGTTCCTGTAGAGGAAGCAATCGCAGCTCTTTCCACATTCTCCTTAGAGGTAGCTCCGATGTTCAAGATTTTGCTTAAATTTAGAATTGTGGGGTTCTGGATCATTTTGACTACAATTTTCTTTCTGGAGTTCATATTTCAGAAATTTGACTTGTTGTTTCTTCATTTTGATAAATTATTTTCGTGTAAAATTATCACGTATACTGTTTAATCACCTATTTGTCTGCGGATCTTTGCCTAGTTAGCAGTAAAATAGGTTTCAGCGAGATGTTGAAGATTTAAGTAGCTTCTTGAAAATTTTGAAGTCACTGTAGTACATTTTCTTGAATCATTTTGAACTTTGTTATAGGATGAGCAACCAGAAGTCCAAGGACCGGCTGTGATGGTTTCAGCTGAAAGAGCAGCAACCGATAGTCCCATCGGTATGCCTTTTTACTTCTCTTCGTCACTATTTTACCATGAAAGACAACTGAATTAAGATGTTTTTTTGTTCAATTTTGTAGAGTATAGTGATGTTGCAGCATATCGATTATCTCTATCAGAAGACACAAAAGCTCTAAACCAGCTGGTATATGGTTCTATAATTTGATAACTAAAGTCTTTCTTAGTGGGTGTGATCTTATTTTATTTCAATATCTCAAGTAAGTTTTCGACCAATTGTATGCAGAATACACTTATACAAGAAGGAAAAGAGATGGCGTCAATTCTATACACATATAGAAGTTGTGTTAAAGCACTGCCTCAGGTCCTTGTGAAATCTATCACTATACTCCTTTGCTTATCTACATATAGACATTTTATCTGATAAAATGTAACTTTGAGAATTACGCTATGAGTTCGTTCTTCATTCATGGTATTCGAAATCTCGTAGCAACCATACGAGAATCTTTTTTGAACTACAAAGTATAATGCAAAAAGAAAAGCAAGAAAAACAAAGTTCTCTGTACAAATAATAGCGAATGACAGAAATTACTAAAATAATATCCAATATGGTACCTGCTCTGGGTGTTCTTGTGTATATCTCATCCATAATACACATAACTTTCTCTATTAATGATATGCATGCAGCTTCCCGAATCTATGAAGCATAGTCAAGCGGATTTGTATCTAGAAACATATCAAGTTTTGGACTTAGAGATGAGTCGTTTACGCGAAATTCAGAGATGGCAGTCATCGGCTTCAGCTAAAGTACGGTGTATATCCTTCCTCGTCCAACTCGTTTTATATTAAAATTCCTGTATCAGAAATAATGTGCCTATGTCTGTGCAGTTAGCTGCTGATATGCAGCGGTTTTCCAGACCTGAACGGCGCATCAATGGCCCCACAGTCACACATCTTTGGTGGGTTATAACTCTTCTTTTATGTTTTGTATAGATCCTTGGATGATTAACACTCCTCGTGTATATAATTTAACTGTGATTTTACTTAATATAGGTCAATGCTAAAGTTGCTTGACGTCTTGGTTCAGCTGGATCATCTTAAAAATGCTAAAGCTAGCATTCCTAATGATTTCTCTTGGTATAAGAGGTGAAAGATATAATGCTTTTATTGTCCCTATCTATTATTTCTGCAAGTAGGATACTTGAATGTAGGTCGATCTATGGTTGTTACTAATCATTTCAGCTACTAAAGCTCTCTTTATGAGTTTAATTAGTTTCCTAGAAGCTTTGTTGTTAGTTTCTGTTATTAAGATACTTTCACTCTTTTCAGAACATTCACTCAAGTCAGTGCGCAGTGGCAAGATACAGATACAATGAGAGAAGAGTTAGATGACTTGCAGGTGTTTGCATGGCTTGTTATGCATTCATTTCTTAATGCCTTCTCCTTTAATTTTTCGTAAATGAAAATGTGAGTTCTCTGTATGTATGCAGATTTTCCTGAGCACAAGATGGGCTATTTTACTCAACCTGCATGTTGAGATGTTCCGTGTAAACAAGTATCCTTTCTTCCAAACATTTATCACTATCGTGTGGCTGTTAAAGATATTATTATGGGTTTCTCTATTTGAGATACACATGCTGCTCATGTCCCTTGTGCTATTTGACAATATTGCAAGCTTTTGGATTCCTTAGTAAAATCAGTGTGGAAGATATTCTCCAAGTTCTCATAGTCTTCATCGTTGAGTCTCTGGAGTTGGATTTTGCACTACTTTTTCCTGAGCGTTATATTCTTCTCCGAGTTTTACCTGTTCTTGTTGTCTTAGCAACACCATCTGAGAAAGATACCGAGGCTTTATACAAGAGGGTAAAACTCAACAGATTAATAAACATTTTCAAGGTATTGAATTTCATGTTATACCTGTTTATGTTTCGCATACGCAACCAATATACCTTAAAGCCTTGTTTCCAACTCGCGAATTGACAAATTTGTTGTGTTTTTATCGGTAATCAGAATGATCCTGTCATTCCTGCGTTTCCAGATCTCCATCTTTCTCCTGCTGCAATTTTGAAAGAGTTGTCGGTATACTTTCAAAAGTTTTCATCACAGACTCGCCTTCTGACTCTTCCAGCACCTCATGAGCTCCCTCCACGCGAAGCTCTAGAATATCCTTTAAGATTTTCACTGTTACTTGCCTATTTAACTATTATCTGGATTATTGTAACTTGTACACATGCTTTGAAAATTGCAAGCCTTTACATATTTTACATATCAGAGACACTATTTGATAGTCAATCACATTGGAGCTCTCCGTGCTGAGCACGACGATTTTACAATCCGATTTGCTTCATCCATGAATCAGGTGATCAAGCTATTCTATCCCTGGAACTCCAATTTCTTGTTCTTATCTTGAGTCTCTAGGATGTTTTTTTAACTTGCTTTCATGCAGTTATTGCTGTTGAAGTCAAACGATGGAGCATATACTGAATGGTGCAGAGAGGTCAAAGGAAATATGTACGATATGGTTGTTGAAGGTTTCCAACTGTTAAGTAGATGGACAGCACGCATTTGGGAGCAATGTGCTTGGAAATTCTCTCGCCCATGTAGGGATGCAGGAGAGACTCCGGAAGCCTCCGGATCATATTCTGATTACGAGAAGGTAATACTTGTGAAATATTTTCTGAAAAGTTTTATCTTTTATGGTAACAAGTTCTGGATTCTTTTTAATAGGTGGTGAGGTTCAATTATACTGCAGAAGAAAGGAAAGCCTTGGTAGAACTTGTTGGCTATATAAAGAGTGTAGGATCAATGCTGCAGCGCTGTGACACATTAGTTGCAGATGCTTTATGGGAGACAATACATGCCGAAGTTCAAGATTTTGTACAGAACACGTTAGCCACAATGTTGCGTACCACCTTCCGAAAGAAGAAAGATCTCTCAAGGTGAATTAGTTTTCCTTTATTTTCTTTCTATTTCAAGTCTTATTCTCTTAACTTAAGCTTTCCATATTGTTAACGGTATCATATGTATGGTTGCATTTCAGGATTCTTTCTGATATGCGGACACTTTCAGCTGACTGGATGGCAAATACCAGGCCCGAACATGAGATGCCATCTTCACAACATGGAAATGATGAAAGCAGAGGGAATTTCTTTTATCCGAGGCCAGTTGCCCCAACAGCAGCACAGGTTTGGGTCCATTTCAAGATCATTTTAAGTACAACTACAGATGGTAAGACCCAGTGCTTAAACTTCTTGCTGTTTTGTTGTTTCAGGTGCATTGCTTGCAGTTTTTGATATATGAGGTTGTCTCTGGTGGAAATCTGAGGAGGCCAGGGGGATTCTTTGGAAATAATGGCTCTGAGATTCCTGTTAATGACTTAAAGCAATTAGAAACGTTCTTCTACAAGCTCAGCTTTTTCTTGCACATATTGGATTACTCGGGTAACCCACATGCTAAATGTCTTTTTGGTTAGTTTATTGAGCCATATCAATAGCTTTATAAGCTGACTCCTCAACTTCAATTTATGATGGCTGCAGCAAGTATTGGAATATTGACTGATCTGGGGTTCCTCTGGTTTAGAGAATTTTACCTGGAGTCTTCACGTGTTATTCAGGTACGCGGCATTACGAAAAGGTTATACCTATATTTTACCACTTTGTTTTCATTGCAGGCCTGACTTGTTCTTACAAATAGTTATATATTCACCACTGCAGTTCCCGATTGAGTGTTCACTACCATGGATGCTGATAGACTACATTCTGGAAGCTCAGAATTCAGGCCTTCTTGAAAGTGTTCTGCTGCCTTTTGACATTTATAATGACTCAGCTCAACAAGCTCTGGTTGTTCTGAGGCAGAGATTCCTCTATGATGAAATTGAAGCTGAGGTAATTAGAGTTCAATTTCGATCTCAACAGCTATAAACCTATAGGTCTTCTTGCATGAAAAAGTTCCTTGAACAAAATTATCGGTTCTTGTACCCTGTCTTCTTTCTGTAGGTGGACCATGGTTTTGATATATTTGTTTCAAGGCTCTCGGAGTCTATATTCACATATTACAAGAGTTGGTCTGCAAGGTACCTAATTACATGGTTTTTGATATATTCACCCCCTTCACTGTTAACTAATGAGGAGCTAAAGCCTTTTATCGTCAATTGTTGAGTTCAACAGTGAGCTTCTTGATCCATCATTTCTCTTTGCCTTGGACAATGGTGAAAAGTTCTCCATCCAGCCTGTGAGATTTACTGCGTTATTTAAGATGACAAAAGTAAAGGTGAATAATGATACTGCTCTCTGGTTATATAGAAAGTCACAATTAGTTGAATCTTTAGCTCCATTGTTATGACCTAACATAGGATTAGATTATGTTTCAAGCAGTGGTTCTAATTATGTGTGGGTTGGCATGTTTATAGAATCTTCTTACTGAGTTTTGTTGTGACATGCAGATACTTGGTAGAACAATCAATTTAAGAAGTTTGATCGCTCAAAGGATGAATAAAATCTTTAGAGAGAATCTGGAGTTTCTTTTTGACCGTTTTGAGTCCCAAGACCTATGTGCTGTTGTGGTAAGTTTTTTTTTTTTTTTTTTTTTTTCTTTTTCATTTTCTTGATTCTGTATGTATTACCATTTCTTTTAAAATATACAAAAGTGGATGCTCCCTTCAACTGCAGGAATTGGAGAAACTGATAGATATCCTAAAGCACTCGCATGAATTGCTTTCACAAGATCTTTCCATAGATCCTTTCAGTCTCATGTTGAATGAAATGCAAGAAAACATTTCTCTTGTCTCATTTTCAAGTCGACTTGCTACACAGGTCAGATATACAAATTACAAGTCCTGACTATAATTTTTCTCATCTTTTCTCAATCTTCGATTTTTTTTGTTGTCTGCTAGATTTGGTCAGAGATGCAGAGTGATTTCCTACCAAACTTCATTCTTTGCAATACCACACAACGATTTGTCCGTTCATCGAAAGTTCCTCCTACTCAGAAACCATCAGTGCCTTCTGCTAAGCCTAGTTTCTATTGTGGCACTCAAGTAAGGAGCAATCTCTTAGGCCATTTTTTCTCTTAATTTGTTCAGAAACAATCTTATAGACCCATTTTTTGGTTACCTCTATAGTGTCTTTGGTCTCATTATATTTTTGTTGTCATTTTTTTACTCTGGTAGGACTTAAATGCAGCGCATCAAAGTTTTGCACGATTGCATAGTGGATTTTTCGGGATACCACATTTATTTTCCATAGTTAAACTTCTTGGATCTAGATCACTGCCTTGGCTTATAAGAGCTTTGCTGGACCATATATCAAATAAGGTATATTTGCACTTTGTACCATTTATTCTTTTTGTCTAGGTACTAACTATAAAGGAACCAGCTAAAATAGTTCTTTTTCCTGAAAACCTTTCAGATAACAACACTTGAGCCAATGATCTCTGGATTGCAAGAAGCACTGCCCAAGTCTATTGGATTGCTTTCTTTTGATGGTGGTGTTACAGGTTAATGCCTGGTTGCAGTATTGTTGATGTGTTTCGATTTTCTGTGATGTTATATCTACTGATGCTTTTCGCTGTTTCATTTAAAGGTTGTATGAAGCTTATACGAGAGCAACTAAACTGGGGCACTAAGTCAGAACTCAAGTCAGAAGTTCTACGAGGAATAAAGGAAATTGGAAGTGTGATATATACAATGGGACTTCTCGATATCGTATTGGTCAGTCCTATCAGACAGAATTAAAGCTAAAAATTCTTATGATTTAGTCTAAAAAATGATTATAACACATTATCATACAGAGAGAGGTCGACACAAAGCGGTTCATGCAAACAGCTCCATGGTTGGGATTAATCCCGGGTGCTGAAGGACAGATAGTTAATGCTCAAGACGGCGAAAGCCCTCTTGTCAATCTCCTAAAGTCAGCAACTTCTGCAGTTGTGTCAAGTCCAAGTTGTCTTAATCCAGCTGCGTTCTACACCATGTCCAAACAGGCAGAAGCTGCAGGTTAATTAAGAGCTGTAGCTATTCAATCACCAGTTTCTTGTTTACTCTTTTTTTTGCGACAAAGTTTCAATCTTTTTGGTATTATATTATATGTGCAGATCTTTTGTATAAGGCAAACATGAACGGGGGAAGCGTTCTTGAATATACACTTGCATTCACAAGTGCGTCGCTCGACAAATATTGCAGTAAATGGAGTGCTCCTCCAAAGACGGGCTTCATTGATATTACAACTTCAAAGGATTTTTACCGTATATACGGTGGTCTTCAGATTGTAAGCCATCCAAAACCGCAAACCTTATTAAAACATCTTTTTTAACCGCAGCAACATTCTTCTCTTCTCAATTCTTATATAAAGTTTGCAATGAACTCAGGGATATCTGGAGGAGATAACAGCTCCACAGTCAGCTCAACATGAAGTCCTCGGTGATTCGATAGCTTGGGGTGGTTGCACCATTATTTACTTGCTCGGCCAGCAACTTCACTTTGAGTTGTTTGATTTTTCGTATCAAGTACTCAATGTCTCTGAGGTTGAAACTGTCTCTGCTTCACATACTCACAGGAATCCTCAAATCCATCAGGTAGATTTTCCTGTCTCCATCCTCTCGTTAAATTGTTTTTATGTACATATAGTTATATTTCGTTTTGTTGAATCCTCTCATTCTCCATTTGAATATCTTTTTTTTTATGTGTAAGAAAGGGATGGGAAGGTTTGTTGGAAGGGATGAAGAAAGCTCGGAGGCTGAACAACCATGTCTTCTCCATGCTTAAAGCTCGTTGTCCGCTCGAAGACAAAACGGCTTGTGCCATCAAACAGAGCGGCGCACCGCTGCCACGTGTCAGGTTTGAGAATACTGTGTCTGCTTTCGAAACTCTACCTCAGAAAGGTACCGTTGGCTGATGCAATTTGTACAAGAACCAACCAGAGTGTTTTTAGTGGGTCCATTTGGTTAGACTCAATACCTTCCCATAATCTTTCACCTTGTTGCATGTATTCAAAACATAACATTTGGATTAATTGATATACTTTGTTATTTATTTTATTAGTTATAGAGAAATTATCAGTAACCATCATCAAATTGGATATAACAATTGCAAATTTCTTACAACTAGTCACCACCAGTATTAATAGAACATCGACAAACAAAGCCTTGACAAAAACGAGGATATTTATGCCTTCTAAAACAATAACGCGCACACTTATAACAAAATCAGCTGATGCAGGACCTTCCACCACAGGCTTGTAAGAAGAAGGAATCGTCGATGTACCTATAAAGATATATAGGAAAACAAACTAAACGATTAAATTAAAATCTTAATCGTAAAGTGTTATCAAAAATATAAAACATGATAAATGTTTATCTTTTTATTTTTTTTGATAAACCCTATCGGTCAGCCCCGGTAGAAACGCACCGAAGTGCTTCAGAGTGGACTTCTCCCCGAAGGGCTACCACACTGTCTGTCCCGAGTTTGGAATGCTTTCCGACTAATGCCAGAGGTAGCCAGATCGCATGTTACTGACTAACAGGTAAACTGTTTGGCCCAAACCCAGACTTCCCACACATATATGATTTTTGTTTTCAGGGTGTATCGAACTTGAGTTAGTTCCTTCCAACCTATCCCCAGTTTTCCCTTACCACTAGACCACATATGTCTGGGCATAAATAAATAAATGTTTATCTTAGTTAACCGAAAATCTACTTACATAATGAAACAAATATTAGAAGAGTTAAAACAAAAATAGTAGTCTTCATTTTCTTTTCTTTTGCTTTTTGAGATTTTAAATATTTTTGCAAAGCGCTTTAAGTTATTGAGATGATATAGTGTCATATTTATAAGTGTATCTTTTACTTATGTTACAAAACAGTTAATATTATAAGTACGTTTTTTTTACAAGTAGTAATTTAAAGAAACATACTCCTTTAAATTACAGTTCTTATTTTAATGTATTAAATAGCATAGTTATGGTGGTTATTTCAGATTAGAAAGATAATAATACTCACAAACTTTTTGATCGTTTTGTTTATAATCTTTTTATATATTAAGTGATAAACAAAATAAAAGTACAATCGTTTGGTTCAAATTAATGCATATGTAGTTACATTTAGAGGTATCGAATCGACGAATCCTCTCATTCTCTGTCTGAATGTCTTCTCCATGCTTAAAGCTCGTTGTCCCCACGAAGACAAAACGGCTTGTGCCATCAAACAAAGCCGCTCACTGCTGCCACGTTTCATGTTTGAGAATGATGTGTCTGCTTTCGAGACTCTACCTCAGAAAGGCCCCGTTGGCTGATGCTATGTGCACTAGAACCAAAGTGTTTCCTTCTTTCTTGCTTAACAAGTGACCTGGAAAATCGTTTGTATATCAATGGAGTTTTTTTTAAGATAAACGCATATTAATAAATATATACACAATGTGGTTCGAGTAAATAGGGATGATGAAAAGCGAGAGATAAACAAAGCAAGTTTAGTTAGGGTTTTGCTTGTGAAACCTTGTTAATATAGCAACTTTCATGAACCTACAATTTTCTCAAAAAAACTCATGTCACACAACGTAAACCCCCAAAATGAAAATACCATAGGAATTCGCGTTTTGGCAACATTCATGATGATTGTTGATTTGTTTCTTTATATTTTGATATATAAAAGATGTGTCCTTTATTTCATTACAAGACCAAAAAACCTGCTAATTTTTTTTTCTCTAATTATCAAACATTAATTGAAAACTGTTTTATTAGTTGCCAAATCCGAAGTATAAACGTCTACAAGTATAAACATTAATCGTTTTTAATTGTTCATTTCTTCCCACTTTTTCAATTACTCTACCGGTCAGAGCTTTATATAAAATTAATTATATAAATGATCAATAACCATCATCAAACTAGGTGTAACAATGACAAAGTTTTTGTAACTACGGACCTAGCCATGTATGAGTGGAATATAACAACGACAAACAAAGCCTTTAGGCCCTTTACAACTAAGAAAATGTCTACCCCTTCGCATACAATGACGTACACAATCGTAACAAAAATCATCTTCAACTGTTGTTGGGCCTTCTACGAACTTCAAATCAGGATAATTTTTTTTTGAGCCAGGTACTATTACGACTTTCTTTTTCTTCGATTCACCTATTTTTTTAGTACAAGAAAATTATTAGTTAAAATATTACTAGAGAAAGACAATATTGTTAAAAATATACAATATATGATATACGTTTGATTCTAGTTAAGTTATAAATACTTACATGATATTGATGAAACTAAGATTAGAATAGTTAAAAAACAAACAACTGTCTTCATTTTGTTTTCCTTTTCCTAGAGATGAGTGAGATAGTGTCACAATGTCATATTTATATACCATTTATTTATGTTACGAAAATAGTACAGTGGTTTATGGTTAACGTTTTTTTTTTCTTTCTTAAAATTAGTAAATAAAGAAAATATCATCTTTAAAATTACAGTTAAATTTAAGTGTATTAAATAGTTATGGTATTTTAGTAATTAAATAGTTGTGGACCGACTTGCATAAAATCGTAAACCCGGTTTGACCAAACCGCGTTATAACAGAACCAAGAAAAAAGCAAAGAGTCGGCGAAAAAGATATAAAAGTGCGAACCAGAGAGAGACAAAGGTCAGAAGATTTGATTTCTCTTATTCCTCTTCAAAGCCAAAGAATTTACAGAGAGATATATATTCTTTTAGGGTTTTTGAGTATCTCGCGAGGTTTTACAGAGATTTTTCCGATATGGTGAGTTTAGGTTTCTGCTGTCTATTTTCAATTTTATTCTCTGATTGTTGTTCCTCAGATCGATTTCTGTTTCTATGTAATCTTTTATACTCGCATGCATATCTTGTTCAATCTCTAAAATTTTTAGCCTTTTGTTGGATGATTTGTTTGTCTTGATTCATTTGCATGTCATAAGAGCTTTGGGCGGCGAAAATTTTCATCTTTAGGTTGTAAAACGCAATTAAAGTTGTTAGCTTTTTGTGTTTGTAGCTTCATGATCTGTGGGATTTTATTTTCAAAGTTTAGTCTTTTAATGTTTGGGTTTTTTGTTTTGTAGAATTCGATGGTGAATCAGAAGACTGTTTTGGCTGTGACGGATGATGTGGTGTTGCCTGTTAGCTCTGTTAGCTCTGTTCTTACTATTATGAAAGAGCTTGGCAAGGATGTGGTTGAGCGTTTTGATCCTCTGATTATTACTCAAGCATCCACAATAAGTAAATCTCTGTTCCTCTTTATTCTCTGGTTCTTTGTTTAGCTCAGATTATGAATTAGTTGTTAGACTTCTTAGTGAAGCTTATAGTAATTAGCATATGGTTAGTCTGGAGTGTATGTAGATAGGAAGATTCGTGTCTGTACTATATGGAGAGGTGAGCAATTTTGTAGGGTGAGAACACTTGAAGACGACATGCTGTGGGATATTCTTTTGTGCCTTCTTCTCATTGTGTTGGAATATTGATCATTTTTGCAGATCAGTTTCCTTTGGATGCTTCCTCAGTGGACGCGGTTTTAGCCATTTCCAAAACATCTGATTTTCCCAGTGATAAAATATGTGGTGAGTTCTCAAGAATCTTGAAGCCTGGTGGCACGGTTTTTGTGTGCAAAGTTTTGGAGGGTGAAACGGGAGAAATGCAACAGGTTTGTGTCGTGTATCTACTCTTATGTATAATGGGGTTTCTTTGAACTTTTATTTCTTAATCTTATGGCGTCTTCCTTGCAGACCATTCAAAGGAGAGTGACGTTGGCTGGTTTTCTGGAGCCACAGTGTCTTGATTTGAAATCAATTAAGTTGTCTACGTTCAGTTTATCCTTTGGGGTGAGCACTTTTACACGTCTTTTCTGTCTTCTCTTTCTTTTATTATGAGGAAACATTTCTTATTCCCCGAAAATAAGAATAAAATCTTGCTGGGTTCAGGCTTATTCTAGGCATTTAACATGAAGGATAAAAGATCTTCCTTCTACGTATCTGTCAAACTTGCATATATGCTCTCACTTTGGCTCATCCACATAACAGTGAAACATGTTGTCAAATGCAGATTAAGGCAAAGAAACCTTCTTGGAAGATTGGTTCATCATTTGCTCTCAAAAAGCCTGCAAAAGTTCTCTTAAAGGTTAATCTAGATGATGACTTGGATCTTATTGATGAAGATTCTCTTTTAACAGAGGAGGACTTGAAGAAGCCACAGCTTCCTGTTGGTAATTAAAGACATCCACATGATCTTTGTTATCCTTATTTCATCCCTTGTGTGTGAGATATCTTGTATTTTCTGCAGCCAGCGGTTGCGAGACCACCAAAAAAGCTTGCAAGAACTGTGTCTGTGGTAGAGCTGAGATTGAGGAGAAAGCTGTGAAGCTGGGTCTCACAGAGGATCAAATCGAGAATCCACAATCATCATGTGGCAGCGTAAGCTTCTTTACCCATCTCTTTCTCTGTATGCTTTGGATTTTTGGTTCCACAAGACTGAAAATTTCTTGACCAATCATTTCAGTGTGGGCTCGGTGATGCCTTCCGCTGCGGTACATGCCCTTACAAAGGTCTGCCACCCTTCAAATTAGGCGAGAAGGTAACTGATCCTTTATATCTATCAACATTGTAAAGTCTTGTAAATCCTTTTAAGAATACACTTCATTCATGCAACTTTTTCTTCCTCTTTAGGTATCCCTATCTCAAAACTTCCTTGAAGCTGACATATAAGCATGTGAAAGGTGCATCTTCATACATGGTTGTTTCTCACCGAAGCCAAAACCTTTTGCTAATCGCAGAGTAGTTTCATCATTTACTTTGTTCTCTTTCGTATAATTTGTTTGTTGGTACTTTTATTTTGTGGCTCTAAAGGCTTATAGAAGATTGTTGGTGTTGCCCACAAAGCACAAACCTTAGTTGCAATGAAGAACAGTTTTACATTTCGTTAAATAATGTATTAACACCAGAGCTTGTGTTGTCTGAAGTGCTTCACTGTTTCTTTGGTAATGTGAGCTCTGTAGATTCATCTGTGGTAATCAATCTTTGGTTTCTTACTACGTAATAATGATCTGACAGATAGATCTAAAAACAACAGCACAACAAAATGTAATTTCTATATCGCCTCTTTTCCTGGAAAGAAACTAAACTCAACCCCCAAACCCAAGTATAACCTAACCAACAGTTAGACAAGTTAGACAAGCTTCGACTGTAAGATACAGTTCGGCTATCATTACCAAACTGAACTGGATCAGTGTAGATCAGTGGAAAAGAAGCTGAATTGCTACAGAATCCCAAGTATCAGAGAGTTTGGGAGAACCTCAAAAGCCTTTCTAAGTTTAGCAATATCAAACTCCTCTAAGCTGAACTTCCAACTGCTCTATTCGCATAGCCAAATCATGCTTCCCGCTATTCTTCAACCCATCAGTAACCATATCAAAGCACCGTGATATCGGAACCAAACCCATCTCTGTCATCTCAACCAAGTAATTAGCTGCATCCACGAATTTCCCACCACGACCACACATTGTAATCAGCATTGTGTAAACCGGTCTGTTAGGCGGATGAGCCTTCACTTTCATGTCACTGAAAAAGCTAAAGGCATCATCAAACATCCCATTCCTACACATTCCCTTGATTATCGGAGCATACAAACTCGGAAACGGCTTATGCCCATCTTCCACACAATTGTTCAACAACCGAAACGCCTCATCGATCTTTCCAATCTTTGAAACCGCAGGTATAAGTGTCTTGTAAGTGTCGATATCTACACAAAGGCCTAACTTGCAAGCAGTATAATACATCTCAATGCAAAATTCAACTTCCCCTGATTTAGATATAGCTTCAATCAGAGTATTAAAAGTCTGAATATCAGGAACAAACCCTCCTTTGGTCATCTTATCCACCATCTCTTTAGCAGATTCCAAGTAACCAGCATTTAACAATCCTTCAATAAGCAAATCACGTCCACGAGCCGGTGGATTAAACCCTTTCCTACTCATTTCATCAAGAAACTCTTGAGCCTCCTTCATTTTTCCGGCGGAACACCATCCGTTAACCAAGATCGCGTATGTCCGCTTATCCGGCTTGAGTCCTTTCCTTATCATTCGCCTGATCAAAGCGTAAGCGCCATGGAACATCTTCACATCACAAAGCGCATGGAGCAAGGAATTGTAAACATCAACGGTTTGTTGACATCCTAGAGTCTTCGGGACGCCATTGAAAAGCTCCACAGCTTGATCTACATGACCGTTCTTACCGTATTGCTCAATGATGAAGCAGAGAGTCTCGCCGGAGATGTCGAGAGACAAATCCTTCATCTGTTTGAGTATTTTCCACATCGATTCGTATTTTTTATGTGAAGCTAAGGATTTAGCAAGCTCTTCATATTCCATGGAGGTTGGTGTATAGCTAGGGTTCGATCGTGCCCAATTGAAGAAACGGAGAGAATCATTGGCGGAACGAGAAGTGGCGCGGAGGACTCTGAACACGAACTCGGAGGTTACAGGGAGACGGAGACTGTTCAATGATCTCTCTGGATGAATCTCGCGGCGGACGATGTTGACAACGTGGTTGATCGCGGCGAAGTAATCTCCTTTAGTTGGAGTCGAATCAGAGCTTTGCAAAGGCTCGAGACTAGTGAAATGGCGAATATTAGATTCAATAGAACCTCTGAAATCATTGGTGAAGATAGAGAAGAGTCTTCCGCCGGTATAACGCCGGAGGAGGAACATTTTCTCACTCGGACAATCTCTCCGATGAAGATGAGTTTAGAGAGAAGACTAACCAGTGACGTGGAATATTGATTTTAATTTTTTTATTTAATTTATTTATTGAACAGTTAATCAAAACGCTGCGTATTAGAGCGGATGCCCTAGTTTAGTGTCTTGGTATAAAAACCCTATATTTGTCATTTCTCCTCCAGTCTCTGCATTAGGTTTCATTTTAGCGGCAGACGAGAGCAAAAGCAAGGAGAAACCCTAACCATGGCGACTCAAGCAGCTGCTGAATCTGTGCAATGTTTCGGAAGGAAGAAGACCGCAGTGGCCGTCACTCACTGCAAACGTGGATCTGGTTTGATCAAGCTCAACGGTTCCCCAATCGAGCTTTTCCAGCCTGAGATCCTCCGATTCAAGATCTTCGAGCCGGTTCTTCTCCTCGGAAAGCACCGTTTCGCAGGTGTCGACATGAGGATCCGTGTCAATGGTGGTGGTCACACTTCTCAGGTTTACGCTATCCGTCAGAGTATCGCGAAGGCTCTTGTTGCGTTCTACCAGAAGTATGTGGATGAGCAATCGAAGAAGGAGATTAAGGATGTCTTGGTGAGGTATGATAGGACTCTGCTTGTGGCGGATCCGAGAAGGTGTGAGCCAAAGAAGTTTGGTGGTCCTGGTGCTCGTGCTCGTTTCCAGAAGAGTTACCGTTAAACAAAGCTGGTTTGTTTTGTTTTTCAATTTGGAATCATCGTGAGGTTTTTTGGAGTATGGACTTGTGAGACTCTTTAGATTTATAATTTCAGTTTTATTATGCTTGTTGGATAATGGTGATTCTCCAAGAAACTTATGTTTTGTTATGTTTACTCGTTTTGTTATCTTAAAGTTCTTATTTTTATTTCATTGTCTTGTTGGTTTTTACTCAATATATGGTATTTGCATAGTCCGATCAAAGGTTAGGTTAATCATTGCTTATACAATCTGCATTTGTGTCTATATATTAGGTCTAGTTTAGTTTATGAGAAGGCTGTTGTTTGATGTTGCTTAGCTATAGACTACAGTGTGATGAAATCTCTGTTAAACAAATGGGCGAAATGTTAGTCTTTGCTCCTGAGTAGATCAATAGAAGTTGTGTTATGCTTAGCTTGATGTTGTTTTAATCTGTAAGCACAGATATGCACAGCATTTGATCTGATCTTTTGATTTCCCATTGGATCTAAACTAGCTCTGCTGTTTATCGTATCTTAAGTCTTCTCTCTGTCTTGCTTTTGTTGGATTTCTCAAAAATTTATCTTTGCCATGCAAATTTGGTTTGTCTGCTGATTCGACGCAATCATTAGCATCTTACTATTGATTAAGGAGATTAGAATTGGAATAACGTCCTGGCTTGGAGGGACTCATCAATAATCACAGAATTTTTTGTCTAATAACTTGCTGATCAAACATACAACCCCGTCTGAAAGGTGACAATTGACAATCGGAAGATTTTTGTTGAAGCCTATACAGCTATACTCATCTTCTCAAACCTGAATAGAGGAACCAGCCTCTTACCTGGCCGTAATTTGTGTGATCCCACAACTTCTAAACTGAAATTAAAACTTCTGTGTCTCTTCAAGCAAACATGAGGCAAAAAAATTAGGTATTATCTCTCAAAACGTCCAAAACACTATCTTTGTGGAGAATCTTATGGGAAGTTCTAGGAGATCGGAACTCGATGGCTATGGGCTATGGCTTCAAGTTGTGTTTGAAAGAACAGTTTCTGTCTGAAGTTATTGATCATGAAGATACATGATTTAGGTTTGGTATAAGGAAGATTGCTGGATCTAAAAGATTTATTGTTGTTCTTCATGATGTTGATAAACAAAGAACAACTTGATGCCTTAGTGGGAACAATCTCAGTGGTTTGGTTCTGTAAGTAGGATCATGTGACCACGGAAAACAAACAACTTTTGATAAGGGCATGGGATCAAGAAGTGACACTCTTAAGATTTTCTGCCTCTTTGCATTTGGAGAGAGATATGCAGCAGATTGTTGTATCGAGCTTGCTAGTGAAAGTACTCAATGGGCTAATGAGTAAAAAATAGTATTGATTTTTTTTTTCTTTTGGTCAACGAAAATCAAAATACTATTGATTAAGTTGGCTAAAAAAAGAATTGTTTGTCTAGCGTTTCTTTTACTTATTACGCTAAAGTCTTTCTCTTCCCACCAGACTCTAGTCCATTCAATGGCTATTGCAGAGGTGATTGGTTTCTTCTTCACACTTGTTTGTGTAATTTGGTATTGGGTTTACAAAATACATAAGAATTTCCAGCAGAAGAGATGCAGATCATCAATCGAGTCTTCTTCTTCGTCGTCTCTTTCATCTCCTCCAACTCTTTCGTCTCCTATATCTCGAACCTGGACACACCAAGTATTTCCCAGCTTCCGCGGGGAAGACGTACGGAAAGGGTTTCTTAGTCATATTCAGAAGGAGTTCAAAAGCAAAGGAATCGTTCCATTTATTGATGACGAGATGAAGAGAGGTGAATCGATCGGTCCGGGGCTCTTTCAGGCCATTAGAGAATCAAAGATAGCAATTGTCTTGCTGTCAAAGAACTACGCTTCGTCTAGCTGGTGCCTCAACGAATTGGTTGAGATTATGAATTGCAGGGAAGAGATTGGTCAAACGGTGATGACTGTTTTCTATGAAGTGGATCCATCTGATGTTAGAAAGCAGACCGGAGATTTCGGTAAAGCCTTTGAGAAAACCTGTGTTGGGAAAACGCAAGAGGTGAAGCAGAGATGGAGTCGAGCTTTGATGGATGTCGCAAATATACTCGGACAAGATTCTCGCAAATGGTTGGTGTCGTCTCGCATTTCATATTTTTCTCTTTTTAGTATGTTTTTTTTTATGAGTTCCTTTTTGATTCTCCAGGGATAAAGAAGCGGACATGATTGTTAGAGTTGCAAAAGATGTATCGGACGTCTTGAGCTATACGCCGTCGAGGGATTTTGATGACTATGTTGGAATCCGACCTCATATTACAAGAATCAATTCCTTGTTAAGCCTAGAGTCTGGTGATGTGAGGATGATAGGGATATTGGGTCCTCCTGGGATTGGCAAGACCACCATTGCACGAGTTTTATATGACCAAATCTCTGAAAAGTTCCAATATTCTGCCTTTATAGAGAACATCAGACTAAGCTACTGGAAAGGCTGGCATGATGAGGGTGATTTGGATTTTCCAATGACTGGAGACCGGCAAAGGAAGTTGAATTTACAAAGACGGCTTTTGTCTGAATTATTCAACCACAAGGATATCCAGGTTCGTCATTTAGGTGCAGTTCAGGAGAGGCTCAGGGACCACAAAGTTCTTGTCATTCTTGATGGTGTGGATCAATTAGAGCAACTAACTGCATTGGCGAAAGAAACTCAGTGGTTCGGTTATGGAAGTAGGATTGTCATCACAACACAAGATCAAAGGCTTTTGAGGGCGCATGAGATCAATCATGTTTACAAGGTGGAACTCCCTGCTACAGATGAAGCTCTCCAGATCTTCTGTCTGTATGCTTTTGGTCAAAAGTTCCCATCTGATGGTTTTAAGAAACTTGCTCGGGAGTTTACTGCACTTGCAGGTGAACTTCCTCTGGGTCTAAGAGTTTTGGGATCTTATTTGCGAGGAATGTCCCTGGAAGAGTGGACAAACGCACTACCACGGTTAAGGACTAGCCTTGACGGTGAAATTGAGAAAACTCTAAGATTTGCCTACAATGTCTTGAGCGATAAAGATAAAGCTCTTTTTCTGCATATAGCATGTTTGTTCAACGGCTGTCAAGTTAATCATGTGAAACAGTGGCTTGCTAATAGCGGTTTGGACGTTAACCATGGTTTTGAAGTCTTGAGCAATAAATCTCTCATATATACAGATATGGGTCTCGTACGTATGCATTCTTTGCTTCAACAACTAGGTGTTGACATTGTCCGTAAACAATCTATTGGAGAGCCTGAAAAACGTCAGTTTTTAGTAGATGTTAATGAGATTTCTGATGTTATCACCGACAATACAGTAAGTATATTTACAGTTGTCTCTTTCCTTTCTAACTACGTCTCTAATATCTTTTGTCAATTAACTAAATCATACTTAATAACTCTTGATATTTTCTTGCTTTGGACATACCTCAGGGCACTGGGAATATTCTAGGAATAATGCTTCATGTCTCTAAGATCGAGGATGTATTAGTTATAGAAGAAATGGTGTTTGATAGGATGACTAATCTCCAATTTCTAATATTTGACGAGTGTTTGAGGGATAAGTTGAACTTACCACTAGGCCTGAATTGTCTACCCCGTAAACTCAGGTTACTGCGTTGGGACTATTGTCCGTTGAGCGTTTGGCCCTCTAAGTTCTCTGCAAAGTTTCTCGTTGAGCTTATCATGCGGGGGAACAAATTTGAAAAACTGTGGGAAGGAATCCAGGTAAAATTTTATAATGTTTTTGTATTGATAAAATTGTCTTCTAATTGTCTAAACATTACTATAAACGCACAAAATGTGCCTTTTTTTGTACAGCCACTCAAAAATCTCAAAAGGATGGAGCTGGGTGATGCCAGGAGCCTGAAAGAGATTCCAGATCTCTCAAATGCCATTAACCTCGAGTCATTGCTTCTCTCTTTTTGCACTAGTCTGTTGGAAATCCCTTCCTCTATTAGAGACACCACTAGTCTCAAGGAATTGGATCTCGGTGGTTGCGCAAGTCTGGTGAAGCTCTCCTCCGGTATATGTAATGCCACTAGTCTCGAGATATTGAATCTTAGTGCTTGCTCAAATTTGGTGGAGCTCCCCTGTGCTCTTCCTGGCGACATCAACATGAAATCTCTGTCTAAACTTCTTTTGAATGGAAGCTCACGGTTGAAAACTTTTCCAGAGATCTCTACAAACATCCAAGAACTCAATCTGAGTGGTACCGCGATAGAAGAAGTGCCTTCATCGATCAGGTCGTGGTCTCGTCTCGATAAATTAGATATGTCGCGGTGCAAAAGCCTGAAGATGTTTCCACCTGTTCCTGATGGAATTTCAGTGCTAGACTTGAGTGAGACAGAAATAGAAGACATTCCTCCGTGGGTCGAGAATCTCTCTCAGCTTCGACACTTAGTTATGATCAGATGCAAGAAGCTGGACAACATCTCATTATCAAGAATTTCCAAGATGGAAGGTGTTCATTGTCTGCAAATTACTCGTGGTGATGAGTATGTCTCTGGTGATTCGATAGTAAACATCAGGTGGTACTCTGACTTCCCAAACCAATGGACTTTACAGTCGGATATGTTACAAATTTGTCTGCCAGAGTTGGTTTATACTTCCCCAGTGTCACTATACTTCATCCGTAATGATTTCAAGACTATTCCAGATTGCATCAAAAATCTTTCTCAACTACATCAGCTTTCATTCTATAGATGTCATAAGCTTGTATCGCTGCCACAATTTTCAGATTGCCTCTCATCTCTAGATGCAGAAAATTGTGTGTCACTTGAGACAATAGATGGCTCCTTTCAGAATCCAGATATCCGTCTGAATTTTGTTAACTGCATCAACCTGAATCAAGAAGCAAGAGAACTCATCCAGAAATCGGTTTGCAAACATGCCCTGTTACCTTCTGGAGAAGTTCCTGCATACTTCATTCATCGAGCTGCTGGAGATTCACTAACAATTCATTTAAAAGAGAGGCATCTTCCTCTATTCTTGATATTTAAGGCTTGTCTAGTCCTGTCCAATGACGATGAAATCAATTACGATTACGATGCTGACGATGATGATGATGACTATGACGAGGAGGTCATAGTCTATGGTGATTATGATAGTTACCCTCATAGCGATGATTATACGAAACAGGAGATCTTGAGGTTATCTTGTCGCATCAAAGGCAAACAGAATGGCCTCACTATTCAATATGGATCTAGTGTGCACCTTCTACCAACTCCGCTTATGTCTACAGAGCATGTGTACATATTTGAAGCTTCTTTCTCTCTAGGCGAGTGCAACAATCCTGAAGCAGAAAGCGAGCTTGTCTTTGACTTCAAGGTTCACGATTACTTTTGGGCGATAAAAGAGTGTGGTCTTCAACTCTTGAAGCTCCCTCATGTTCATGAAGATGATTGACGAGAGCTTCAGATGTAGTAGCAGAGGTTGTGCAGACAGCCAGATGGAGAAGGATCTTCCAATATCATTATGTTTCCGCAGTAATGGTTTGAAGGCTATTCCAGATTGCATCAAATGTCTCTCCGGACTAAGAAAGCTTGACATCAGAGAATGTAGAAAGCTCGTAGCACTTCCACAGCTTCCGCGTTCCCTTTTGTTAGTAGATGCAGAAAACTGTGAATCCTTGAAGAGAATAGACTGCTCTTTTAAGAATTCGAAGATTTGTCTAAATTTTGCTAACTGCGTCAACCTGAATCAAGAAGCGAGAGAGCTTACTGGAACATCAGCTTGCAAATATGCGCTCTTACCTGGTATAGAAGTTCCTGCACACTTCAGTCACCAAGCTACTTCAGGCTCCCTAACGATCAACTTGACTCCAAGGCCTCTTCCTTCATCCTTCAAATTCAAAGCTTGCATCTTGCTGTCTAAAAGCAATATTAATCTCGAGAATCACAATGACGATGAGAATTCATTGATGTGTGTGTCTTGTCGTGTCAGGGGTAAACAGAATGGCTTCATTGTTCGATATGGATCAAACGAGCTCCGTATACCAGCTCTACTTGAAGAAGATACAGGGCATCTGTATATATTTGAAGATTATTTCTCTCTAAATCAGGATTCGCCTGAAGCCGAAGAAGCCACTTTCAGCGAGCTTGTGTTTGACTTCATAGTTCACGATAAAACCTGGAAGGTGAAAGGCTGCGGTGTAAATCTTTTGGAAGTCCTTCACCATATTCTTGACGGAAAAGAAACAGAAGACGAAGACTGTATGGACAGAAACAAGATAGAGAAAAATAAAGAAACTGAAGAAGAAGAATCTGGAGGTGATGATGATGCAGAGATATGGATAAACCAAGCACCACTTACAAGCTCGTCTCGAATTGGATCATCTGTATATGTTTGAAGCTTCCTTGTCTCTAAAAGAAGGCAACAATCATGAAGCAGAACTGGGGTTCCTGCGACCTTGTCTTTGAGTTCAAGATCCACACTAAATTTTCATTTATATATAGGTGCCGTGTGCAGGTCATCCCTCATGTTCATGAAGCTATCAATATAGACAGCAAATCAGAGACAAAGACAGATTCAGACATTGATTAGTGACGATGGACACATCTACTTTGGTAAGATTAGAAGGGACAACCAAGACCAGAGGAGGAGGAATGCTGTTAGCGCTTAAGTAAGTAAAAACCGGAGAAGTGGTTTTTCGATCCCTGACCAATCTGCTTTTTGAGGATCATGTCACTGCAAAGTCATGGCATGGGAGTCACAGATCTCATAAGCAGGCAGAGTGATAACTGAGATCAAAGATCATGTCATTGGATCCAGATCCTCTGTTTTTTTTTGTAACCTTAACCATGATTTCTTTCATCCTCTAATGCATCAACATTTTTCTTCACCACAGAGAAATATTTTCTGATACAGAAAACTTCACCTATCGATCAATCAACACTTCAATTCCAAAGTTAACCAAAACAACGTTCATGAAACGCAGCTTCGATCATCATCTCTAGGTCTCTAGATGAGAACCTAACAAAAGAAAGAGATTCAAAGAAGAAGATAACAAACGTTTACAATTTTCATGAATGCCTCTGTGATTGATCGTAAGCTTCCTTTAAACGCGACAGTTTCTGATACTTCATCTCAGCCGTTGCTTCTTCTTCTAATCTCCACGGTCCACGTGTCCATTTAACCCCTCTTTCATATTCCTATATCAAATCCTTCCTCCCCAAACAACCATGCCCACATGGTTGAAAAGAAGATATTACTTCAGCAAATCATACAAAAACTCTTAAGTAGTCTCTGTTGCATCTTCAACTAAAAAACCTCCAGGATCCCAGACTCGGTTGGTTCGAAGTGGAAGACGAGACTGTTTCTTATCCATATCGACTCCAACGAAAAAATGAGTGGCATATGCAACATGAGTAACAAGCAGAACCATGTATTGACGAAGTCGATTCTGTATAACCCAAATAGAAAATCTCAGAGTAGGCTGGTTGTTTTCAGTGTCAAGATCAGCACTAACAGACCCTCCTTTCCTTATGTATTGATCAAAAGTTGCAAAGACTTTTGTATCATTAGGCTTACTATCTCCCTGTTGTTTCTGGTGATCTTCAGCCATCACAGCCTCTATTTGTGGCCTGGCTTTCTGCAAATTCATGTTCCCAAATCTGAATTTCCCGAACTTGAATCCGGTTAGTAGCCATATTGGAAGTGTTTCATGACACACTTGATCATCTTCCTTGAAACAGTCACCTTTGAGCATGAACCAAGTTTTAGAGAACTTATTCTTCTTCATCAATGCAACTTTAGCACTTGAACAAGGATATTTGTACTTGACATCCCCTTTAACATCAAAACCAGACTGTGGATGTGAATCCTCCAAGTGATGCTCAAATGTTGTCAAGTGACGAATATACATGCTGTCCCATCTGAAAATGAATAGCTGTGTATCCAAGTGTATCATATTTCTCTGCAAATTCAAGTTTTTGAACCTGAATTTCCAGGTCGTAGGATACTTGGGTGGCTTCCTCTGTTGCTTCTTATTTATTACACTAAGGAGCAACTGACGAAACAGCTTGTAGCCATTGAGTTTCATCTCACCAACTAAAAAAGTATGATCACGTACTGCCGCATTGCTGGTCCAGATCAAACACAAATACTCTTTATTTGCTGTCCGTTGCCCCATTGCAGTTTGCTTTCCTTTGACTTCAAAACCAGACTTGAAATCTCTTGGTGCTACTTTATGTTTGAACTTGAATCTCCTAGACCTGTAAAACGTTTTCTTTCGTCCCGTTGTCAACACTGTTCTTCCCAATGGAATTATACCATAACATGTGAATTTCCAGAACCTGAAAACGCAACCAGAGTGAAAGGCATCACCATCAATTCCATAATATATTTGGGATTGATTTTCTTCCAAAACTGCAAATGAGAAATCCTCAGGAGCATAGACTGATTCATCGTTACAGAGCGAATTCGTCTTTGTCACAATCATCTTGGCTTGAATCAAATCAGACTTCAAATGGCAAGTCTGCGTCTCTAACTTCACTTTATTTACTTTCACAGACTCTGGTTCTGCTTTCATCAGAATCGACGCCTGAAGACGTTCTAAGAAGCCTTTAACTTCCTCTTTGTACTCTGTACATAACCTGCTTCTCTCTAGATTCGATGAATCTGTTTCCACTGCTTCTAATTCGGATCCAAGTGCAGTCCGTGGTGGATTACCCTTTCCATTCAACAACAACAAATCACTAGTTGTCTCAACCATGTCCATTTGTTGAGAAACAACCATTCTCATACTCGTGGAAAAAATAAGTGTGTGTAGTTTCTTGAAGCTCCTCCTATACTTAAACATCCATGATTTAAACCCTTTCCTTTTCTTCTTAATTCCTAGTCTTTCTTTCTGTTGAGACATTTTACCGAACATCTGGTGTGCAGAGCAAAGTTTGGTGTTACTTACCACATTCTGACGCTTCTCAACATCACCGTCAACCTCGAATATCTTATGAATGTTCTTTTGAATCCATTCCTGCTCCAGATTCTCATTCATCACCACATCGTCTAGATTTTCAAACCCTAAATTGGCTTCCCTAAGTTCACTACTCCTCAAAATCTCAGAATTGGCAATTGATACTTGAAACTGTGGAGTTGATTCTTCCTCCAAGATTGCTCCATGTACTAAATTGTCTTCTAAGCCAATCGATTCCATCTCAACCTCAATTTCTTCTTCTTCGTTATCCTCCTCAGCTTTCAGTACACCATCCCTCTTAAGTGGAAGTATCCCAACGTTATCAATGTTGCTTCTAGGATGTGCATACTCATAAAATTTTCCAATTAAGAAACATTGGTGAATCGTTTGAGGCTGAAACATTTGAACATTCACTTGAGTATCAATTTGTAGACCATCCAAATAGATTCTAACCAAGTAATCTTCTGTCAGATTCACTCTTGTGCTAAGCAGCTCAAACTTTTTATGATACTCAACAATACCGTTCGTCTCTTTTAACTGCTTTAGCTCAGCAACTGGATCATCTAAAACTTTCTCAAATCTATTTGATCGAATCGCTTCTAGCATCTCTGAAAATTTTCGATCAATCTCCTGATTCTGTTCCTCGATCATCTCCTCCATTTTTGTGAGTCGCGATCCAATCGGATCTTCCTCCGACACCGCTTTCAACTTCGCCTCTCCCGCCGTCAGCTGAGCTCTCGTTTCCACACCCATAGCTCCGAGAAAAGAATGGCTCTGATACCTTTGATACAGAAAACTTCACCTATCGATCAATCAACACTTCAATTCCAAAGTTAACCAAAACAACGTTCATGAAACGCAGCTTCGATCATCATCTAGGTCTCTAGATGAGAGAACCTAACAACAGAAAGAGATTCAAAGAAGAAGATAACAAACGTCAACAATTTTCATGAATGCCTCTGTGATTGATCGTAAGCTTCCTTTAAACGCGACAGTTTCTGATACTTCATCTCAGCCGTTGCTTCTTCTTCTAATCTCCACGGTCCACGTGTCCATTTAACCCCTCTTTCATATTCCTATATCATTTTCCTAATTTGTCTGCACAGAATCGTCTTTTACTTCTGAAGAGCTTTACTTCTCCTTAGATTTTAATAAAAGTTTTAGCACTTAACACAAAAAAAAAAAAGAGGGTATAATAAGCGTATAACTTATTATTCACTTTATTTTCATTATAAGTGTCATTTTAAGGATTTTTTTGCACAGATAAAAAGCTATTAGAAGAATTATTATACCTTATACCAATCTAGTCTAAAAACTTATATTATTATATTTATAAAGTGACATTAAAAAAGACAAAATTTAAACGAAATTCTGAATTTGATCATAGCATTAGCATGGAATAAAGTCACTGAATTTAAAGAATTTTACTATCAATGAATCTGAATTTCCCTGACCAATCAAAGTGATCTGTCAGCTAAACTTAAATTTTCCCAGAAGCGGGTATGACGTGTGAGCCTATAATACACAGGTGGCATACATAATTAAAACAAAAAGAAATAAAATCAAAATAGAAGCAGAGTGAGAATAACAAACAAACTCATCTAAATTTCTTGGCTTCTCTCTAAATTTCCAAACAGAAAACATTTCCCCCCAATTTTCCAAGTTTCTAGGGTTTTTGCTTTGAGCTCTCTGCGTTTATCGAGAAATCTCCGGCTGAAAATGGCGGATTCGACGGCGGACGCGACGAAAACAAACGCAGATACTCTGAGTCTGAGGCGGGAGTTGAAGAAGGTACTGACGGAGAATTTATACGACGAAGGAGGAGTCAAAGATGGCGTTGAGACGGTGAAATCAATTGATGAGGCGATTAGAATCCTGAATTGTCTGAAAAGAGAATCGAAGAAGCGGAAGCGGGAATCTGATATTTCTTCGGTTGAAGTTCCGAAAGAGTTCAAGTGTACACTCTCGAAGACGGTCATGATCGATCCTTTGATCATTTCTTCTGGGCAGGTTTGATCTTTTTTGTTTTTTAGATCCATACATATTTCTGACGATTTCTTGTGATTCTTTAACGATTTTAGTGCTCATCTTTAAATTTCCATATATGCTTGTGTTTTGATTCATAGCTAAAGAAACACATAACTGCGTATACACTGAGATATTTCATAAGAATAGATACGTATAGAATGATAGCTATGTATACAACAAATATGTTAAAAATTGGATTCTGGTGTTTGTGCTGATTTTGCTCTTTACTTGTTTTCAGACGTATGAAAAGAGATATATCACAGAGTGGCTCAACCATAACCGTACATGTCCCAAAACCAAAGAACTCCTCTCTCAAGTGCGTATGACACCCAACCATTTGATCAATGACTTGATGGCGCAGCGTAAGGACTTAGATAGGTAGCTCAATCAAGAGAATAAGGATTTCTCTTGAGACCTACTTCGCTCAATCAAGAGATTGGAAGCAATCACTTGAGACCGACTTCTTGTTTTGATGAATTGAATCAAATCAACACAAGGATGAGAAAACTCTCTTTTATTAGTTTATCAAAAGCTCTTTAATTTTATTAATCAAAAACAACCCAGTACATTAGGAGGCCTATGAAGGCTATTTATAATAAAACCCGAAAACCCTAAAACATAGAATATTCTAGAATAATTATAATTAATAAGTTAAAAGATAATAGAAATAGATATTTGGAAATATTCCAAATATCTCGCTGCATCAGGTCTCGCCGGCCAAGAAAAGATTCGTCCTCGAATCTTGTTTCTGCGCTGCATCAGCTCCCTCCGGCCAAGAAAGATTCGCCCTCGAATCTTCAACAGCGTTTTTAGCATAGGAGATCTTCGAAGATCCATCTTTATCTTCATCTCTTGATTATGTCCTATTTTTGCACAAATTGGATCAAACCCGAAATTTGCACGAATCTGATTTGACCCGAAATCTGCACGAATCCGTTTTGACCCGAAATTTGCACGAACCGGAATTTGTACGAAACTTGCACAGATCTGATCTTTCATGATTTCTGCAGGAAACCCGAATTTTGCACAGATCTGACTACGCCCGGATTTTGCACGAAGAGTATCTTGTGGGAAAACGAAATCGGTAGCTATAACATCATCTTCATAGATGTCATAGATTGGATCACCATAGATCTCTCTGTAGATCTCATGGTTTGCTTCTCCGGTGGAGAACAGACTTTCGCCTGTGATAGGATAGATGCTACCAAACATCATGACAAACAGAATCGAGCTCTGATTAAGAAATCAAAGCACCAGCTCTGATACCAACCTGGCGCAGCGTAAGGACTTAGATAGGTAGCTCAATCAAGAGAATAAGGATTTCTCTTGAGACCTACTTCGCTCAATCAAGAGATTGGAAGCAATCACTTGAGACCGACTTCTTGTTTTGATGAATTGAATCAAATCAACACAAGGATGAGAAAACTCTCTTTTATTAGTTTATCAAAAGCTCTTTAATTTTATTAATCAAAAACAACCCAGTACATTAGGAGGCCTATGAAGGCTATTTATAATAAAACCCGAAAACCCTAAAACATAGAATATTCTAGAATAATTATAATTAATAAGTTAAAAGATAATAGAAATAGATATTTGGAAATATTCCAAATATCTCGCTGCATCACTTGATTACGCAGTGGTGTCTTGTTAACAACAAAGTTGATCGGCCAAAACAAGAACCGTCTGATTTTGAAATAGCAACTGAGATGTTAACTGGTGACATCGAACCATTGCTTCACCGGATTTCCTCTCCTTCCTCCTCGGTTGAAGATCAGATAGAAGCTGCAAAAGAGCTTTCCCTCCAAACCTCAAAATTTGTCAATGTCCGTGACTTCTTTGTCGCCAAAATCCCTGATTCCATCACCAGGTTGCTCACTCCTCTCTCTGTTTTGGGCGATGAGGTAGACTCGAATCCCGAGCTTCAAGAGAATATCACCACATCATTGTTCAACATGTCTACTTTCGAGAAGAATAAAACACTACTTGCTGAAAACCCTCAAGTGACCCCACTGCTTGTAAAGTCTTTGAAGCAGGGGACAGTTGTGACACGAAGAAACGCTGCAGCGACTTTAATGTCACTTTCAGATATTGATTCTAACAAGATCATCATTGCGAACTCAGAAGCACTCAAGGCTCTGATAGATCTAATCGGGGACTCGGATGACTTATCAGCCACCAATGAAGCTGCTAACGCTATTTTAAACCTCTGTTTTGATGAATCGGAGAACTGTAAAAAGGCAATCTCGTTGGGGTTGGCTTCTGCTGTAACCAAAAATATCAAAGCAGGAAGAAATGTGGATGAGTTGTTAGCTGTCTTGGTAATGATCTCTCCACACGAACGTGTTGTCGAGGAAATGGATAATGTAGGGGTTATCTATGATCTGTTAAGTATCTTGAGGAAAACAAGTTGCTTGGTGACTTGTGAGAACGTTGTAGTGATTGTCCACAACATGTACGTTAAAAGCAGAGAAAGGTCCGTTATGAAAACCCTGGCAGAAGAGGAGAATCAACACAAGACATTTACAAAGCTTGCAAGCCAAGAATCAGTTATTGTGGTGGGGAGAGCACAAGGGATTTTACAGGGTATTAGGGCATTCGCTGCTGGTAAAGTGCAATAGAGGGCATGACGGAATCATCAAAAATGAGGTCTTGTTAATACGTAAATAGTTTCGGCAAAATTACATTTGATACATATACCGATGAAAGTGTAGAAAGAAAGAATTCGAATTTGAGACTTGTAATCTAGGGGTTGTTGCTTATATTGCTTATATAGATATCCTCTCTTCTCTTGTTTAAAAATACTCAAGATTGAACCTCAACTGCTCCAATCTTTAATGTATATATCAAAAAATTAATTATGTGCTAACCAACCGTTGATTAAAAAAAAAAAACCTTGTATTCTAGTTAATTAGATGACAGTAAAACATTGCACGGAATTCTTAATTCGAGCATATAGCATGCTTAAGAATTTTTATTAAATCACCGAATCTGAGATTTTCCAGACCAATCAAAGTCGTCTGTCAGCTAAAGCTAGTGAGAACGCGGGTATGACGTGGCAGACAGGTGGCGTAACGTAATTAAAACCAATTTAATGAATAAAAGAAGAACCAGAGGAATAACAGTTTCTTGGCTTCTCTCTAAATTCCAAACAGAAAATTTTCCCTCCTAATTCACCAAGTTTCTAGGGTTTTCAGTTCTTTGTTTGGGTTCTTTGTGTTCGTAGAGAAATCTCCGGCTGAAATGGCGGATTCGACGGCGGACGAGGCAACAAACGCCGATACTCTGAGGCAGGAGTTACAGCAGGTACTGAAGGAGATTTGGTACGACGGAGGAGGCAAAGATCGCGGTGAGATTGATGAGGCTATTAGAATCCTGACTTGTCTGAGGAATATAGAATCGAAGAAACCGGAATCTCCGGTGGAAGTTCCAAAAGAGTTTATATGTACACTCTCGAAGACGATCATGATCGAACCTGTGATCATTGCTTCTGGCCAGGTTTCTGACGATTTCTTGTGATTCTTGCTTGAGTTTTTTTTATCATTTTTATTTGCATGTGTTTTAATTTCGATATTCCATGTATTCGTATAAGCATATAAAGTTTCAGTATCGAAGAAAAAGAAAGATCCATATATATGATTCTGGTGTGTTCATTTTTGTGTTATGCAAATACAGAGACCGATCGAAAAGTTAGGATCCAAGACGCAGATTCTGGTGTTTGTGCTGATTTTACTCTTTTGTTTTTTTTTCAGACTTTTGAAAAGAGATATATCCTAGAGTGGCTGAAGCATGAACGTACATGCCCCCTAACCAAACAAGTTCTTTACCACCGTTTTTGGATACCAAACCATTTGATCAACGAGGTTATTATGCAATGGTGTCGAATTCACAACTTTGAACGGCCAAAACCATCTGATGAAGAAGTCATTGACCTGTTCACTGGTGACATTGAATCATTGCTTCAGCGTATTTCCTCTCCTTCCTCGGTTGAAGATCAGACAGAAGCTGCAAAAGAGCTTGCCCTCCAGACCAAGAGATTTACCAATGTTTGTTTATACTTTGTCGCCAAAATCCCTGATTCGATCACCAGGTTGCTCAGTCCCCTCTCTGTTTTGGGCGATGAGGTAGACTCGAATCCCGAGCTTCAAGAGAATATCATCACATCATTGTTCAACATCTCCACTGTTAAGAAGAATCAAAAAGAAATTGCTGAGAATCCTCATGTGATCCTACTGCTTACAAAGTCTTTGAGGAAGGGGACAGATCAAACAAAAAAAGTCTCTGCAGCGATTGTGTTTTCCCTTTCACACACTGAATCTAACAAGAACATCATCGGGAACTCGGAAGCACTCAAGGCTCTGATAGATCTAGTCGAAGAAGGTGATTCATTAGCCACCAGTAAAGCCTTTTCCGCGCTTGCTAATCTCTGTTTAGTAAAGGAGTTCAGGGAAAAGGCGGTTTCAGCGGGTTTGATTCGTGCGGCAACCACAAAGATCAAAGCAGGAAGCAATGTGGATGTGTTGTTATCGTTCTTGGCATCGATTTCTACACACAACCGGGCTATCGAAGAAATGGATAAACTAGGGTTTATATATGATCTGTTCAGTATCTTGAGGAACTCGAATAGCTTCGTGAATGAGGAGAATGCTTTAACCATCGTCGTTTACATTTGTAAAGGATACAGAGGCTTGCGAGATGTGGTCCAGGAAGAGGCGACAGGGAATGTGGTCCTAGAAGAGGAGAATAAACACAGGACATTTACGAAGCTTGCGAAGCAAGAAGCAGGTTGTACGGTGAGAAAAGCACAAGCGATTTTACAGTGTATTAAGACATTCGCTGATCGTAAAGAGCAACGTCAGAGGGAGAGGGATGATAGGCCTTTAAGAGTATATGTGAGAAGAAATAAATGAGTTGGTGCAGAAGAAGAATGAGGTCGCGTTAATACGTAAATAGTTTTGCAAACTTTTACTCTTGATAATAGTCATACGATAATAGTCGTTGAATATATAGTTTTGCTGCTCTTAATTGACTTGTTATTTCTGATACTTTAGCAACAAAAAAAACAAGCATACAAGTTACAAGTGTAAAACATTATGTTAAATAAAAAATTTAAAATATATGCAAAAGAGTAAATTTTCAGTCATAACTTAAAAAATTAAATTCATAAAGGGTTCAAACGTATGTAAAAATGGTCCAGATTTTAAAACCACTTACAGAATAAAAATGTTAAAAAAAAGAGGGATCTTAGCTTAACTTATTACTGTATTAACTTTATTTCATTATAAGTGTCATTTTAAGGTTTACCATCACCGAATCTGAAGTTTCCGTGACCAATCAAAGTGATCTGTTAGCTAAGCTTAAGATTAGTTTCCCAGAATTCGGGTATGACGTGGCAGCCAGGTGGTGTACGTATTAAAAAAAATCAAATAAATTAAGAGAAAAAAAAAAAAAAAAACAGAGGAAAGAATAACAAACTCATCAAAACAGAGATGCATAACAGTTTCTTTGCTTCTCTCGAAGTTTCTGTGTATTCTTGCGTGAGTTTATCGAGACAATCTCCGGTTGAAAATGACGGATTCGACGGCGGAGTCGACGGAAGCAAACGCTATTTTCATGACCAATCAAAGTCGTCTTTCAGCTAAAAAGCTAGTGATTATACAGTCTCACTCAAACCGAAAAGTGTCAAAAGAGGCCTGAGTTTATTACAGGGAGTTTAGTGAAAAATGCCACTTTCATGATTTCGGCTCATGATCACTGAGATCAAAGTCAAAATTTATGTCTAGTATTGTATCCTTAACCATGATTTCTTACGTTCTCTGATGCATCAACATTTTTTTCTTCACCACATAGAAATATTTACCAAATCCATCATTATCTCATTTGAACCGGCTTTGGAATAATATATATTTTTATAAAGAATATTTTCTTGGCTTCAAGTATAAATTACAAGGTCCTTATTATTGATTAATTATTTACTATAAGAGTATTATATACGTTTCGTTTTAGGCCGACCTTTAAAAGTGTAACTCTGTGCTATTTAGTATTTACTATAAATTCTGTAACTCACATAAGAAAAAACAAACATTGAATTCTTAATTTGATCATAGCATTAGCATGTTTAATAATACACTGAATTTACGAAGTTAACTGTCGCCGAATCTGAATTTTCCTTGACCAATCAAAGAAAGCACAGAAAGCGTTATGACGTGGCAACCTATATACACAGGTGGCATTCGAAGTTGAAAATGAAGATTAAAAAAAAAAAAAAAAGCAGAGGAATAACAAACAAACTCCTCTAATTGATTTATATAACAGTTTTTTGTTGCTTCTATTGCTTTGGGTTCTTCGAGAAAATCTCCGGCTGAAAATGGCGGATTCAACTGCGGACGCGACGGCATCAAACGCCGATACTCTGAGGCTGGAGTTGCACAAGGTACTGACGGAGATTTTCTACGACGGAGTAGGTAAAGATCGCGGTGAGACTGAAGGAAGTTCCGGAGTCTTGAAAGCAATCGATGAGGCTGTTATTAGAATCCTGGATTGTATGAAGAAAGTAGAATCAAAGAAACCGGAATCTGATATTTCTCCGGTGATAGTTCCGAAAGAGTTTATATGTACACTCTCGAACAAGATCATGATCGAACCTATGACCATTGCTTCTGGCCAGGTTAGATCATAATCATATGATCCAAATTTCTGACGATTTCTTTTGATTCTTGTTTGATTTTACTCATCTTTTTAGTTTGCATGTGTTTTAATTTTGATATATAAACGCACCTTCTTTGCTTCACATTTCCTTGTGATTCAATGATTATGAATGTTTGTATCCAAGAATAGAGTGTTTCTTGACTGTCAAGAATTAGGGCTCAAGATACAAATTCTAGTATTTATGCTGAGTTTGCTCTTTACTTTTTCAGACTTATGAAAACAGATGCATCACAGAGTGGCTGAAGCACAAGCGTACATGCCCCAAAACCAAAGAAATCCTCTCTCATGTGTGGTTGACGCCGAACCATTTGATAAATGAGTTGATTACGCAATGGTGTCTCTTTAACAAAGTTGATCGGCCAAAACCATCTGATGAAATAGTCATTAAAGTGTTCACTGATGACCTGGAGCCATTGCTTCAGCGTATTTCCTCTCCATCCTCGGTTGCAGATCAGATAGAAGCTGCGGAAGAGCTTCGCCGCCAGACCAAGAAATATGACAGTGCCTGTGTCTTCTTTGTCACGGAACTCCCTGATTCGGTCACCAGGTTGCTCACTCCGCTGCTCTCCGATGACGTAGACTTGAATCCTGAGCTTCAAGAGAATATCATCACATCATTGTTCAACATCTCGAATCTTGAGAATGTGAAGAATCAAAAAGTAATTGCTGAAAATCCTCTTGTGATCCCTCTGCTTACAAAGTCTTTGAAGAAGGGGACAGTTCTGACACGAAGAAACGCTGCAGCGACTTTAGCGTCCCTTGCAGACATTGATTCTAATAGGAACATCATCAGGAACTCGGAAGCACTCAAGGCTCTGATAGATGTAATCGGGGAATGGGGTGACTGTGAAGCTGGTAACGCTGTTTTCAAACTCTGTTTTGGATTGGAGAACAAAGAAAAGGCGATATCAGCGGGTTTGATTCCCGTACTAATCAAAAATATCAAAGCAGGAAGAAATGCGTGTGAGATGTTACATGTCTTGGTTCCGATTTCTACAAACAACAGGGCTATCAAGGAAATGGAGGATCTGGGGTTTGTCTTTGATCTATTCAGGATCTTGAGGAAACCAAATTGTTTGGTGACTGGTGAGCTCGCTCTAGATATCATCTTCAACATGTTTGAGAAAAACAGAGACAGGTCTAGACTCGAAGAAGAGGAGCGTATGCACGAGACATTTACGAATCTTTCATACGATGGATCAGATAATGCGACGAGAAAAGCAAAAAAGATTTTACAGTGGATTAAGACTTTCGCTGATCGTAAAGAGCAACGTCAGAGGGAGAGGGATGATAGGCCTTTAAGAGTATATGTGAGAAGAAATAAATGAGTTGGTGCACAAGAAGAATGAGGTCGTGTTAATACGTAAATAGTTTTGCAAACTTTTACTCTTGATAATAGTCATTGAAAACGTTGTATATATCGTTTTGCTGCTCTAAATTGACTTGTTCTTTCTGATACTTTAGCAAAAAAAAAACAAGCATACAAGTGTAAAACATTATGTTAAATAACATCAATATACATGCAAAAGAGTAAATTTTCAGTCAAAAACTTAAAAAATTAAATTGATAGAAGGGTTCAAATATATGTAAAAAATGGTCCAGATTTTAAAACCACTTACAAAATAAAAATGTAAAAAATATAAAAGAGGCTATAACTTATTGAGATAATTGGGCTGGAGACAATGATCTGGACTCAAATTAGTTTTCTAGATAAACTTGTCGAGGCCCAAGACAAGGAAATATTTAGCCCGCTTTCCTTCCCAAAATAGCCCTACGCGCGATTGCGGAGTGTGCGTTTTGGTGGTCCATTCATGTTGCAGAACAGTTATTTTCACGTTTCCCGAGAAATGGATGCGTGTATGTGGCGTCGATATTAAGAGCCTCTCTCTTACTTTCTGACTGTTGGGTGTCTACTCGGTCCGACTCTTCTGTATACCGCCTTCATCACTTCAAACCCTAAAGTCCCATCAAAACCATCTCTCTTTCCATCTATCTTTACTCTACAAACAAATTGTCGAAACATTTTGTAATCGTTGATCAACTTTTTACCGTCGCCGTCCCGGAGAACCGCTTTCCTCAATCGCAGAGAATACTGAAATCCCGAGTGAGTGTATTTTTTGTTCTTCGTCCGGCTACGCCTAAACTCTTTTGTTTTTCTTTTCCCAATCGCCGCCGCGGTCCGCTTACAGTCAAGTTCGTTGTTTAAAAAGTTTTTGTTCTTGAAATTCTATCGCCTCTTCATAGCGTTAGGTCTTTTTCTTTGTTCCTCTCAAAGTTTCTATTTTCTACCCTTCGGTTAATTACCATCACTCGATTTTATATACACCTTCACAGATCTACTTACACATGCACAGATATACTTACACATGCACAGATCTAAGTACATATGCACAGATCTAATTACACATTCACAGATCTACTTACACATTCACAAATCTCTGTAAATATGCACGGATCTTAGTAGATCTGTCTTCCCACTTGAGGGTCTAGGGTTTTAATGGATGTCTAGTGATTCTCTTATTTTTTTATATACCAAACCAGCAGATCTATTTTGCTAACTTATCATCTCTCTGTTTACAGGCCCATGGCTGATCCGCAACTACCCACCCGTTTGTTTGCTGACCGAGAAGAGCCTGCCGGCGACAGAGTGAACATGTACTTCAAACTCAACACCATTAAGGTCGTGTTGAAAGCACTTCAGCCCAAAGAACTCGATATCATTAGACCGTGTTTCGGGAAGTTGCTCGATGTGTACTCTAAACCCGTGTTCTCTGGGAAATTGGCTCATTTTCTTCTAACCAGACAGCTTGATGTAGTGAAGCGACATGAAATTTGGGTTGTGTTTGCCGGTAAACCTGTTAGATTTTCTCTCAGGGAGTTTGGTCTGGTCACCGGTCTCAATTGTGGTCCTCTCCCTGCGCTTGACAGAAACCTAGTCAAGTGTCCTCCCGGCGTTACGCCCTATTGGTTCACCCTGTTTGGTGGCGAGGAGTCTTTCACTGGCGAGATGCTGTTGGCTAAGCTGCGTAGGGCTAAGTCGCTTACCAGCGAACTGAGAATTAAGTATGCTTGTCTGTTACTTGTTGATGGGTTTCTTTGCCGCAGATCTTTCCACATGAAGATCCCGAAAGAACACGTGGAGATGATCCGGGACCTAGATGTGTTTCTGAAATACCCTTGGGGTCGCTACAGTTTCGATATGACCATGCAGTGCATTAAATCAAGATCTCTCAATCAACTAGCTCAAGCAACTGTTGCCATTCAAGGTTTCATCCATGCTCTCGTTCTCGTATTGGTTGAGGCTGTTCCTGCAGTCCGTTCAGCCGTTGGTGAGATTACTGACCCCGAATAAGGCGACGAAGATGTCTTCCCGGTTATCTCTTTGAAACTGGATAAAGTCTGGGACCTTGACAAAGAAACCAAGGTCAGATAGCGACATTCTGTTTTTTTTACATGTCCAATCATCCGATATACATGTTTAAGTTTTTTTTTGTTTCTCTTCATAGGTTGAGGTTGATGTCCTATCTATAATTCCGGCTCCTGAAGATGTTGTTGGTCTGGAGGATTGTAGCTGGGCTGACGAAGTTCGTGACCCGGGTGTGGAACTGATATTACAGAAAATTGAAGAAGGAGCTAAGTTTAATCGTGGGATGTTTGTAGGGGGATATAGAGGTGCATATGTTCATGTGGAGCCTCCTCCTAGCGAAGTGAAGAAGGGAAAACGTAAAGTACGTTCCCAATCAGGTCGTGTGTCTTCTAAGTCTAAGAAACTGAAGGTGCGTAGTGGCAGGTCTAGGCATACCCCGTCGGACCAAAATAGTGCTGCTTTTCTTGCGTCTGTTAAATCTGAAATTGAGGCTGGTATGAAGGAAGCGCGTGGGGACTTGTTTGCTCATGTCGCGGTTGAGTTGAAGTCTATGGAGTTGAGGTTAGAAAAAAGTTTCAAATATAGCATCTGCTCTGCAGTCGCTGATGCTCTTCAGGCCAAGAATGCTGTCCAGAAAATCATTGAAGAGGTTGGGGTTGAGTTTCCTGATCCTTACCAACAACCACCTCCAAATGGTTCAGCTAACCCTGGCAGGTCAAGTGTCACGCAGCAGAAGAAACCAGCAGGGGCTACAAACTTGGATGCTTCTTCTGAAGAGGTAAGCCGCTTTTCTGCTACTGTAGGGATACATTCTGTTTTCTCTAAACTAACTTGTTAATGTTTTAGGTTGATGGGTCTACTAGTAGGGATGAGGATTCTAGTAGCTCCCAAACAAATGAAGAACTCTCGGTTTGTTATATATCTTACCATGTGATTTAATGTTTATTTCCATGTAACTATATCATGATTTCTTTTTTTTTCCCGTTTTTAGACAACTGTAGCTGAGGCTGGAGAAGTCTCTAGCGGCGGCAATGATGTTGTTGAGGCTGTTGAATTTGCCAGCTCTGCCAAGTTCAAGAAATTGGTGGACCTTCTGACACCTACAATGTAAGCTGCTCTATTATATATCATAGAGTTGATTTTTTTCAATAAGTGTTTATTTTTTAACATAGGTATTCACTTATAAACTTGCTGCTCTGTGCTGATTGTTGCTACTCTATTACTAATATACAGCGAACTTGATTTTGGTGATGGGTTGGTTTTGAATGAGTCTGAGATGCGTGCGGTTGCTACCAGCATTCCCCCTGACAATCCGAAGGTTCACACTATAAACTTTAGTAAAATTGTTTTATACTTTCATTTAGTACTCACTCTTGTTCTGCAGGTTATGGATGTATGTGTTTCTGTATTGCGGGAATCGCTCTTCAAATCGGTTGATCCTACCACTGATCCGCGTGCTGACATGCTGCCTTGCAAGTTTAATGGATCCCTTGCTCTGATGTACTCCAAATTCAAGAAGTGTAGGCGTAAAGATACTTTCGAGTTTGACGCGGATCTTCTGAGCTCGGTTACTGCTAGGTTCACTTCCCATGGCAGAAAATGGCTGGAGAGTATTGATTTTCTCTATTCTCCTTTCAACATTGACAAGAATAGGTGGATTGCAGTCATGGTGGACTTGCCATCGCACTCTCTCTCTGTATTTGACTCCACAGCTGATGTGCGTCGTGGGTCTAGACTCAAGCCAGAGCTAGATTTCATATGTGACATGTTTCCATACCTGGTGCGAAAGTTAGGGGCAAATGATCTTATGACTAGTTACCCTCTCCATCCTTTGGCATTTGTTCGCCACACCACGGTAGCTCAAGCCACATCCCGTGCCAACACTGGTATGTTATCTATTCTTTTTATGGAGGCCCATGCGCTAGGAGGCTTCGAGGAGTTGGATCGTGTCAATGAGTCTGGCGTTAGGGAACGTGCTGAGCAGCTAGCAGTGGAGCTATATGAACATTGTTGCGGTGATATCGAAGAGGAGTGAACCATTACCCTTGTTTGTTGCAACTCTATTATCCTATCTTGAACTCTTGTTTTTTATCTTTTGATCCCATTCTCTTCCCATCTGTGTGACTTATCTCTTTGTTAAAACTTACAACTCTACATTATGGATATGTATTCGTACTCTGCGGTTAGTTACTTGTTGGGTTTAGTCCTGCTGTTTTTAACCAATCTACTGCAATGGTTTACGGCCCACTAAAATAATTGGATAGTTTTTAACCAATCTCTGAAATTACATATAAGATAGATAGCCACCTCTACCTGTAAAAATAATGCGTAGGAATCCGCAACGTTTTATGTTGCTATCAAAACAATTAGATAGTTATTTTGCCTTGAACCTTTTAACCTATATTTGTTTTTACATATCCATAAATCAGCCGTGCAACTAACATGTATATTTTCCGCCTTGTGCAGCTAACTTATTTCCCTTTTTGTTATACCGGAGCAGGATATTTATGGATATATGTACCTATCCATAGATACATGGTATCAGAATTATAAGTTTGATAGATAGCTAACCAAGAGTTTTTGTCATACATTCATACGAAGATTAACATAGTACAAACTTTAGAATTCAGCAAGCTAGGAATGATGATGATAGCGATGGTCCATTTGTTTTGCTACTTTAATGCATGAACTATTGTTGCCACGACACAAGCAAAACCTATCCAAGAGATAATGACCACCTGACGGATGGTTTGATCCTTCGCCGCGCTTGCCTTCACATAACTTCGTAGAGCCATATTCTCCTTTTCCATGTCTTCCAACCTACGAAGGAGCTCGCTCCCTTCGTCCTCTGTGTTCCTTGCTTCTTGGCCCCCAACAATCGCTCTAAGCTTTGTAAGCTCCTCTGCTTGTGACTTTATCAAGTCCCTTGCTTCCAAAAGTGCTATTTTCTGCCATCCATGTGGTTTCTCAAGATCGCGCCACCGAAAGTAGTTGCAGATGTTTTTCCAACCGGCTCCGCACCTATAGAATCGCCTACCTGGATTTGCGTCTGTCCATGATTGTCGGACTAGCGCCGCCTTCCCGCAGTCGCATTCGTAGACGCCATCCTCCAATACAGAGCTCTTACCTCTTGTTGTTGAGCTAGATCCCCCTTCCGACATTTCACTCATCTCCTCCCCTAGTCTTTCGATCTTTGGCATCTTTTTTTTTTTTGTGGTTGTGTTTGTGTTACGGACCAGGTACCCTTTCAGAGGAAGGTAAAGGCATGGTATGTGTTAGTGGACCCCGCCGTCCTTAGCTTATCCCATCTCACACGGCTCCTAGTTGCCCCCTACGTTGTTGGGTATAGGGTACTGTAACCTAATAGCTACTCACTAAAAGTCGTAAACTACACGTCAGCATACCGATAGCCATGCCATTTAAAGTTTTAAATATTGTTTTAACCATTTACTAGGGTCGGCGTTAATTGGTTTTTCCCACTTCGACTTCCATCCTCGGTATTAACAGATGGCCACCATTAATTTCGCTATCTATTCAAACTGGTTCGTAGATGGATATATTGTTGTTTAAATATATATTTTAGTTTAATCTCGAGTTAACTCCCAATTCACTAATTTTTGGGTTTGCCAATTAACCATGTTTTCCCATCTTCCTCACGCACTTGGAAATAAAACATCAATATATTACATTGCTAGGTGTGCGGACTCAAATGATCAACGCAATACACCGAGGATGGAACGATCTAGTTCACGAATATTACATAGATAGGTGTGCGGACTCACATGATCAACGCATTACACCTTTGATGGAATTGTTCACAAATATTTTACATTGACGGGAGACTTCACCCATTCTAACAAACACGTCACACAAATTAAACCGTGGCATCCTTATAGTACACTGAAAATGTTGCCACATCTTACGCCGATCTCATCAAACCTTCACCCGAGAAGCTTCTTTTGTACATCCAAAACATGCAGCTGTAATAGTAAAGAATAGACGTCTAAATTTGGCAATGTTGAAACTTAAGTACATTTACCAATGATTAGGAATGTTTAGAAATATTTACCTAAAGTAGTCGTCATATTCTATATAGGCATCTTGCAAGACGCGCGGTTATGGCCAGTCCCACGGCAGCGCGTACAGCTCCGCTTCGCCTTCTTCTTCGGCGTCTGCAATTAATGCATCTGTTAGTCTGATACAATTTCACATAGCTATCTATACAATAGTATACATACACTAATACCTTAAATTCTCCAGTTGAAAGGTATCTAGTACGCTTTGGCCTACCTGGTGGCCTTCGTGTTATTGGCGGTAGAACCGTCCTTGTTGCTATCCCATCTGGAACCTCACGTAGCGTGCTTAAGTCGGGTACCGGATTGATATTTCCATTGTAAGCAAGACTCCAGAAGAATGTCCCATATTGCGGTGCCGCCAGTAGAGGCACCTTCAAATCACAACGAACTGCTGCTGCAATTGCGTGGCTGCAAGGGATCCTTAGCAAGTTGAATTCTGCGCATGTGCAAGTCTTATTTTGGATATCCACAAGATAAGATAGACCAGTTGTTGTCTTGATCTCGTAATGCTCGTTATTGATCTTGATTACTTCATAGCAGGTTGATCGTTCGTAGTTCCTTTGCACTATTTCCTCAACCTTCGGGGTCAGGTCCATCTTGTGTTGCGCTGCTTTTCCCCGACGTTTCTCAAACCACGTCATTAGAGTCCCTCTAATGTACTCTAGCGTAGACACGATAGGTAGCTCTCTTGCTTCCTTTAAAACTGCATTTAATGATTCAGCCACGTTAGAAGTCATGATGTTGTATCTATCCCCATAGCAATGTGACCTAGTCCAATGCTCAAGACCAATTGACATCAAATACTCGGCGCAGCCAGGTGAAACCCTCTCTATTTCCTCAAAATACTCGTTGAATGTTGATTTCCGGAATGCTCTTGCCGCTTTCGAAATGAGGGTAGCAAGTATCCTCTTCTTAAACTTTGCAGCAACATTCCTCTGCAGATGTACGATACAAGCCCCGTGGCTTGCTCTTGGGTACACCTACAAAAATGCGATGTTAATAGATATCTACAATGTCTCACATAAAACTAAATAATTGAATAATGATCTGCTGTAAAAGTAGAGGTTTATAATTTAACATAGCTACCCATACCTTCCCGAGTCCGGTGTAAATCGACGAGTGGCGGTCCGAGACAAAAGTTAGACTTTCGCCGTCAGGTACTATCTGCTTCAGACAAGTGAAGAACCATTCCCATGCCTTGTCGTTCTCTCCATCCACTATCCCAAACGCTATAGGGAATATCTGGAAGTTCCCATCCTGCGCGCTTGCGGTCAGCAGACAACCCGCGTACTTCCCCCTCAAGTGTGCTCCATCAATTATCACAACATCTCTCATGAATCTCCATCCTCGGACACTTGCCCCAAGAGCGACAAAGCAGTATTTGAACCTACTGTCGCCGTTTCCGTCCTCTTCTGTGTGCAAGTCAGTAACGGTCCCAGTGTTTGCCCTTGTTAACATGTGTAGGTACGATGGTAGAATGCCGTAACTCCCCATCGGTGTTCCTTTGGCCATGTCCATTGCCAGCTCCCTTGAACGCCAAGCCTTCCAGTATGACACGTTAACACTATATTCATCCATTAGAGCTTGCCTTATAGCTATCGGTGTCGGGCCCGTCCCGGCGCCCGTGTACTTTGACTTCATTATTTGCGAAATCACTGAAGTAGTTGCCTGCCGGGGGTATTGGCTCCTAACTTCGATTGGACAGGTATGTTCCAATGTAGCTGTTCTGACTTCAAAGTAATCTGTGTCCTCCAGCCGCACACAATACACTCTCCAGGGGCAAGCATCGGATAAGCATCGTACAATCACCACGTCGTTGGTGGTGCGGTCATTACGATAACTAAATTTCCGGTTGATAGCATGGACAGCGAGTTTGACTCTGCAGTCATCTCTGTTCTTGAACACGCGTCCCACGAATAACTCGTCCCCTTCGTAGTCAACATCCAGCACGACAAGTCTTGTTCTTTCTGAACCTATTTCACAATATAACAAACCATATGAATATATAAGTTGCCAACATTAAACATAGACCATCTATATATATTTCAAGATACAAGTTCACGTGGCCACTGTTGAGATATCTTACCATCTGGGTCGTTCTCGTCTAACACGGGGGCTGCGTCCCTCGCAAAAGTGTGTACAGGAAGGCTTAGCAACCTTAACATCCCAGTTTCGGGTGGTTCATTCTGCTGCTCTGTGTTACTGTTAGGGATAACCTCATTCCCTGTAGACATGTATCTGTATTTTTAGTCTTGTATTTGTATTATTAGATATGTGTTTGTATTATTAGTTGATCCTTTATTTGATGATGTAATGAATGTTATACTAACTAAATATTACCATTGTTTAGCTCAGCTCCATCGCCCTGTCCTTCTCCGGCGGCTTGTGTTTCCGATGGGCTGCGTACATCTCCGCTTGAAGTCGCAGCTACATAAACAAAGTGTAATAGTTAAACATCTATTTTATTATATACCGGATCTTGGATATCTATCTACTTTTTTGTACCTCTTTCAAAATCCGAGAACAAATCTCTTGTCAATCTTGTGACACGGTTATCGTCGGAGGATGAGCTTCCCTGAGGTTCCAGAACACTGGCCGGTGATCCATGATACTGAACCGCCTCGGAAGCCGCTTTGTAATGTCTACAAGCTGCCGAAAGCGTAGGAAATCCGCTTGCTGCGTAAGAACCCCCTATCCACCCTAGGGGTCCATCCCCGCTGTCTCCTATGTGTTCCCTCGGTACTTGAGAGCAGATTATGTTGTCGCCGGCCTCTTTGTCAAGCCTCCGTCTGTTTTCTTTAGCGAACTCCTCCTTACTCATGACCTCACTAAACGCAAACTCGTCTATCAAAGGTACCATTTTGAAGCCATCTATCTCGAGCGTCATATTCATCGGCATCCGAACGACATACAGCTTCATTTCGTGTAAGTCTACACGCATCGCCAGGAACATGTCCATGTCGTCGTCTGACACTATGTGAATCGGCACAGGTTTGACACCACCGTCGACGTCCATCCATTCAGGCATTTCGTAAGTCAGCTCCACCTTCTCTCTCTGCCGGTCGATGTTAAACTCGGCTACGACCTTCGTCTTAGCTGCTTCCACACCATCGCCTTCTCGGAACCGAATGTTCTTTCCAACTTGTCCCTCCGCGGGAGAGAATCTCCAAACCCCAACATCGTCTTTCGTCCAACTCCCAACCTTAACTCGAACCATGTCACTGATTAGTTCATCCGTCACCTCCATTTAGACACCTGTTACGAAATAAAATTGAAGACAAAGTTCAGATGTAGTTTTTCTTCTTGATCATGCAGTATATTTACGTGGAAAAATAGTATCAGAATGTTTTACCTTCGTGAATCGCTACCCGGGTTGTTACACGAAACTGTTTGTTTTTTGGACTCTAAATTTGTTTTCACTTTGGGTGCTCGTCGCTTTCACGAAGGGCTGGTTCCCTATTTATTGGGTCTCTACTCTGTTAGGTTAGGTGTTCAAAATTTTAAATTCCCGCCGAGCAACTTGCGTTATCGATTCAAACGCAAGATTTTCGAATATTGTACGTCAGGTTGCATTTAATACTTGTCTTCTCATTCCTTTTCTCGCCGCGTTAGGGTCAGTTCGTGTCAGCCAGTTCGTAACCAGAGCATTAACTAACGGTCACCTCATTCCTTTTTGCTTTTTTGCCAAAAAAGTCAAGCCAGAGAGTATCTCCATCCCACGCGCAGGTGTGCGTAGCCCTTTTGGTTTTCCGTAATTTAGTTGGCCACCGAAGGGCATTTCGATCATTATTTTTTTCATCGTCTCAGACAAAACCCCCTTTTGTCGATTTGCTAATTATGCTCTCCAATTTTCCTTCTGCGCAAATCGTCCCTAACTTATTACTGTATTAACTTTATTTCATTATAAGTGTCATTTTAAGGTTTACCATCACCGACTCTGAATTTTCCCTGACCAATCAAATTGATCTGTTGATTAGATTCCCAGAATGCGGGTATGACGTGGCAGCCAGGTGGTGTACGTATTAAAAAAAATCAAATAAATTAAGAGAAAAAAAAAAAGAAACAGGGGAAAGAATAACAAACTCATCAAAACAGAGATACATAACAGTTTCTTCGCTTCTCTCTATTGAAAATGACGGATTCGACGGCGGAGTCGACGGAAGCAAACGCAAATACTCTGAGGCTGGAGTTGCTCAAGGTACTGACGGAGATTTTCCACGACGGAGTAGGACGAGGAGGAGGCAAAGATCATCAAGTTGAGACTGATGGAGTCTTGAACGCAATTGATGAGGCTGTTACTAGAATCCTTACTTGTCTGGGGAAAGTAGAATCCAAGAAGCCGCCGGTGGTAGTTCCGAAAGAGTTTATATGTAAACTCTCGAAGACGATCATGATCGAACCTGTGATCATTGCTTCTGGCCAGGTTTGATCTTTTTTTTTTGGTAATCATTCGTTAGAGATCATGATCCAAACTTTCTGACGATTTCTTCTTTCTCGATTTTTAGTACTCGTCTTTTTGTTTTACTTGTGATTCTTTCTCGATTTTACATATTTCTGGCGATTTCTTGTGATCATAGCTCTTTATGTATCATAGAAAACGAAACAGAGTTATGGTTCACTCTGCCAAGAAAAGATCCATGATTATGAATGTTTCTATCAAATGCATACAGCATACTCGTATACAAAGGAATTTCATCAGAATAGATGGATGATTAGGTTTTCAAATGTGTTTATTTAGTCTTATGCAAACACGTGGAACGATTGAATGTTTCTTGACAGTCAAGAATTAGGGTTTACGATACAGAGTCTGGTGTTTGTGCTGATTTTGCTCTTTAATTTTTTCAGACTTTTGAAAAGAAACACATCACAAAGTGGCTGAAGCATAACACTACATGTCCCGAAACCAAAGCAGTCCTCTCTCACTTGTGTTTGACACCCAACCATTCGATCAGTGAGTTGATTACGCAGTGGTGCCTCGTTAACAAATATGATCGGCCAGACCCACAACCATCTGATGAAACAGTCATTGAGATGTTCACTGGTGACATCGAACCATTGCTTCACCGGATTTCTTCTCCTTCCTCGGTTGCAGATCAGATAGAAGCTGCAAAAGAGCTTGCCCTCCAGACCTCGAAATTTGTCAATGTCCGTGAGTTCTTTGTCAAGGAACTCCATGATTCGATCACTAGGTTGCTCACTCCGCTCTCTAACTTGGGCGATGACGTAGACTCGAATCCTGAGCTTCAAGAGAATATCCTCACATCATTGTTGAACATCTCGACTGTTGAGAAAAGTCAAAAAGTAATTGCTGAAAATCCTCTTGTGATCCCTCTGCTTACAAAGTCTTTGAGGAAGGGGACAGATCAAACAAAAACAGTCTCTGCAGCGACTTTAACGTCACTTTCAGGCATTGATTCTAACAAGATTATCATCGGGAACTCGGAAGCACTCAAGGCTCTGATAGATCTAATCGGGGACTCGGATGACTTATTAGCCACCGGTGAAGCTGGTTACGCTATTTTAAACCTCTGTTTTGATGAATTGGAGAACGCGGAAAAGGCGGTTTCAGAGGGTTTGATTCTCACACTACTCAAAAAGATCGTAGCAGGAAGAAATGTGGAGAATATGGTATCTATCTTGGCATCCATTTCTACAAACAACCGGGCTAAAGATGAAATAGAGGAACTAGGGATTGTGTGTGATATCTTAAAGATCTTGAGGAACCCAAGCTGCTTGCTGACTGGTGAGAACGCTATAGAGATCCTCTTCAACATGTTTGATAGAATCAGAGGTACGGCTAGGCTGGGAATTCTCCAAGAAGAGGAGCTTCTATACAAGACATTTACGAAGCTTGCAAGGCAAGGATCAGATCGTGCTGCGAGAAAAGCACAAGAGATTTTACAGTGGATGGAGATGTTCGCTGAGAAGGAAAGGCGCCAAACGATGCTTGAGTTTGCTGCTCTTAATTGACTTGTTGTTTCTGCATGATCACTGAGATCAAAATCAAAGTTCATGTCATTGGATCCATACCTTAGTTTTGTATACTTAACCATAATGTGTCTCCCTTGGTTTTAGCTTTAAAGTAAACTACTTCTCTCTAGATTTTTTTATAAAGAATGTTTTCTTGGCTTCAGGTATTTATTGATTAATTTAAAATATTATATACGTTTCGATGTTTGTCGACCGTTAAAAGTGATGCAGAGGGAGTTAGTTGAAAATTGGGACCAAAAGTAGCATAATCATGACACATGGCCATATCAAGACACCGACCTGTAAATGTGAGTCGCACACAATGGAGACTGCGTAAAAACCAAAGGAAACAGCAAGTCATGTGGATGTTTTCTCTTGTATTCATTCTTCCAAATGCTCTGCTGTTCGCTGTCATATCCACGAAACGGCACACACTTTGATCCCTCCCACCCATTTTTATTCCTTCTCAAGCCAGAACTCATTTGACTTTTGACATAGCTTTATATAATTTTGCGTATAGCCTTTTTTCGTTAGACATCATATTTTTCGTCTAGCTTATTTTATCGTCTAAAACGTGTTCAATAAAGCTTATATTTTGGTTGGGATAAACAAACTAAACTTCTTGAAACTATATAGACCACACTCATCAGCAAGCTATATAAAATTGAAGGCATTTTCTTTCAATACTCGCAAAAAACGTAACATACTTGATACTCCAACATGTTGCTCATTTTTCGTATACTCAAACTATAACCACAAGAAATGTAAATCGTGTGATTTACATTACATCTTTAATAGTTATATATAAGTTTTTGTGTACAAACCAAAAACTTTAAACAAGTATAATAATATATAATATTTATAAATCAATAAAAATGATAAAGTTCTATTTCTATATATCGATGGTAATAATACAATAGAGACGAGGAAGATATTTGTTTAGTAAATACAATGTGCGAGCCAGCAATATATATGAATAGTATGAACATGTCCCTATTTAGTAAAAGCCAATCTGAAATTAAGCTCTTCTCTAATTTTCGTTTACACATCAGAATAGTAAACCGAGTCGTATAAGTGATCCATATATACTAATATTGCCAAAAACAAGCATAAAAATAAATAAATAAAAGTATGTTATATAAAAATCATATACTAATTAAAATGCAAAAAAAAAACTATGACTTTCCAATCAAAAAATAAAAGAGTGTCTCTCTTATGAGACTTCCTAAAAAAAAATGAATTAAATGAAAATACTCTAATTAAAACAATCTTATTTAGTGGGGTAATGAAGTGACAGTAAAACATTACACGGATTTCTTAATTTAGATCATAGCATGCTTAATATTAATAATACATTGAACTTTAAGAATTTTGATTATCACCGAATCAGAAATTTTGCTGACCAATCAAAGTCGTCTGTTAGCTAAACTATTCCCAAAAAAGAATGCAGAGAATGCGGGTATGACGTGGCAGCTATATACACAGGTGGCGTACGTAATTAAAACCAAATCAAAAATTAATTAAAGATTAAAGAAAAAGAGATTGAATAAACTCGAACTAAAAAAGCCAACTGATACTTTGTTTCTTCGCTTCTCTCTAAAATTCCAAACAGAAAAAATTTCCCCTAATTCTCGAGTTTCTAGGGTTTTTGCTTCTTTTGCTTTGGGTTCTGTGTATACACGCGTGCGTTCGTCGGCTGAAATGGCGGATTCGACGGCGGACGCTACGGAAACGAACGCTGATACTCTGCGGCGGGAGTTACAAAAAGTACTGACGGAGATTTTGTACGACGGAGGAGGCGAAGATCGCGGTGAGACTGAAGATTGTTTTGGAGTTGTGAAAGCGATTGATGAAGCGATTAGAATCCTGACTTGTCTGAGGAAAGTAGAATCGAAGAAACCGGAATCTGTTATTTCTCCGGTGGAAGTTCCCAAAGAGTTTATATGTACACTCTCCAATACGATCATGATCGAGCCTGTGATCATCGCTTCTGGGCAGGTTGTTTGATTTTTCTCTTCTTTTTTTTTTTTTGCCTAATTTTTGCGATTTCTTGTGATTCTTGGTTGAGTTTGTTGATCTTTTAATTTGCATGTGTTTTGATTTCGATATATTCATATGAATTCTATTTATGTCTATGTATAAATGCAGCTTCTTTATGTATATGCATACAAAGTTTCAGTATCAGAGAAAACAAGAAACAGAGTTATAATGGTTCACATTGCCAATAAAGATTCATGGTTGTGTATATATATTGGTGATTATGTAAACAAATGTGTTTATTTTGTGTTATACAAATACAGAGATTGATCGAAATTCTTGAAAAGTTAGGATTTAAGATACAGATTCTGATGTTTGTGCTGATTTTGCTTTATTCGCTTTTTGTTTCTTTTTCAGACTTATGAAAAGAGATATATCACAGAGTGGCTGAAGCATGAACGTACATGTCCCAAAACCAAAGAAGTTCTCTCTCACTGTTTGTGGATACCAAACCATTTGATCAATGAGTTGATTACGCAATGGTGTCGAGTTAACAAAGTTGATCGGCAAAAACCATCTGATGAAATAGTCACTGAGATGTTCACTGGTGACATTGAAGCATTGCTTCAGCGGATTTCATCTTCCTCCTCGGTTGCGGATCAGATAGAAGCTGCAAAAGAGCTGCGTCGCCAGACGAAGAGATTTCCCAATGTCCGGGTCTTCTTTGTCGCTGGAATCCATGATTCGATCACCCGTTTGCTCAGTCCGCTCTCTGCTTTGGGCGAGGCAGTAGACTCGAATCCAGAGCTTCAAGAGAACATTGTCACAGCATTGTTCAATCTCTCGATTCTTGAGAATAATAAAACAGTGATTGCTGAAAACCGTCTAGTGATCCCTCTGCTTACTAAGTCTTTGAAGCAGGGGACAGCTGAGACACGAAGAAACGCTGCAGCGACTTTATCTTCACTGTCAGCCATTGATTCTAACAAGATCATCATTGGGAACTCGGAAGCAGTGAAGGCTCTGATTGATCTTATCGAAGAGGGTGATATGTTAGCCACCAAAGAAGCCACTTCCACGGTCTTTAACCTCTGTATTGTATTGGAGAACAAGGAAAAGGCGGTTTCAGCGGGTTTGATTCCTGCGGCAACCAAAAAGATCAAAGCAGGAAGCAATGTGGATGAGTTGTTATCTCTCTTGGCATTGATTTCTACACACAACCGGGCTATCGAAGAAATGGATAAACTAGGGTTTATCTATGATCTGTTCAAAATCTTGAGGAAACCGAGTTGCTTGCTGACTGGAGAGAACGCTGTAGTGATCGTCTTCAACATGTGTGACAGAAACAGAGACAAGTCGAGACTGAAAGTGGTAGGAGAAGAGGAGAATCAACACGGGACATTTACGAAGCTTGCAAAGCAAGGATCAGTTCGGGCGGTGAGAAAAGCACAAGGGATTTTACAGTGGACTAAGAGATTCGTTACTGGTAAAGAGCCACAGAGGGCATGAATGAAGGAATCATCAAAAATCAGGTCTTGTTAATAGTTTTACAAACTTGCTCTTGATACATATATACCGATCCAAAATTCATCGTAAATACTAGATAGTCGTAGAAAGTGTAGAATGAAAAAAGGAAAAGTTGTATAGTCTCTCTGAGAACGATAAGTGCCTGAAGAGGCCTGAGTTTTGCTACTCTTAGTTGACTTTCTGATTCATGATCGTGAATTGAGGGTTTTGAAGGATTAGAAAAGCAGAGGTTGTCTTTTTGTAGTGAATGTCATAATGGTCATATGTCGAATCCAAAGGAAAGGCAATGGCATTACCGTAAATATAAGTCAGCTGATTGGGTAACATAGGAATCTAACAATAGGCGGCTTCTTATGTAAGTCGACTCCAATCAACCGAAAGCAACATTTAAAGGATTAAGACCATTAATTACTTGTTAAAAAGTAATAATGGTGGGGTTGACCGATCGTGATTAAGGTAATTGGTTGGGCTAATGCGGGCTAAAATTGGAAAGAAAAGAAAAGGACTAGAAAAAGTGGCGATGTAACATGGAGAATCAAATCAATGAGATAACTTTGTAGCAAAACTACACTCACCAATCACCATCACTTGTTTCTTCTTATCCACCGTAGATTAACACGCATATACATTCTATATTCAAAAAGTGGAATATTACCCACAAGTTGATTAACATATTATGCTTATAAATTAGGTCACGGGATGATCAAAATTCAAAAGTGGCATGAGTGATATATTTGACTCCAAGGGAAAACGAAATATATATTGTGGGGTTGGTTAGGCCATCTACCAATGACTTTGTTACTCTTATGTGTTTTCAGATCTTTTTCACCTTAAGAATAGTTACAGTACAATTATTATTAGTTCGATCAACAAACATTATCTAGGTTTTTTCCTTCCAAATTTGAATTTAAAATCAATAATGTATTTATTCATTATAATCATATATATTAGATTATACTACACAGCTATTTGTGACTTTGGTGAATTTGATGAACTAGTAACTAGTAAGGCATATAAGAGAAGAATAAAATTGGGATAAGTAGTCTTTTTAAGAGTTTTCTTTTACTAAATCTGTGATCATGCAAATAAATGTAGTCTTCTTTAAACTCTCTTACAAAACACACACAACAAATGTTGAGAACGTACGTGACAAAAACGAGAGAAGATCTTATAAAGTAGATATGTAACAAGACAAAAGGATTACTCTAGTTTACTACGATATTACTTTGTTACTCCTTTTTCTATAAACCACCATTCGTATGCTCTCTTTTTCTGCCAAACCACGTATATATCATATATGTATATTAAATGAAATTAGAAAGGCAAACAAAAAAAAAACCCAAAAAAATTACATTATTCATTCATGATCCTACTTTTTCTTCTTCTTTTTCTCCTCTTCATTCTTCCTTCTCAATTCATGCGCATGGAACCAAACAAGCGAAAAAGCTAGGCCTTCTCTTCTGCAACACCAAGTTTATATTAAAACTCTTTTTATTTTAACAAAAAGTAAAGATATTTTTTTTTATAAAATAGAATTTTTATTGGAAGATCTAGTAAAATAAGTTATGTGCGAGAAGAAGCTCTTACCCTTGTTGAAGAATGGATAAACTCAGGAGGAATCTTGTAGAGATCTTCATCAACGGGCTTAGGTGGCTTCGAAATCGGAGCGACGTCGTTTTTAAACTGCTTAACACCATTGACGTCAATGTAATACTTGTCCGACTGTGCACTGACGTCACGCACACGCCTTTGTGGTCCTCTTTTTTCCTTCGTCCCCGCCGTCTACGGCAAGTCATTAATCAAACAAACAACGCGTTCTTGTTTAGATAATTAATACATTTATCGAGTTAATTATTATGTAATTAAGAAAAACAAAGTAGTGATTAAATTTAATGAACCTGTCTTGGACGGGGACGGTGAGAAGCAAGCTTTAGGGCTTCTGCAGAAGAAGAAGATGATGTAGAAGAAGTTGTAGTGGAAGAAGCAGAAGAAGTGGTTGTGTATTGGTGACGAATCAGACCAGCTTGTCTTGGATTCTCGAAGTATTGTGTTATTGGCATCTCATTTGCTTCCTCCCATTCTCCAAACCTAGGAATCTGTCCACTTTTCTTCTTGTAATTATCATATCTCCCCTGTTCCCATTTATTCATTAATTAGTACATAAATATGCTAAATCTCTAAACAAGTACCCATAAAGAAGACTCAAGAACCCTTGACAATATTCAGATATTCAAGAATCGAGAATCAAGAACTCACAAGAATCAGGGATTCAAGATTCAAGATTCAAGAATCCACAAGAAACAAGGATATAAGAGTAAAGAACTATGAAGGGACAAACACGTGACTAAGTTTGGCACTTAGCGTAGCTATGAATGTGGATAAATAAGTAAGAGAGATGGAGAAGACATTATTAGGCAGGTTTTGACGATCTTGATGAAGAAATTAAACGGTTCGCCAAAAAAAGAGATAGGGAACTTTAAGAATGTTAAAGGCGACAGAAAGAAACAAAGATAGAAGATTGATTACTGGATTAGAGAAGTTTCACTTACATGAGCCATGGCGATTTCTTTCTCTTTCTTTCTATCTCTCTCTCAACGCACTAACACACAAAATAAGAAAGAGTGATCTCAAGAAAGGTTACTGTCTTTTATAACAAGAGTGGGGTATGTAAGCAAAGAAGATATTGTCCTTACCTCTAAAAGTCTAAACAGTCAACTTTATGAGAGAGATATACAAAATTTTATTTTCCATATCTTTATTAATGCTTTTTTTTTAATTAAAGTTAGTGGAGAGTTGAGTCTCCTCTAAGTTGGTGTGATTGAAAATAATCATAGATATTAAATTTATGTGTTTACGTTTCAAAAAGTTTATGTACGTTTATGGTTTTGATTTTCGTTCGTTCTACTTTACAAGATTCACCGTAATATGAAAATTCATAAATTTAGAAAAAATAATAAATTGACAAAGAAAAATAGATATTACATACTATATATATATACAGGTATTAAATACTATGATATTTATTTTTTAGAATTATTTCTATAGAGTAATCATAACTCTCACATTACTATATACTGTAGGTCGAAACTTGAGAGTTTTTCGGATTAAAGAAGAAAAAAAAAACAAAAGTGAAGAGTGTAGGGGAAGGTGGGAAAAAGGAGAGAAGAAACGCGTTATAGTCCACGGCTTTTATTAATTAGGTTTTCTCAAGCTTTTTGTCAGTGACACATTTACTTTACGTTACAGTCCATTAAAAAAAATCTACCCATTTTGTTGACAAAGATGTCCACTTTATTAAAAGAAAAAAAAAAAATCAATTACCATTTCATAATGTTATATGAATACGCATCTAACTCTATCTTACGTTCTCACTATTTGTGATGATTGACTATTATATTGTCGGTCCACTTTTCTTTTCACATGGAATTCCTGAATTTTGTTTATGATGGCTATAATTTTTTAATTATTAGCTATTATAAATAACTTAGCTCATTGATGTTTCCTTATTTATCATCATCTATAGTTTTCCATTATGTTCAATCAATGAGCCTATACTAATAAATGGAAACTGTTAAGTGTGTTTACAGTTGAGTGTGACTTTGATATATAGTACAATTATTCATAAATAAATAGTACTCCCTCCGTTTCAAAATATAAGACGTTTTAGCTAATAGCACGCCGATTTAGAAGATCTACTTTTTAAAAGTTTAGCTAATCATAAAAAGGACTGCATAATATAAATAATCATAAAGTATTAAAATAATATATAATTTGTATAAAAACTTGAAAACGACTTATATTGTGAAACAAAAAAGTTTCTCCAAAACGTCTTATATTTTGAAACGGAGGGAATATATTATAAGCTGTTAAATATGATATCTTAAACTAGTAATATCTCCATAGATTCCATGCAATTCTACATTTAATTTTAGAAGATATAATTTCGAAAATTATTTTATTGGTCCAAACTGAAACCAGACGTTGAGTTGCAGCAGCCTGGCCTCGTGGAGTGATATACGGTCAGAATTCAGAAATAAACAAGTCTTGACTTTTCTTTGTCATTGACCTAATTGCTATTTTCCCAATGGGAAAATTAGAAAATTACTTACACCTATTCAATCCATTTCTTTCGTAATTTCAAATATCGAGATTAATCTACAAACCTTAAATCATTTGACCAAATCATAGCCATCTTGATTTATTGTCGTAATTAAAACATAGCTATTGATTTCGATTAAAAAAAAAGTATCATATATAGCTATTGTTTTTTTCTTATCAAAACAAAATAATTCAGGAATTGAAAAAAAGAAAGAATGTATTATTTGTCTTTTACATTGTCTACACCATGATCAACCACAGTTAAAATGGTAATATAAAATTTTTTAATCCTAATTTGGATACCATTACTTCCTTTCCTCTAAATTGTAGCTACTGAATAGTGAATACTATCCACCATTTGAGTAACTGACTCTTTAGGAAAAAGTTTTTTATAGATTTATGTTTTGCATTTAGATTAAACGCACGCCTTAAAAAAAGAAGAAGCGTGAGCTAGAAAAGTTAAGTTAATTTAACCAACTAATGAAAATGTTTCAGTTACCAAATGAAAAATGGCTTTACATTTGTTGACAAAGCAAAACAAAAAGAATATGGGAGTTACATTTGAAAAAGTAGCTTTTATTGTTTATGCGTTACCTCTAGAAAAATGATAGTTTATTATGTGTCATAAATAAATATGGTTGGCGTAAGCTTGACGATGACGGTGAAGAAGTTGGGAGTTTTTTGGGAGATTCACAGTCAAACAAAGTTCACATTTTAAAAGTCCCTTTTTGCTGCCAATCCATACCTCAACCAACAAATTTGTCAGTTGTGTGCATTTATCTGTCGGCTCAATATGGCTTTTCGTATACTAGTAACTAGTAAGTATAATAACAAAAGTTGAACCTCCTACATTTTTATTTTATAAACTATATCCTATAAATATTGAAATGAAAAAAAATAAAAAAAAATTTCAAGCGTTTTATAAAAAATCTACCGTTATATTTTCATTTCAGTTGTTTATTGGTATTAGGGTTTTGGTTTAGTGATTTATCCAGCGAAAGATTTTGAAATTAGAGGTTTCCGCCACGGCACTTTGGCGTAGATGTTGTCCTTGTCTTCTATTATATATATCGTGTTTGGTTGGTCGAAGCCAAGCTTAGTTAGAAGATAATCGAGTATGAGTTCTTCTTCTGAAGGATTAAATCTAAAGCCAACCAGCTCTTCCTCTTCATCGTAAAATTCTTCAACCATCGACATTGTCTTCTTCTTCTGATATATTTCCTCGAACCAAATAAGCTCTCAGGATATTGAAGACAAGAACGTGCAATGAGAGATAAGCAATGAAAGGTATCAACCTCTAACAAGGTTTATATAGTGTAGTTAGGGCCGACTATTGAATATTAATTTGGATAAGTTCTTCCAAGGCCTTTTTCCTGTTTTTATAAAAACAAATCCACTAAACGATTTATATAAGTTTTCTATTACATTATCCAATGTAGAGTAAACATAGATATTGGTTCAGTTACTATATGACCCAATATAGGGAAAAGATTGGCCCATACAAAAATCCAAACATCAATTTTTGAGAAAAAAACGTTATGTAGAGTAGAGGAGATACAAAAGGAAACAAAAACTTTGTATGGGTTTCGTACTGGGCCTATATGGAGTCCAATAGGCAGGAACGGTTTGGGTAACCTTTCTTCCTTAACCTTGACTAAATAGACCACAAGTATTTTTCTAAGGGTCAGACCCATAAAATCTCAGGGCCGACCCTAATACCTATGTTCATAATCATATCCTAATTCTTATTAGCTAAGAGCAACATTATTGAGAGGTTGTTAACTTTGGTTCTTAGTAATTTTTTAGTATTATTACTAAGAACCAAAGTTAAGATTTACTTTTTTTGGCTCTTAGGTAAGAAACCTTTCTTACCTTTCTTACCAATAATAACCATTTGCCATTTAATTAAATACTTTTTAATACTTAAGATTTACCTAAGATTCTTCTAAGAACCTATTGATAATCATGGTCTAATATTGTTTAACGAATTTATGCTACTAATAACCTTCGATCTAATTACTTGAGTATCAAGATATCTAACAAACTCCTCTTTTTCGTCCAAAGAGGGTCTTGGGTATATTTTAACAGAACCACAAATTATGTTTGTCGTCTAAGGTTTGCCTTTCTTCGTTTTTATTTTTTAAGATCTTGACTAACTACCTAATTTTTTAAGGTTTGAGATCCAAAAATCTCAAAACCGGCTTATATATCTAATTCTTAAAACTCTAATATATTATATAGTGGAAAAAGAAAAGTTTTTGTATGTGTTCAATTCATATAAGCTAATTAATTTTTATATGTATCTGTTCTCAATAGTGTCTAGATTCATCTGGTCATTGTACACTAGTACACTAAAAAAGAAAAAGAAAAAGTCAGAGTTCACCAAAAAGGAACCATGGTCCTTTGAGGTGGCAGAGAATATGGAAATGAACTCATTACATATTTATACACAAACCCATTTTGGAATTAAACAGGCCCTCTATGGTAATAAGCATAAGAATCCTTTTCTCTACAAACTTTCCATTTATCTTTTTATAAAAGTTACAGAAATAGATTTGGTTTCTATATTAATTTGGGATAATCTATCTACAATTCTATAAAATTCAGCTAACCGTTAGGTGAGTCACTCATACATATCTTCCTTCTATATAAAAAAAAAGAATATAGTTTTTGAGTGGACTGATAAATATATTCTTTTCAAGAAGAAGAGAAGAAGAAAACAATCTTCTTATTAAACCCATACGTTCAAGAAAAAGAAAAAAACGATACTAACGATGAGTGCGGTAAAATCGGCCTTAGGTGATATGGTGATAACCTTTTTGTGGGTTATTCTCTCGGCGACGTTTGGGATTCAGACGGCGGCGATTGTTTCGGCCGTCGGGTTTCATGGCATCACTTGGGCTCCTCTTGTGATCTCAACGTTGGTTGTTTTCGTCTCCATCTCGATTTTTACGGTTATTGGAAACGTTCTTGGTGGTGCTAGCTTCAATCCTTGTGGAAACGCAGCGTTTTATACCGCCGGCGTTTCCAGAGATTCTCTCTTCTCCTTGGCCATTAGATCTCCTGCTCAGGTGTGTAGTTATAATCTAGCTAGCTTTTTGAAACCGAAACGAGACTTGTTTTTTTTTGTTTTGTTATGATGCTCTTTTAAGAAAAACATTTGCAGTGTGAAACTCAACGAACAAAAAATAAATAAAATCGAAATACAATTTCAAATAGATTTTAATTAGTTGATACTTGTAACATCTTTTTCATACGAGTATTCGCTTTTGTGTATTGTCTCTTCAAATTAGAATCTATTATTATACTTACACATCGTTTGTGATTTTTTTTTTTTTTTTTGTTAAATCAATGTATCTTCTTTCGTTTGTTGGCTCTATGTGAAGTTTCTGGTGTGTCAGGGGTCCATGTGTGATGTATTTTTGAATAACGTAAAAACTTTTTTAAGTGGAGATTTTGGCCCAACTGGTACTTACTGGCATATTTGTTTCCATATGTGATGTATCCTATTTTATATATCTCAGGCAGTTGGTGCGACAGGAGGGGCGATAACGATCATGGAGATGATACCGGAAAAGTATAAGACTAAGATTGGAGGAAAGCCTTCATTGCAAGTTGGTGCACACAATGGAGCTATTGCTGAAGTGATCCTAAGTTTTAGTGTTACATTTTTGGTGTTACTAATTATCTTAAGAGGTCCTCGAAAACTGCTTGCTAAAACGTTCTTGCTCGCTCTCGCTACCGTATCAGTGTTTGTCGTGGGATCTAAATTCACTAGACCATTCATGAATCCTGCCATTGTAAGTTCATTCTTATTGATCCTAGTCAATAATTGTTGATATATAGTCATGTGGTGTATATTGCAATGCAGGCATTTGGGTGGGCATATATATACAAGTCTCACAACACATGGGACCATTTTTATGTGTATTGGATCAGCTCCTACACCGGAGCTATTTTATCTGCGATGCTCTTTCGAATTCTATTTCCGGCTCCACCTCAGGAAAAACAGAAGAAAGCTTGAGAAAAAATGGAAAAATCGAAAGTAAAAAATTTCATGAATCATAATCCCATTTGTTGTATGTTTTATGTTGTAGTGGTATTTGTACTTTATAGACTCCTGTCTTTTTTTTTCTTTATGGATTCGTTCGGCCGTCACATTTTTCCGGTTTGTGCGTAATCTACAAATTCACTCTCGTCCGGTTTAATATTATTGGTTTTGTTCGGTCCGTAAAGGAGAGTAAGTGTGGGTCAATCCGGTTTTTTTCATGTTATCGGTTTAAAATTTCTAGTAACCAAACTAAAACCGAATTTCATACAGTGCAGGTTTATATGGCTTTGATAGTTTTGGTTTTTCACCAAATTATATACCAAGTTTCACCATCACAATTCACAAACTTGCAAGAAAAAATAATTATAAAAAGTAAAGTCATAACAAAAATCTATGAAAAATTAGGGGTTGTTAATGAAAAATTGAAAATCACTAGTGAAACTTAATTACCAAATTACTAGAGTATTTAATAATGTCAATAAAATGTCAATTGTAACTTAATTTTGCGTAAGCTCATTGTGGGAGTTACCCATCTCCCGCAATCGTAACCCATAACGTCTTTTGTTTGTATCCATCGCTCCCTTAATACAAATTCAGATCTGGAAGCACACAAGCTTTGAATCCAAAGCTTTTCTCCATAATCAAAATCCGCATCTTCCAAATCCACCGTCGATCTGGAGCCGTTACAGGATCCGCCGCAGACCACGGCGTCCTCCGGTACCGGCAACGGCAACGGTAAGATACGCTACCGTTCGCCTTCTTCCACTGAGCTTCTGGAGTCTGGAAACCATTCTCCTACATCCGACTCTGTTGACGGAGGTAAGATGACGGCGAAGCGTGGGATTGGACGGCACGAATCTCTTGCTGACAAGATCCAACGCCATCGTGGTCTTATTCTTGTGATTTCGGTTCCCATTGTGTTGATCGGGCTTGTTCTTCTGCTAATGCCTGGGAGATCGACTTCTGATTCCGTCGTTGAAGAGTATACGGTGCATAATCGCAAAGGAGGTCCTAATTCGAGAGGTCCGAAGAATTACGCTGTGATTTTTGATGCGGGAAGTTCTGGTAGCCGTGTACATGTTTATTGTTTTGATCAGAATTTGGATCTTATTCCTCTCGGGAATGAACTTGAGCTCTTCTTACAGGTGATACATTGGTTTCGTTTTTTGCTCTTAGTGAAGATATATAACATTGGAACCACCAATTACCTGCAGTGCTTGATAGATCTTTGTGTCATTCCAGAGATCTGATTCAATTTCTTATGGTGATTCGTGGTACATTTATGTTAATATGGTTGTTAGTATGTCGAAAGACTTGGGCTGAATTGACTTTGTTTGAGATATACTCAAACCCTATCTCCTGATCCAACAATCTTCAAAACTGAAATTATGTGAAATTTGCCATTGGAATGCCTTTCGAATAACATTTGAAAGAATGTATGAGGTTATTCGTTTGGATGAAGAACAAGGATTTTTAATTCTGCAAGTTTCTGTATTTGATCCTCTAAATTTGATCCTTTAATTCTGCAAGTTCCTGGAACTTGAACTCACCTAGCTTGCATCATTGAGTTCCTTGTTTCATTATATTGCAGTGGCTTGGCTTTCTTGTTTAATTTGCAGTTTAGTGGTGCTTGTTGGAGCTTTGGCTCTAATCTATTTACTGATTTGATTTTCAGCTAAAACCAGGGTTGAGCGCATATCCTACTGATCCCCGACAAGCAGCAAACTCTTTGGTGTCTCTTCTTGACAAAGCAGAGGCTTCTGTTCCCCGCGAGCTGCGTCCAAAGACACCTGTCAGAGTTGGGGTATGGAATCAATTGGTGTCTCTTATTTTGTATTATCGTTGTTTTTTTTGTGAATCAATTGAAACGTGTTTTCTCTAAATCTTTTCAGGCCACTGCAGGTTTGAGGACGCTGGGTCATGATGCATCTGAGAACATTTTGCAAGCGGTAATTTGATTTCCAAATTTTTCAGGCACATTCGCCAGGTCACTTAGCTCTTATACTGTATTATAATTTTGTTTATAAGGTTAGGGAACTCTTGAGAGATAGAAGCATGCTGAAAACTGAGGCAAATGCTGTTACTGTACTGGATGGTACCCAGGAAGGTTCTTATCAGTGGGTATGTTGTCCCACCTTTATATTCATCGTCTCCATTCGGTGAAGTAAATTCTGGACTGGAATCCTTTCTAGTTTCTTTTTATTCAATAAGAAGTGTTTCACTATGGCAATTGTAATAGTTTGAAGTCTAGTATGTAAAAGAATAGCTGTTGGACTCTAAGCAGCCTCTAATCTAGCTGTCATTTCGTCTTAATGGGCTTCGAATTTGCAGGTAACTATTAACTACTTGCTAAGGAACCTGGGAAAACCATACTCAGATACGGTAGGAGTGGTTGATCTTGGAGGGGGGTCTGTTCAAATGGCATATGCTATATCCGAGGAAGATGCTGCAAGTGCACCAAAACCATTAGAAGGAGAGGATTCATATGTCAGGGAAATGTATTTGAAGGGACGGAAGTATTTCCTCTATGTTCACAGGTTTGTCACCTCTTATGGTTTTTTTATTTCATTTCTTTGAATTATCTTGTATTAACGTCTCCCAAATAGCGGCCAGTTTTAGGCTTCTCCACGTCATCTGTATCTTCTAGACTACTGTACTCTGTTAGATATTTGGGGTCCTCCTTCCATGCTAGCACACATGTTTTAAAATTCATAATCTTTAATGTGAGGTGTTATTGGATTTTTTCGTGCTTGTAGTTACCTACATTACGGATTACTGGCCGCCCGAGCAGAGATTTTGAAAGTTTCTGAAGATTCAGAGAACCCCTGCATCGTGGCAGGCTATGATGGTGAGAGATTATTGTTTTATCATGAGAGCTGTTTCTTTCCTCGTCATATGACACATGTTTACATTATTGCCATTATCTTCGCCATCCTTTGCTTCTGAATATGAAATTTCTCTTAGCATATTGGATCAACAGTTTTCGATTTCTTCTAACATACTTTATTCACTGTAGGTATGTACAAGTATGGGGGAAAAGAATTTAAAGCCCCTGCTTCACCATCTGGTGCGAGTCTTGACGAGTGCCGAAGGGTAACCATCAACGCACTAAAAGTGAATGATACACTGTGTACACACATGAAATGCACATTCGGTGGAGTCTGGAATGGTGGTCGAGGTGGTGGTCAAAAGAATATGTTTGTTGCTTCTTTTTTCTTCGATCGTGCTGCTGAGGTAATTCAACCAAAAAACACAGTTTATCAAATCTTTCACACACAACCTGTTTCTTTGCTTAACTCCGTATAATGGCACAGGCTGGATTTGTTGACCCGAAGCAACCTGTTGCTACAGTTCGTCCCATGGACTTTGAGAAAGCAGCAAAGAAAGCTTGTAGTATGAAGCTGGAAGAGGGGAAAGCGAAATTCCCACTTGTGGAGGAAGAGAATTTGCCTTACTTGTGCATGGATCTCATTTACCAATATACTTTGCTCATTGATGGATTCGGTAAGTTTTCTCCCCTATTTCCACCTTCAAAACAACAATTTAATTTTCAAGAGAAATAGAGAATCCACTATTTAATTTAGGTTTAGGATAGTACAAATTTGCTTAACTCTGGCTCTAAGCACCAAATACATGAAGGAAAAAGTGTTACATTTAGGATGATCTGGTCCGAGTTTCTGTAATCTCCTTTGTATGTATTTCATTTGTCTAATTTTGTTTTTTCTTGGGTGTAAACTACAACAGGCTTGGAGCCATCACAGACAATAACGTTAGTGAAGAAGGTCAAATACGGAGACCACGCCGTGGAAGCTGCTTGGCCATTGGGTAGCGCCATAGAGGCCGTATCCTCGCCGTGAGGGGCATTTTGGGAATTACACAGAACCTTATTCTTTTGATTTCTACCAAAGCTTTTTTTTTTTCCTCAGTTTTTAGACTTTTTACCATCCCTTAAAGCATAGTACATTAGTACTTATCATTTTTATTACAATATATCGTATTTAGAAAAATTGTTTTGTTGCTTATATCTACTTTTTCAGATCTTTGATTCTTTTTTCTTGTAAAATAGAGTACTCTTCTTATTGTCCATGTTTCTTATATTTTTATGAAAAGATTGCAACATTCTTACTTTTTTGGAGTTAATTACCGGATCGGTACTTTTTTCAGTCAAACTTATCAGTTTGGGTTTATTTGCCCATACTTCTGTTTTAAGCATTCTTCAAACATTGGAAAAATCGTTTTTACCCTTGCCACCAACCGAAGCAAAAATAATTGTTTTTTTTTCTGTGAACGACAAAAACTTTAAGCTTTCTCCTTCACTTACCAACGTGAAGATCATGGAAACCCAGATCCTAATTTTGAAAATTATTTCAATTGGAGCCCTTGGGTTTAGTGGATACTATCCCCTTAGGGTTTATTTTTCTTTATTCAAAAGGAATTAGTTGAATCCAACTCATTGGAGATGGTGTTGGCGGAGGAGAGGTTTTGTGTTTCGGATCGGAGATGATGTTGGCGGCGAATCGGAGAGCAGATCGTGCCGTCGTCTTCAATCGGCAACAGATCCGCCACAAAGTGAGCAACCCAAGACCTCCGCAAACCCAATGGCTTCCACTCCACATCGACGGGCGGTGGACTGTGTGTCGTGAAAGTAAAAATCGAAGTTGCCATAGGGTTAATAGCGAGACGGTGGGATAGATCTGGAAGGAGGAAGCATGCGGCGGTTGGAGGCGGATTCTCCGGCGGCTCAGCCCAGCGACTGTAGGTGTCCAAGACGCTTTTCTCTTTAATTCCACCGGAGAAGTCCGATGGTCTGATTGTCAAATTTTTTAATTTTTCCGAAATTCCATTTAATTCAGTAGGGGCAAAAACGTCATTTAACTAAATCCAAAAATACCTAAATATGCAAGTAGCGATAGAAAAACCTAAAATCAAACTTTTGACCTAATAAATGCTCATTCTCGTAATAACCCCTACTTTTTTGAGTTTCGCGTATTTTGCTCATGGAATTACTTTTTTTTTCAGAAGAAATGAGGAGTTTATTAATTAGTTTCTTATTTTTTTAACTCTAGCATTGTAATTATAGAAATTAATATAAAATTGACTAAACCTGAAAAATACAGGGGTATACTCTAAAACTTGCTAGTCGTTTTGTTAATGTTTTATTTATTGAGTGATAAACAATATAAAAATATGTCCCTTTTTTTTTGTTATCTATAGCTCGGGACATCGTTCATTGAATCGTAATCTGTCAAAAAGCTTGTGTTCTTGCCTTCTTGGGAAAATATTTCAGTTTTGCATGTTTATATGTTTTCAATGAAATAATATTTGACAATGACGCCTGCTGTGATTGTGGTGTATCGTAAATCCACGTGGTGATCAAACTCCAATTATTGTCTCTCGCTCATGTCCCTCGAAAGAAAGGCAATTACTTGCACACAACAAATGGTGAATCATCATTTTATTTGGCTTCTTTTTTCATAAAAAAATATAGTATTAATCTTCAGTAAATATAACAAAAACTGTTTTTAGATATTGTATCAAGAAGTAATTTCTTAAAAACCAAAAAAAAGTAACAATATTATAAACTGTATATAAACAAAAATATTTGAATATTTGTATCTTTCAAAATTTTGAAATCTTTTAGCGTGGGTTATTTCCTGTTATCACTTACAGTATATCATTGTCATTAACTTTTTGTAACCCGAAAATACCATCCCTGATATTAGTATAGGTTAACAAAAAATATATGTTAAAGAAAGTATTTAAAAGAAATACCAAAACTCAAACGACCTTTTGTATGGGCTGAGAAAAACATAATGAACACTGAAGAATGAAGTTGTTGTACCCATTTCGACTGATCCGGCTTGAAAAAATCATGTATTATTGAATTTAAACCAGCTATTCTCCACTAGAAAATTTGCACACAAACAAGAATAAAGGAATTATTTAACTTTTCTGTCTTTTTTTTTTGTTTTTAAAAATATTTTACAGAGGTCGAAATTTTACGTCATGTGTTGTGTGTCAATGTTATATTAGAGATAGAGTTCACCATTAACGAACATCGTTGTGGTTTCTTCTTTTTGACCAACGTAAATGCATTAAACGGCAAAAATACTCAATTTTAAGTATTATTTTGGGTTTCCACTCGTGATCTACTATAGTTATATCAAAATTTAATATTAGATTTGGTTCGGGAAGAAATTTAGCCCCTTGTTATATGCTTCATGGAGACAAAATTAAGTTTTAGAAAAACGAAAAAAAAACGAAGTTCAAAGTTAAGAAGAAGGAGAAAAACGCTCAAGATTTTTTAAGATCACTATATATAACAGGAAATAGTTTAAACTCATTTCCATTTCCATTTGTTTGTAAAATGTTCAAATATTAATCACTGGTTAAATCATTTGATACTTAAGAAAAAAAAATCGGGATTCAAAATTACATGTATGTCAATATCTAGGAAAAGGGGAATATTTTTTAAGCTTCATGGTGAAGCTAAGTTTTATTTTTCCATGAATTATTGGGGAATCATTTGAATTTTAACAAATAGAATAAAGCAAACCCAATAATATTAATTTGTCCATAAAAATGACGACATATAACATATTTATTTTCAAAGAAGAATCGTAAGGGTTACTTTCACATATTGAAAAGACAACTCCTCGATGAAATGATAATCAATCTCTAGTTTTTTCAGTAGTTTGATTATGGTGGATAAAAACGTTTCAAATTAATCTTATATTGAAGATTATTTTTGATATGAAGGTTGGATATATATAGTTTGAAATTGAATCGTTGTATCATTGGATTCAGACTAAAGAGACGATTTTTTCTTCCTACGTGTAATTTCCGTAGAAGTTGAATATCAAAGTATTGTTCGACGTAGAACGTCAAGCATATGAGTCTGAACCTAATAAAAAGAAAAAGGAAATAATTATCTTAGAAGGGGAAATTCGATGAACACGCATGAATAAGTATCATGTTTTGATTGGTGACCTAAATAATTTTATTGATGTGACACTTACTTATTATGACCCATGCATTAGCCAAAATAATTGAACTGTGGAATTATTATCCTTTGTTTACTTATTTTGTTTACCATACTTTGGTGTAGATGCACACAACACAGATGGTGAGATGGGTTTATATCATTTGTTGTAATAAGATTTGATTTCCAATGCTTAATGCTTTGTATGTCCACATAATGTGTGTGTGTGTGTGTGTGTGACGTTAAGAAAATACATGTGTATAGTTGTCTTGCAATGGGGGAGCAATTACACCGAAATATCGAAAAGTCATTTTCTAGTTTAAGTTAATCATGAATTAAAATTTTGGATCAACAAATAAATTTAAAATGATCAAATTGACAATCAATATGTAATAACTTTTAAATACTCATAAAATAAAGAAAATAATAAATTTTCCATGTAATTTATGCTATAACTTTTTTAATGCATTCAAATTATATTAATTATTTTATTTTTCAATAACTCTTTGTGGCGGACCCAGAAATTAATTTTACCTGGGTCAAATATTATTTTTTAAAACAACATTAGATAATTTATTTTAGATTATATAAACAATTAAAAAATTATTTTCATAAGCAAGTAAAAAAAGTATATAAAACACTGTTTTTGAAAAAGAACTCAAAAATATCTAAGACAAAAAAACATGTATATAAGTTAAAATAGGAAAAAGAAAGAGACAAAAGGTGTTAAATTGGGGAATTGAACTTGAGTTTAGGGTGTCAATAACATGAGAATTACCAACTGAGCTGTTGGTATTTAATAGATATCAATTACAAAAACAACTATTTGATTATTTAACCTGGGTCAGGTGACCCACCTTCTCTCTTAGTGGGTCCGCCCCTGACTCTCTCTATATATAAATATATATAATATCACCAGAAACTACATCTTAAATTTACATAAAAACATTTGAATTATCTTTTGAAGAATTTAGTTATGTATTTAAAATTATTAACATATAAATATTTTATTTTTAATATTCATAATCTTACAAATTTTGAAAGTATTTTTTGGGATGCTTTACACTATTCTTTTTTGGACGTGCTAATTGTAAAATAAAGATATGAGCGGCTTAATTACCCCTAGTTAGGTATGATGATCTTCAAGGCATAATCTTATGCTATTGTTTGCACGTATAAACTCACATTTTAATTAACAACATATATACGTGTTTAGGATATAATGAAGACACGTACATGTATACATCTTCAAAGCATTTTGCTAGTTAATCATTTTTTCTATCCACCATACGATATGCGTATGCGAATGACTGAATGTGATCATACTGATTTTGGATAAAAAAAATTCTCAATCGACAATTCTTAGAATTATATGCATATCGAACAAGTTCAATATTTTCATTTTTATCACTAATATATAATATCCAGATTAGAAGTTATGAGATGGGAAAAATGGGTAAAAAAACCTTCACCTTTCTTAAAAACATAGAAAAAACTCTCAACTTTTTTTTGTGGGTTTTTAAACCCCCACCTTTTCATAAATGGTAAAATAAACCCTACTATTAATAATCTTAATTTAAATTCAAAAAAATCGTTATACTAAAACATAAATAAATATAAACAATTTGATTTAGTGTTTCTTCTAAAATTCTAGCTTACAATATTTTTCTAAACTGAAAATATGAAAGTCATGATGTAAAAAATTTAGTTAGTAAAGTTTTATTCGGTGTGTTACAAAAATTCATCAAGGTGAAATCAAACAGATTTTGTTACGAATTATATGTAAATTCTTATATCGAAACCGAATATGAGTTTATATTAATAAAGGTTTATTAGGTTCGATCACACAAATTTACTAACGTAAAACAAACCAAATTTTATAATACTATGAAAAGTACATGAATTTCCACATCAAAATATTTTCATTGGACAAACTAAACAAGATTTACTAACAATTAATATATATATATATATTATGATATTTAATTAATCATTATTTAACCATATTTTATCCAAAAGCTGAACACTCGAATAAAAAAAAATCAAATGTGATATCCTATAAATTTTTGTAGTTTATATAACATAACTTCTAATTGTAACAAAAATAATTTGCCTAATCTCAACTAAATGGTGAAATGTTCATAGCGCAAAAACCCTAATTTTAGAAAAAAAAAATTGTAAACTCGAATTGGAAAGAAAAAATCATAAATTAAATTGTTTGTGTTTCTTACTGTTTTAATATAAAGATTTTTTTAAAAATTAAATTGAGTTTATTAATATTAGGGTTTATTTAACCATTTATAAAAAGGTGAGGGTTTAAAAACCCACAAAAAAAGTTGAGGGTTTTTTCTATGTTTTTAAGAAAGGTGAGGGTTTTTTTACCCATTTTTCCTATGAGATGTCATATAAACGATACTATCACAAACCCCACTGAACTACAAATCATAATCTAAATTAATATTTTCTTTTAAATGACGAAATCATAGAGATTTATGACAGTTATACGCATAAATCATATCAGCTTAAAATTTGTTGTCAGTAGTTTATATTTTCTGAAATCTTAAGAAATAAAATTGGTGGTGTAATAGAGAAAAATTAAAATAATTTGACGTATTTTAATAATATTTGAGAATAAACAAATTCAAAAAATATATATACTTATTCGTCACTCGTGATAATTATAGAATGAATGATATATTGACCAATAATTATTAGCAATGAAGATAAAACAAAAAGAAATATATATGATTATCTATAACACTAGACTGTCGACCAATATTACAAGTTTTACGGAAAGATGAACAAATTGTTAAAACCTTGTGATCCACTGGCAAAACATCTAGAGTTGAGACTATCAGGATATATATAATGATTTATTGCAACGAAAATTATACTTTCTTGACAAGTACTTAAGATAACTAAAATTGAATCGTTTGTTGATATATTCACATCTATAGAAATGAATGCCTTAATGAGAAATCTATTGTTTAAGCTATTCTCATATTTGCAACGTTATGGTGGCTACAAATTACTAGTATATGGGTATGATTGGTAACC